GAGGCGAGACTATCCGAAATACACTGTGACGTCAAAATTGCGTCACAGTGTCACCAAACCAAAAATTTTTGTCGGTTAATTCAATTAAATTATCGAAATGCAAGAGCTTATATCTCACAAACTGTAAAAAAATATCGAAAAACAAATAACGAATTCGTGATCAGCAGGCTCAACTTCTTTATAAAAATTGCCAATAAAATGCAAGTGCAAAATTTAGCTGGAGAGGCCCTTTAACAGAAAACTGCAAAAACACCTGTTTGCGCGTGTGGTCAAAAGCACGCGCAATTTAACTTGCGCGTGTGCAGGCGTGTGCGGGTGCGATCGCACGCGCTAAACGAAAAGGACTGTAAATATAAACATTGCACAACTAATTAGAATGAGATACTTGTATCAAATAAGTCTTTGGCACTTCAAAATTTGAAAAAGGCATGGAAGAGCAGAAACATATCATACTGTGTGATATTATATCACATCATACAATTTCAACAAGACCTTACAATCTCAACCAGTATCAGCCCCATCGATCAAATGCCCTGCCAGATTGTCAGAGGTGTCTGGGGTTCCCTGATTTCAAATGCCTTCAAGTCAACTGCACTTATTGGTCAAAGTCACCCTTCCTTTGCAGCATTGCCTACCTATGACGCCAAATTAAAAGAAAAAAGATTCTTTTCCCTTTTCCATACAAGGACAGCAGGGACTGCTGGCTTCCAAACTTTTTGTCCTGTGCATGTTCAACTTATTTTTGTTTGGCTCTAGCATTTGTCATTAACTTGATAAATAAATATTTGGCCAGAGAAGCCTATAGCATAAAGTTTTTTGACGCTTTCTGAAGCCTATGGCATAAAGTTTTCTGACGTGGCGAAATAGAAATTTCCCTTTTTATCAATGCTCTTCCAGTTAACTGTCGCTAAAAACAGAACCAAACTAATAATTTTCTGATAAAACGTTGTTGTTAACAACAAAAACAGAGCTGGGCTGGGCCTAACTTGCATGGACCGCCTGACGTATGGAAAATAAGACATTTATTTTTGTTATTCATCTTTAATTGAAAAACAATTCAATAAACTTACCATTTTAGAAGTAAATCTTGAACAGACTTAGCATCGTACGCTGAAAATTTTTTGTTTGGAAGTTGACAAAATTTAAATATCTTTTCAAAATGCGCCATTTCTCATGATGCCTCCTTTTCCCACTTCAAGTCTCGATTCGATTAAAGGAAAACATGGCGGCTACACGAATAGTTTATAGAATTTTTGCCGGAAGTAAACCGAAAACAGTGGTAGAGAAAATAAAAATTCCAGAGCTAAAAGACGGCGAAATTTTAGGTAAGATGTTAGCTGCAACAATATGTGGATCAGATTTGCACACATTAACTGGAAAACGTATTGAAGCAAATCCCAGTGTGTTAGGCCACGAAGGAGTCATCGAAATTGTTGAAAACAAAAGGGGAGGGTCCTTGTTAGGCAAAGGCGATAGAGCAACGTTCCATATCGCAGATTGCTGTAAAAAGTGCATTTTGTGTAAAAGTGGCGTAGAGCAAAAATGCAAAAAGTTATTCAAGGTAAAGAATTTGCCCGAATTTAAAGAGAGACGTTAATTATTTGACAATTATGTTAGTTATCTTTTTAGATATACACTTGTGTTGCCAATTGTGTATCGAAGCGAAATTTTAAGAAACAATTTGTGCACCTGTTTTTATAAGTTTTTATACCTGCCAGCAATACCAAGTTCACAATACTCGTTACACTTTCTTCTTCTTAAGTGTATAATTATTCTAACCTTCATTCATGTTCAATTTGCAGTGTTATTCTTCTATTATTTTAATAGCAGTGGTGCAGAACTTTTCGAACTTAACAATCTGTATTTAATTCTTTTCAGATTCAATCAAATTTTCTAATAGCTTGATAAATTTGCAAATTCCAAAGTTTGCAAATGCAAACCCAGACCTTCAACTGTGCACTAGTTATTCTCTGCTCACTCCAGGGTGCATTCCATGTCAACTGTACGCTGCAGGTCCACCGGGACATTTGTTTAGGTACGCCGAAAATATAAAGGCAGTTAGTAAAACTGTAAACATTATTGCGCCAGACAAAGAAAACTGATTATTAGAGAAAATTGTGGTGTATGAGTCTTTATTTTACATTAACTATGTACATGGCTTCATGTTTAGCATGTCAACTAACTAAAATTATGATATAAAATAACTAAAAAAATGAAGTATACTTCCATTATAAGCATACATGTCAAAAAACTTTTTATTGGTTTGCACACCGAACGCCAAAAAAAACCTGGGTGTACGCTGAAGATCTTCGGGCCTAAGTACATGGAATGCACCCTGGTGCTCACTACAAATTTACCAACATTGGTGTTCTTTTTTAAAGCAACCACTCATTCACCAGCGTGCCCTTCTATAATTGTATTGATAAAACTTTTTCCAAGTAGCACAAGTAACCATCAATTGGCATTCTTACTTAGAGAATTAATTATCTAAATCAGTCAATTTATTTTCCTTTTTAGTATGGTCACACACAGATTGGACACCGATCTACAGAGCTGAGTGGCTGCTATGCTTCTCACATTATCCTTTTACCAGGAACACATGTTGTAAAATTACCTGATAATATCCCGAATAAAATAGCTGCGCCTTTGAACTGTGCTTTAGCCACTATGGTGAATGCCATATCTTATTCAAACCCAAGTATGAAATCAAGTGCCTTAGTACAGGTAAAAACAATGAATACAATTTTCAAAATTTAGTCACTTAGATTGACTATTTAGCAAATATTAATTTTGCAGTTGGCAAAGTTGACTGCCATTGAAAAGACTTGGCATTAGCTTTACATTGATTCCACCCTGGCACAAAAATCAATGCAGATGGTCATATAGGCATAGGAATGTACAGATCATTTTACAAGGCATTTAGCAATGGTAAACAATAATCATCTCAAAATCATATGAATCAAAATAAAGATACAAAAACTGCTGCCTGATAACCAAATTAAGCAAAAAATTTGGGGTTCCAACTGAAAACTATCACAAAACACAAATGCTCTATACAGGCATGTGGTTATCCATACAAACAGATACTGCAGAGCCAGGCCTTTGATCAGCTATCAGTCTTTGTGTGCCACATCTGCAGCAGAGACTGTCATGCCAGAATCAGACTGCTGAGCCACACCAAATGCCGCTCTCAATGCAATGATTAATCAACCAACTATGACGCTACCACTGTCTTCTCAGGAGACAGAAGGATGCCTACTATGCAAGCATGTTCAGCTCAGTGATTTTCATCAAAATGAAATTAGATATCATTATCTCATCAAGTATTTTTTTATTTTGCTATAGGGTGCTGGTCTGCTTGGGTTGTATGGTTGTGTTTTGTTGAAAGAGAAAGGCTTTGATAAAGTGTATTGTTCAGAGGTTAATACAGCAAGATTGTCACTGGTTGAACATTTTGGTGGCATACCTATTGGACCAACATATCCTACAAAGCTTGAAGATGAGTCAGTTGACTTAGTTGTAGAGGTACATGACCAATTATTATAGGGGGATATTATAGGGGGGAATAGTTACCCAATTACAATAAATAGAGCCAAAAACTTCAACTAACAGCCAGAAAGGGCATAGAACTGTTACCCCATTTCTTTCTGTTAAGCTTGTAGCCACATGATATAAACTGTGAACTGCTTTAAAGTTATATCAAAATATAAAAACCACATAAATTGTGAGAGGTTGTGAAAAATATCAACATAACTAGCTAGAGGCAAAAATATGATGGAGGCTTCAAAGCTGCAAAACAATGAGATACTTTTGTAGATCACTTCCATGATACCAAATAGTTGGAGTTAGAAATTTGATCACTAGTTAGGCTCACCGGTGTGAAAAATCCTTTTTCAGGGGTAAGAGAAGATGAAGGGAATCTTTTGCTTCTCATCTGGTGCCCTGTTTAGAGATAACTGATCACTATTTGAAAATTATATTAGGGAAGAAGGCTGTAACCCCTGGCTGATTGATGATCAATTAATTACATAATCTACTAGTAGGCCAGCTTATTTCAAAAATCAACTGTTTTATGTAGGTATGTGGAGTTCCTAGTGTGTTCAAAGAAGGAATCCAAGTTCTTAGACCTGGTGGGGTCTATGCTTTGGTTGGTATGGTGCATCCAAATTCAAAACTTGATATAACAGCTGAGCAAATTATTCGCAAGTGTATTACAATAACAGGTAAATGACATAAATCATTTGTATTACAAAATGTTGGCAGACTTTAATATAAAGGGTATATTATCATGTTCGTTTATTTATGACAACTGTATATTTATAATCATAATTTGATTGCTATTTGTTTATGCAGGTGTTCATAACTATTCTTCAAAACACCTTGATGAGGCTGTGGAGTTGCTGTCAAGAACTATTGATAAATATCCCTTTTCAAAACTTCTTAGTCCTTCTTATGCACTGTCACAATTTGATGATGCTGTTGAGGAGGCTCTAAGTCAATCTTATCTCAGAGTTGTTATCGAAGCAGCCCAAGAATAGAATGTGGTCGCTGACCCTTGGTTGCTTTACTACAACAGATTTGGTGGTTTTAAAAGGTTGAGAAATCACAGTCAACATAACACTAAATGAAATTGACAATATTTTTGTAAAATTTCCTTGTAAAAATTTAAATTAGTTTTTAATTGTATGTTGGGAAGGCTTCTAGTGTTTGTATTTTTAACTTTTGTATTTCTAACCTTTGTAAAAAGATTGAAAACTTCACATTTTGTCTGTTTCTGGACTCAGGAATTAAAGAAAATAATGTACTCCATTGTAGTTGCATAGAATAGAATTTTGTAGAGGATAAACTAAGTTCAAGCAAATGTAGCCTACGTGCAGACCATAAAATTTGGGAACAAAGCGAATTTCTTTGTCAAACGGTTGCTTTGAAAGCTGCAACAGTTTGGCCAGTCGGGCTACCGGGCCACATAGGAGTCATCCAGGGAGTCATCAGTTGTTATCGCTCAAACGCCATTTTGAAGCGAATGATGTAGTGATTTGCAAAGTGATATTTAATAATTCCGATAGCTGTTAGAATGAGTGCTGACTCAGGCAGTACATGAAAACATAGTCTGTGATTGAAATAAACGCAATTCCGTGGAATATTCAATTCCGTTTAGAATATCTGCACTCAACTTGCGAAGTGTTTTTAAACTTCAGCAGGCACCAAATTCTGTAACAGTTTCCAGCTTTGCCTTAAAACGGCCTGATAAATTGTTCGCACGCAAACTACAATTCCCGGTTTTCCTTTAATAACTTTTGACTAAAAGTATCTGTCTCACCGTAAAAAAATTTTTTTTCAAATGTAATAAAATATGGGAAATAACAATTTTGCATCACTTGCTGACCTTTTTTGTTACAATAAAAGACAGTTTTCATATCCAAAAGAATACAAACTCTCTTCATAAAACGAACTTACTTATTTTTACGAACTTATTCATTGACCTTCGATCGAGACGATGTCATGTATTCAAAATTACCACAGACTGCATATATATGAAAAGGCCGGTTTAAAATATTGACATTTTTAAAATGCACTAAATCATACGAGTAAGATTATGTTAAATTCGTATGTTAAAAACCTATTTACAAACATCTGACAAAGCAATATGCCACAACCTGTTTAAAAACTCTTTAAATTTTGCGAAAAAATCGAACGAATCCACATTCCCTACGATGTGATGTCCTGTCTCAGAAGAGCCTGTGAGTCAATTTTGGCGTGTTCAGAACTTCTTGTTTGTCACTTTTTCTTAAATTTAGAAACGATTGTCTACGATGTTAAATAAAGGTAGTAATAAGATTGATTCATTATTTTTAAGATTTTCTTTTGTTATAATGTAGCTATCAATGTTAAAAAGTGGAATGTTTAACAAATGAACAGAAAGATTTAGATAAATGTATCTACGGAACACCAAACTATTATTCCCAAAAAGTGAACAGTTAAATGTTAAATGCAAGTTCGACTTTAAGGCACTAACCCTTTGAGCATTCGGTTTTGTCTAAACCACTCAGAATACGATATTATAAAGTTGTTGCTATGGTCTCATTGGAAGCAGCGATTTCTTCTGCTGACAAGTCTAATGCATTTTCAACGTCGGTATTATCTGAATTTCTGCAAAAATACCACGCCAAGCCATATCCAAGCAGGGAAACCACTGAAAAAATTAAAAAATATGATCACTGAACTTGAAATTAAACGAAATAACAAACAATAAACATTAACACAAAGGCATGATACAAATCATGATGTTAACAAGAGCAGTTTACCGTGATCTTTAGGAGAGGGGGCTGTGGCTGGTCAAAAGTAATCGACGAAGACAAGAGACGATTTCGTCTGGGTCATCATGCCGCCTATCGTCAAGCGATCAGGCGATTATACCGACCCATGAGCGAGTTTGTCGACTAACTAATGACTAAACCGGCCTACTAATAAAAAAGTAAGGGAGTTTCGTGAACCCCCTCTCGCCAAACACACATGCACATACTTCTGTCACTGTCAGGTACGCCTCCGATAGACAGGTACCTTCAAGGCCCGATTTGTTCTCGCTTGGATAATACAGTGACAGCTCGGATGGGGAAAACCTTTAGCTTAGTTTACGGATAAAATGGCACAATTTTTACCTAGTGGCATTTTATTACGAAGTGGCATTTGCTGAAATTTGCTTATAAATTTGCTCTCATACTTCCCAAAGTCTGAATAAAGCTTAATGATTTTATAATTCTGTGGCTACAATAATAACATCAACATGTCAAGAGTAACACCACAAAAAAAATGGCGGTAGACGTTTGCGGACCCATGGATTTAGCCAATTTTTCCCCAACTATGAATTGTTGTCTCGATCAAAAGCAGTAGATCTTTGATTCTGCTTGAATCCAGATCGAAACAATCTCCAACATGGGATTGTCCCGAACCATACTCAAAAATGACTTTACAGCGTTAGTGCCAAGAAAACTCGGCTTCATTGGAAACAAGATGGACAACTGTGGTTCGACATAGGCCAATCAGAAAAACGCGAGTACATGACCGGTATGAGTTGTCCAATAGTACATTTTCCATCTTTATTCTGACGTTTAATACTCTAAGGAGTGTCAGACGAAAAAGTTTCGAGTATGTTGTAAAATGTTTGCTTTTTTCAAAGCCGTTTATAATTAGAAACATTTTGTGATACATACCTGAGGTAGCTACACAAAAAATGGCTACATTTACTGAGAACTGGTAGTTTTGATATGCAAGACAGCTTGCCTGTTTGCCACAGACCGTCTTTGACCAAAGGATGCAGTTTGAGTCGATAACAACCCCGATTAAAACTGGACTTGGTATGAACCCCAGTAGACGCACAATCAGAAGTTGGATTCCAAGGGCATATGATCGTTGGTTGTCAGGAACCGCTCTGTCAATAAGTGAAAGCATCAATGTTTGTAAAGGTTTTATTAAGTCTATTGCGATGGAAAGCAACTGTATTAGCAGATACCAAGGAGAGACGAGGCAAAGTCGCCCCCAGATGAAACGAACAAGAAGTTTCAGCCTCAAGTTATTAGAAGAAGGCGATTTAACAAAAGATCAAATAGAGTAATGAAAGATAAAGTTTTGGTTTTGGGGGAAAATGTAGCAAAAGAGCGACAAGGAATTATCAAACAACTATGGACATGAGAAAAAAGCAAATGACCTCTAGAAAAATATCATGGGGTATTGCCATCCTTGTCTGCCGGCCCTATTATGGTGTGGGTAACAAAACTTTGGATACACCATGAAAAAGTCCTACGAAAAAAGACTTAATTATTCAGAAAGAGGCTGTAAACTTTTCTGTCATGCAACAGAATCATTAACCTTACCTTAGAATTAACATCTTATGGGGCGTGGCCTTCAGAAAAGCTAATGCACCAACAAGACATACACCAGCCAGAAAGAAGTATAGATTCTTGCAATCTCTGTTACATTCTCCCATTGATAAAGAGCCTTGGATATTGTGGACTCTGCTTCCGGCTGCAACGCAACTGCAATTTCCGTAAACCTTGAATCAAAGAAGTTCAACGTACACAAAAATTTAACAACAAAGAAAAGAATAAATGAAATTAAATAGAGATGATCCTAAAGACTTTATGTTCATTATTTAAATCAAAAATTTAATGAATTTCTAGATGAAATTTCTACTTTTCCAATTTTATAAATCTTGGAATCTACACTCCAACTTGTGAGGTATTTAATGACAATCTGGCATGAAATTTGTAAAAAAATGGGAAGTGGTGCAAATTAAAGTTAAAATGATCATTGCGATCGAATGCAAGCAGCATCATAAATGTAGCTTATTTCAATAATGGTTACTCTTTTCCAACAATACAAGCTAATATTAAGGCTAGGTGAGGCTAATACAACTCAAAGGCTAGGTAAAGATCAACTGGGTTCCGTCCCGTACAAGAATATCTTTCGAATCAAAGACTTAGCTGAGTGAAAAGCAGAAAGGAGGCTCTCGTAAAATGCTAAATTTTAAAATAGCGCCAACTAGAAGTTGGTAATTTTCAGCGCTAATGTGGAGACTCGGCCCCTGCAAGCACCCTTCGTACCCTCTTCGAGTCCCTCGAGCCCCCTTGACACTGCAACCTTTTTGCATAGAAGCCAAACACCTTATGTTTTAGGCCGAACTATTCTGCTTGCTGTGACCTTTTACCTGGCTGCTTGACTTTGATAGACATCCAGCGTAGCAAGGGGAGAAATATGTCTTTCCATCACTTCCACACCCTGGATTGTACACGGAGCGATCACAGTCACATGCTATATTGCATCTTGCATTCAAAGATAGGGAAGATCTATAAAAAGAATTTCAATTGCTTTTATAAGTGTTTAATTAATTCATAACTAGTGGACAACGATCGTAGGTAAACAGTTGAATGCAAGAGTTGACAGGATTTAAGACAACTTTACTGTTTGTTGTACGAGTATGAAAAAGGTAAAACTTGACTTGTATAGTAGTGATGCTGTACTTTAAAGGTATAGCATCATTTAGCTGGCATGTGAACGTGAATACTATTGTTTCCAGCCCATAAGTTTAGCTTAGAAAACAGCATTTGAGCTGGTAGTTGACTTTGAGGTACTTATAAGTACTTTTAGCCTGTACTTACTGAAAATGCCTCTAGCAAGAGTCGAAACGTCTTAATAACTAAGTATGTCTTAAAAGCTGACGATGTCTTTCTGTATATGCCGTACTAATAATGCCGTACTGACAATTTTGCCTTACTGCTAATGTCGAATTTGGATTAAAGGGGCGTGGACAACCAGTAGCCTTTTCGGGCGTAAGCTGGGAAGGCGGCCATTTTCATGGTCCATGAAAATGGTGGAAAGCTGTTAGCACAAGCTGCGCGCAAAACGAAACCAAATAGAAGCTGTCAAAAACGATCTGAAGCGCTAAATTGATTCCAGAAATTTCCCATCGAATTCTCCTCGCCATTTTTGTCTTGCATAGAAGAACACAGTTAGAAAAACAAAACAAATGCGAGCGCGAAAAGCCTGCTGGTTGCACAGGCCCCTTTAAAGCTGGTTACAATGATTTATGTCGAAACATAAATATGTCTTATTTTTCACCCAGCTGACTATTCTGTTTACTTTCAGCCTGCTTTCAATCAATGTGCAATATCATTTTCAAAAAAATTAAAAATTAGGCAGGCTTTTTAAATTACAAATCATTTCAGTCACAAAGCTGGCCCCTTTCCCTGTATTTGATTCTTCAGGGTCAGTTTTGATTGTGATTGACATTAGAAATTAAGTATACATGTTCAAAAACATTGGGCGAGTTTCATATCTCGTAAGAGCCCTAATTGATTTCGGTGTCAAATAATTGAACATAACAGAATGAAATAAAGCGGAAAAAAGTTGCTACCCATTTTGATACGGCAACACGGCTCCAACTATTTCAGGCTCTCGGCATCCTGGTATCATAAACACTGCCCCAAAGCAGCTGAGCACAAATGACATCACTGTGCAGAACCTGGCAGCTTTTCGAATCGAATCTTGCAGTGGCATTTTGCGCATGATCACAGAGCCAGCCATGATTCCCACTGAAATTGAAATGGTTTGATAAATATTGATCATCAATAGATTTTAAAGATGTGTAGTGTTAGATTGAAACTGGTCGAAACTCTTTAGTTTCGTGCTATATCTCATCGCAGACTAGTATTTGAATAAAATTTTAGCTGAGATGACAAAAATGAAGAAAAAAGCAAAGAATGAAAAAAGAATTATCATACAGAATGCTTCACGTGATATTTGGTCAGATGAAGAGGGTTAATATAGATAGCTGGCACGCGTTTGATTGGAAGATAATCATAGTAAACAGTGCTTTATTCCCAACTTTCTTAATCTCTATCCTAGGCCAAAATGTACCAAAAAAGTATTCTTGAATAGAAATTTTCCTTACGGCAAACCTAATGTTGCTTTTTCCTTTGATTTTAAGTAAGCTATATAAACTCTATCCTAGGCCAAAATGTACCAAAGAAGTAATCCTGAATAGCAATTTTCCTTACGGCAAACCTAATCTTTGCTTTTTATTTTGATTTTAGGTAAGCTATATAAACTCTATCCTAGGCCAAAATGTACCAAGGAAGTAATCTTGAATAGCAATTTTCCTTACGGCAAACCTAATCTTTGCTTTTTATTTTGATTTTAGGTAATCTATGAAAACTCTATCCTAGGCCAAAATGTACCAAAAAAGTAATCCTGAATAGCAATTTTCCTTACGGCAAACCTAATCTTTGCCTTATAATTTGAATTAAGGTAATCTTTAAAAACTCGAGCTAAAGGATTTACTTACGAAGCATTGCAGGCATTATAGCTGCACCAGAGGCAATACCAGCAATATCTGTGGATGCACCAAACTTAAGAATTAGAAATTTTGGAAACGAAGATCCGAACCCAGCTCCAAACACTGTATTGGCTGTGACAGCGCCAACCGCAAAAATGTACACTTTATTCTTAATAAGTTGCTTTGTTGCAATGACGAAACCCTTGACGTTCGCCTCTATATGTTCGTCATCAGCTGTAATCAAGCCCTTTGCAATGGCCTCTTTCCGTTTCGCTGATGCTCCTGGAAGACTTCTTGGAAACGGGAACACCATTAACGAGAAGACAAATATAACGATGGAGATGCAGACGAAACCAAGCCACCAGGCACCAATCCAGCGCTGGTCAGTCACATTTATGTCAAATCCAGGGGGCTGCAATTAAAGCATACAATCAAGAGTCTATTATCCTTGCTTGAAATCCACACTTGTTACTTTTCTTAACTTTAATTGTTTCAGGACTATTGGGTAAAATCATTCATCAAGAATACAAGGAGGCGATTTAATTATTCCACAGCAACATGAGCACAACATAGACAGCAGAATGTGAGCAAGCATTCTTATGCAATGATTAAAGTATCTGCATATGTACCTGAGGTTGACAATCTGGAGAGCAAGTGAACTAGTAAGCTCTTACAAGACTACCAAATGATTATGAAACTAAACGTACAAAAAAGACAGCTTCCTTACTTAGTGACAATGCTAGGAGTAACTCTTTGACTTACCAGCTCAAGCTCCACAAAGGTTTTTAGGAAAAATCCAGTGATAATGAGACCAAAAGTACTGCCAACAAAGGTTGCGCAATATATCAAACCCATGTAGACTGGAGAATGACTTGGATCGACATTTTCGTCAATATACGAAACACCGAGAGTCAATAGCGGTGTGGCACCGACCCCAAGTATCATCTGTGCCACCGAGAACAGAATAAGGTACAGGCCACTATTTGTTATTGCCGTATCTTTGATACAATAGTCAGTCGTTGTGTTTGATATCATGCATGTTTGATTGTGACTCAATGCTAAATTGGCACCTGGTGGCACATATTCACCAGAAATGAACTTCGGTAGGGCTGTGCAAATAGCACCCAATGCTGAAAGTGAAAAAAATATTTCAACTACCAATAGTGAAGCAGGTTTATAGTGGGTGGACACTTTTTACATTATTATAAAGAAATTCCTAAAAAAAATTTTTTGGAAAAAATTAATGGTGTTATAGTATTGGCAAATAAAAACGGCTGTAGCATCTTTCAGTGCTACAGGGCTTCATCTCTTTGTTATATGAAGCCATATGAAGGCATATTTTGCTCCATTAACTCTACTGTAATGTTGCTTCGTAGCTACAGCTACTTATTCTGCGCAGCATCATTTTGCACTCTCCCCAATCCCTTAACAAAACAAGAAAACAAGTCTGAAATGAGATTACGTTGGTACTTTGTAGTTCTAATATCGATTTTGTTATGCTCCTGTTCTAAACGCGGTTGTTCTTCTGCCTTATACTTCCCAAACCACGTGATGACAGTATTTAGTTTGAAATGAATTCAAGGCACACGAGTAACTCTCAAGTTGGGACAAAGGCGTATATGTAGATTTCCTGTATTGTTTTTTTCTCAGGGACATGAATCCAGAAAAAGCCTAGATGTGTTACTTGAACAATGTATGAAACGTGTCAAATTGCCTCGTTTTATAAACTGCAGATGAAAATGTTGAAATAGGCCGGGACTGTTAAAAGTTCTATAAAAAAAATGTAGCTAAACAATTTCCATGTTTCTGCAATTATCCGATAAATGGAGTCATCTGATTTCAAAATTGATTTCTTATCAGCACAAGTGACAAGGAAAATTGTGCCGTTTACATATGATACAAGAATATTTTTTGCAAGAAGGATGTGGGTGGGTAAATTTTTCAAAGGAAGCACATAAAGAGGGTGTGACTTATAATGGAAATGAAAGATCCCTTGTTTTGTTTTAGTAAAGGTTTGAGTGTATAAAAACTTTCAGAGCACAACAAGCATCAGTCAGGAGCTCAGCTGGATATATATTTGTGTGTTGGAACATTTCTGACTTCCAAACAGGGCTAGTCCCCTAGTCACTGCACCTCTGTCGCCAAGGGTAATAGGAATTCTAGGTTGGTTTGAAGGCCTAGCACAAAGACGTATTATCCAACGGATGGCTGAATTGTGAAAAAATAAAAACGATGAAGGTAATTATCCATAATGTTTCTAACCCTTTCAAAAGCTTCTACATCAAGTAATATGGTAATAGCATGTCGAAATCGAAGTAATAAAAAGCAGACAAACCACATAAAAGTGATCCAAAACCTATCCATTTTGGTTTATTGCCCCTCTCCCCATAAAATGACACCACCGGTACTGTCAAAAGTGCTGCAATATCGTTTGAAACCAAAATAAAACCTGCCTGTGTGCTGGAAAAGCCGAACTGTTTTTCAATGTCACGGAGTGAAGCAGTTAGCATACCACTTGTAGCCATACCTGGAGAGTAATTGATACCAGAATTCAGATTTAGTAAAAATAAATTTGTTTGACAATGTTTGGAGGAACCTCTATCCATTGTTAGTTAAGTTAGCTGGCTTAGGTAGCTAGTTAGTTGATTAATTAGCAAGCTATTTAGTTAATTTAGTTAATTAGTTAATTAGTTATTTAGTTATTTAGTTACTTAGTTATCTAGTTATCTAGTTAGTTAGTTAGTTGGTTAGTTAGTTGTTTAGTTGATAAGTTAGTTAGTTGGTTAGTTGATAAGTTAGTTAGTTGGTTAGTTAGTTGATTACTTAGTTGGTAAATTAGCTAGTTAGCTAGTTAGTTAGTTAGTTAGTTAGTTAGTTAGTTAGTTAGTTAGTTAGTTACTTAGTTAGTTAGTTAGTTAGTCAGTTAGTTAGTTAGTTACTTAGTTAGTTAGTTAGTTAGTAAGTTAGTAAGTTAGTTAGTTAGTTAGTTAGTTAGTTAGTTAGTTAGTTAGTTAGTTAGTTAGTTAGTTAGTTAGTTAGTTAGTTAGTTAGTTAGTTAGTTAGTTAGTAATTCAGTAAGTTAGTTAGACAGTTATATGTTTAGTTACTTCTAGCTGCTGTAGGGATGATACATCTTCAAACGTGCAGATAAACTTATAAGATTGCTTTGAACAGGTTGCTCAAATTCCAGTCTTGGCCCAAAAAATTCCTGAACAAATAAAAAAGCCTGCCAGGATTTGTGGATTTTAAAAGAGCTTCTAAAAAGCAGTTAACAATTACAAAGATTAAAATGTGGTCTCCATACTTACTCTGACAGAATATAACTACGAATAAAACAAAACAAAACGATTTTGGTCCAGCAAATCTCAGCAAAAAACTGAGCTTCCATTCTGCAAGGCCATTCGGTGTGTCCTTCATTGTTTCTTTCTCGCTCTTTTCCACTTCTTTAGCTTTCCCGGTTTCCATGTTTGCACCTAGAAACAGAGAGGGCATTTTTGTTGCTTTAGAAATATTCACATGACCATCGTTGATATGTATACACACAAAATATCAATTATGATACGACAACACTTCCGTGGCACATGAATATGCAGCTTGTGCAGAAAACGTGAACAAAATTCCCGTTTAATCCAACTGCTGCAAAAATAGCGTGATTGTTGACACAAGATAATGCAGCTGGATGAAAAGGCTATCTACCATTGAAAACACCCAAAAACTCTCCTGGGCCACACCCTTCTTATTCTCACTGAATGCGACAAATGACTTAAAGCATACTTTCAAGACAATATCAAATGAACTCATTTTTCATTATGATTCAAAAGTCAATAATAAAAATATCAATCATTTCTTAAGAGTTTCTTAATTTCAATCTCATTAATTTTACCATGTAAGGCCCAATGTATAAGTTATGATGCGAAGGTTTCGTTTCACGCTTTAATATTCTATTGAAGTTGGTTTTAAAGATTTCGTGATAATTGCTAAGATTTTCATTTTTTGCGTCTTAGGTTTTTTGTAAACAAGCCAGTAACGTTTTGTAACAAATAACAAAATTTTGGAGCTCTGCTTTTCTTCAAAATTTAATTCAATTGAGTACTTTTTTTAACTTTTTCGGTATGTCAAGTACTCGTTTCTTAAGTTTCTTAGTTACTTAGCAAGTTACTTATACAAGAAAATGAGCTGAAACGCATCTCAGTAGACATCGTCTTAAAGGCTTCACAGAATTAGATAGACGTACCCCGTAAAGAAGCTTCTTTATGTAACATTTTTAGGAAGCTTTTGTATTCTATAATTTTGAACCGTAATTTACTGTATTGCCGCTGCAGTGTGGTGATGGATAATGCTAAAATTATCGTGGGATTATAGCCAACTCGTCAGTTATGTATACTTTAATCCTTTTCTAAATGCCGACACTATGATGGTTGACTTTCTTAGTTCATGATTATCCCTGTACAGTCAATATTTTATCGTAAACGGATTGTCTGAAAAAAGTAGATATGGACTTTAAAAATGCTTTGTTTTGGCCTTTATTTTTATACAAATTACGTTTAATATTCTACAATACCATAATCTAATTCTTGATTGTTTGAGATAGCTGCAAAACAGGCTATGGGCATGGGCTCCGACGCAGGTTGGAAAGTGGAGGGGCCAAGAGAAAATATGGCAATAATAACAAAAGACTTTGAAAAAAGCTCTATAGTTTTGCAAAAAAGTGAGGGGGCCATGGCCCCCCGGTCCCCCGGCCCCCCCTTCGTCGGAGGCCCTGATGGGCTTAAATCTTTTACATGTATGAAAATGCCAAAGCTCCTGGTTGGTTTTGATCTATTCCCACAACCCTTTTGATCCTCCAGGTTACAACAGTAGAGGGCAGGCGGGACTTCTCGGACACTTGTATCTAGGGGGAGTTGGTGTCAGAGCAACTTTGGGTGTCATTATTTTTAGGAGGAAGATGTTATTCATGCGGACTGTATAGACCAATGCTAAGAAGCAACTCGGAGACTGATGATTGAATGAAGCAACTAACACCATTCCCTGAACTCTCCTTGAGCCAGAGCCCAGAACATTTTACTTTTACTTTGTCATAGTCTTCTACTGGGATCACCCCAATAGTTACTTTATAATCCTTAATAAATATTAAAATAGATTCAGTCTACAAGAAATCCGTGAAGAAATCAGACTGGAAATCTGGGTATAAATGCACGTTGACGCTTTGCAGTAGATTTTCGGCTACTTTAAGCCTCGGCTTAATCATGTAAAAACCCAGTAAGCCAGCCACTGACGTTTCACGCCTTCCGGTAATGGAATACACCAATTGCATATCCGCGGCCTCATATCCACGCGGAGGACTGGGCCGAGTTTTTGGGTGAAAAATTTCACCCACAACAAGCGTACCGTTGTGTAAGGAGTGTCTTGTTGATGGTGATCGCTGGTGTCTGGGAGATTTCTCGAGTCCTGATTGTTCTATTTTCGTTGTTTATCTCCAGTAGTGCAGTCTGTAATAAGGGGAGGATAAATTTTCAAAGCTCCAGCAAATACCTGTCTTAACTCTAGTTGTCTGTCTAGCAACACGAAAGATGGTGAATGGAAATTGTGCAGTTATTGGTTGTACGAACAGTCGATACAAACTAAAAAATTGGGAGAAAAGTAGCTGCGATGAACACTCAGGACAACCACACAAAGATTGTCCTTGTGCTCGCCCATTTACACTACATGTTTTTCCGAGCAGTAAGCTAAATTTGGAGAAGAGAAAGGAGTGGACAAGACTAATGCGCCGAACAAGAAAGGGGAACAAAGAGTGGACTCCTGGCCAGAGCGACATGGTTTGTTCACGACATTTCGTTGACGGGCGACCAACTCTGGCTAACCCTAACCCTTCTTTAGATTTGGGTTATGACAAACCAGCAAAAATACCAAGAAGAACCTTAGTGAGAAGAGCTGCGGAGCCTCAACCAAGTTCTTCAACTGCTTGTGTTGCCGATGATGATGAACACAATAGGCCAAGGTCAGACCACGAGATCTTCAATGTCCTAGAAAGTCCTTGCAATGAGGAGGGTTGCCAACCTTATGACTCAGGAACACCCTCGGTCAAGGAATTAATGGGAAAAATTTCAGCCATCACTAAAGAAAACAACGACCTCAAAGTGGCTGTTGATAAGCTTTCTAGTGAGCTTGAATCTTGCACTTTGGAGAAAAGGCAGGCCAAGTCGCTGGGAATGTCAGCAGATTGCATTAAAATAGATAGAAAGATGAAGTTTTTTACTGGCATTCAGACTGTAAAGATGTTTCATGCACTGTTTTCAGTTTTAAAGCCATATATGCCAAATTTGGTTCTTTGGAGAAGATCAAAAACCATATTTTCTCACAAAGCCAAAACACATGGACAGAAAAGAACAAAAACACATAAACTGACAAAGAAAGATCAATTTTTGCTTGTATTGATGCGTTTAAGGCTTGGCTCACTACTTGATGATTTGGCAGATAGATTTAAGATATCTTCCTCAAGCTGCTCAAGAATATTTTGCACATGGATTCGATTTTTGAGCACTGTGTTAGGAGGTGCATTAATTTCATGGCTTCCAAGTGAAGTAATACAGACAAATTTGCCTCATGCTTTCAATGGAGCTCACAGCAAGACAAGATGCATCATTGACTGCACAGAGATTTATATTGAAAGACCAAAATCACTTGATGACCAGGCAGCAACCTGGTCAGATTATAAGAAACATAACACAATAAAATATTTGATTGGAATTACTCCATCTGGATTTATTTCCTTTGTCTCTAATGGTTATGGGGGAAGGGCTACTGACCAACACATATGTAGAGACAGTGGATTTTATAATTTGCTAGAGTATGGCAATGAGATTATGGCAGATCGAGGTTTTCAGATAAGAGATGATCTGCTTCATTTCTACTGTACTTTGTATGTCCCACCTGGAGCAAGGGTCAAGTCTCAGATGACAGAAAGGGAATGCAAAAAAACTAAAGAGATTGCCAACTTAAGAATCCATGTTGAGAGAGCAATCAACCGAATAAAAACTTTCAGGATTTTAAAGAACACTCTACCACTTACAGTACTTCCATTTGCTGATGATATTATGAGAACATGTGCTGCAATTTGTAATATTCAGCCACCTCTAATTAAAGCTTAATCAACATGATTAACAGTGGAAAGACTTAATTTTGTGTTTTTTTAAGTATAATTAGCAACTAAATACTCATTTTGATTTGAATTTTAACTAGATTACAAATAAACTCATTTATTTTTGTAACACATATGGAATATATTTTGACAGATAGAACTCTTTCAGTAATAATTGTGTTTCACTCCAAAAGCCCCTATTAAAATAAAGTTTTTCTGTGAAATTTCCATGTGAAGTCCAAACAAAAAAGTAGGTTCTTGTCATTTCTGTAGCAGCCATTTGTACTTGGCACTGGGTAAAGTACTTGTGCTTCCTGTTCAGCATGACTGTGGAGTCCTCATTCAGCATCAAATATGGCAAGCGTACATTGGGATCAGTTGGGCTAGTATGGGAGATTGAAAAGGGGCACTTTACTTCAAGGCATGACTCTCCACAACAGTCACATACAATTATTCTATCAGGACTAGCTCCAACAAAGGGGACATCTTTGCATAGGAAAAGACCACAATCCAATATTTTTGCATTGTTGTGCTCTTTTGAGTATGTGGAAAAGAATGCTGCCACGGCTTCTGCTTCCATTGCTCGGCCATACTTAATTGCAGGCAAATCCATGTTTAAATGTGTTTTCCCAGATACTTTATCTATGACTGAAATAAAATCTGTTTCCTCAAAATTTCTTTTGTGAGTGACCATCCTACTCATTACATCGTGAGCTTTTGAAGCTGTTATACAGTGCTTCCTAGCTGAAAACCAAAAAGCATTGTCACTTTGTCCTCTTGTTGCTTTTTCAATTTCCTCCTTATGGTCCGCAAAATATTCCAATTTGGAAATAAATTCATTTAAATTTTTTACGCTAGCTAGGACATCATCAAATGTTGAAAGCAAATTCCCTGTCATATTTGCATTGGCTAGTTTGTCTTCTTTAAGTTCTGAAGTGAAAATGATTGAATCTTTTTCCTCACAGACAGATCTCAAGGCTGTTGTAACATCAGCTAATGTCAGGGAATTTTCAAAGTTAATTATTGGCTTATAATTTTTCTTTGGAGATGAATTTAGTTTCTTCAAAGTTTGCCCCCTTCTGCCAAAATTTCCCCGAACAAGCTTCAAGTCTTTGACTTTCACCGGTTTCACATCTTTAGCATTTGGAAGCCACTCACAGGGTTTTGAAGTGGATGCTGGGTTGGAAAGTCCCATTCTTACAGCCGCCTCAATCCTGAATAATGCAGCTGCTACATGGTTACATGTTTGACCCATTCCAGCCATGCATGAGCAATGTGCAGCCATAATGCACCCTGTAGCTTTCTCTAGACAAACCCACAACTTATGTGGCACGTCAGAAAGCTTTTGTGAGGGTCTACATGTTGTTTTTAGTAAACAAAGTGGGCTATCATCAGAAATTTTGTGGAAGCTGAGTGGCTTTAACCATCCTTCTTCATAGTAGTTGTACCCTTTTGACGTTTTATATTGTGATAAATCCTTGCTTGAAAGCTCACTTGGATGAAAAGCCAAGAAGTGGAATATATCGGGGTACAGTGTGCTTGGCCAATCTTTCACCCCTTCCTTTTCACAAATCCACCCCTCATCTAGCTTCAAGGGATCTGGAATAACATGATTTCCAAGATCGTCCGAAACAAAAATATTGAGTTTGCTGCTATATTGTTTCCCAAGAGCAGCTTCAACTTCTTCAGCAGTTTGCACAACCTGCACATTATTTTCGATAGCAACAAAGGCTCTTGCGACAAGTTCTTCCTTTTTCCCGCTGACTTTCAATCCACGAAGGCGGAGAAAGTTCTTCAGTTCTTCAACCTTCATCTTTGAAAGTAAATCAAAATCCATCGTCACTTCTGGAAACTGATGTGGGCCTAAACCTCCAATAAGAGTTAGGACAAGTAATTGCTAGAGTCTTGAAAAAATTTTGTTCCTGTTGGTGAGGTAAATTGTCGAAAATATAACAAAAACACGAAAAATTTCCCAGCCACCAGCGATCACCATCAACAAAACACCCTGAACTCAACGGCACGCTTGTTGTGGGTGAAATTTTTCACCCAAAAACTCGGCCCAGTTCTCCGCGTGGATATGAGGCCGCGGATATGCAATTGGTGTATTTCGCAGATGCTCAGATACAACTTGATCAAGTTTCCTTCGCGGAAGAATGCTCAAACCCCCTTGCAGCTTGTTTTTGATGGTTTTGTACTGCTCTTTCCAATTAGGACTTTCGTCGATGTGGTCCCTAAGTATTTTCTCTTGTCAAAACTTTTGATAACTTCATTATTGAGGAAAAGATCTGGCAAATCATTACTTACTTTGTTTAGTTGTCACCTATGGCCAATAGCCATATTAACTTTCGCTAGAATTCAAACTAAGTTTATTAATCTTCATCCAATTCGATATATTTTCCGGCTCGTTTTTCAAATCTGTTAGAAGTTCATTAAGGTTTTCTGATGCGCCATTCACACATAGGTATTAAAAACTATCCGGTACCCAATAGCGGCGCCGGGGATGACTGGGTGGGGCACTTCCCCCCAGTTCTCGGCAGGATCTATTTGTATTTCACCTAAATTCGATGAGAAAATGTTTGGGGGAGGGGTCATATCTTGGCAACTACTTTTTTGTGATGTAATCCTATGATTCTGAAACTGCCTTTATAAAACCAAAAGTTAGTAATGGGCGTTCCCTTCAAGTAAAATTGGCGTTCCTTATTGGAACGTTTTCTGGCGGTAAAAAGGACACGGCCTAAACATTTTGTTTTCTCCTTCTCTAAAGCTTTGTGACTAGCGCTGCCACTGCCGGTGTACTAAACGTTTCTGCACGGACATGCGTTTCTGCAGATGCATATGCGTTTCAAGTGTTACAGTGTAATGGCGGACATGCAGGGCCTAGCTGTGAATGGCGTGAAGCGCATATGCATTAGACTGGACACATAGATGTTTCAAAGGATGTGCGTCTCCTTTCAAAAATCTATCCATTTCCGTAAAGTTCAGAAATTTTATAATTTTAAAGATGCATTTGAACTGATGCAGGGAAGTTACATCTAAAAAATTGTATTATGATCTTTGAAGCCGAAATTGTTCTATTATAATTTTCCTGTTTTAAAGTTTGATAAAAGCCAGACAGATAGCGTTAGCTGTAACCAAGGAACAGCCAGCAACAGATGTTATCCGAGCCAATTTATTGTAAACTTGAGAAAACAAATGTTGAGTGCTTTGCGGTTTAAGGTCAAACGACCGAGTAAATAAACCTTGAGAAGAGATCATTTAGATTGCAAACTTAGATGTTTTCAAGTAAAAGGATATCTTAGTTTTTATAATGAAACATTCCTTTGCAAGTTAATGTACTTTGTGCAATCCTTCACATGTAAGGAAACAGCAAGCGACGTTTATGTACGATCGACTGTAAACTATCTAAGTGATCACCCGCATTTAGAGTTTAGCGACCTTTAGAGTACAAGAGCGCTTGAGTTATGAACGGTGTTTATGCTTGAAGAACAAGAAAGAACTAATAATATATGTTAGGTTTGCTAAGCGAAGGACTACAGCAGAATGGCGAATTACTAATAAAAGCGGATATTAACTAAACTAAGTCTAACTAAACACGGGGCTACCCTACAAAATTAGCGCCTAAAGATTTACTTGCGCAGATACCTCGAGCCTTAAAACCGACCTCCAATTAGATATTTTTTTCGCGCAAGCTGCAACCACGCGCATGCGTAGTTTGAGATCGCTTCGATCGCACAGAAAAAATTTCGCTCGCGAGCAAACTGCGTGAAACCAATAGGATAAGAGCAGAGGTGTATTGCTTGGGTAACAGGGAGCTGAGCCCCTTTGTAAACAGGATCTTCACTATAAGGGGCACTAAGGGTGTGACGCTCTCCTCAGAAAAAATTCTGTTTCAAATACGAGGTCATTTCTGCCATCTAGGGTGCTTAGTTGGCAAATTTTCAAACTTTTCGGCAAATAGAATATGGCTCATCCACTTTGTCGGTAAATGGGACCTGGAAACCACCTTTGGGCACCATGGCTAAAGCTTGCCAAGAGCCTGCTTTTAAATGCCAAAAGTTGCCCATTTTTTTCCTTTTTACTATTGTTTTTGATAAATTTTTTGCAAGAGACCCCTTTTTTCAAAGCACAAAAATTTATGTAGACGAAGCTATAGGTATGTAATTTCACCAAAGTTCAAGTACAGCGAAATATGTGGCATACGTATTTTAAGTGTAAGAAGGAAGAACCGCAGGATAGGCTGTCAGCCGGATTCTGTGAATCTTGCAATGAGTGTTGTTATAGAAGATATACAGGAACAAAGCAATACGACGACGAGAATCCAATGTCACGAGATAAAATTTTCAAAATAAATTAAATTTAAAGAATATACTAATATTTCGCCCCGGCATACAGGGCTTCATCAGAGCTACATACGTATTTTAGTTTTTGAATAAAAATATCGAAAATTATTGAGAAATAGACCCTTTTCAATGTTTTTCTGTTCTGCCTTCTCCTAGCTTGTTGATGCGAGCCTTAGCCCCTCGGCCTCGATCAAAGGAATAAAATATGTTAAAGATGACATGTTGCAGTTTCTATGCGACCGAAGCGAAGGAACGCAATATGACCAAAATAACTGTTGCAGATAAGAAAGAGTATACTAGAAAACGAATTGTTGTGTTCTAAATTCAATTTAATTGCTAGCAACAAGAATCGGTTTGCATCAGTAAACTTTTCCATAATGAAAACGGTACATAAAATATTGACGAAGCGGCACATAAAATATTGACGAAATGAGAATGACGACATTTTTTAGTGTTGAAATTATTGATGAATTTCGATGTATTGTTCAGCCTGACATCCTCCCCCCCCCCCCTTCGTTAAGAATGAAATCCTTCTCTTAAGAAAACTTCACCTTTTACACCTTTTGAGCAAACTTTATTGCTGCATATGTTTATCGGGGTAAATAATATAGGCACCCTTGTAAGCCTGATCTCCTGGTGGCACTTTAAATGGTATTGCCATTCCCGCCATTGCACAATAACACAACACAGAAAGAGCGAGGCATTCTTTGAACGGGAAATTTCCGATTTATTAAAATGAATGCAGCAACAACAAAAATATATCGGAACAGGCTTGAATTTCATTGCACCATTCGCCGTAAAATATAGCAGTTAAGCGCAAATGCATACTGCCAAAGTTGTAAACAAAATCAGTACCACGTTTAATCCCACAGCTTGTTGCAAAATAATTGCTTTTATTTACTTACGCTTATCCTGACAAGACCTTCGATGCGAAGTCAACAAGTCCCTTTTTAGTTGCTTTCATGCAACGAAACTTCTTCCCTCGATTGCTGTCCAAACAAGAAAGGTGGTATCCTTACCAATTACTGTCTGTGGATAAACCAAGCTATGTAAAGAAATAAAGCTTTGGCAAATGTTTGTTTAGGTGCACAGCGCCTCTGTATTGTGGCTGCGCAATCTGTCGCTACAGATTTGCAGGTCTGGGCGTCATTTCAACACCAATTTTGTGACAATTTGAGTCAAGGTTCAAGTTTCAGCATCTCACTTTGGCACTGTTGTCCATTCTGTACCAGATGCAAAAAAACATCCAATCGATCGAGTATTCTGTGGCAAGAAGTTTGGGGCAAAAAAAATAGTCAACCCTTTCAATCGATGAGACGGTGTGGTACTCATCTTTCCCAGTGAGAAAGCTACAGTTGAAAAATTCAAGATTCGCTGCAAAAAAGTAGCACCGTGCTTCCCACAGCTCTTGTTCATCGCTTATAAGTTCGATTAATCCCATTCTTACAAACTACTTCCCATCTCAGGCCAGATCCCAGAAGCAAACACGTAAGGTATTAAACGAAAACAGATATATAACAAATAGATATATTTGGAATAAATCAAGCTCACGGAGGAATTATAATTATGTCAACTTTTCAAAAAATCATTTTGAAAAACTGTAGCCAGAGGGGGCAAGTTGTTGTCAATATTTTCATTTAGGGCTCCCCGTGCCCCTGTGCCCCTGTGCCCCTGTGCCCCCGTGCCCCCTGGAGATACGTGGCTGCTCCTTGTTGATACAAGCATCCAGGAACCGCAGAAGTGGGGGAGGGCTATGGGGGCTTTAGCCCCCCTTATAAATTCCAAAATATACTTAAAAACCTAAAAAAATCGCCCATGCTTTGGTTTTAAGCATGTTTTAGCCCCCTCAATTTTGTAATATGCTTTGCGGTCCTTGCAAGTAACTGCTTTTGCACTTGCCCACGAGGGGCAATTCACTCTTGCAAAAAGTGTACTATTGCAGATAATGACAACAGAGGTTTTTCATTCGGTTTGAGGATAAAGAAGATGAAGATAAAGAAAGAAGGTAAGAAGATAAATAAAGTAAAATCTTGGCGTTATTTTGTTACTACCGACTACCAAAAAATGATTTTACCGAATGAAAGCAGGGTTTGGCGAAGAGCACAGAAATATCAGCGACGGGGTGTGTCGCACCCCTACACCACTCCACTAAATCCACCCCTGCTTACAGGGCTGCTAAAAGGGGGGTTAGGAGGCAAATTGCCCAAGGGCCTCAAAGTCTGAGGGGCCTCACAATGTAACGAATACAATTTTAAGAATGGGATTAATCAAACGTTGCAAAAGTATGCCTAGAAATAGTACAACGTTTGAAAGATTGCATTAAGTGAACTTTTTGAAATTCATTTTAAGCGAATCTGGAGGTCGTAGTCCTAACGTTTTCTCCTCGCTCAGCTCGCAAGGGGCTGCCTTTTGCCTTTTGCCACAAGGCCTCTCAGCGGCCCTGCTTGCATACGCCCCTCATGGTCCTTTGTTCTTTTCGTCACCTACGTTTGTTCAAGGAAGGGCCTCGTCTCCCCTTTTTTGCAAAATATATAGCATTTTTAAAAATCTTCTATTAGAAGTACTGTATTTAACCTGCACTTTCCCACGCCCACCAATTTCCAACATGTGATTCACTTCAGTTCATGCGATTCACTTCAATTCAATAATTGTAAACGACCTCTTTTGGATGCTTGAAACAACCTTGGTAATGGCGACAAAAATACTGTAGAAAAAGAAGACTGGAAATGTCTGGTCCAGCTGCATCAGATGAAGTCTCGTTGAATATATTTAGATTTTGTTTAAAGTTTTAAACAGCCACATATTTGACCGAAATCTACATTTTCCAATATGCCAGGTAGGCTGTTTGTTTCCATGTTTGTTCCCGTATACACAGTGGCTCGAAAAACCCAGCAAAAGACGAACTAGCCATTCATCTATAGCATAGACTATCCACCTGTCAAAAAGTTTCCCAAACTTATTTTTTTGGTTCTCGATAAAGAGAATAGTTTGATGTTTTCTGATCTGATGATCTCGCTCACTTGAAAGCTATTGGGTAAACCTAAATTGAACTCCAGTTGTATCTATGAAAATGGCCTTCTCGTGCACGTTACATAACATATGCAAAAAGCAATTCGTTTTTATAAGCAAATTTTATCCTTTCATTTGAAAAAAACAAAGCCTGGTATTCTTCAACCTCTCACATTCTAGCACTCTTTACTAGAAAACGGGCAGAGAGCGGGCCACTGTCAGATCCCTCTTTCTCACTTGAGTGAGAAATTCGGTGGATTGAAATGGAAAGCTGCTGTCAGTACTGGTTTCCTTTATAAACTTATATTGAGCAGTTACAGTAACTGGCACAAAGATGTCTCAATGGTCAGGGTCCAGACTAGAGACCTGACCTATTGTTCGAATCACTGACATGACCAAACTTTCACTTAAAGGCTTTTGTGCAACTGGCATGCTTAGCAACAACTATCTTGAGAAATTGACTGTGTTTTGTGTTTTCATTTTGTATGGTATTAGGCTGGTTTTGGAATTGTTATCACAAAGCATGCCGGTGGTGCAGGAGCCTTTAAGGCCAGTTTCCACTTCAACTAAAGAAGTCAAATAAATTGATCAATTTCACAAGTGCGCAGATAGCATACTGCAGACTCCCCCTCAACCGCTATTGATCAAATTTGATCAATTGAAAAGTTCAAACAAGCAAAATTAAGACATTTTCTTCCAAATATCATTTGTATATTCCTATATGCAATTAAAGCATCTTTCTTATAGGTTATTCACAGTTTACTAATGTAGTTTATGTTCTATTTTACCTTCTTCTGTTTTTTCATTTAGGCATAATCAAAGTGAGGTTATTAGGGGCAAGAGACTTGCCGGTCATGGACAGAGCAAGTGATCTCACAGATGCATTTGTTGAGGTAACGTTGCTTAATTTCCTTTATTGAAAATGGAAAGAGTATTCTAGTTCACTGTTTGGGGCAGTTTTCTAATCTCTTCTCCATCATATCTATTTAAGGCTCTTGCCCAACCAGTATGCTTTGCCATAACAAGTTTTTTATGTACAGTATTTGTTATGTTCATGAAGTACATTATTAGGCCTGTTTTGAATATATAGGCTGGTTGTTCAAGAGCCTTTAACTCAACAAAGGCTCAAGACAGTTCCTGCATGGATTAGTGTAACACATTGTTTATAATTATGTAAGTAAGTAAGTTGATAATAAAGACTCAATGTAAGTTAATCATTATTTAAATGTGTGGATCTTTCTCAAGAATCATAATATATTGCCAATTAACTAAAAGTTGCTGCTCTAAGATTTATTTTGCCTCTATGAAACATGCAAGCTCATGAAATTTCACACAGGTTTCCTGTTTCAAGTTAACTCAGGTGTCTGATATAGTGACAACATGCATAGGAAGTCTCTTTCATTTAATCTATTTCTTATACATGCCATATTTCTAGGTAGTTTACACTGTCTTTTAATTGACATAGTTGCTTGTATGCTTGAAGTAGTCAACCCTAAAGTTGGCTAAAACTGACAGCTCAGATCTGTGTGTTGCTCTCAATCCATCGAATGCTGGCACTGGTGGCAGAGGTGTGGCTGGAACCAATGCCTTCAGAGAGAATAGAAATCCTTGGAAAGAGAATTTTTGGTTTTTTAAAAAACTTCAACAAAATGAATGTGACCATGCAGATAAAAAATGTTGAAGTTTGAAGCCTTGCTGAAAAATTGTAGAAAATATTTCAGTGAAGACCTTTTTCAATGAAGCTCAACTTTAGAAGTATGTTTGTATGAAAGGGACACAAATAATATAATGTGATGTAAATTTCTGATACAAATCTAGGTAAGGCATGGAACAACCATCCACAGGACAGATGTTTGCCGCAAATCACTCAACCCAACATGGAATTCAGAATGGCTTCGTTTTGAGGTAAAAATTAATTGCATCATTGAAAATAATTTCAATTTAAGGTTACTGTAAACGTTTTCTGGATGAAAACATAATTTTTTCGATTTTTTCACATTTTTTCACATTTCAAGTAGCCGAACTTTGAAGGCACACAATGATACCAAATTTGAAACAAACAGAAATTTTGAAAGTGGAAAAAATCCCATGTAAACGAAGGTCTCCATAATTTCTTTATCAAAATTTTTAGTTGAGGCCTGAAAATCTCTTGACCTGTTAAGCTGATTATCGTTGCTTTGCGGTTGGGTTCAGATGTCTCATTTACAATATCGCATGGCACATCCATATTTCCAATGTAGGGCCGTGTTTATTCAAACAGGCTTATTGATCTTAAATCTTCAAGTGACTTGACCCGGATTACACTGTGGTTTATGAGTGTATCTTGCAAGTGCAATCAGTAAAATCCCGTTTTCTCCGGACTCAAAATTCCTTTACATGCAGGTACGAAAAAGCTATTATGTACCCAAGGAACCAATCAAATGGCTCGAAAATTTGCACAAAGCCAGGGCAGACGTTGGGCAAACAAAGTGTGTCTCAAAATTTTTTTATTTTCTCTGGTCCGTCTTTTATACCCAAATAAAGCTGTGGGAGGGTGGAAAAATTATTTGCCAATTTTTGACAGGGTATAGTTTCAAGAAGAGGAGGAATTTAAAAAATCTGAGACACACTTTGGTAGCTTAGGACCTGCACTTCCTGCTGGTCTAAGTCAGATTTTGTTACCTCAAACGCAAGGGTACATAATAGCTTTTGAAGTGGTACATATTTTGACCAGTAAATTCGCATGGAAAATAACATTTAACATTATTTGCCAATAATTTTTATCTGGCTAGATACACCATAATATTGTGCATCGAATGATATATAGTTTATCCAGATTCCTTGAGCCGTTTGGCCTTTAGGAAGGAAAAACCAATTTTCGTGTTCAAAACATTTACCGTAACCTTAATTGCATGAGCATTTGTTTACAACAAGTTGTTTTCTGTTTTTATTTTCTGCCTTGTCTTATCAAATTTCTTAAAATTTGTCCTTAAAAATCATTAATTCTGCGTAGGCTCACAGTTTAATTTTTGTCGACCTTGAATTGTGCCCATTTCATACAAAGGCACTAAAGTGGGCTTTCCATATTGAGCCAAATCTATTTGCATGTTAAAAACAAATCACACAACCCTCATCTACATTTGATCATACTTTGCAGGATGTTAAAAATTCTTCCAGTCATATAGAAAGAGATGAAGTTGATTTGAATTAACCTTTAAATTCTATCACTAGGCTGATGATGAACAATTACAGGACGAGCCATTGCAAGTCAAGTAAGTTTTGTTGAGTTGCAAGTAGAATGTAGAATTTTGTCTTTGTGCATTTTCTTTCAATAATGAACAAACAATAGTTGAAATTTAATATATTCAATGTAACTTACTAAATTTTTATGTGATTACAAAATACAAGTTCCTTACTTCAAGTTTTTGATTTATAGAGTACTGGATTATGACATGTACTCAGCTCATGACACAATTGGAAAGGTGATTAGATATTTTATTCCTATTTGCTTTAACAAAAAATTTTGCAGCATATGATTTTCCAGGTAAATTTAACATAACATATGCTCATTGTCTACCAATAAATTGAAGAAAGAACATAATTTTGCAAGCCAAATTTCCTGAGTTTTGTTGTATTGTAATGTAGTAAAATATGTTTTATACATTGTTCTGTCAGGGACCTGTTCTATTGTTTCTTGCTACATATAAAACTGGCTAGTGTGTCTTATTCATTGCTAAAAAAGACAAGACATTTCTGCCAGGCCATTGTTCTTGCCCCCATCTTTTAATTAGCTTCCAGTCCGGTTTGTATTTTGAGGAAGGCCCATAAGGTTCACCTGCTTTTTAGAAGATGCCATCATTTCAACAATCTTCAGTAAAATTTCAGCATTTAACAACTATTTTTGTTAGTGTACTACATGAAATATTCAGAATTAATCTGAAGAAAAAGTTTAAAACATATGAATGATATTTTCTTTGTTATGATATTCTCGTAATATCAGTATACATTAACCACTGGGAGATGGCACTTGATGTGAACGGAAGCTTAATCTTCTGTCCACAGGTCATGATTGGATTGTCATCGCTGATCTTGAGGAATGGCACAAATGAAATGAGAGGATGGTTTCCAATCTACGATACCCTTCATGGTGACTATCTTTCCAATGTTGAACAAATGTGCAGTCTTTTTTCATAGAAACATCAGGAATAAATAGCTATTTAAGAGTGCCGGATATCTTTACAAAACCTTTGTTTATTCTTAACAACAGCGAAAATCTAAAGTTAAATTTTAGCTTTCCTAACCAATACTGAAACCCGATCTTTACATTTTTTATGCATATATTTGCATTAGACATGACTCTCGACTTTGAAGTAGAGTCTCCATGCTTGAATTCTATTTTCGCTCAAAAATTCATGCAAAGTCTCCTATTCATTTTTAAAAGGCTTTTATTCACCAATAAATTGGCAAATATACCGTTCGTTGTTGATTACGTCTCCATTTCTTTTCAAACATGTTCCTTTATAAAGTGTTAAGTAAAATTCTCTTACTTCGAGTCACCTCTTGATTACTACGCCTATATACAATTTTTTTCTATGCCAGGCATACGTGGCTACATCCAAATATTTGTAAAAGTGGAGTTCTTTGTTGATGCAAACAAATATCGACAAACATCTTGCGGCATTCGGTTTTTTGCAAGTAAATATAATTTTAGTTCATTTTGAAGCTATTTTTAGAATCGAATAAAGTCTTTCGTTTACCGATTTTAACTCTTTTGTATAACAACTCAGACATTTACCTTTGTCGACAGAAATCAAAACGTATTCAAGTTTTTGATCTTCCGTTGGACTGAATTTTCTTAGGCTGCTGTTTTCGTAGCAAAAATTTGGCACCCAATTCTTGGAGAAGTTTCTCTAATCTCTTCTTATGCTAAGAAGAGTAGTGTAAACTGCAGGATCAGATACTGCGTACCCTCACTACTCTTATAGGTGCCTAGCCACAAACAGTTAAACTCCAACCTCCCCTCGACCTAATGTATTTCTGAAAGCTAAATATATAATATTAATTAGCTGAGCTTCATTGGAATAAACATTTGATCATTTAAGCGATTCAACTTATATGGTTTCATGTAAAATCTATCGGTAAAGCTTGCAAAGGCGTCAGCTTGTTAAATACGTTCACCGAGTAACATCTCAAATTCTTTTATTAATTTTACAAACCATCTGTATATATGACTCTTTTTCTCTAACAAAACCTGCATCCATTTCCTAAAAGATTTTAAGAATTATAGCAATGAAATACCGTATAGGCAGAGCTGTACATCCTATTTGGTGTATGTAACAGAATGGTTCTAAGTTGCTACTCTGAGTTTCACGCTTAATGTGACTTGATGCAATCATAAGGCAATTTTAAGAATTAAGGTAAGTATTTTATCGCCATGGTTGCCAGGCAAATACTAACGCCTTCGCAAGCTTTGCCTTTGATATTTTTTTCAAGAAAGTAATATTACAAGGTGATGTCTTTAAGTCGTCAACAATCTGGTCTCCTTTTTTCTAGAATTGCATTTAATCTTCTCTGTAGAATGTGTTATCTGATTTGACAACCATTCGTCACACCAAAACTTGTGTAGATTACCTTCAAACTAGACGTTAACCGTTACTTTGTGAAGTTACTGCAAAATCTGAAAGTTTGTTTTGGTCAGTAATTTAACGACTGCCTGGTTGGATTCGTAATGTATCTAATGCATTTTGTTGTATTCTAGCTCCTGCTGTGCCCTCTGGGTATACCGCGATAGCAGTGCAAGGATTTGTTGATGTTTTGGTTGTCAACGATGATCCGGAATACCAGGTAACGTGCCAAAAATTATGTATCAAGGTTGCTAGATAGAATTTACAAAAGAAAGGCTAGACGGACGACCAACTCAGGCCAAAATGCGATTAAAAAGGCCAAATAAAAAATTTCGCAAGAATACACTGCGCAAGCGTGGCATATATTTCCACGCAAGAACCTTTTAAAATAATTTCCATTTTTCTTAGGGGGCTCATGCCCATCAACTCTATGCTCGTGCCCTTCCAAAAATGATAGAAATATTTTTCCAACGAATAATCACCTATTTTTCAAACAATGCCCCCCCCCCTCCATAATTTTATCCTTACTACGGTATTGATTCAAGTGCTATTGTTGTGTTGGATTCCTGACTCGTTGAACTGAATTGAGTTTAATTGAATTGATCGTTTTATTTTTGCAGTGGATAGACAAGATAAGAACGCCGAGGGCTTCTAATGATGCACGAATCCGGTTGTTCTCTAAGCTTTCGGGTGAGGGTACAGTATATGATATGCTTTCAATGGTTTATTTAGGAAATAATGGTCTTATCTCAACAGGTTTATTCGCTTCAAGTGATATTTTTCGAAAATAAGAAGTAACGTTTTCGCCAGGACTGTTGATTTTTTGAAGATAAGTCAAGAGAGAAAGCTGGTAATGGCCCAACGAAGTACAATGCTGAATGTTAGACCAGGGCTACTATCTATTGAAGGAGATGTCCTCCGGTCCGGTATTTGAAGATTACTTGTGCATGGCTTTGATCTATGAAAGAAATCTTGGTAAAAATGCTTGTCTGTTAATGTTAAGATGTCTGTTAAAAGTAGTATCACTGTGTAATAGCTTACAGTGTTTCTGTATTGAAAATTGTTAAATCAGGGAATGTTGTGACAATTAAGATTTGTAAACGTTCCTTTGTAGGTGAGGTGAATCGCAGGTTGGGACTGAAAGTCATCGAAGCTGGGGGTAATGCCGTAATTGGGTAAGACAGATGCAAACATGATATTTTTAGGCATTCTTGTTTCGAATATATGTTGCTTATATGTTGCACATATGTTATATGTTGCCCGTCAAATTTGGTAATTTTTGATAAACAATAAACTTGTAGTAGGTGAAAGTGGCGTCATTGCTTTACCGTTTTCTTTCTTCCAAACTTAACGCACTGTGAAAACGTACTTAACTCACCTTTTTCGGCCGTGCTCTTACCTTTTCTTTCCTGTTACTTTTTTAAAGAGGGTGCACATAAATCGATTCTTCGTACGTTCAAGTTCAATATGTGTTTCTGTAATTTGTATCAAAAAGGGCGACAAAAATACTGCGCAAAAACATATTGGTTCTCAAAATCCCTTCCTCTCGCATGCTTTTCAGAAAAGACTATACTTTGCTCCTACCTTTTTGAGTTAAAAATCATAGTTTTTCAATCAACTGAAGTTTTTCCCACCTTTTGTGACCATAGGTACTGTCAATGCTTCGACATCGAGGGTGACACTGGCATTGTGGTGCGTGCAATTGGAACATCCGTAACGCTAATGAAACAAGAGGACGATTACTCGGCTATTGGGTCCTTAACTAACTCTCCGGATATCTCATCAAACCCTCTCACTCTAGGAAATGTTTCTACAGACCCGTAAGTAATTTTTTTTAAAATGCAAGTTGAAACTTTTTAGTTTTATATTTATCTTAGGATAGACTAGAAAGTTTCAAGTAACATTTTCCCGTCTTTTCTTAATCTCTGTCGTTTTAAATTGTCTTTTGCCCGTTTCATTAACTTGTTAATGGAATTTGGTCATTTTGAGGCAGAAGCAGTTATTTAACCTGAACGTGTCATGCATATTTCTTGTGTTGTAGCGAGTGAAAGAAGTGCAAATAAAGTATGAATATCATAAAATGAAGTAGTTGTCTACCAATGTAAATAAAATTTCTTCTTCAAGCTTCCAACTAAAGTGTCCACGTGACAAAAGTCAGAAGCTAATCTTGCATCGACAATCGACGAAATCAAGAACAGCTTCTGGTCGCTACGGGAGGACAATATCTACGTCATCAGATGGAAACGATACAATCAATGGTAAGTAACTGGTAAATAAACTTATTTTGTAAACCACTTGTGGTCACGGGCTAGCACATTTGGGTGGGGAAAATTTCCCAAGATGATAGACAGGATGCACTTGAATTCTTTAGGGAATTAGATGCACCCTAAAGTACAACCGTCTTTCTTTGTATGTCTTTGTAGCTAATATGTAATAAATTATATTTTTAGAGGAGCTAGAACTCTAGTGTTTTAAGGGTTCTAATGCAGATATTGCTTTTAGGATAGCGAAAAGTACTAATTGGGAGTTTAACTGACAATAATTAAGTTAAATTTTGTCTACAAAGTTTCTTGTATAGCTTTAATTCAGTCACATTTAAGACGTTATTTTCAAACATGTGAAAAGTCTTATTTTTGCTCGCTATTCAGAAGCATCGATGCTCTTGAATTCAAGTGGGGACAGCATTGACAACAGTCATATTCAGGACTTTCTGATGGTGAATTTGGCCAACACAGGGCAAAAAGTAAAGTCACTGGAAGAGATCGTAAGTTTTTTTCTCCTTTTAGTTTGTTAAACATTTTAATACAGATGTATGCAACAGATATAATTCGATGTCAGCAATGGCAAAACCAGCACCTTCCATCGCAAAAAGTAGTAGCAGTGTAGCAGTATCCTTCGAGATTTTCAAAGTCTTTAATTTTTTAGCAACTGGGTCTATTTGCAGGATCATCCAAGTAATTTCTCCAGGTATTGTAGCTTTTAACCGCTGCTGTGCCAGTAGGTTTGTGCGGTAGTTCTGTGTCCTAGAGCCACACTCGCTCAATATCATATTGACTCCCTTGATCAGCTGTAACACAGGTCTACGTAGGTGCCATATTTTCACCATTTTTCGTTACAGATAGAATATGATTTGCTAAGAAAGCACACTGTGAATAATTCTTCCTTGGTAAGATATTCCCTGGCTTTAATTTGACTAACTTTTTAAGTTGCATTTTTTATTAGGAATTCCCATTTTTTACAATAACGAAACTGCCGACTGGATTTGTTCTCCATGTTGGCGGTGTTGTGTCTTCGAAGTCTGTGAAACTGCTCGACAAGATCAATAACCCAGGTATCTACTCTTTGCAATATCTATTAATGGGAAATAGAACAATCTTTGTTTTTTCCTAGAAGGATTTGAGGTATTCAGATTAATTCATTTGACAAATAGTTCTTATTATCTTCTAGAGGTTTTTGTAGATTGTTTATTGGAGGAGGTGAGCGTCTGTAAGTCTTGAAAGGGATTGAAGGCGGATTTAAAGCACGTGGATAATTTTTGGTAGCTTTCTCGCCACGAAGTTATCTTATGGTTTTCACGTTGTGGCGAATATTAGCGTCATATTAATTTCAAACATGACCAGCTTATGCCGACTTTGGCCGTCAAAAACATTTGTACTTGGATTTAGTGAGAACTGGGGCAAAATTATTCGCCGCGAAAATATAATAACAGCTTTTCTTTAGCACAATGTTTCGCTGCAAAAGAAATGGCGACCGAACTGCAATTGCTTGGAATGCAATGGTCAGTTCTTCTCATGGCTGTTCTTCTTGATTCATCCCCGTCTATAAGCTGATTTAAAAAGCGTCTGTAGTAGTGATTTAAAGTCATCTCACGTATACTCTTGACTTCTAGCAGGGGGATTACCCGTTCACTGGAGTTTTAGCAGATGTTTATCTTGCATCATCTTTTCAAGTAACAATGATCGTGAGATGATTTTTTTTAAATTGTTTCTCGCATTAACAGACGACCCTGAAACACGAGAGGCCTGGTGGAATGAAATAAGAACCGAAATTCGATCACATGCGAAGGCTCTTGCTTGTCACGCTGTCATTGGCTACACTGAATACACTACCATATGGTAATTGGCATTTTTTACCCACCCTTGCTTATGCTCTTGGTTAAAAAAAAATTTTATTCTCCAGCATCAGAAATTGACTCGTTGAAGCCTAACTTTTTTATGCCACGGTGCTTACCAAAGTTTTTCTTTTTCTGGTGAGATATGCGGCATCTATACCACTCATTTGGCTACCTTTAAAACACGGAATGCGTACCCCATGATAAATTATTATTCATGTCCATCTTTTTAACACATCGCTCGAAATCGCCATATTTTCATAAACTTAAACAGTTCATTTAATTGAAGATTTTATAACTCAACTCCCTCCTTAACTCAGTTAATAAGAAAAATTGTCTTTTTTGCATCTTGCTATTGTGTTTGACATGCTGACCACTATTAGATGAGATTATCTTGATGTCTGTTAATAGGAAGCCCGCTTCAATTTTTCCCCCAGAAACCTCCATTATTCTACTAATTACGTAGCGAGTAATGTCCGGTAGATGGAAGAGGAAACACCTAGATGTGTATCGACGGTTTTTGACATTGTCTTTGTTTATTATCAGTGTTTTGCGTTATAGCGAAGCCAGAGAGAAGATGGCTTCTTTATAAAAGGCATGACTGTTTTCTTCATAACCGCCCTAGATTTTTTTAGTTAAATTTTGATAATATCGGCGTATTAAAACATTTCTAGAAGGTACTGATCAAGCCATTTTCTTCATTTTAAGTGACGATTTGGTGATCCTTTCTGCCTATGGAACAGCTGCTATTGTTCGACTTCCCAACACTCCCCCGTCAATCGAACCAGAATTGTTGGAGCCCACCGGTAATGCTTTTTACCCTGATAAAAAAGAAGGCCATTTTTACCATTTTTGCAGAGTTCTGTTAAGGTCCCTTTTTTGACATTATCATTTTCAATTCATGTGCAACAAATCTCAGCAAACATTAATGTTGTTTTGTTGAAACGGTAAGAGGCTATGGAGGAGCCAGTCAAACAATGTTTGCAATCATGATTTTTGTTACCGAATGCAATCTTAAGCAACTTGTTTTTTTAATAACTGCATTCAAGCACAAGTTTCAAGTTTCTATCAACTTATTTGCATGCAGGGTAAAGTTTAAGACTTTACTTTTTTAAAGAAAACACCGCTGTGTTAGATTTTCAAGGGATAAAGATCAATGGTAGGAAGTTGTCAGAAGGTGAAGACGACGAAGAGGAGACAGTGTTAAAGTAAGCATTCAATATTTTGTAGCAAATAAAAAACACCGCAATACGCCGAGAATAAACAACAATAAATACACGTAAATCAGTACTGATCAACGTGTATTTATTGTTGTTTATTCTCGGCTTATTGCGGTGTTTGTTATTTGCTACATTTCTATCGACTTTTCCACGCAAGAACTCCTTAGAGCCCGTCGAGCAGCCTGCTACAGTGACCTTTCTTCATTCACACATTAAATATTTTACCTATCATCCTCTTGCTATCTTTACTTCATTACGATGCCTGCCAAAACTACCTGGATCACCAAGCTACAAGCGCTTAATTTCTTTCTCAAACATTACTTCTTCGATCCCAAGAACTATGTTGATAGTTTAGGCAAATATCATATAAGTCACTCGAAAAAGGCATTTCCTAACCTCCATCGTCATTTTATAGTGAACCAACATTGTTCCAAGTGGGAGAGGGGGATGGCTGAATTCGCTCTTGAAAAATGCCGTCATTGTTCCAAGACCTTTGGCAGAGAGTTTATATCATTAATCAATTCTGAAGAATCTTGAAGAATATCACACACAGGCTTTTCTTTTCAGATTTGAGCGTTTTAATTCAATTGGAAAACACAATTCAGCAAGGACGGGCTCTTTCGATTGCAGAGTTTGTCATATAGCATTCGGCGAGGTTGACTTGCCGTATTCAGTCAATGTATCAAAATGTATGATCTGCAGGTTTGTATGTACTTCCATCATTTCTTTCAATGAAGGAATCATTCATTAGTATTGTTTTTTTTTCTCAAACAACATTTCCTTTTTCAACAATATACTTTTACTAATTTATTCAATTTTTTATTTCTTAATTTTTAAAAGTAAACTACAATTCCTTTGATTCATGTATCATTCTCTTACAACAGCGATACTTTTTTCCTGTAATAAACCCTTCTACCACTTTGAGCTCAAACATTTTAAATTCTCTTTAAAATTGATTTATAACTTTCAAATAATGTTTTTCAAGCTACAGACTTTCTTTCTATCTGTGATCTTTCCTATTGGCTGCGTTTCTTATTTTACAATGACTGCAAACACTTGTATTCATTAGGCAAGGAAAAGTCCCTGATGTGATTTTCGCGACCATTGAGCCCCCCTCAGAAGTTCATATAACCGGGAACGGCTCTCTTCTTCAAGCAAGGTATTATTAATGCTGTTGATACTATAACACTCTTTGATGCCGTGTTAACGTTAGACAACACACGAAAAAACAGCCAGGATTTTGCCCGCTCAACACCGCAGTACACAACACAATTAACGCTTCACGTGACATAGACATAGCGAAACAGTCATGTTACATAGCATCACAGTAACTTTCCTTTTTGAACTTTTCTTGTGTAGCCCCCATACTTGCCCATTTTCTTATTGGTGATACAAAACTTGAAAATGACTTTGAAAAAAGCAAACATTTGAGTAAACTAAAGCTTTTCGTCTGACACTCTTCAGAGTTTAAAACGTCAGAACATAGATCGAAAACTCTACGTTAGGAGCCGCTATTGTGTAGACAAAAGGAGTTCGTTTTCAACTTAGGACTCCATGGGTAAAATTCTCAATAGGCAAGCGGCACTGATTGGTCAACTTCAATAGTCATGTGCTCGCGTTTCTGATTGGCCTATTTCGATCCACACAACTGGGTATATATATTTCCTAGCGTAGAGTTTTCGATCTATGTTCTGACGTTTTAAACTCTGAAGAGTGTCAGACGAAAATCTTTAGTTTACTCAAATGTTTGCTTTTTTTCAAAGCCATTTTCATTTTTTTATACTTAACATTTTTTCAAATTCTCTCACACCGTGCCTTGCTGTGAGTTTCAATTGAAATGGAAACGAGACATACTACTTTTCATTGAGTTGTATTTCATCTACGTAAGTGGTTAGTTTTATTATGGAGAGAAAGTTCGTTTCAACCAATCATGGACAGAGTCAGTTGTGATACTTCTTAGGATACCTTGATGGTTTTAGATGGAAGATTGACAATCTTAAATCTTGCTTTCAACCTTTGGATGATGCCGTGTGAGAACCTTTGATATAGAATTGCCAACGGTGTAAAGACCGGACCGCCGAATCGTCATATATGTTTCTTCTTTAGGGTTTACCGAACAAAGAAACGCGAGAAAGATGAAGTCAATGCAGATAATGTCAGCCAGGTAATGACTTTTTGCTCGCTATTTCTTTGTTCTGGATGACAATAATTTCGTTTCTTATTGAAAATTTGCGATCCTTGTTAGAAATCGTAGAGCATTTTGGTTTTACAAGGTCGGAAAATGTAGTCGCCAAATTGTTTCTGTATTTCACACCAACATGTCATACGTGAAGTATTAACCTATAAGTTCAGAACTTAAATTGACAGATAAATACTCTGTGGTTAGAAGTTAAAGGGCTTCTGTAAATCTTTTGAGGATTTTTGGAAGCTACCCCTCTTTCTTTGATCACCCCTGTTTAATCAACGAAAAGGTTCGGCTAAAAAATTTTAAAATGTCCTTGCACTTCCATAAATCTTTGAATTTTATCAATTATTTCTAAACACCACTCTCCGTACTACATTTATATCTACAGATAAAAACGTGTCTGATTACGTTGGCATGAGTTTAATTTTGCTTTTTCAGATTCTTCCATTCTTGGAATATGAATTACATCGCCAGATGCTCAACAAACTGAAAGTAAATTTTTCTGCTTGCATGCATTTTATAATTTTTGCAGCATAGAAAAAGATATTTTTACTGTGGAAGTATTTAAGTATTTATTGAGCTGGGAACTTTTGTAGAAAGTAGCCAGCAATGGCCCTATCTACGGTCCACTTTTTAAGTTTTTCCTGAAAATATATTAAAGCTTTTATTTGTTTATTTAGGTAAAATTTTGCTTTTCGACGTATTGAATAATTCTTGAATCCTTTTCCTTTCAGGTAAAAGGTCTCAATGCAATATTTGGGTTAAAGATGCAAGTATCTGTTGGTGAAAATCTTATCATAGGACTAATGGTAACGAGTAATCTTTTTTTGTAAGTTTTTCGTGTTTCAAAGAGTGGCTTGTTATCTTTTTAAGAAACATATTTTGGAGGTGCAATGATTATATACGGTATGACGTCATTCACTGCATTGGCCTTGAGTTGCTTGCCACAGTATGGACGTAAACATTTGTATAGGGCCTGCTCGGGTTTTAGGTACAACGAAGTAATTGTAAAAGATTTATTCTACTGAAATTATATATGTATTTTTGATAAGTAATTATTGATGCATGCCACCTAAACAGACCCTTCAAAGCATCAAACAACTGAAAGAAAATAACTTACTACAATTCAAATGGCAATATTATCTCTATTTTTCAACAGCTATATTATTTTGGTATTTTGATATGAGAAGCTCTTTATTTTCTAGACTGGAACAGCTGTCTACCTCACTGCATTACCACCACCCCCTTTGTTTCTTGTCTCTGGGAGCAAGGTTGGTACTCCGCAATCACCCTTGTAATCATTTTTATAAATGAATCAATGACCGTTTAATTTAGTAAAGTTTAGTGAAACTTAACAGAATATCAATCGGAAGAAATCGGAAGAAATCGGAAGAAATTTCACGTAATATCTCGTGCGGGGATACCTTTGAAAATGAAGGAGATTAAAAGGTAAATCGTTAGGACAAGATTGGACTTTATGATAGTTCAAAGCATTTAATCATCAAACAGCTGATGGTCTTGTCCTTTAAGAGTTTTTCTCCTTCCATCATTGTATTTATTGAGCGTGTCATTGTTACAGCTAGATCTAGATAGCATGTAGAAAACATGCGAATATGAACTACTCACTACTGCCTATTGTTAATTAAGAAACTTTGTCATGAATTGTTACGAAATCACATTTCCATTAAGGACAAAGAAAAACAATTTCTTTTTTCTCCAATCAGTTCTTGTTCGAAAAGGAAAACATGGATTTATTCATAATGTTTTGATTTGACAGTTCTCACCCACTTACTTTACTGACTCATTTAACACATTGTCTTTTTGACGAAAAGTTAAGTTTCACCATAGCGTTTTTCTCTAGATTTCTTTATCACGGTCATTTCAACACCATATTTTGCAGAATATTTCTTTATGAAAACAAAATAGTGAGCCTTTTAATGTTGCTTGTTTAAATCTTGTACATTCACACTTCCTATCTGATTATTAAAATGTGTATTTGACGCTTGATTCAGAAAGCCTTGGGCATTTATTCTGATAACGAACAGTTTTCAGAATATTCAAAAACCAGTTACTTTCAAAACATTTAAGGTAATTTTTACTATTTTTAGATATTCCCAGTTATCTGCCAAATAGCTATGTACCGTAAATTCTCTTTTTAGCCCCCCGGGGCCTTATTGTTTTTCAGCACTTTAAAGCAGGCTTATAAGAGAAGGGGGGGGGCTAAATTGAGAGAGGGGGCTTACTAAATATTTTGTAATAAAAAACCATTGATAGTGGTAAAATTTTTTGTTATTTGCGAAATAATAAACATCAAAGCAGCCTTGTATGTAAATAATATTGTCAGCGTCATCGTCAATAATCATTATTTCTAGAGACAGTGTGAATTTTGATTTGAGGCGAAGAATTGAACGACCAATGAATGAAATGAAAATCTCTGTTTTTTGTCAACTTTACTTATTTCAGCATCAGTGAAATTTGGGGGGGGGGCTAAATTGAGAAGGGGGCTTATTAAATTTTTCCTTCTGAAAATGAGGGGCTAATAAGAGAGAGGGGGCTTAATTGAGAGAGGGGGCTAAAAAGAGAATTTACGGTATTTCTGTCTGTATCTGCTACCCTTATAACTCCTCCAAATCTTTTGAGACTTAATTCTGTTTTCATCTATTTTTATTCTTTTTAATTCTTAGGGCGATGCTTATGACGAGAAAAAATTGCTTGATATACAGAAGAAAATTATTGATGAAACGTCAAAAAATCGTGCAAGAATGCATTTGCCTGACTCTTTGGTAAGCAGCATCGCTTGGTATCATTAGAAATATATTCATTTAGTTTTCTGAGTTCATAAGAACTGCTTAGTAGTTAATAAAAATCGTGCCTTTTATGCTAAAGACTGGTATTTATTTCAGAACATCGAATGGCAGTGAAAGAAAGTTGTCATTTTGGGCTCTTTGCAGTTGCTTATTTAGTATTTAAATCTTGAGGATCATTTCCTGAGATCCTTCAATATTTCCTAGCGAGTTTTTATCTTGCAGGAAATGTTCGGCACAAAGACGCCCCCAAACACCCCTGTTTTCAACATCGGGGGTTCCGGTTTGCCGAATGAGATGTTACCAATACGTGAGGATGTTCAAGGCACTTTAGATCTGGCTCATGGTGTCAAGGAGGCATATGTTGTCACGGTAAAACCTTGATGTTTATCTTTTCCTTATAAAACATCTTGTGTGTATTAGCTGCTGTCGTCCTTGTTTACAAATCAGTTAAGTCATCTGCAGTACGATGCCCCAACTTGCTCTCGATTATGCGGGAACGTACGTACCCTCACGACTGATTCCCTGATGCCTATTGCATGTTATTCTGAGGAAGCAATTTTTGCTCTGCAACTTTTACTGCAAATCTTTCCCGAGTTAGAAAATTAGTCAAAGTAAAAGGGGCACATGAGAGGGGCACTATATCTCAGAATTTTTCCGAATGTGTACAAATGGTCTGAAATCCCTGGGTCTCCAATAATTCCAAAAAAAGATTGTCAAAAAATTCATCCTGTTGCGGAAATAAAAGACAAGTTTAAGTGTCCTTTTTCCTTTCCAATAACTTTGGAAAATAGATTGTAAGGCAATTGTAGGCTATAAGTAAATTATGTATTAGTTACTTAAGTATTGTGTATTATAATTTATGCTTAAACCATATATACGATTAGAATGAATTCAAATGAAATGGAATGATATGAAAAAATGTTTGAGGGTGAGCTTTCTTACATGATCAAAAGTAAAGGTTTATTTCTACAGATCCTAAAACTTTAGAGTGATTTTTTTAAGGTTGATGATACTGTTCAAGATGACATCCTGTCAACATTAACCGACTCGTTTCAAGTTGAAGGTTTATTTAATCTTTCTTAGTTTCGCCATTTGTCCTTTTGCCGATTTTGTATTTTCGCTGTGTAGAAATTAGGGTCAGACGAATATATTTTTGGTGGCGTTGAAAAGATGACTTTTCCTCATTACAGCGCCATTTTTAGCCATGTCTTATCAGATTATAGAATAAGAGATTTTACCAAGGCGTATTTAAATATGACACTAAATGCTAATTTTCATTCTTTTTTGTAAATCATTTGATAAAATTACAAACATATTTCACTTGTTGAGCATATTTTCCTTTGGTAGACCCCTGTGTTTGTGCCACTGGATTGGGGCAAGTGGGGCTTTGCACCCTTTCCCTTTATTTTGTCAAAATTAGTTTATCGATTTTTGCCAAGCTACTGATGTATACACTAGAGGTTTTGCAGACGCTTTTCTGCCATCCTTTGATAATTCTTCGGATTCCAACAGTACATGCTTGTTAGTGCAAAATTCTTGCCCAGCTCACCCAATATATATTTACTCTTGCTTGAATTTGTTTTGTAACGTTCAGGTGGTTATGCATTCAGCACAGAAGCCACTCCTGGTATTTCCCATGAAGCTGGCAATGATGTTCAAGTTTCACATCAGGTAAATTTTCATCAGCTTTTTCTGTCCTGTTAGATACACTTATCTTTTGTTAATGATTAAAGCCAGTTGCACAGGGAGAAATCAGTTGCTAGGCCGGTTTTTTAAATTCATTTTTATCGTTGGAGTGGTCTCCTCTTTCCATATATGTTCGAGCTAATTTCTCTAACGACATTTTAAAGCGCTATTGTTTTGTATTACCCCTCTACTGACTGTTTTTTATTGTAAACTTATGGGTAGAGAAGGCGTTGATTAAGGTGAAAAGTGACCAGGTTTTGAGCACAAATTTTGCAGGGCTTTGTCTAATCTGTTTTATTCATCTTATTTTAGTTCTTAACAATGTTTCATTGGAGGAAACTGAGTGAAGATGACTTAAAGATTAACACAATATTTCCCAAGATTTGTGAAGATTTGATTTTGGTAAATTTTACTACTCTTTTACTTTTCGATGATCTTTGACGAAATTGCAAAATTTGTACTCTCTTGTCCTGTTAAATGATAAAGGGACCCCGACTTCTAACAGTATTGGCCAATTTTATTTTATTTTTTTTCATTTGTTTTTTCTTTTAACATATGTTTTTTCCTTCACTCTTAATTTCTGCAGGCGTTTTGAAAGAACGGGGGCGTTTCGAGCATTAAGACTTTGTTCAAGATGGTTTTGTGACTGAAAAAGTTTTTTGTTTCAACTGAAACAATCGCCATAAAATGTTTTTGGGTTTGATTTGCTTTCAATATAGGTTGTGGCAACAGCGAGACTTTATCTTCAATTTGATAATTGTCAACTTAGAAATTTTAAATTTGGGGAGATTTAAAAATCATTCTTTTTTTTACAACAAGGAATAGTATAATCAGGTCTAATAGTCACCCCTGCCCGAAAGTTACCCCTGGTATTTCTAATGACAATTTTAGGTAATAACTTGAAAAGGTTGTCAATCCAGCGCGAAGTTTGCGAGGAAATATCAAAACGATTTCCTCAACTATTGAAATCGTGGCATTCAGTAGTCTATCAATACATTAGTTGAAATATAAATTCGAGTAATTTTGATAACAATTGATAAACGACTTAATATATTTTTCCATCATGTTTTACATTTAAAGGCGATGCATTTCAAGTTGAGAAACAGGAAGCCATACCAACTGAGCAGAATAACTTATAATATTAAGATACCAGAAGACAATGACATCCAGGTATTTTCTAAAAGAGAATTGACGATTTGTTGCTGTGTGCCGGATGTAATGTTGGCAGATCTGTATGCAATTTTGTGCGCAGTAGAGGACAATTCAAAGTTGCTACTCTGAGTTTCACGCTTAATATGATCATCAGCTAACTGCTAACTTTGAGAGATTTACAAGATTTTGAGAGATAAGGATTTACAAGAGCTGTTACTAATTGCCTGATTATCCTCATTAAACCTAAATCTCTGAGTAGCAACTTAGAATTCAACTGCTCTACACATCAAGTGAACAAATGTGTCTCTTATAAATGTCCGTTTAGATTCACTGTGTAAGGCAAAGTACAACTTGTTTGTCAGTTTCGAGAATTGATCAGACCCCTATGAAAGAATGACCAAGAAGGATATCTTAACTCTTCTAATGCATTTTATCACAAATGGTTTTTTGGTATAGTCTAAATACACATTCTGTTGTATTCTTCACCTTCTACTTGGTACTTTGCATATCTTTGGATAAAACTGCATTCTTTGATTTCAAATCTTGTTATTCCTTTTCTACAGCCAAGGAACTTCAATCTTGTATAGGAAGGTGTATTTTGTGGGCAGTTCAACGCTCTATCCTCTTACCAGTGGCCTGCTCCTCCATTTCATGTGACAGCATCTTGTAGTTTATGTGTGAATTAACTATCGAACTTTCCCCTTTGATTTTCCATTGACCTGCACCTGTTTTTTATTGCCCAACGATTAATTTTGCAACCTACTATTTTTCAAGGTATTGGTGACTGCATTAGCTCTTAAACAAGAGTCAAGAAAACCTACAGAAAGCACTCGTATTTCCAGAGCAGTGCATGGTAAATGAAATATGATAATTATGAATAAACTGTTTCCAGATATGATATACCATCTCCCGTAACTACCTATTTTTACTCTAATAATAGCCGACAGATACGCTGAAGATTCGGATTTTTTCCGATTTTTTTAACGGGATATTTTTAAGTCATGTTTGAGAATCCCCTCAAGACTCTAGAAGAAACATTGTATTTAGAATTTATGGTGTTTGGTGAAAGTTTTGAAAGCCGAATTTTTCGAGCAGCAAATTTTTAACTGAATGTTTATCTGTAATTGGCGTACCCTTTCTAAAGTTCTTTGGAGCTCTCAATATTTATGATGAAAAATTCACGACTTCAGGATTTAGCTGTCTTCCCAAAAAATCAATACCACAGCTAAAATTTGTTCTTTTTCCGATACAACCGTGGCAACTGCATCAAAAAGTTTTTAAAAGTCCAGTGCCGGTCAAGACATGCCATATTGGGAGCTAGTAGCATTGAATTTGGAGACAATCAAACAACTTTGTAAAGCTATGAAGATTTTTTGTCCCCATAATTTTGACGGTGATTATTTAGTGGAAGTTTTCAAAATCGCTAGTTGTTTTTGATCCCAAAACATTTGAAACAAACTGTTGTTAAGCGGAGAGCCGGTTCTCCAAGGGACAGGCTGTATTTTGTTGTGACTTTTTCAATTAAGACATTTTTATGGCGGTTGACTGGCTGATAAAGTATGTTCTTTTTGTTAACATGAGAGTAAATTTTCAAAAAAAACTTTTCTCTTCTAATTATTATCTGAGGGTTGGCAATTTCCTTACGTTGTTCTTATAATTTTGGCAAATCGAGCCTCGGTTTCTTTTTTCGCAAAAAATGTTTAGATTTCGTTCATTTTCTGAAATACACATACATGTTTTGGCAACAGCAAATTTTATAAACAGCTCTCTTTATTAAACTGTAACGTTCTTTCTTATGGCCTGCTAGTAGCCCTGTATCCATAAAGAAGCTTGATTATGCTGATGTAAGGCAGCTTACTGTGATTTGCTTTGGGTTGAAAGTCATTTTTATGATCCTTTTAACAAGCAAAAGAACAGCGAGACAGGAAAAGACGCTGCTGGCTGACTGTTGTGTCCATAAACGTAGGAAGCTTTTCAAAAGTGAGGGGGCACCTGTTGTCAAAATAGGGGCACCCCTGTGTCTGAAAAATGGAGGGCACGTGCCCCCTGTGCCCCCTGGTTCCCACGTCTATGATTGTGACTTGATGCGTAAATGCTTTAATTCGCTACCTCTATATAATAGATCGACTGGCATTTTAAAAAGTACTGAGCAAAAATATCATTTTATAACACCGTTTTAGTAGCTATAGGCTGGCTTTGTCCCTAGCATTTTTTGATAAAAATCATACCAATCGCGTAGAATAACGAGCGTGTGTCTCCCCCCTGTATTATTAGAATTGATATTTCAAGAAATCAGAGCATGATATCCTCAAACTTCAAAATAGCTTTACGCATAATATTCTATTTTGTTGCGTTTTTATTTTGAATAAATGAATGCGGTAATGAATATAGCATTCAAGTAAATGAATCCTTTGAATTGAGGTTTTCAATATATGCCATGTACTTTCAAAAGCAATGTAAACTGTTTTTACCAGAAAACCTCCCATTTCAAAACATGGTTAGCAAAAATGTACATTTTGTTTTTGTTGCTTTCTTGCTCAAAATTAAATGCTTCTCCCACCATTTCCGATATTTCTTAGCTCATATCGAATCATCATTGAATAAAGCTTTTTTGTTTTAATTTTCTGTTTGAGAAGATAAAAGTACATTGTGGCAAAGCACTCTTTGCTGGGGAAATTTTACTTAATTTAGTTCTATCATGTATTATTGTTATAAAAAATTGCTTTCCATCACAATGAGTATTTCGTCAATTTTCGTTGTTGTTTCTTCCGCTTTTAATATATTTCGTTTTTATGACTTTCATCAAATGATTTTATAACCAATGGACGGCCTGTTACATCATTCCTTACATTAATTTCGATAATTAGACTTTGAGCTAAAGCAACTTCAAAACTTATGACCTCTGCAAACAGCAATTCCAATGCACTAATTAAAATGCTGAAAAACTACTGTGTTCTCATTTTAGGTTCTTTAGAGAGTGACGATTTAATGTTTCCTCTTGACGTGCCAGATTGTTCTCAGCAAGGTGAAGGTAAGCTGCTGTTTTTCAGAAGGACTGTACCAGTTTATGCTGACAACATCACATAAAGTCTGTTGCCAATAATCATTGAAAATACTACCATGATATGTTCCCTCATTTCAGAGCTATCGATGAACATAATCTAATTTATTGAATACTCATTTCAAAGTTAGTTACAGGGACATCAGAAGCATTTAAAGGTTGGAGAGTTGAAGGGTTGAAGGGGCACATTAGCACAGAAAGGGGCACTATTGCAAAGGTTACTTCTTCAAAGGTTACTCCTCCAAATGTTAGGGGCATGTGCCCCTGATGCACTCCCATCCCCTATGTGCCTGTTTAGATGAGTGTTATAATTTGAACCCTGACTAAGTGACTTTCTATTGAAGCACTAGTGTGCAACTTTTTATCAATGAGTAGATCCATTCTTATTTGTTTCTTCTCATCTCTCTCCTTCACTTGTTGTATTCATTCACTTTAATGTTCACTATTCAAGGCATGCAAGCTAAGCAAAAAGGAAGCAAATTGAGGGTAAATTTCATGCTACATTTCCTTTCAGAGTCGCTTGCATTTATCTTATAAGATCTGAAGGAAAATTCTTCACTCTCCTAAAGCCTTGAATGCAATAATCCTATAATGGAATGAATAGCTAGATAGCAGATATATTTGATCCTAGTATAATTAAATGCAGAAAATAAATATACATATAGGTACCAATATTGTAAAGTAGTTTTGACATGGGTATGTTTTTTTAACACTATTTTAATAGAAACGAAGAATAAATATTTATTTGAAAGTAGATGCAAAAATTTAAAAAAATCACCAAAGGTAGACATTCTAATTTGGAAACTTTTATACCAGAATAAACTGTTTTCTTATCATCAAAGCAAATAAAAGAATGTTCTCTTATTATGTACCAAAACTAATCACATCGAGTTATTATTGTGCAGTTTTATAAACTCATTCTTTTAAAGGAAGCTCCATTACCTGATTTGTCTCAGACATGGCCAAATAATCAGCTAACTGATGTTAAAACATTATTGTTCATTCACGGGGTGAAGGTTTGTACATAAATCAGACTCTTAGTTATAGATAAATTGTTTAAATTTCATAAGGTAATTGATAAAGGCATAATGTTTACTTTCAATCATCTAAGAATTTGAAAGTGAAATATCTAATAAATTGAGTTTAAAATAACTTACAGGTAAAAAAGTATTCAGAGACTTGCTATAGATTAATGTGTTTAACTTTAGTTACCCTTTTACCCTTCTTAAAGACACCCTCTGTTAAAAGAATGTCTTGGGATAAGTTGCAAATGACATTTTTTTGTAGTCAAGTTTTGATAGTTTATAAGCCAAAGTATCATATTATAAAATAATCAGGAGTGTTAACCTATTCTTTCTTGGAATGTTGTCTTTTTTATCACTTTTTGTGAGCAGCATTTTGGTTTTAAAAAATTTTGTTTATTGTAAATCAACTTGAATGTCCTCAATTCTTTACTTACACAGCATCATGATATGTATTCAGAGCATATTGTCATCAGCCCATCATCAGATGTTCCAGATATGCAAATACAACAGTTCCTTGGCTATCTAAATTTGTTTTTTATCAGGGAAACCACATCTGTGAAAGAGGTAAGACCTGACCTACATAGTTAAGTTTTATCATCAAAGTTTCATTTCAGTGTTACTTTTACGTGTTTCTTTTTTAGTCTATTATTTGGGACCATGTAGAATTTAGATTAGCTTTCTGCAAGGGATTTGCCTATTACGCCTAGCATGTGTTGCAATTTTTAGTGGCAATTGCCTGAACATTTTGCAAGCTGTAGCTCAGCTGTATGCCTAATCACAGAATGAGAATAACCAGAAAGGTCACTCAGCATTTTTGAGTGAAGCCTAAATTTACTCACGCATACGTTAATTTACATGCTAATTGTTGGCATGAAAACGAGAATTAGCATGTAAACATTAAGCTTCGTGAAAGTTTAATGTGCATTGGAAAATATTTCTTTGCTTACTACAATTGCTACAATAATGTTGTATTTGTCAATGGAAACTCCCAAAACAGGCTGGGTGTCCACAAGAGCAGTAGTACTCGGGGAAGTAACTGCTAAATACAAGAATGCTTCCCAGTGCTGACTTGTCATCGACCCTTCAGATGGAGTTTCTTGAATAAAGTGTCAGATCATGTACTACCTCACATTGAATTTATCCAGCAGTCCAAAGTATCTGATAAGAGAACTAAGGCAAAGATTTCAAATTGCAAAATCTATTCAGTTCCCTCTGAGTTGCTGTCCAACTTCATGGCTAGTAAGTCTGTAAAAACAGCAAACATTCTTTCTCTCAGCATTCTTTCTCATTCTTTCAGTGTTGCTTTGATCTTCGAGCCATTTTTGGGAAAACATTTTGGAAAATTGACAAGAAAAATCAGTTTCTCAGCCTCTCATTTTTCTCTCTTGCACTCTTTCCATTGACAGGCCTTTAAAAATCTCAAGTTGAAAACGAGTTCTAGCATGTAGTTTATTGCTGGTGCCAGAAATTCTGAGCTTCAAAAACAACAAAGGAACCAGTGAGTGACCCTTCTGGTTATTCTTATTCTGCGGCCTAATGTTATCATCAAACAACAATACATTTTTCAAATTATTTTAGGATGGTGGACTAAATATGTTTATGCAAAATTTTATTGCGGAAGTTCATGCCATAGTTAGGGCCCAAGTTGCAGCCCTTGCTGGTGATGGAATAGTTTCCTTTAGCATTAATGATGTTACTCTTCTGGACAGCTCTCATAAAAATCAGGTGAGTAATTTTAAAAGCAAAAATTGTTTTCCCTGGTGTGTTTTTCTTATATTTTGGGAAAACAGCCAGAGTCACTCTTTTCCACTATTCCTTGATCTTAACCACTTCTATAATTGTTCACCACTTGTACATGTTTCCCTACTTTGAACTAAGTACTTATTTAATAAACAATTACCATTTAGTATCATTTTAACGGTTGCCCCTTTCTCAATTTGCAATTACTAAACTGTAGATCAGATTTTTGAATATAGTATTAGAACTTTCCTTTTGGCCATCTGTGTAAATGTGGTAATAATTTTGCTTTTTATTTATTTGCAGAGCCAGTGCTTGTTAAATGCAAGTGGTGATGTTGTTAGATTTTCTCTGAAGAATGAGGAAGAGGTGTTTGGTGAAATACAGGTCTCATCGACTTAACTAAGTGGGGTTATTGTCATCATAATGTAATTAGATTGTGTAGTGTAATGATTAAGCTCCTAGGGAAATCTATTATTAAGTTCACATTCATCGCTGTACATAGATATATTTGCTGCAGATTTTAAAGTTTTATCATTTATACATGCTAAAATTAGCTTTCATCAAGTATTCTTGTCCTGCTGTGGACCTTCTGAGGGGCATGTCAACTTTTATAGAACCATACCTCAATTGAATTATGTTATATAAAAAATTATTTGTTGGTCCAATAACCCAATTCATCCCCTAATTTTTTTTAAAAACGTACTTCAAACTTCTTTGTTCAAAACTTTTGGTTTCAGAAGTTTATTTTTAAGTTTTCCTGATGCTAACACTTATGGTATTGATTTTATGATTAAAAAGTTATAAACCGTAAAATGAATGTGTGATAAATGACTAAGGGTAGCAACAAAATTTAGTCTATATATCAGATCTACATGGTATTATCTTTCTTCTATTCTAACAATTAGTTTACATGCAATTTTTGTGAAAAACACAAAAAGGTATAGACAAAGCATGCATAAATATTATGTGCTATGTTTTCACTTTTTGTTGTTTTTTTAAATTTTGCGAATAGTGGTATAAGTATCAATACAACTGGAATATTTTCTTGTTCCTGTAGAAAGTTTATAGATTTTTATTATCTGCCAAAAAAGATATGCAAATTGTTGTAAAATCAAATGATCTCAAAATGAAGTAACTGCTAACAAACTGCCTAAACTTCTTGTTGTTCCTTGCACACTGTTCGATTCTCAAATAGTGATTTTTTAATATTGATTTTTAATATAGATATGATGATATTAAATGTTTAAATGTTTTGTGAACAGAAACTAAACAGTTACATGGGACTACAAAAACTTTTCTTCTCTGATAGTTTCTTTCCAGAGATATTGACAGAAGAAATTATGTTGTCTTGTAGAGACAAATTTAATTCGTATTTATTTATATTTAAATACAATTCAGTGCACTGATAATGGTGCCAAGTTGAGGCTGTTTTCTGTGAAGTGTCCATGAAATTTCAATTTCATAGGTGCAGCAATGTGTTCACGGGGCAGTACCCTTTATTTATACTTAAAGTTAAAAAGGGCAACGGTCCAGATTGTTGAAAAGTGATTTGCAAGAAGCTTCGTACACGCAGCTTTCGCTTTTGGTTTTAAAAATACTTCAAGCTGTTAGCGGACGTCAAGCTTCATTTTTCTCGCTCTTTCGCATGCCTTGTGTGCTTTCTCGATTGCCTCTGGAACCTTTTCTCGTCTTAGAAGCTTTGTTCCTTCAAATACACCCTCGTTACGTGGCCTACCATTTCCTCCATCAGGAAAAGTTATTAGGCCGGGACCGCTGACTTTTCCCTCGCTGAAACGACCTTCAAATCTCATGCCATCGCATCTTGTGTATATTCCATATCCATTATATTTACCTTTAGAGAATTCTCCTTCATATTTTGATCCGTCAGGAAACATGAGTACGCCGTGGCCATCAAAAAGACCGTCGGAAAATTTACCTTCATATTTGGATCCATCGGTTAGGCTCAGAATACCTTTCCCGTGCTTTTTGCCCTCGTTGTTCCAAAAGCCGTCATAAACATCTCCCTCCGGATAAACGTATTTTTGCCTTGCAACTGAAGGATCCATTTATAACTTTATTAATGAGTCTCAATGTAAAAATAGCCACACTGCTTTTACTTAAGTGCTAAACAACAAGTCACATCATACGTCTTTTCATCAACGCAAACCGTGTTTACAAAAAAATTGCTTCTGTTTGTCCTGCCTCGTATCCAGCTCACCTTCACAGCGCCTCTATCGCAGTTCCTGGCAAAATCACAGACAAATGAAAATAAACAAAGTACTGTTTACTTTGATCGGAAAACAATAGAATAGCAATGCCACAGGCATGCGAGACAAAGAGTTAAGAAGCCTCACTTTTGTTCTTATCTCTTTTTATTGAATGTAAGTAAACGATATGCTTCCTTTGGTGCGTCAAAACAGAAGGTGGATCTTCAAACAAATTTACAAATCGAAAATTTTCATCAGTTTTTTGAGTGAGATGGCCCCAACACGATCATTTGATTACCTGGTCATTGGAGGTGGCAGCGGTGGAATTGCAAGTGCAAGGAGAGCTGCAGAATTTGGCGCCAAGGTGGCTTTGGTCGAAAAAGCTAGGCTAGGCGGTACTTGTGTAGGTATTAGTTACTGTTTTTGAGAGGTATCTAAATTAAAGGAGTTTTCTTTCTTTGAAAACTGCAACAAGTCGTTTGACTGGTATTTTTCTCATTGACTTGAGTTTTTGATCTAACAACGCTCACAATTTTGCGAGATTGCTACAAAGACACCTCCGTATAATGATGTGGTATCTCTTCACCACAAAAATATTTTTAGAAATGTATCATATTTCACACAGCCCTCGAGGCTATTTGCAAAATCAAATGGAAGTTGCCGAACATATTGGAAGATGTTCGGCTGCGTAGGAGCATATATCAGGAAGGGTTAATTAATGTGTTGCACATCAATCGACTAAAATGTCTTGGAAAAAATATGAATTTATGCTGAAATTCTGCTATAACGTGACAAAAAATATGGAACCAATACTTGTCTAAATGTGACTGAAATAGAAATGAGGGGCTAGGGGCTACAACCCCAGGAACAATTCTTAAGATCAGCCCCTTTATAGATTGGGATTTTTTTTACAGACTAATTGGCAACACCCTTTAGATACTTTATACACTAAAACAATTCTTTAAAATGGCAGGCATGTGTAGAGCTTTAACAAAAATATGGCATGAGTGCAGCTGGAAGTTAATATGGTGGCACAGAGATCTTCCCGGCACTTCACGGAATGCAGGCTGGCCAGTGGCATCATCAAACTATTCTGAAAACTGATTAAAGTTTTTAGATATGGTTAGATCTTATTTGTTTAACATTTTTGAATGGAAAAAGCACAAATGAAATAAATGTAGGTGAATGAGGTTTCTTCTGGTGCTACAGTTCTTAGAAACAAGTGCCAATTCAAATTTGAATGGCATAGATGAGCTTAAGTCACATCATGATCTGCAACAATAAATTGGGTAAATCCTATTTTATATATGTTTTATCTAGTCACTTTTTTAAGTTCTATTTTGATGATGCCAAATTTAATCCATTTTTCAGGTCAATGTTGGTTGTGTCCCAAAAAAGGTCAGTCTATAGCTTTATTCTTTTGGTGTTTTTTATATTCAAGTCAATCCTTTCAAATAAATTGATCAAAATATGAAATGGAAACTGCATTCATTTTGCAATGCAATGTGATAATTGATACATTGAAAAATTTATGATTTTTGTTTGTTTAGATTATGTTCAATACTGCATTTCATGCTGAACTTTTGAATGATATGAAAGACTTTGGTTTTGATGTTACCAATAATGGATTTGATTGGGGGTAAGAAATATTCTTATTTGTTTATTATGCACTTCTTAACCAGATGATATTTTATTAAAAATCATCAACTATTCAAAGGCATATTGCTAGAGCTTTCACTGGTGGGTGATTTCAAAGTTTGCATTTTCCCTTTAGCACATCAAGGATTCAAATTCATGTAATTCAGCAACATATTTAAAATTTATCGAATACAAGTTAACCAAAGATATATTAATGAAAGATGCAAAGTTTAAGATTGATCGATACAGTATGATCTGATAAAATTTTTATAAGTTGCCCAGGACACTGAAAAAACCAAAAAGGTTTTCAAGCCCAATGCCTGATACTAGTTATAATAAGGTTTCTGGTGTAAACTACTTTTTGAGGCTTTCAATAGAAATTTCATTAAGTTTGGGAATAAATTGGTCCATTTTTATGGATTGTTTAATAACATATTCTCATTTGTAGCCATGTTAAAGTTGCAAGAGATGCTTATGTCAAGAGACTTAATGGAATCTATGATGGAAACTTAAACAAGGTATGAGACAACATTGTGTTTCTTCAACAGAACAACTTTTTCTTTGAGCTTTGTCAGAGATTCATGCCAGTACCTTTCAAGATGAGAAATTCATCTTCCAAACTGATGATGATGGTTGTTTTTGATAATGAATTTACTTTTAAGTATTAGATGCTAATGTCCAACCTATTATGTATTAGATACAGATTCAATTTTAGGCAAAGTATCTTCGTTATGCATAAAATTTAACTATGAGCAGCAAACCAGTGCAGCTCATCTGTGTCAAAATCTTATGTATGACCAGACCTTTTTGAAAATAAAACTCTATGTGTGCTGCAAAATGCATTGGTTGTCACAGTGTCAAGGATCTAGAAATACCCAAAAAAATAATTGGAGCACCCAATTTTTCTCAATTTTCAGTCTTTTCATCCCTGCTCCCTTAATACAGCAAGCTGCACACTCATTTGCTGCTTTGGAGAAGGGGCAAAAACATTTGAGAGGAGATAAAAGGGTTTTTATTGCAATAATATTGATCAGTGTATTACAGTGATGGTTACGTAAAGACAATGTAGATACAACATCTAACTTTCATGCCCCCAAATGGTTTCAGTTCTCATGATGACACAAAATATAGTGTATTTTTTTAATCCACCTGTTTTGGGCATTGTGCTTGAAAAGCTGGGTTTTTTATTCAATTGGTAGAAAGGAGAGAAATATGCGACTCTTCTCTTGCTATTTGAGGTATGGCTGTTTGTATTTTTTGTTTAGAAAGCGCGCTTGCTAACATGTAAAACAGTACGCGTCTGAGAAAAGCCTTTATCTTTAGGATAAAGGTAGAACCAGCCTTTTATCTGGTGTTTTGTGGCTTAGGTTCACAGTCCAATGCGATGGGAAATATTCCTACTGCTATCATGTTATCTTGCTAGTCTGGTGTTGAGGTTTTCAGTGGGGCTGCAACATTTGAAGAAGATGGTAGCTGCAAAGTTGGAGATTTAACACTAGCAGCTAAGAATGTTTTAATTGCGACTGGAGGCTACCCAATAATTCCAGATATACCTGGTGAGATTTTTTTATGAATTGTTCTCTTATGTATTAAAATATTTTAAAATACTGTTTGAGTTTTTTCAGAAAAAGTTGAAGGTTGGACATCTATCGAAAAAAATAAAAATCAATTTATTGATGAGCAGTTTATGAATTGCATTTGTTTTATGCTGATTTCTGCCGAAATTGCTAATTTTTTTGCTCTCATTTTTCCTTTTTTTAGGAGCAAGGGAACATGGAATTACAAGTGATGGGTTTTTTGATTTGGAAACATTACCAAAGTGCGTTCTTTATTTTCAATCACAATTCACAAAACTTCTATATGTAATGTTTAGTAGATATAATATATATAGTCAATTTGATTTCGGATTGATTTGATACTTTCTGTTCAAGCCCATTTCAAGGAATTAAAACGACATTGTTGATTGATTGGTTGAGGGACCTTGGTTGCTGCATCAATTATTATTCTTTCGATACTTTGCATACATCACCTTCAGGTTTTTCACTTTCTGAAACAAAATTATGGTTTTTTAAAGATATGTAGTTTTAGCTGTTATGTAGCATTAACTTTATTTTCCAAATAATTATCTGTCCTGATGAAAAGTTGTTATGACTAATAAGGTTATACAGCATGCCCCAAGTTGAAAAGACATTTGATTGTGATTTGCTCTTTATTTTGTTGTTAGCAGACATAATACATGGCTATCTGTTTTTCTTCTTACTAGATTTTAAGGTGGTATTTTGCATTTTTCTCTTTAGTTGCGTCGATATTATTTTGACTCCACTTTCTCTGTTTGTGCAGGAAGGTTGTAGTTGTTGGTGCTGGTTACATTGCTGTCGAGTTGGCTGGCATTTTAGGAGTTCTTGGCTCAGAAACCCATTTGATAATCCGGCAAAACCGTGTAAGAATCTTTCTGCCAATTTCCACAAGCTACCTTTTTCTTAACGAACTCCCTTTTGTAGATAACGTCAAGCTTCTATTATACGATGCTAACCTCTCTTCATTCACTGTAAACTTCTTTATCTAGCATAATCATGTTCAATTTCATTCAATATTTAGCGTTAGTGTTTGTTTTTGTTTTGGGAACAATTTTCCCCTTTGTGTAATCATTTTTTGTGTTTAGGTTGCGTAGCCCACAACACCTATAGCAAAATTTAATGCTTTTGTTGTCTGTTTCTTGTAGGTATTGAGAACTTTTGACTCAATGTTAAGTGAAAAAGTGACAGAGGAACTGCTGGATTCTGCAAAAGTTCATTTACACCGATACTCATTAGTATGATTCTTATGTTTATATTTTGAGTGGCTGCCTTTTGACTAACAACAGTTTTAAGGGACTTTTTTTTAACAAATTTTTCTGTAATGTTTTGTCCTGGGCACCAGAGCTTCCATGATTTTGGCCTTTGAAATAAAATTTAAATCTAGTCTCAGAAATATTTTGTCAAGTCCTCCGTATTGGTCTTTAAGCTTTGGTACCCTGGATAGAACATTACAGAAAGAATTTGGTAAAACGAACGTGATTTTGATGACAATAAACAATATGAAGCATTCATCGAATATCGTTTTTTACAGCCGAGCAGTGTTGAAAAATCTTCAAATGGCAAATTTACCCTGAAATTCACGTCTAGAGATGGCCCTGATGATCCTTCAAGGAACGAAGAAATTTCCGATGCTGACTGCGTTTTGTTTGCTGTGGGTAGGAGCCCAAGCAGCCAGAATATCGGGCTTGAAAAGTTGGTAAGTTAGCGTCATATAACGCTATCAGAACGAAATTTTAATTAGGGTTTAGAGAGTGTTTCTTAGGCACGGGGCTCGAAATTGTCATAAATGGAGGGGCTGCAACCCCTCCATGAACACCCTTCCTGACAGCTTTTTAAGCGCTGATTTCATTTGTTTTTTTTGTCTGGGTGTTTCTAGGTATTCCCTTCCCTTGTGAGAAGGAAGATTGGCGAAGTAGCTAGTACGCTTGTTTTTGTGTTGGAGGTTGAAGGTTCCAGTCTAGATTCTGGTCATTAAGCATTAAGCTCTGTGTAATGTAGAAAGATATATTCAATAAGCAGTTTTCAATTTAATTTTTACAGGGAATCAAAACAGACAAACGAGGGCATATAATTGTTGATGAGGTATTTTTATCTACTTTTCATAAATAAAAAATGTCTATTTTCTTAATTTCCTAATCACGCTTGATAGTGGTAGCTTATAAGTACGTTTAATAAATTTCCTGCTTCTCTATTTTTGTTAGTACCAAAACACAAGCAAAAATGGTTTCTATGCTCTTGGTGATGTCTGCGGAAAGGCATTGCTGACTCCTGGTAAGTCAATCTTCAGTGTGAAGTCTCTGCATGCTGTCCTCCCAGCGTTGCGCCATTGTTTTTGGCAACGCTGTCCGTCTTATTTATATGTCCGCTTTCTCAATTATATTCTAGGAAAGTCTCCTTTTTCTTCAATAAAATTTGAGGTAAATTGCTATCTATACTGAAGCAATTTTTTCCAATATATTAGTTTCTTTCTGATCCTCTCTCTTTTTATGAATTGCATTACCTTAGTGTCCCTTTCCGCTGTAGTATTTTATGATATGAGACAAAGTCTGAACTGCAAATAGAAAAGAGACCCGAGAAAGCCAAACATAAGGCAGTGTGAGGTGAATTAAGATGTGAAAATGAAAGGGCACTAATGGAAATATCTACACTATCAATAGATGATACATGTTTTTGACACAAAATGTTATGACGTACGACTGCAAAATTCAATTTCAAAAGTTAACGACATCTGGTATTTTATACCTTTCTAAGTGAGTTGTTTATGAATATGTAAATTTTCATAAAAAATGCAATCTCCTAAGTAACATTCCAAGACGACGCCACGGGGAGCATATAAACATATTTTCCACGAAGCTGCAGCTAAGTTCATTCAATTTTGATCTCAGTCATATTCATCTGTGATCACAGTTTAATTATATAGCTGAATTTACCGTTGCATCAGTTTAAACTCATTGGTTAAAATTTTTACTTGCAGTTGCTGTAGCAGCAGGAAGGAGGCTAGCGCACAGAATCTTCAATAATGAGACTGAATCCAAACTTGACTACAGCAACATCCCAACAGTTGTGTTCAGTCACCCGACAATAGGCACTTGTGGAATGAGTGAAGGTTCCCTGTGTTTTACTCATGTCTACTTTTTCTCGGTTTTGCGTGTATTAATGTCTAACTTTACAGAATTCGTTGATTTAACATGCATGATTTTGATGGTATGCATGATTATTATAACATGCATGATTATTATGATGATGGAATTTTACAATGTGACGATAAGCGTTCTAATGTCTTTTATTGCAGAAGAGGCGAAAAAGCAATATGGGGAAGATAACATCAAAATCTACTCATCGCAGTTTGTTAATCTGTATTTTGCCCTCTCTGAGCATAAGCCTAAAACAATGATGAAGCTAGTTTGCCTCAAGCCAAATGAAAAGGTTTGTTTCGCTAATTCATTTTGTTAGAACGAGATATGTTACTTTTTGGTACATCATCTTGTTCATGAATACAGTTGGGTACATTTATCTTTATTCTCAACACCCTTACCATACCCAATTCATTTTGCTGTCTTAATGTTGTTAGTCTGTGCTCCAGACCCCTAACTTGAAAATTAGGGGTCTTGGACACAGGCTAAATGCTGTGACCTTCCGTTGTCGTAGACAGCTGCCACGTGATCTCGTTAAGCGTGAAACTTGCAGTTGCAACTAAGAACCGTCCTGTTCTGTTACATCTAGATGCTGCTCCACTTCTCCGTTCCTATCTTCTTTTTCCTCACTCGAAATGTTGTGGCTCTGGTACCAAGGGTACTGTTCTGTATACCAAAGCCCTGGCGTAAATAGAGGGGGGTCAGGGGGGGCGAAAGACCCCCTGTAAAGCTGAACTGTTATTTTGTCGGAAAACCTCTGATCTTATCTAAAATATAATATGGTTGCATATTTTTGTCTAAGTGTTATATCTCGAGAGGAAAGAATTCAAAACTGGGTATAACGATTTCTTATGCGGTTCTGAATAGGTTTGGCAATCTTTTTCGATTAGGCATGGTACTTAAAAGTGCCTTTTTTAGGAGGAGACAGGAAAAATCTTTAAGTACTTTGATTTTTACCTTACCTTAGTTTACCTTAGTTCCTAAGAGTTTACCTTAGGTTCTTTTCAGTTCCAATTGACTTATGTTAAGTTCAAATATATGAAAATCAGCTCATTAGAGTTTTCTCGGATAATCTACATTTCTCGCCCCATCTATGAATTTTCCTACCTATGCCACTGTAGGTAACCAAAGCATGTACAGTATTGCCATACGGCATCGAGTACCATTAAACAGGCCGGTAAACAGCAATATTCATGACATGTGATAACTTTTTGTAGATTCTGGGGCTGCACATGATTGGAATGGGATGTGACGAAATTCTCCAGGGATTTTCTGTGGCAATCAAGATGGGTGCGACAAAGCAAGATTTTGACAATACAGTTGCTATTCATCCCACTGCCGGAGAAGAGCTGGTCACAATGAGGTAAAGCAAGTCCATTTGATACAAAACTGACAATAAAATCACCGCACAATGTAGGAAATATATTTTGATTTAGCACTTATTTTATATTATTTTTATCGCAAATTATCGAAATGATAAAAAACATTATAAGAATGATTAGTCAATCGTTAAGTCAGTTGTTTGTCTGGCATTACACCCGGATTGCAAGCGCTTGGGTATTAAATCCCGGCTCGTATCGTGATCAATGCCGGTTTGCGCCCTCTTCTTCGAGGCAGTTCGTGATACCGATGCTCAAAATCGACCGGACTTTTGATTCCGGCCGCATCTTCGCGTTTCACTATGAGTTTTCTCTTTCTTGGAAAGTAGTCATACATGCTGCGGAGAGCGATCGGTGTTGTCAATTTCAAGCTTCCTGCAATGTTATTTAGAAAACATTAATCCGGACAAGAAGTAGAAAGACGGCTACTTGAATCATAAAAAATTTGTTAACTACTGTTAACGTGTCCTTTTTAAAATTTGCATTTTGTCCAATATTTTGTCTTTACAATGGAACTGCATAGCTTTTTCCTTTGCTATGATTTTGAGCTCACTAATTTTTAGTATTGGAAGTCACAGGTTAGAGAAAAAGTTTTCAATTTGTTTCGACTAATTCGACTTATAAACTGTTTTGCCATTTTTGCTACGGATGCTAGGGGATACAAGGAAGCAACAAAGTAGCGAAAGGAGCTCTGTAGCTTTCTTGTAAGGCAAACAATACAAAAAAAAATTTCACAAACTCTTTCGCAAACTATTGTGAAAATTCAGCATATGTTACCTGGCAACCAATGGTCATCTCTTTCTCCTTCGTCAAAGTTTTCCGCGCGTTCTTGTTTCTTTTGCGAGAAACATGTCGGAATAATACCAATCGCAGGAAACTTGCGGGTGTTATCGTGCAGTTTGGCGCCTTGAAATGTACTTCTTATGTCATAAGGTTTGTATACGGATTTAGTCCAGCTTCTTGCCTCTGTGCTTGACCCCAAGGGCGAAATGCCAATCACGTTCCTTTCCATTGCTTCTTTCGGTATTTTTGACCGTACATCACATACCAATCCGCTCCGCAGTCTACGCAAGTGGTAAACTTGTACCGGATGCGGTTTATTACGGCGGTTAGGCGACGCTGGTCGACGCACACCGGCACTATTATTTGATTTAAGCTTGAATTCTGCCCGGTAATGACTTTGCTCATCGCTTTGAATCTTTTGAAAAAAGCTTGGTTCGTCGGAGTGGCTGATAGCAGCGCTTGTTTGAACGAGGTTGCGTTTTATATGGCCAATGGGACGGACAAATACTCGTGACTTGGCCCGCTGCATCTTGCTTTCGCTGTTCCAAACTTAGCTGACTTCAAACCGTATGAGCATTTTAAGTTACGCCGATGCAAACCAATGCATTTGATCTGACGTTTTATGATGTCTTGAGGCACAGTACATATGAACTTTAAAAACATAGCAATGACGTCATAGAACTTCACTTGGCCTGGGTATATACAGTTGTATGTAAGCCTGGAGTACCAGCTTGATGTACTGACTTGATTGATGACATCTTTTTGTATCGGTGTTCTGATGCTTAAGGAAACTAGAAATCTGTTTGAAACCAATACATCTAAAGTTCTAATTTATAGATTGGGCAATTGTGCACAGCCTAGAGGCACCAGAAAGCAATGATGATGTTTGAAATGTTTGAAGTGTTGAGTGTTTAAATGAATGCAAATTGAGCGAATTTCACTATGCAAAAACATTTCAAGAATATAAGACGGCTCTTTCAGAACCACAATGCTATTTGCTTTGCCATCTTCAAGAAGTGATTTCCATAAACTTTTTAATGAAAAACAAAAATATTTACGGGAGTGTAAATCTATACATGTTACCAGAATGCCCCCATTATATGGTCTGGATCTATACATGTTCCTTATTCACTCATTCTTGTTTTTCTATTAACACGTCATTGCATGCAATGCTTCCTTGTTATAGCACAAAAGAGAATCCCTACATTCATACTCTCGTTACTTTGACGTAGTTGTCTCTTTCTCAATCCATGCGGCATCTAATTTCAGCCTCTGAATAGAATTTTTCTCTTCATTCGCTCTCACACACCTTTCCTGTTATTTTTCATTTTCGTTCGTTGGATTTTACTCATCTTCCGATTTGCCTTTTACTTCAACTACACGATGAATAGATGAAAAGTTGATGCTAATATAAGCGATCAGCTAGTTTAATTCCTCTTTGCATGTAAATCGATTCAAAGAGCTTGGAAATACAAAGTGATGGATTCTTGGCCGTATGAAGCTTGTGCCATCACAATATGAATGAGACAGGGCGTGGCCTAGAGGTTTCAGAATGACACACAAAGTATACGAAAGCTCAATTGTAATCTTACAAATGAATAATAAATAGTCTGAAGGAAATCTTCAAGATAAATCCATGTGCAATTCTTCTCTGATTAATTAGTACATGACAATTCCTTCACCTAAAAATAATCTAACAATCTTTTGGTGGTACAAAGCTTGAAAATGGCTTTGAAGAAAGCAAACACTTGAGTAAACTAAAGCTTTTCATCTGAGTTTAAAACGTCAGAACATAGATCGCAAACTCTACGCTAGGAAATATATATATACCCAGTTACGGATCGAAAAAAATCCAATCAGAAACGCGAGCACATGACTGTTGAGGTTGACCAATCAGTGCCGCTTGCCTATTGAGAATATTACCAATGGAGTCCTAAGGGGAAAACGAACTCCTTTTGTCTGCACAATAGTGGTTTTTCCATGCTTATTCTATTTATATAAGCAAAACTGCTGGTAGTTGAAAGTTGTAGACATTAATTAGACATTAACATCATTGATTAGAAAAGTATATCAATATATGCATAAAATAATTTAAAATTGTTGGAACAGAATATCTATTGCTAAACAACAGCATAATAAACATAGAATTATGTATCATTTCTTGCCTACTTATGGGCCTTGCATTATTGAAAGTCTTTTCCTAAAGCTAGGTTGGAAGAGGATAGACTAAAGCTGAATTAGAGCTATAGAAGGAGGGAGTAGCTTAGGTCTCCACCCCTAAATCATTGCTCAACCAATCCTTAGTTTTTAACAATATCTTTAGTGAAAAATATCTGATTTGGGCTTATTTGAGGGGGGGGCTTAAAAAGGTATCTGCAGCTTTCCATTCAAGTGGTTTGTTTGGTAGTTTTTTTCACAATTTTCAAGTTCATTTCATTTTTCATTTTATATTTATGTCCATTATTTTAGTGCTTTCATTTGCTGCTCAATGTGTCATGGACCCAAATTGTGTATCTTCCTGTTGTATCAAGATTAGGCCTCTTTGGGACTAATTAAACTGCAAAGGTGGGCATGTTAGGGTGGGGGATTACTTGTAAAAAACCTTTTTTCCAATGTAGGGGCTTATTGGGGGGCTTTATACGAGAAAACAGCAAATTTGAGAATTCATAGTACCAAATTACAGCACAGTAGGTGGGTGATGGCTGAGATTAGTTTGGCACCTGATTGTCACTGACAAGGTCATAACATATGCATGGATGCAATTATTAAGAACAGTTAATGTTATCATTCATTTGACATTTCAGTCAACACTTGCCACTGTTTCAGTGCTCTTTATTTTGGTGTCTATATTCAATTCATTAAAATCTTACCTATTAAAATACATTAATTCTTAATTAAAAGTGACACAGCTTATATCTATATCCACTACTGAAATTTGATAAATCCAAACTTCAGCCTGATTTGTACCAGCATCAACACATATTCAGCCACATCTTTGGTTAATCACAGCAAGCTTTTTTCAAACATTATTTTTTGATAACCAGCTGGAGGCTCGTAAACAAAGTTGTCGAAGTTGGCATCAATGATGCATCCGTCATCCACTACAATAGAAACAGATCTATAAATGGCATTTCTCTGTGCCATTTGGTACACTTGAAAATTCTAGCAAAATTCCAAATTAACAGTTGTAACAGAGTTTAATTTGCCCTAAGAGATTTTTTACAGTTTATGGGACAAATTTTATATTTGAAATAGAATAGAACTACAGTCTCTCTTAGATATAAAGAAAACTTTGAAAATGGCTTTGGAAAAAAGCAAACACATTTTTCTACACACTAATTTCATCTGACATGCCTCAGAGTATAAAATGTCAGAAAAAGGATCCAAATGAACAAGATGAAAAATGGAAACAGTAGTAATTACTTTCTACTGCCAACTGCCCATTCCAACTTAAGAAGATGCTTCAGACACACAACCCAGTGAATCATGCACAGCAAATTGACATACATAATTGACATTAAACTATTTCTACGATTCTTGTTGGTTAAGTTAGAAGTTTAGCCAAAAATATCATTTTTCATAAGAAAGACATTTTTCTATAAGAAAACAAACAATTTAGATATAGAAATTATAAAATGATTGGACATACCACTAACGATTGGAAATACAGATCCTTTGATTCCAGTCAAGGGGCAATGCAATGGTTTACCATTTAGGAAAAAGTTAAGTTCAATATGGTCAAAACTGCATCCCTAAAATGTAGTTGAAACACTAATCAGTTGAATAGTTTGACTCTAATAGAAAGCTTGGTGTAATTTGGCAGAGCAAAAACAAAAGTTTCACAGCAAAAACAAGAGAAATGCTGAGTAAACTGTGTTTGCTGTACATATTCATGAGATAAGATTCATTTCAGAAACCAGGGGCATGCAGCCAAAATGTTAGCCAGCCACCACTCTTAGAAGTAGCTGCCTTTTTACATATTTACTTCTTTAGGTTTGATCATAAAAGAACAAATAAGAAAGCCAATGAATCCATGTTAACAATTGAAGCATCAGCAGCTATCAAATAGTAGTGATAAACAAAATGTTGCTTAAAAAGCCAGATGTGTGTGAGAATATCAGGCTTTGCAAGGAGAGGCACCCAAGCTTGATCAAGCCCCTCCACACACACACTCTAGGAGTTTGATTGATTGAGCACCTAGCATGTTTATGATCTCTAAAAATTAAATGTGAAAAACAAAATTTTGTTTTTGATGATATTTGATGATGCTCAATCAAGCACCTAGAAAGTTTGAGGTGCTCAATTTGTCAGGCACTTGCTTTTTGCTCCTCACAAGGCCTGGAGAATACTTACCAAGTATTCACCCTCGGATGGTAATGTAGTGATTTTGTCATGAGAAATACCATTGTGTGCCAGAGACCCATCAGATCTTAACACCCAACTTGTGGCATCCTCCCCAAGAGGTAGTTTGCTTAGGTTACATGTAACGTTTGCAACTCCAATTGCCCAGTCACCTTGAAAATAGAAATTATTAATCAGTAATCTTACAGTTTAGTACAAATACAAGAAAAATTTCACTGCTATTTTGGTCTTCTTATTCCTGGTGTATACTTATCACTATTTCGATATAGGCAAACATGCACTTTTACGATGCTGAAAATTGGAGAGAAGAGATTTGTGTGCAAAAGTTTACAACTTTTTCAAGGTTTTATGGCATTTCAGTGAACAATACAAAACACAGAAGACTATAACAAACATTTTTGTCCCTGAATCTATCTTAAAGTTTGTGAACAAGATTTTCATTTTTAATCACTAATTCAGTGAAAGTAGAGGATTTGCCGATTACACGATAAAAAGTATTAGATTTGCTGATTTCACTACCCTTAAACTCCCCATCCTTTAGGTATGTCACTTCAATGAAAAATGGCCCCTAATTATCTTTTATGTATATACTTTATGGATTATCCACATCTGGCTACTAGTGAAGTACATAAAAAAGCTGTCATGCTTGATAACAGTGTGCACAGATTTGCATGCAAACGGCCATTAAAACTGGTAGAACGCCAAGCCCTCAATGATTCTGCTAAGGATTCATTATTGAAGCTAATAAAAAATTGTTTGTGACATGGCAAACATTTTTCTGTCCTTGTAGTACCACTTTTTGCTCATACATATTAAATAGGCTCAGTTTATACTTGAGTAGAAAGTCTTCAGAAAAAACATGTTCTTTGTTAAAAATTAAATAGTTATGCTAAAAATTCAGGGAAGAAAATTGCATCAAAATTATTGCTGTCAGCATTGTGCTGTTGGCAAATTCTGTGTAGATCTATCATAACTACCATAAATTTTGGGGGGGGGGGGGAATGTTACACGCAACTGCACGCCTGGATGTTTTCAGGCATGTGGTGGTTCGCAACTGCACGCCTGGATACTCTCAGACATCCGGTGCAGTAGCAGCGCCACGTCCCCCCCCCCAGTTCTCAGCAGAATTGATTTTGTATTTCGTCTAAATTCGATGAGAAAATGTTGGGGGAGGGGTAATATTATGACACCATACTTTTTGTGATGTAATCCTATGATTTTGAAACTGCCAATTTTCAAACAAAAGTTAGTCATAGGCGTTCCCTTCCGATAAAATTGGCGTTCCCTGTGGTTAAAAGGGCGTTTTCTGGTGGTTAAAAGGGCGTGGCTTAAATTTTTTTGGTTTGTCCCCCCCAGAGCTTAGTGGCTGGCGCCGCCATTGATCCGGTGGTTAGATTTTTCCCACGAATGTTATATTTGCATAAAGAATCTTAGTTACCTGAAGACTGTATTTTAACTTCAAAGTAGCTTTTGTCTTGTACAATTTGGGCATTTGACAGGGCTGCACCTGTACCACAGATTCTTTTTCCATTTTTAACAATAACACACTCATTGCCTAGAAAATGAATAAACTTATAGAAAGTGACATATGCCAGTCATACACAATACATAATATACATATGCTTTAAGATGCGTAGCATGTAGCTAAGAATTTCGTGTATTTACAAATTTCAAAGTTCTCCAATTGAAATGACTTGAATTTTGCCAACAGTTCTTTAGTGGCTCAGCACCACTTACCATAAGTTAGTTTGATAATTCAAAATACTGTTCCAAATTCAGAGGAGCATAGAAGAAAAGACCAACCATTTGTTACAAATTTCACCAGAAAACTAATTGAAACTCACATTAGCTAGAATAGTTTTACTTCCATGTAATCAAAATGAAAAGCATTGTTTGCGCACATTTTCTTTAAAATGTAGAATTTGAGAAATTTCATTTGATAAAATAATGAAGGAACACTAAGCAATCTTACCCATGTGAGCTGTATCAAATATCACAGGTGGCTGCTCTTGATGATTATTTTCATCATGCAGAGGCCTTTGATATTGTCGTCTAAAGCAGGCGCCAATAATACCTAAACCGCAATAGCTAGACCATTTTTGAATCTCCATAACGGTCCTGTAGAATAACAAAGTAGAATAAATTAATATATCTGACACTAAGCAGAGAGCAATTGTACATAAGGAAATAATTTTCTTTTTGAAATGAAGATGTGAATTCAAATCCAGAGGCAGGCTGGCCCAACAGCCCATGGCCAGTGGGCCCCCTTAAATATCTGGCAAAAAGAGTCCCATTTTTTGCAGAAAAAAGGACCCATTTTGGGAATATGAGCTGTATCAAATATTACTAGTATGACTTGTGTAGACTATGGGAGGCTAGTAGAGATTTGAAATTTCTAATATGATGGACATTTCTGGCATTTCAATTTTTAATAGACCCCGGTTCAGTTAATCTGCATGGCATTGGGTTGTAGAGTTCACTACATTTTTGCCAGTGGCGATGTCAAAGTGTCAAGCAACAGTTAGCAACAAGGTAAGGGCCTGTTTACATGATTCCGCTTTGCCGGGATATTCCGCCTAGCTGGGATATCTCGCTTTGCCAAGATACCCCAGCTGCCTATAGAAACACATGCAATTGTCACTTTGCCATTACATGGGAGTTGCATCCCGCCCTGTCTTGCCGGGATGTTTTCATCCCGTCTTGGCACAGCAGGATATCCCATCTGGCTGGGATGATTTTCTCCATGTAAACAGGAACAGGCAGGATAGCCCGCCTTGCCGGAATGAAATTGATGTCAATGTGCATGCCTTTAAAATGAGAACCATATCAATCCCGACGCTTTCTGAGCAGTTTAAGAGCAATTTTGAGGCACATTTTCAGTTTAGGGAGGTCCTTCTTTAAAAGCATATTCAGAGCTGGAAGGTCGACAACAAAGTTCTCATATAACTTTTCAATCACATTCAACAATTTCATGTTACAAATTTGAAATCTAAATGCGCTAACTTTTCAAAAATAGCGCAAAATGTGTTTTCAAAAAAAAGTGCCAAATTTCATCCCGTCCCGGCAGTGCTTCTCATGTAAACGCAAATAAAAAAACGTCCTGTCTAGGCGAGATATCCCGGCTAGGTGGGATCATGTAAACAGGCCCTAGGGAGTTGTGATTCAGTAGTAAACTTAAAAATGAACCCAGCGTTAATTATTTCTTATAAAGATAATGCAATGCTAAGGATAATTCAACGGGATTGCTGCACCTTCGTTTACAGAATAATCTAGCTTTTTGCTTTGCTAGCGAATGAAAAATTGACATAGAAGTTTCAGAAAATATTTGTAGGGTTTTGTTGATTTTCTCAGAACTTTGGTTTTATTTGTCGCTAAACAAGTCTTTTCCATTTTGGGTTTTTGATAGAAGTTTGGACAATCCAGTAGGTGTTCAATGTATTCCTCATGGAAGCCACACCTTCTGCAAAGCAAATCAGTGTACTTTCCTTTGTAGGATGCTATTAGGTCTGCCATCTCTAGTTTGAGTTTCAGCAGGGATGAGGCTTCCTCGCACCTTGGGAAATTCTTTCATTTTAAACTTACTATCCTTAATGAATCTGAGATTAGTTTGTTATCATTCTTAATTAATTGTTTTCTATGAGAAAGTCTCTTGCCTAGAATTACTGGAATCCAAATCAGACAGATTTTTTCATTATTTACTGTTAAATTTCAATTCAAGTACTCAGCACCCATTTGTAATCAACAGCTAAACTCTTTCTATTAGTGCTACATATGTTCTGTTGCCTAGAAACGGATTGATTATGATGAGATGTTCACTTGACAATGCCCCTTTTCCAGACCCCACCCAACTGGGCCCCCTTCAGTTTTTTTGTGGCCCTTTAAAAATTCTGAGCCAGTCTGCCACTGTGTAAATCTATAAAATGTGCTCTTGTGCTTTTTTACATCCAACATGACCCAGTGTTACATAGATGCTATGCACCATCTCATTATGCCAAAACATCAAAACAAGCTCAGTCTCATGCTAGCATGTATGCCCATAGTCATCAGGGGTAACTAACATGGTTTTTCACTCTGGACAGAGACAATCCTAGCAGGAATTTAAATAAACATGGCTGCCTAAACATAATGCAAAATAAGTAGTACAGAATAAATACAGTAGCATAGTGAGAGGGAGGCAAGAGGGGGCAATCGCCCCCCCCCCCAAAGGCAGAAAGTAACTTTGAAAAGGGCATTTTCCGATGTTCCAAAGGGTGTGGACCTCCATTTTCCCTTGCTCAACACACCTTTGCCACCCTCAAATCTTACAACCCTTGCTGCTTATTTGAGCATACTAATAAGCAGTACCGCATCCAATTGGCAGAAAAGCTGCCAGTCTTGGATTACAAGGAAATAGATTTAAATGGTGTTTTTCAGTTTCTCATTTCATTCAGGTACACATTTAGGTTGGTACTTTCCTGGTTAGTAAATCTTGTACCATTCATTCAAAATAATAAATTAAGGTGGTCATTGAACGCGATCATTTTTCATTGCTATGTAAGAATTGAAGTTTATTTAGCAACCTATTTCAAACTGCATCAATTAAGGGTGTCAGATATAGTTTACATACCGATCAGATATAGTTTACATTACTTCAAGATTATATTCATAGGAGTGTTATAAACGTACAAAGAATTAACTAATTTCTAAGAACAGATATTATCATATAACATCATAGAGAACTTTTTCTCTTTAAACAACTGTTTCAATTTAAAATTGTTTTACTCACTTCTGTCATAATTCTCTTGCGTTCTGTTTATTAACAATCCAGCAAAGGGCGAAAGCGAGGTTGCAGCCTCGATTCATCAAAGTTGGATCGGGTTACGTCACGTCATAGCGTTTTCAATTTTCAAAGAGATTGACTTTCGGGTTAGGGATTATTTTATTGTTAGATATTCCTAATTCAGTTTTATCGCTGACCAGAATTTTCCGATAAGTCTTACAGATTTCAGAACTCTTGGTCTCTTGGCCCCTTTGGTTATATCGAAACTGGTTTGGTTTGTGTTAGGACAAATGACATGCTTCGAGTTAACAGTTTGGTACAAATGAAAGTAAAAATATTCTGCTAGCAATTCCGCAAATTGGAGGGGGAAATATGACAATAATGCCGGAGAGACGGCTTTGTAGATATTGATTCGAGGGAAGCGCCATAAATCTCCCCATAAAGGAGGTGACTTTTCCGATATGGGGGTTAAAGAACCGGTGAAGCAATGATAACAATGTATATAGAAATAAATTATTGAAATATTGACTTCAGCAAACGATTTAAGTTACATGCTTCCAGTTTAAAAAATTAATGAACTGATCATAAATTATCAAAATTTACAAAAATTTGAAATATACGTTTACATTTGACAATATACGTCTTACATTTGACTGCGTTTTTGTTTCACGATGGAAAAATCACTCCACCTTAAATTGACATAGCATATAAACAAACTGTCAAGCAGGGTGATTGCTAAATGGGGATGGGGTGTTACGTGGAGTATGCTACACTCCTGTAGAAAACAGGCCTTTGGAAAATGCAGGGTTTGACAAGATAGGAAAAGCGAGTTTGTAAACTGTTAATGGGAGTTGCCCAATCATTTAACTTCCCACACACACTAACAAAAGCTGGAAAAAAGCGCCATTACGTTCATTGGAGTCAAAACTTGGAAAAAATAGCAACGATTCCTGCGGTTTGCCACCATGATGGATAAATGCCAAGGACACAACTTTGGTGGCGTTTCACTAGATCTCGGTGGATTATTGGCCAGTCGATAGCTTTGGAGCACCCAAACTTAACAGGAACCCCTCATCATGTATTAAACAAAACAACATCTAGCTAACCAGTTTGAATTTGTCATTTTCAACTTCTATTAATAGGTTAAGCCCAGTAAACATACTTTCCAAACGGTTGTTGTTGGAGATTCTTATGACAAGAAGGCAACAAGGCCAAATCTTGCAGATGATGAATAGTGACTGCAGGTGCGAAGATACCGTTGAATGAACTCCAAAGTCAAACATCTTATAATCTTTAAAAGTATCTTAATGAAATCAGCATGACATGCACTTGTAGCATGAAAACCTCTTTGTTGACTAAATTCATGTTTTCCAATCAAAAATTCTAAATCACTTGAAAGTGACCGATGATTTAACTCGATTGGGTTTTTTAATCTCCACCAAACAGAAACCAGACTTACTAAATCTTTTATGTGATATCGAAATCTGGAAAAAAATGTAAAAAAACCAAGCTATTGGAGTTCTTTTTGTCTAATAACAATTATTTTGGCAGACATTGCTACCAACCTAGCATTTGTCAAAAACGGAGGGATATTACGTTCGTTTATTTACATACATATCACTTGCATTTCGACATAATAAACAGCATTTTCACTTAAAACCCCCCTTACTGAAACGTAAAAAGTAAGTTCCCTTACTATGTTTCTTTCACTTCCTACATAAAAAAATTCGCCTAATACAACCAACTTGCAGGCACCCACTGAGGCTTCTCGATATCTTCCAGCTCACAAGCAAGCTCTTCTATCGTGTCCTCAATATTATGGTTTATAATTACTAGGTTAAATAAATGTCCAAACTGTTCTTTCAGTGACTCTGACTCTTGCACTAGCCTGTTCAGGCTTTCGTCCTATATAAAAGAAGTATCATAATAAAAGTTATTTGTAGAACTTATTAACTGCAGTTATTTACTAGAATATAGGCCAGAACAATGCATAAACAAGAAGGGAATTGTAGAAGTTTATGATTATTACGGTATTGGCGCAGCTTCTGTTCAAGTTTTCCTCCCCCTATTACGGTCAACCTCTTAAGTTAGTGGTGTTCCATATTAAATTTCTCCACTTTATTCGAATACACAACACTTCATTCCAATCATGCTTCAATGGACCTTTAAAAATATCTTGATGTCTGAGACGACACTGTTGTTTCTTTCGTCAAGTTCTCCAAACTAAAGAGCATTCTGTTCGTGAAGGGGTCATGGGAGTCGTTAAAAATAGAGTAGCAGGTTTGGAACACATACAGAATATGTACAATCTTTCCGTCGGTGAAAAACAAACACTTCTTCTAAATTACTTTTGTACGTAACAAGCTTTAGGATTGCTTTTGTTATTTGAAAACCACATAAAAGAAAGTTGAAGCAAGAAATGTCTAAAAATTTAGTCGATATCTAATCCCTATTACTCCTTTCTCAGGAAAAGTCTCCTGGAGCTTCTCATAAGCTGCTTCAAATAACATAAATATTAAGCATAACATAAATAATACAATGGAGTCTCCCAAGCTGTCCTAGGATCATCTAACAGAGATCGGCATATGTATTTCAAACCTACAGTCTCGAATTCCAGTTTTACTAGGGCAATAGAAGAGTAACGTTTAAGGAAAAAGCTACCACGGATCACTGAGAAACATCAAAAATATAGATTCAAAATACTTACAAAAAACTTATCTCCTCTCTGTGGAAGATTCGTCGGGGCAGCAATAAATACGACATATGGAGCGAATTCAGCACATCGTAATAGTTTTAATGCCTGTAAAGACACGATAATATTGTAAAAAACACGATAATTTGAATTAAAAGAACTAGCTTGCATTTTTGCAGCCACTACGCTTGCAGCCTTAAAAAGCTGAGGTTTGGTTCAGCATACTGCCATTTTAGGTGCACCAAATGATTAAATCTAGTGAATAAAAAACGCGGTTGGAATATCTTGTTTCTAATAAATTCAACAGTTTTCAAGCGTCAGCAGGCTCATGTTCTGTGTAAATCTTGTTACCCGAGTAAAAACGCAGCATTATGCATTAAAAATCAATTGAATTTATGCTGTATCATTTTTGCTTCACCCTATAAAATTTAACTGCAGGTCATTATGAAACGTTTCTTGAAATATCCAAGTTCGCAATGAAGAATCAAGATTATAGGTAGCTCTTCCGCCAAGCCATTGAACCCGTATCTACTTTTATCCCAAGATTATCATTTTATTTCGCTAGTTTACGTTATGGCATTTATTTCTTCTCATACCACGAATGAAAGGCTGAATGCACCTAGGAAAGAAAGGTGTACAGGCACGTAAATACTGGACGTGTGTGGGGAGGTGTGACACGCATTTTATCTTAGCTTTTCTAGGAAAATTCAAACGAGATCTTTTGTCCTTGTATATCACTACCGACCGAGTAAAAAATGAAGAAACAGATTACATAGTATCCTAAATTGCAACGCAACCAACATACCGGAGGCTCAACGTCTAGAACCGCAATGTACCCATTGTTGATAACGTCTCTAATTGTGTCTAATTTAGTTCCATACATGGCATTTTCGTGTGTGCCATACTCTAAAAATTGGTGTGATGCAGTGTCCATTAGCATTGATTCTTCCGATACAAAGTAGTATTGTTTTCCATGCTCCTCGTTGGGTCGTGGCTCACGGGAGGTATCTTGAAAGACAAAAATCGATTGTTCTTCAAGTAGAATTCAGATACCACTTTGTTAAAAAAATTGACGATCAGTCTAAATGAAGTTTTCTTATGGCTGTCGAAAATGCTTTCCATTAAAATTTTGCGCAGCGAAGAGTCAAACAGTCTGGCAAGGTGATAATGACACAAAAATATAATTTAAGAATTTTCGGATTTTGAAAATATACCCTAAATAAAACATACACCCCTTTTGTGGTGATGCTGGCAGAGCAAGTTCACATGCGTAACTAGTCAATACAGGTAGAAGGAAGAAAATTTCCCCTCTGTTAGGCACTTATCTTAAAATGTTTTCAAAGTTTTCCAAAATGATTGCTAACTTAATGTAATCGTTCTTTTATCACAGATTTAAGACTTTTGCGTTCAACTGAAAACCCCCCTAGCTATGCTAAAAAAAACTGGGGCTCGACTATTAGAATCAGCCCCGCAATGCATGTCGGGCTAAGCTTTGATAATGTATGGCAGGTCAGCATTCTAAATACGGTTTTCTGCAAAGTAACGCAGTATGAACGCCAAATCTGAGCTGACGCTTGTAAAGATCATCACAGACCACATTGCGCCACTTACGAGGAATTGGATATGCATATCTCTCTGAGAATCGAGCAATTAATGAATTTTTTATATGTCTTCGGCCAACACCATGTGCACCTGAAATACAAAGACAAAATATAGAATCCTTCCAAGTGAAATGAATAATGAATTGAGAAAACATGAAACGAAGAGTAGAATAACAAAAAACATTTACCAATTAGCACGATTGTTTTCCTTCTGAATGCATTAACAAAAGTCACTTCTTCGTAGGTGAGCAAATCAAGTTGGTCGAAAACTGCCAAAGAAAGTCGGAAAATACAAGATAAGTAGATCTTATAGTGGTTAGATTAACAGCTATTCGCGATGATTAAGAAGAAGCACATGGCATGTGCACTTGAAATTTAAAGTTCTCAGTGCTTTCATCAATGTATTTAAAAATCGGTCAAACAAAACAAAAATTTCTAAATTTTATTTATCAAACAACAACGCATATGACAGTCTAAAGATGGATAATCCATCTTAATCCGAAATCGCCTTATTTGCAAACCCGTTCATATAGCAATCAATAAAGTAGGTCCTGGTTTCTCGTTTGCGTTTGTTTGACATATTGGATTCACGGGTCAGTCGAAAAATATTACTGGCCTAAGTCAAAGACATATCGCATCAGGTGCGAAACAGCAAGAAGAAAACTTGATCAGAGCATTATAAAACATACAAGAATTATGTCTTGCGATGTACTTTCCAATCTTCTTCTTCTTCCTTATTCCTTTCCAAAAGCATTTTACTGCTGCGAAAGATGACAGAAATTTTTCAAAAAGAGCTTTATCAACTGAATCATACTTGAGATCTAAAATATATGGGGTCCGTTAAATGTTGATCAGGGACATGCACTGAAAGGGATCCAGTTAACTTTAGGCTCGGTAAATTCGTAAGAATTTGCATTTGATAAAAGCATTAATTCGCAGCATAATTTTTTAAAAATATTCACAGCTCGTAGCAGTTTTGACCAATTTGAAATCGATGTTTCAAGCATTCCCTGAGCTTCACAGATTAAAACCTTGTACCTACTCTATCCGGCCTTGAGTAACAGGAGGATATGCCTAAAAAAATCCTTAACTGTAAACAAAATCCTTAAAACTAAATGAGTCCCAAGTTTTATCAAGTATGAAAAAATTTTTAAAAAAAGATAGAGCAAATAAAGAATAAAAAAACGATATAGCTGATAAATAACAAATAAATTCATAAATGATATAATTACAACTAGTCACAAACCTCCATCCTTCTTTGATTTTCCAACAGCATGGCTCGCGATCTTCCTGCAAAATATACAATCTCTTAGAGCTGCCAATGGAACAAAAATTTGATTCAGCCAAGCAATTTATCAGCTGCTTAGGAGTCTTGCCAATATTTCTCCGAAAAGAGGACTAGCTTCTCTAAAACAAAGGCTAACTTTTCTAAAATGAGGAATAGCTTTCTCAGAATGAGGGTTGGTTTTCCCAAAAAAGGGCTAACTTCCCCTAAAAAGTAGACAGGTTTCCCCGCTGGTTTCCTTGAAAGCTTCCTCGACATATTCACTGACAGGAGGGCTCTATGTCAACCTGAAGATCTTAAAATCTGCAAAATTCAGCACAGTGCCACAAACCCACAAACCCACAAACCATGTTTGCCAGCTAAGAATTTCCCGTAAGGGAAAACTGCCCCTCACTACCCTTCTTTGGGGCAACACCCCTCTGGCAACTACCGTAAACGTATGCTGAATCTGTACTTACAGTTCTTGTAGTTCTGGAGACGGAACCAGACCTGCTTTCTGGGTATCGCCGGCACGAATCGCCTAGAAAAAGACATACTTGATGAAAAACAACTGAATGGTCAGAATAACATGCAACTCTACATTTAACGTGTCGTTTAGCTTGCTTACACTGAATGTATATCAAACTATCACATGGAACGTATGAGGCTGTCACTGCCTAAGTCCTTTATTCGGCTTAAGACCTCCTTAAACAGTTGCAGCAGTAACGGGGCGTTGTTGATTTTTTTGTAGAAGGAGGAGCATTTATCTAGTGAATGCTTAGCTAACCTAGTTATCCTAGGCAAAGCAGAAAAGGTTCGATACTCGAGAGGAACTTGCTCCCTCTGTTCTCCCTACTCCTCTTGCTGCACCACTCCTGCGTCCTATCACTCCATGACACCCCTGCAGCAATCTTCATTACCAGCTACAGCATTCAAAACATTCAGGTTTCATGTGCCTTTGATTAAAACAACCCTGACAAATCCAATGCTATCAACTCATATCTAAATTCCTACAGACCTAGCACTGCATCATACATAACGTGATAACGTCTCTTCATAGAATTCCTGATAACAAGCTCGAGAGCCAGTTGCTAGTGCATGCGAAATAAGAATATAAGTCATTGAAACACATAGCACTAGACCATACCTGCCACCAGTGGGTATCCGTCTGACTGACAATCTGTAATATTTCACCACGTTTGAAAGCGATGCCTGCTTGTTGGCAGGGAATGAAGTCATCAGCGCGAGGGTCATAGTCAAACAAAGCTCGGACAAATTTCTAGAAAAGGGTAAAATGTACTCAAATATAGAAAGTCATCAAAGACCCAAGAAACTGAATAACTTTCTTCACTGTGTACCTTAAACTTGCAGCGTGTTATACTTGGTCAATATTACATATTTTGATTTTGAAACGTAAGACAAAAAAACTAAAGTACATACCAAAGTGCTTCTTAAATTATTTGAGATTCAATTTTCTAATTTGAGATTCAATTTTCTAATTTTAATTTTCTAAGCTACATTTAGGTGCTTTCCATATTGCCGAATATTTTAGAAAAGTATGTTTTTCTTAACTTTTTTGCTAAAATAAAATGTTTTGAAAGTTGATCATTAGGAAAAAAGCATAAAACAGCAGCAACAGCCATAAACATTAATTGATAAATTAATACTTTTTACATCTTCCCTTGTTGGATAGAAGTTAGGGCCATGACCCATAGCAGGAATAGAAGGATAGAAGTTAGATAGTTGGATAGAAGTTAGGGCCATGACCCTCGCAAGAAAAAACTAAACTGCTATGGGTCATGGCCCTAACTTCTATCCAACAAGGGAAGATGTAAAAAGTATTAATTTATCAATTAATGTTTATGGCTGTTGCTGCTGTTTTATGCTTTTTTCCTAATGATCAACTTTCAAAACATTTTATTTTAGCAAAAAAGTTAAGAAAAACATACTTTTCTAAAATATTCGGCAATATGGAAAGCACCTAAATGTAGCTTAGAAAATTAAAATTAGAAAATTGAATCTCAAATTATACTCATTAGAATCTATGGTAAAACACCCCATTCTAACTAACAAACAATGACTGAAATTACACTATAAAGATACCATAAATATGATGAGTAAACCGTTTCATTTTTCACCGTTAAGTTCAGCAATGCATGGTGCGCTTACCTTCTTCTCTTCCACTTCACTATTACGCAGATTTGGAACAATCTTAAATGTGACGTCACCAGTGGCCTCCCTCTGCAAAACAATGATGTGATAATGATCACCAGTTAACCAAAACAAGAAAGTGAGCAAAGTTGTCGTTTGATGGAAAAAAGATAAACACATTATTGTTTTTTAAAATGTTAATGACATACCAAAATAGCCTGTAAATTTTCGACGGACTGCCTGGCAACACTTATACCATTAATTTCTTTGATTTCATCTCCAACATGCAAAGTTCCTAAAAATAAAGAAACAACCACTGGAATTGCGACGGAAGCAAGAAAAAATGCCAAAATGGTGTCTACAAACAAACCATTTTCATCATAGATGCGCCTTACGATGGCCGAAGCATTGAAGAAGCCACAAAAGACGAAAAATTTAAACCAATAGTAAAGCAAAGTTGGCAAAGAAAGGCCGTACCCTGTCGATGTATCATTCCACCGTGGATTATTCTAGCCACAACGCATTTATTGTCATCGTTAATCTTCAAAGTCACTCCCTTCAAGGAAAAAATCATGGTGAGAGACTGGATTTCTGCGCTGCCTAACCAGTTCACAAGATAACCACAAGTGATTGCAGACTTACAAGGAATCACCAATCATTATCAAATAATAGGTTGTGAAAATCGAGGCAAATTTCTGCTTGACCTTATTACTGCTCCTGTTTAGATGTTTTGCTCTTTTAACTTCCAATTAGAGGCAAATGCATTCAAAGCTTCTACATGTAGATTATAACGCATAATGACTTTGTAAGTCTTAAAAATTAGAGTAGTTGGTGAAATCACGAATTCTTTCAACGATCACTTCGACAAAACTAAGTGGACTTTGTAAAGTCCAGGCCATTTCTACTCTTAGTCATGTTACAGCTGTTCAAGTGCTTATTTACAAAGTTTAAAAGCCACATCATGACTTAAAAGTGACGAAATTAAATGTGTGAAATTTTCTCACCAGCGGCTCTGATCCACTTTTAGTGAACTGAACTAGTCGTACTCGGGTGAGATTTTCTGCAATGCTGTCTGTTTGTTCGATGACGTTATTCGACAAGGATGACACGATACCCCCAGACTGCACCTCCTGTAGCGTCTGATCATATGATGTCATTAAGGCCTAAGGAAATTTCAAACCTATTTTTAAAAGAACCAGCCAAGTACACACGATAAATGAGTATTTTATGACTAAAAATATATATGAAGGGATATATATCAAAGATGAAAATCAACTTGCTAGATATGCAATATTAATCATATTTGTCGATTATTTCCTGACCTTGCCAACCCTTATATCAAACCTCTCTAGGATTCAGGGGGATTCCCTTGTGGCTGCTTTGTAAGGTTACACCAATCAGTCAATCAATGACTTACTGAATAAAGTTTGAATCATCTATTGCACAAACATAAGCTGTAAATAATTTAACTACCGAAAACTATACACTAACATTTATCTAAACAAAATTTACAGAATATGAGGCAGACTGGCATATACTTGAACATATACTTTAACAACATAATTGCTGATATCATGTTAACAAATACATATCACCATATATCTGAAATAAAATAGGTCGTAAGTTTTGATTGTTACAATAATACCCTGGCCTTGAGGCTTTGTAATCATAAAACAATAAAAAATATAAAAGGACTCGCGTACATGGGTCAAACTAAGTACTGCAAAACACAGAAAACAATAAGGCAATTAATCTGAACATCTACCATTATATGTGTGTCATTTAATAATTCTTTCAGCTCCAAAGCGGTTTCGTCCGGATTTTCCAGCATTTCGATCGCAGATACTACCTACAACAGAAAGCAGTCACCATTCAGTAGCTCAAACATGGAAAATGATGAGAAGAACAAAGCACATCCGAGTTTTTCACATTTTCAAAACTATTTTCTTTGAGAAATACTAACTACCTACTTCAACAATAGCGCAACTCATATTGTAGCCAAATTTACTGAGCTGGAGATGAAATAATATTGGCAACTTGAGTGCAGGAACGCTTCTTGTCTGTTCGCACTGCGCATTTCTACCTGCTCCGAAGCCAAGTTCATGAAACGCGAATAAAATCACATGTCATGAATACTCAATTCGTTCACACAATAAGACATTCTTCCAATGCAATCCCATGATCCGTGGTTCAATGGGGGTACCTCGTCTACGAAACGAAGCGTTATACGATACCGGGAGAACCAAAAGGAGGTGCAAACAATATGGCTACCTGCATACCTGTAAATTATATCATCCAAAATGGTAAAGTCTCATCAAAGGGGTCTAATTTCCACTACAGAAATTATGGGTGAATTGTTGTACCTGAATATTAACTGTTTTTTCAACTGAGATCTCTGTAGCTCAAAGCGAAAATTAATTTGGTTTGAAAAGCAATGATTTCTAATTAAGGTAGAGAAGAAGGGAACAAGATTGGATGGCAGGGTTAGGAAGATATAATCTAGGCTGTGTTAATACGATTATAAACATACAATTGTTAGCATCCACTATTGCAACTGTTTATTTTAATTGCAAAAACGAGGCAGCATTAGATTGCTACTGAAACTGAGGCTCATTTAGTAACATACTTGACTAGATAAATCAACTGCGTTTGGTTCTAATGAATGGGCTAGCCTCTGATGTGTCACGTGGGACACTTTCGAGTGAATCTACAAAAAACAAACGGAGATTATTGGAATCTGATATGACCTTTCAGTAACGCAAGTATTCAAACTGTAAATTATATAGTTTAAAAATACAGCAAAAAATATAGTTTAAAGCATCAAATGTACTTGATCACTGACAAAGAATGAACATACAAGAAAAATAAGAACATTGAGAGAAAGTTGATCTCATTATTCCTAAAAAAATTTGACAGTTTAATACCTCAAGAAGTGAATACAGCGAAGGTATTTCAAAAAGCCACTGCAAAAACAAAATGTCATCTTTTCTTCCACCCGCAAGAAGTTGAATTTCGTCTAGTGAATCGATCAGTTGGGCAATTATAGCTGCAATCAGAGGAATGAAAGATACACATTCACAAAAATTTCGTTGTTACTTGGGAAACTGTCATTCTTAATAACAGGAATGGGGTGGAAGCATTTCTGAAATCAAGACAAATCATGTCAGACCACTCCCCTTTGGCAATGAAACACTTCCATGAAACATTAAATTCATTCTGAATATTTTTCAGAAAAGTTCTCATTGCTCTTGCAATAATCTATGACAAGTAAAATAGTTTATTAACAACAGATACTTGTCAGCACGAGAGAGAAAGAAAAAGGTAAAAATTCATAAACCTTACGAGAGAGAAAGACAGCAATAGAGGCACGCAGGAGACAGGAAAAAGGCAGGAAGTAACCAACAGCTGACTGAACATACCTGAATCAGAAAGATCTGGCTCTAATGTGTCATTTTCAAAATCGTTTGTGCCCTAGGGGTAATAAAAGGGTCAATGAAATAAGATTGCATGAAGTAATACATAACAAGGGATATGAGAGAAACTCGAATATAAAATGCGTTATGCCAACATAGAAATAAAGGAATTAGCACAGCACTAGCATCAAATTGATTAAAATTGTAGGCACGTTATTGATAAAACAGAAACGTCTCGCCTCCTCTCTGTAAATACTGGGGAGGATCTAGCTAGGGTGTGGGGGGTTTTTTAGGTACTTTTGTTATATCGTTTGAATAGCAGATTGGATCATGTGACCAGATATCTCACATCACAACGTAATAAACGGCGCAAACACAGTGACCTCGATGCTACGAGGAGGCTTGTAGAACTTTAATCGGAGTTCGGAGAGTCTCCTCCAATTTTTATTTCTTGATTTCATGGTTAAGTCAGAAAGAAACCTAATGAGAAACAACAGACGAGTTATAGGCTATTGCTTGCAATATTGAATAATAGCGGAGCAATTTATCTAAAAAAAGAAATATGACATTTATTAGTACCTCAATTGGGCTATGCACGAAGCCATCCGAATCTCCTAGAATTTGACAAAAGAAGCAATTAATGCGAAAGATAAAGAGAAGCTTTGACTTTTCATCTGGAGAATGAAAGCGAAAAAAAAATTAAAATATACTGATCATACCTTCAAATTGCCTTCTAGCTAAAGACGCCATAACTTCACCCTAAATAAATGAAAAATCAGGCTACATTAAACTGTACCTTAGAAATAAGATTTTATGAAATTCAGACTGGCATCTATTAAAGATGGCAGCAGTTTTGAAGAAAGCTTATGTTTAATTACCTTCAACTTCTTTCTGGCGTTGAATTTTCTAAGCTCCTCCACGGTATCCTGCAAATGCGTCCTTTCGGCAGATCGATCTCTGTCCTGTGCGAAAAGTTAGTTAAGTCAAATGGCAAACACGTCAAGCTGCAAGACAAAAAATTTGTCTCTACAAAGCCGACGTTTGTAGACTCACCAGAGTACAGATAATGCCAGATAAATAGAAATAGTTTGACAATGAAGAATAATAGTTGCATTAACAGAAAAAACTCCAAAAAGCTTAAATTATCATTATCTAGATGGGGCAATAAATGAACAGATGATTTGAAGAAACTACCACATCATTAGACAAAGCAATAGCATTGGTAGATTAAAATTATGCTAATGATATAAAATTTGAAATTAAACCAACGACAAAACTACCTATCAAAGAACATTAACTTGTGGACCAGCACATCTGAAAGCTCGTGCGTAAAGAAAAGTGGAGAGAATCTAACTTGTGTTTGATGTGATCGAAATCTTCATTAAATATTTAAAACTTCATAAAAAATGCAAACACGGATTAAATAAAAAAACGTATCCAGGATCTAGCACAGCAGTGAAGCTAAAACGAGCAAAGCTTTAATTAGGTCATATGCGAAGGAAATTTCGCAAAGAAATGTCTCAAGAACAGTAAAGACATTGCCATGCAAAAAAGAAAACAAGGTCCATTTGGCACAGGATCAATTCTTCTACTCGTGCGCATCAACAGCATAGCTCAAATAAAATGACCTGGAGCTGTAAAGCGGAGAGAAACATCCTTCAGCCACTGTATCCCATCCAGTCAAAGGAGGATATAGTTGGTGGTCGGTGCGGGAGTTGAGAAATCTGCCAGAATTGAGCAGAAACCGTGTAATGAAGGTCAAGAAACCTAGCAGGGTAGTTTTCCTCAGATAAAGTCAAAATGTGTTTTTTACTTCGATGGTCGATTAATCGCTTGTTTTGGGCTGGAAAGAGCTCTTAAATCTCTCGCAAAAAGGGAGCAATAGTAAGATCGTAAGTGTATTTAAGACCTCGTTGCCATACACCATTTTCGAGCAAAAACAGACAGAACACAAAAACCACACAAAAATACGACAATGTATGATAGGCCCGAGCACTTCACTAAAAAAACACTGAAGTCTATTCATTTAAACCACAAAGCAGTTAAATGTGAAACGCCTTTATCGAAACCGGAAGTAGTAAGCTGACAAAAATAGCTTTCAGGTCAATTTTTGGAAAAAAAGTGCTAGGAAAGTTTTAGCAAACAGCAACAGAACCGAAAACTGAGCATTATACAAGCATTATTAAGGGTTCCTTGCACCTAAATTAGTTCCTCTCAATTCAGAATTTCACATGAAGCTGTGTCCTACAACGACGTTACAGAGTTGGTGTGAAGTTTCTTAAAGTAAAACCTCAAGGCTATTTAGGAACTTGAGCCTCTATGGTTTTTCCGGAATATAAACCTTTTTGGGCTGCGGTTAAAAAAATTCTTGAGAAGAAAATTTTAAAAACTGACAAGATGATCAAACTACAGTTTTTAGGGAAAATGTAAAGCTGAAATAAGCGATGCCAAAATTTTTATAATGATGTACGAACGTTTATACTTCTGGCTTTTTTATGTCCCTGTTGGTCCCAACGCATCCAACAGTTTCTTGACTTGACAGAATACAGCAATCCGATGATATGTTACAGGGACACAAAACGGTGTAAAGCTAAGATCAATTCTATAATTCAAAAGTAACAATCGATTTGCCATTGTAACGTCGGGCTATGATGTTTTTTAAAAAAGTTTTAACCGGCCGATCTCACTGGAGACTAATGGAGAGCAGGTGTAGGCAATCTCTGGATGGAAAGCAAGCTGGGTTCCTGTTTTAGCTTAAAGAGAAAAGAGAGTGAGTCTAGGGCTTGTCCCCATGAACATTTTCAACAATCGTGCCCTATGGAGCATCATAAAACGTTATTTGAATCAAATTGGCAATATATTCCGTTTCGTAGCCAGATATGCTCCATTTTGAGACACTGACAGTTGAGCGTAGTGGGATGTGGATTCTAACCATCAACGAAATTTCTTCAGTTTTCTACCAATACTAAGGCAAGGAGTTGAGCAGTTGGTCCTTATTTCTCTAAGCTAACATTCAACATCAGATAATCATTCAACATAACAACGTGTGATAAATTTAGAAGGTGACTCCCTTGTCATATACTTCCTGTGGTCATGAAAAGAAAATTGATACCTCAAGGTTGCTAGTCCTTGAATGGCTTTACCTACCTACCATCTTTGGTTTTGAACCAAAGAAGAGAACAAAAATTTTATAGGAAATACAGTCGACATTATTGAGAAAGTCTTAGCCTTAAAAAGGATTTGATACCAGCTGCAATCTTGCTGACCCTTCCAGCACAGGTGTTGAGAAGGATGACCACTTTGTCAACCTATGACATAATTATTAAAAATTTACCATATATATCTTCAGGTATAAGAGTGACTTACAAGTAGCCAAGGGTGCGACAATACTCCATCAGCGGTAATTCTGTCCTTTGGATTGACTGCTAACATACAAAATACAAGGTCACATGCTCTTTCTGATATGCTTTGCCACTGCCTTGATTTCAACTAGAAAATCATAATACTTCCGTAAATACAGGAAAATCTTTCATGAATCATTAAACTTTTAATCTTAATCAGCAAAACAAAAATAACACACGGCAATTTTATAGTAAAAACAACATGCTATGGTTCCTGTGATCATTAGAAATGAAATCTTCCATTTGACATTAAAAAATAGCAACGATTTCTGAAACTTTGGACTTACAGAGAAGCTTCCCTGGACAATTGCATCAAATAATATGTCTCCGGTGCCATGAAATGGAAAAGCACCACTCAAGAGTATGTAGAGGACCACTCCTAGTAAACAGAAATTCGGATATTGCCAAAAAGAGTCTTAACGAATTTTTTAGATAAAATTGCAAAATGAAATAATATTACAATATTTCTGTATCTCCAGGTTCTGAGTGACAAATAAACTTAAATTGTAACTGGGATACTAACTGGACAATTGGCAATTGTTATCCAAAATAAAGGATAGTTGCTTAAACAGTGTTTTCATGTATCAGCCATAGCATAAGAGAAAACATTTGCCTGTGTTTCTTAAAAAGGTTTCTTAAAATAACCCAGCGGCAGATATCAAGGGTGCATTGGGGCAATGCCCCCTTAGAGCTAACTGGTAATAGATTATTGACAATCATGCAAACATTCCACTGTTGGGAGCCCTCTTGAATTTACTAGAAAAAACACATGAAATAACTCACCACATCCCCAGATATCTACAGCACAGTCATAAGGTTCTCTTTTAACAACTTCTGGTGCCATAAAATGTGGTGTTCCAATTCTCCCACTTCTGATAAAATTCTCTGGAGGCAATTCAATTGCTACACTAAAGTCTGTTATTTTTATTGGTGCTGTGTCATCCCTGCTCGCTAAGATTATGTTATGGGGCTGTAAAAGAAAAAGTCACAGGGGATTGTAAACTTTGATAAATACTGTAGCATAAAACCACAGCAGCAAAGACAAAACAGTGCCATACAACATATGTTTCTTTTGCAAAACCTCCAAAAAGAAACTATTGTGTAAAGAATCTCTGTGAAAAATTTGCAGCAATGACTTTATCATTTTATACCAAACAAAATACAAAGCATATACTCTCTAATTTCCTTTCATATATACACAGTCTTCAAACTATCAGGCAAATAATCAACTAATTTTTTATGGCTCAGAGTTCTTGTAATCAAACATATAATATAATCCATTTCCAAATGATAATGGTATTGCTTGAAACAACACATATAAATTGCCAACCTTCATGTCTCTGTGAATGATATTTCTTTCATGAATGTATGCCAGTGCTTCAAAAACTTGTCTTACATAATGGCTTAAGTGAAAAGAAGGATATACTGTTAAATCATAGTTTATGATTGGCAGGAAAACTACTTATTGATTTATAGGTTATAATAAATTACAAAATGATAGAATGATAGCATGATTATGAATAAATTTGCACAACATTCAAGGAATTGTAACCAAATGCAACCCAGGCTTATCTTTTTGCTGGACACCTGAAAAACAACTAGGATACCTAAATAACCAGAGAGGGAGTTGGGAAGTTTTATTTAAGAAGAGAAATTCTTTGTGTCAAATTCCTTTACTGAGTTTGATCACTATTTTGCTCTGAAGATTCCTTATCTCCCCCTCCCCCTCCCCCCTCCAAATGGCACAAGAACCCAAATATATAGGCAAAATGCTGACCACTTGGAGTGGGAGTCATAATAGTTTTCCGGCATGTGAACAAATGGGTTCCAATTTATAGCTGCAGATGAAGGATGAAAATACAGACCACAGCACCAACCTACTACTTAAAAATTAACAAGTGGTTACAAACTTGTAAATCTTTGAATTGGGATTACCTAAAACTCTCAAACAGTTCAGTCTCCATTAAGTTGCAGCAGGTGACATTAAAAGGTTCAATAGTTAAGACATATTTGTTTTATTTATAATTTTTAAACAAACTGAATTCATGTTTTGTATATTCACCTTGCAACTGCTTCACTATATACAAATCCATTGTTAACCCTATTTACTATTTCTTCGCAGAGATCAACACCATCCATCCTATATTGAAGAAACAAATTTCATATCAGATTACGCAATCATACTGTTTCCACTGACCATCTTGAGAAAATGACACTCTTTGCCAAAAATAACTCCTTCTGCCAAAGAAACCCGTTTTGCTAAAACATTTCCTTATGGAAAAACAGCAAACTTCTTAACACAGCTTTTAAATAATACCGAGCTCTTGTGTTTCCAATGACCAATTGGAATTTATGACATCAAGACAATCTTTCATAGCAAGTGAGCATCCACAAAAAATAATTCAACACGATAAGGTACAGACATTTTCATTTTCATTTTGAGGTAATGAAAATAGCAGGTGAAAAAATACTTACTGTTCAGTTACCATGTAAACAGCATCATCAACTTTATGTGCAGATAAAATCTGAACTGATTAAAAAGAGACTTTGACAATGAAAATTGACAGGCTTTGACATACTTGTACTATAAATACAAAATGCAAAATAATGCAAAATATTGTAGGAAGACCAATTTGCTATACAAATTTTTCTAAAAAGTCTTAGCTGCTTTTGCTTTTTTATTTTCTTTTTTTCTGGGAGATTATATTAAAATTATGCAAAATATGTTGCATTAGGAATGTTTATAGAAATCGTTTGCTCCTCACCTATATGTGGGTGCCTTAATTTGCTGCAAATCGAAACTTCCCTCTCAATATCTGAAAAGAAAGAGCCAGAAACATTCATTCACTTGAAAAATTGTCTTAAAATGCATAATATAAGCCGAGAGGCCAAAGAGGGAGGGGTGGTGGGGAAAGTGCCCCTTTTGTCCTTTAATAGGAGGGGCAAGGAGGGCAAAAGTCCCTGTGAAGTCAGCATTTTTCAATTATCAAGGTGAGTAATATAAAATATTGACTGTAGTGCCTTATTCACCATGAAATATCACTTGTAAGAAAATTGTGAGAAAATTACTTATATGACAGCAGTTAGCCCATTTTTAGAAGACTAAAGAAAATTGAAATAAAAGGACAGTTACAAAAGAATACGCAGATTTTGGTTTTCTAGTATACATTTTAGACAGAAATCTGTAAGCATTATTCCAATTTCATTAATATCAGTGGTAAAAGGAGCTTAAGGGACATCAAGAAGCAAATACTTCCTAAGTTGGTGAATCATGTTTTGAAATCTGACTGTGAAATGCCAAAAATTTACGCTGTTATAAGGCAGTAGGAATTTAATTCATATTGGAGGAGGGTGCGGGTAGGGCAAAGCATCTCTTTTTTCATTTTCAATAGAAGCATTCTAACTGAAGAAGAAAGCCAGCTTATATAAAAAAGGAAGCAGGAAAGTGAAAAATACTCATTATGCACCAAGTGAAGCAAATTGTTGAAAATTGATGGAATTATGAACACATGCTCATAAAGAAACAGTATCTTATTATGTTGTTGTTAGCTGACTTGGTGATGGGCTTAATCTGATGAGTCATTTTCATTTTAGCTTTGATTTTTTTCTAGTAAGCCGATTTGAGTGGCCAAGCAACAATTTGTAACTGAATCCTAGAACCATGCCAAAAAGAACTCTGCATGCTGGCCAGGTTAAGTTTGTAAGCCAGTGTTTAAAAACCCCTCTAATTTATTACAGAAATTATTGCTGGAGCATGGGTCATTTATTACAGAAGAGAGTAACATCACCTAAATGTGGAAACTAGATGATGTGTGACCCTCGTAGAGAAAAGTGCTTGACAGGAAAATCCCTACAAAATGACACATGATGGGAAGGATGATCAACAAGTATCATTTTGTTTCCAAGAAACAGGGAACCTAGGGCTTACGACTTTCCCTTGCTCTACTCCCAAACTTAGATAGTCTGCCACATCTGCATATATTTATGGAGAGAGTAAGCGCTGGCACATCCGCGATTTTTATGAAAAGAAATAAAAGCACACTTGAGGAAAATGTAGAGCCTCTCTGATCGCCCTGGGTCTCGTGGACACTTCAAGTATGGTTTCTGGGTTAAAGAAATGCAGGATATTGAACTCATTAATGACAAAAAATTTTACGAAGGTTGGTTGAATTAGTCGAATCATAAGCAAAAGTGACGTATCTATAAATAATAATAATGAGGTCAAAAATTATAAGGTTTAACGAAACCGATTTCGGGACTCCATTGTTCAGTGTTTTATGTAGACTGTTTTTAATGTCCATGTAACATAAACAGCGTTGACACCTATCGACTCTGCCCGGTAACCTTAAACGAGAAATTTCGTTCTCTAAAAGAGTAATTTCTAAAGTTACAAAGCTATTACTTGTCTAAATTTCCTTGAATTATTAACTATGCAGGCAAAATATTACCTTTTATCGTTAATCCAGTGGTAATTGTCATTTTTGGAATATCGATAATTTTAACTGTAACACAGTCATTATTCCTCCGATCGGTGCAACCATGCACACTGCAAAATGCACCTCTGTAAAACAAGGGGTTATCGGCAATCACAGAAAAATATCCTAACAAGTCATCAAAACGTTTTTACAGTATTACAAAGCTTTACAAATCCAAATTGATAGATTAAACAAAAGTAAATTTGTTGCGATTTAAATGAGGGGTCACATAAGTTCGACAAATGTAAACTTTACGAATAAAATGGGCTCCGTTGAAACTGTAACGATAAATATGAGTTCATGAAAAGGAAATTTTATGAATACCTTCCTATTTCTCCTTCAAGGTCGAAGAAATCCGGAAATTCCTCTTCCATCTTTAAACCATCGAATATAAAGTTATCTACTAGCAGCACTACGGCCTAAACGTGAGGTTATCACGCCTCTCTTTCCCAACGAAAGATAAGAATGTCCTTGTAAATCAGCCGACAACTGTTTCCGTTCTTTCAAAAGTGATCATCCTTTCCATGTTATTACGTTTGGAGAAACAAGCGCTAAATTCTGCAGGACTGTCCATCTGGCTCCATCCATCCCCACTGCTCTCTTATCATACTCAACAAATCACTCCATGAATTATATCAAATATATCCGTGGATTATATTTCGCGGACCCGAATTTCACTGTATGTAAAGTGAATCTTCTATTGTATTCTCATTCCAAATTTTACGAAGAGCAATGAAACCCAGCCGACCTGCCAAGGTCAAATTCGCACCACTTCGACATCGTATATACTATAACTACATATAAACACAATGTACTGTAGAAAAAACATGCTTCAATGTCTTTGGTTTAAAGCCAGTTTTTTGTTGGCAATTTAGTTATTTCTATATTTCTTGAAAACTTCATATTCCTATTCTATTTTGGTTTTTGCTGTTTATTTCTGCCTCATACAGAGAAGTCTGTGCTGTCAGATTAGCCAATTTGGAAGCAATTGCAATTAAAGTCACCCCATCCAGCAGTCTATCATTTACTCTACTACAGCCTGATGATATGACAAGGTCAATGGAGGCGCAAGGTAGGCAAACCCTCCTTCGTTTAAAATGTTGTTGACTTCGGGGACTCAGCCACCCCAACCAATTCTGCATAGACCTTACATTCGACAATTTCCCCTTTGCCCTTGAATGCTCTTGATATGCTTCATTTGCAAAGATTTTAACATGGGGTGCATAAATATTGTTAATCCTCTTATCCCTAGCACCTTTTTTAAATTGTGGCTATCTTGAAAACATGGAATGTGAAATGTTGGAATGTTTGGATGTTGGAATGCTGGAATATTGGAGTGTCGGAATGTATTTTCTCAATGTGTTTAAGTCACATTCCAGCGTTCCAACATTCCACATTCCATGATATCAAAATAGCCATTCCTTCAAGGATATATTGATCAGCTCTTACAGTCATCACTTGCAGGGGCATCGCCGAAGAGGGTATGAGGGCGTTGTACCCCCAACATTTTGTTCGCCGGGCAAGATAAGAAAAAATATTCTCACCCTGTAGTAAAAATGTAACCTTTTTGCAACAATGGTAACGTATTAACATTTTTGTAGCAGTTGAACTTTCAAAGTGTGGCACTTTAGTATAAATTTTGAAGTTAAACGCATAAAAGTAGCATTTAAGATTGTTTATATTATGACCACACCCAAAATTCATTTCTATAGCCACCTGAAAACTTTTTTGGGCTTCGTTCCCGATATCTCAATTTCATATGTAAAGTGGGCCTCCACCAAACTTTTAGATTACAAACGACTTGGTTTCCAGGTAGACTTTGGCCCCCGAAAGAAACAGAGGTGTTCCCTTCTGTTTCTTTTATCGTGCATTGTTAACCAGTCCCAGCTTTCCAGAGGCGTTGTGGCTCCTAGAAAAGAGCCGGGAGAAAATTATCATAAGGGGGCCCGCTCTTCATCTATAATCACAAACCACAGGTCGCCTATGGTACGACCTGGAAACCATGCGAAACATTACAAAGACGACAGTTTTAATCATCTCTAAAGGCTCGTCGCTATTTTTAATTGGGATGTATCTCCTTTTCTCTAACAATAGTCTCTTTAAGCAGAAACGGGGGCACGAAATTGAACCTTGAGAGAGGGGCTAAGTAGCAAATTTAGTAACATAGGAGCACCCACCATGGTTGGGTCCGTCGCGGAATTTTTTTTTAAATCAAGCCTTCTAGAATGGCTAAAAATGCATCTCCCAGACTAAAATTTAACAAATTACTACACCGCTCAGAATAGACCATTCGAGGATTCTCAGAAAACATCGATTATTAATTTTTAGAAACAATTTGGGAGGGGAGTAGTCATGCTGAAACTCTAGTGACAGACTTTGGGAAAAAAAGACTGACCTTCGGATCAGAGTGCACATCGATGCGAATAACAAGATGTTGGAATTTACGTCGCCCTGTTCATATTCCACGCATCTCTTTCACAGGGGCCTGCTTGTATATATTTCTCTGTTTGTATGTGTTGACCTCCTCTAATTCTGAACTGTGAACTTGAGTCTACATGCAAGTGAGGGGTTTTCTCACCAAGGATTTTATTCATATTAAATATTTTCCGGGGCTTTACACACTTACTTTAAAGGGACCCACCGGGAAACTTCCCGGTATCCCGCCTAGCCACAAATCCCCTGCAGCTTTCATTCCAGAATCTGATGTGATTCAATTAGAAATAGGTGATCACTATGAATTCCATGACAATCATTAGATTTGTTTGAGAGTATGGATGAAAATATCGGCACTTTCTATCAACTGTTGTCACAAGTAATTGATCAACGCACACCTAATATCGCTATGATTGAGCCAATTCGACCAAAATGATATGCTTTGCAACTTTATTATCAAGCCCGTCAGAACCGGGGGGCTGGGGGATGGGCTGGAGCCCCCCAATAATTGTCAAACTGTAGTATGCTTCCTTTATAACAGTGTACTGAATGAGAAGGAATTCAGTGGGCAGCCCCCCTCCCCCCAATATGAATTTCGTTCCAAGAGCACTGCCTAACAAATCAGAGTTCACAAGAAAATTCTACAAGAGATCACGCAATTGAGCCACTAAAGGCCCTTTAGCTTTGTAACAACCCTTAAGAGATAGGCCCCGTTTACACGGGCTCAATCCAGGCCGGGATCGATCCAAAGGCTTCCGTTTACTCGGGAACGCTCGGGATCGTTCCGCTACCCGTACTAATTTGGGTTCGCTTTAGAGACAGTGGTAGCGCTAGAAATTCTCCGACAGAGAGGCTTGAACTTCTGACAGGGGGGCTAGGCAATCGTTTTCTCTCTTGGACTCTATTGGTAATTTTTTTTAGGCTCGCGGCACTGATTGGTCAACTATACCGGTCTTGTGCTTGCGTTTTTCTGATTGGCCTATTTCGATCCACAACTGGGTATATATTTTCCATCGTGTTCTTTCGGAACCTTATTCTGACGTTTTATGCTCTGAGAAGTGTCAGACGAAAAAGCTTTTAGTATGAACATGAATTTAACAAACAAGAAAGAGCAGCTCTTTAAGGCCGATTTTCTGGGTAAGAAATAAGACATCATTTAATCATTAAACAGAATAGGGACCAATTTTACTTAGGTAGTTTAAGTCTTTGATGATGCTTACAGATGCTCGTGTCGCAATAAACAAGTACACGAAAATTACTACCTTAGGCGGCACCATGATTGCCGCAGAAGGTGGGGAAATTTTGGAATTTTGATGATTCCAGCTCGCTGGAAAATTTCTCATTGGAGCAATTTTCTACCTTTAGAATACAACCTTACTCTTAGAAATCATTTCATTTCATTTTAAAATTATTTACCCAGGGTACAAATTCAGTCTAAATACTGTTTTACAATTGACCCTGCAAAAAAAACCACTTAAAAGATTAAAACGTTATATACAGTAAAGTTTACAATAAAAATAAAAAGATCGGAATATGGCTAAACAAAGATGTATATCTACAAAATGATTATTTTTCCTTGAGTTTCCAAAGGTGGAACGCTATTCTCATTTTTCGCGCACCCAATCCTGAAACATTGTAAGGAGTTTGGTTCTCACTGACTTCGGTTTGCCATTTGCCATTTGCCATGTCACCAATGTTTCACCAATGTGGATTATTAGATCTCCAATGTTTTTATGTCTATTTTATGCTAGTATCGGGGGCTGTTTCCATACTCGTTTTGGTTTTTTATCTTTTAAAATTATGTCCCAGTGGTCTTTAAATTTTTTACTTATATTGATAGTCCGATTGCCGTTTGTTATGCCGAAAAAGAGGGTTGAGTTTCCCGATATGGGTGTGTAAATTTTTTTGGAGCTACCTGTTTGTACATTTATACTCAGTGGGATTTCCGCAATCGTAACCGTTACTCCTTCTTTTTCTTAAAAACTTTACAAACGTTAGCAAAATCTTTCTCCGACAAAATTATAGATCTTCTTCGTATATCTTCCGACGGGTTGGCTAAGCAGCTCCAACAAACTGGCTGTAGCCCCCCTTGCCCCCTTCCCTCTGTCGCCACAACCGTTTAGAGAGCGCTCCAGTTTGGGAACTATCCCGTCTCATGTAAACGCCAAATTGACACGGATAGGAAACGAGGCTAGGAAATGAGTACCCTGGGTACCAGACTCACTAAAAATTTATTCTATGTATAGTGAGTCTGGTACCCAGGGTAGGAATTGAGGTGCTTTGAGTTCTGTGCTTCGACTATTCGTCAGATCTTGCGCGCCCTCTACTACGCCCACAAGATGGAAAATACAAAACAAGATTAGGGACGTTTTCTATTTTTTCACGAGTTTATTGATAAATTTAACGAACAGGCTCCAACTTATAATAATGCTTTTTACTCCGGAGTGATCTTCAGGAGGAGAGCCCTTTTTATTCATGGCTCCAAATAAACATTTTGTTGCAACCTTTCAAATTCGAAGCCATTTTCTTCTCAGCCTTTATGTATATTTTGAGATATTTTCTTTGTGTTGTTGATGGGATAAGCAATATGCATGAGACATTTCACATGCACACCCCCCAGGGGCGGATCCAGGATTTTTGGTGACTATAGCTCAAATCTTTTGGGATCGGAACCACGCCCTCCTTGCTTGCGGGACACGCCCACTATATGGGCAAATGATAAACCATGTGTGTTTATAATTGCTTCGTATTTATAAATATTCCTTCGAACATCCTTTTTCTATTTCCAGGGACGCCAGAGAAGGGGGTGTGGGGGTACAACCGCCCCTGTTGCCCTTTGGCAGAAGGGGCAAGGGTTGTTTTTAATAAAGTTCCCTTGAAACTGGCCAATCGTAATAATCAGAGAGATTCGTATGAAATTCTGAACTTCTCAAAACATGTAAAATAATTCCTTGTGCCGAAAGTTAGCCAATGTTGAACATACCTACAGATAATAAAATTGCAGTTACGTATGAATTTGTAGAAGCTGAGAATTATCTTTCAAAAGCCTTTTTACTCAAGCCTGCCCCCCCCCCCATTTTGCCTTTGGTCGTTCCGCCGTCCCTGTCTATTCCCTAGTAGGTCCTTGCCTTTGAAGCTACATTACAGGGGACCCAGGATGTGAAAACGAGCAATAGTCTACTGTTGCTTTACAGGGGACAGAGAGCGGAGAAATACCGTGGATACTCACATTCTATTGGTTAAAAGGCCATTTTCAAACCTGACTATAGCTTGACTATAGCTCGCGCCAAAAATTATAGTACGGGTTTCATTGTCTTCGATGCCTTTTCCAGAGCAAATCCCCAGACCGACTATAGCTCGGAATATCCACTGTAGCTCAATTCTGGTTGGTTACTGTCAACAAAGAACGAAACTTCTGATTCGTCTAAGTTTTAATATTAGACCATTCTGCGCTCAGTGTTTTATATCTTATCTGGAGAGGCATTGTGATGACACATTTCTAGCAGTGCATGTTTGTTAATCGCATTTGATAACCTATACCGCTGCTTTCAAATGTGAATTCCGAAAATCAAACACTGAGATTTTGACTATAGCTCGAGCTACAGTTGCTATAGTCTGGATCCGCTCCTGCCCCCACTGCCTTCTTTACTGAATTAGTTGCACCAAATGCGACCTACACTACATTGGGGAGACGTCCTGACAGTTAAATACCCGTTTTGGCGAGCATCTCAAAAAATGTAGAGAATAAAATTCATCTTCAGGAATCCAGAAAGGATGACCCAGTTGCCACAGTTTCCATTCATTTTAACAAGGATGGCCAACATGAAAATCACTGGACTTTGCTACGCACCTTATAACAACATTTGAAAAAACGTATTATTTTTAAACTAAGTACTCTTATTCCTAATGGTCTTAATAAACAAATTTCGTTTCTTTCCTAATCCAGCTATTATTATTTTTTTATATTTTCTCGTCTGTACCCTTTTTACATAATTCACATATCACATATTTCCATTTCGTCTAACGTTCTACGTCGTATTCCTACTATGTTCCATCGAAACGTCGTACTAATAATTTATTTCTTGTACAAAGTCGTTATTTTATTGTATCAATTTTTGTTCATTATTTGGACCCATGTTGCTAATGCTACTCTACTGTTTAGAAAAGATAGCTCTTTTAATGCCAATGCAAATTCTTATGACGAAAGAAGACGGCCCACAGAAAAAGCACTTGCATTTGTCTTAATGTGTCTTACCAGGTGTTCAATAACTTTTCACCGTTTTTCATTCTAGGTTTTTGCATCCATGTTGCTAATGCTTCTGTTCAGGAAAGATAGCTTTTTTAATTCAAATCAAATCCTTATGACGAAAGTAGACGGCCCACGGAACAGAGCGCATGTATTTGCCTTAATGTCTCTTACAAGTTGATCTACAACTTTTCACTGTTTTTCACTTCAGGCTATTGTCACCCCTGCATCCATGATGTAGAAAATCTATCATATTGAATTAATATTTTGCTTATGCTGCTGTTCAGAAAAGTTAACACTATTGTCATGACGGGTGTTCATTTGATTTATGAAATATTGTTGTTTAATTTGGCTTGTGAATTGGTTTATCGTCGTGTGTTCAAACGTCGTTTATTACGCATGAAATAATTTGAGAGCACTTTTTAATCTATGATAAAATTTCTAAGTAATCACAAATGAATCATAAATGAATCCCTTTAATCACTTTGATCACTTAAAATCAAATCAAACACACACAAAATTGATTTAATCACAAATTAATCACTAGTGATTATCAATCTCGTACATAATTTTCAAGAGTGATTTGCCCCTCGGCTAAACGTCCGCGAAATTTTGGGATTGATCTCAAACGAGATTGATCCTAAACTGGATCGTTCCCATTTTCACCATGTAATCAGGGTCTAAAGAAACTTTTTCCATCCAAGAAGTCCAAAGTGTCTGATGGCTCTGAAGAAAAGAAACAGTCTTCTAACCTTGAAATAGCAAACTGCTTCAACGACTTCTTCAGTACAGTTGCACATAAACTTGCAGCCAAATTGCCAACTTCTGAAGCCGCCAGTGTTGGCAAGGTAACACAGCAGATAGTGGGTCTCTTCTTGATGTTGTTGTAACGTTCTCTCGAGCTTTCAAACCACCAAAAGAACAGGTTTAGGCAACATTTTGATGACAATGGTCAAAATCCACTGGAATTCTCAATGTTTTTTTTACTATTGCCTTCTTGAGTTTCCTTCAAGTCTTATTGAATATTCCATTCCTTTTGGAAAAGCACCAAAGTTATTCCCATATTCAAAGCTGGCAACATAGAAAAAGGTTGACAGCTATCGACTTATCTCTTTCCTAAACTGTCTGAGTAAGATAATTGAGAGAATTGCTTTTAACCACATTCACGCATTTCTGATAAATGAAAACTAACTACATCTAATTTAACCTGGCTTTCGTATCATGCATTCCACTACTACTGCACTGAATAACCTCGTTGATACTATCTATATATAATGACATATAATGACTGCGCAAGGCGCTCGAAACTGTACACCACACTTCCTTACTAGCCAAAGTTAAATGGTTTAACCCATATGACAACATGTATAGATTCTTCTTTCATATTTGACACAGAGAAACCAAGTTGTTACCTCCAATAGAGTTTTATCCAAAAAGTACTGTTTCTACTGGTGTTCCCAAAGGATCGATTCTAGGACTGCTGCTGTTTCTTATTTGTGTAAACGACTTACGTGCTAACCTTCCTGCTGAAGTTATTATTTTGCAGATGATACCACAATATCATCACATAGTATAACCCATTTGTTAGTTTCGTCAGATATTAAAAGTAATCTTAAAGGACTTGTTCCCTAAATTGGCGCCAAATTTTTTTGTCTTGATACTTGAGAGTAATAGCTATCTTTACACATCTGCAAAATACTACCACTATCTGGGATCTGAATCTGAACATTTGCTTGCTCATGTATAATATTATCAATGATATGGTTCATAGATATTAATCTGATTCAACAACAAGTGCGTCAGACGTACATAATCCTTGTTCACGCCTATTCAGATGCCTATTCAGACCAAGAGATAAAAGGATTATTTGTTTCATAATTTTCAAGTTTTATGGAACGAAAGTTTGGAATTCTCTTCTTTTAGAATTAAATAATGTATCATCTTACTCCCCCATGGTAGACAAAGTGTGAATCTTATTTTATGGACAAGCTTAAGGACCAATATTTTACTAACTATCGTTTTATTGGATATGATTTTATATTTAGATTGTTAATTTGTAATCCAGACTGAAAACAAGATTTGCTTAGTCTTGTAACTTACGTTAAAGATTTTCAAACATGTATGCATACACACACACATACACACACATACAATCCGTGTTTCTAGCCTGATGAAAATGTATTTTCGGCTGGCAGAGTTTTGTATTTCCATAACTATCAACTTGATACTTCATATCTGTATTCACAGGCGAGGCTCCATAATCAGAGCAAACAGAATGCTGTGGTGGGGGCTGGAAAAGGTGGTAGCTAAATTTGTTTTTGGGGGGCTCGTGCCTCCACAATTCATAAAAGTCTTTTGTTTTAAATTAAAATTCTTATTGCTCTCAAATGATAGTGCTCCAATAATTCTATCCTTACTACGGTATTGAAAAGAAAGATTGTAAACAGGGCTAAAATTCGGTTGTGAGCGAGCAGAATTTAGCAGCTCTGTTTTTCGTTCAAACAATCTCTTATCAATGACATTTTCAAGGTTAGATGTGTGAATTAACTTCCTTCGTTTCCACTCTTTCACAAACACTGTCTTCGAAATAAGCACATTTCACGTGTTTTTATTTTGATTAAATAGTTTTTTCAATCGTTGAAATAAGATCCTTTCCTATTGCCTTCCAAATGCGAGAAACCAATGGCGTTGCCGAGTGCTGTGAAAACATATCTTGAACATGTTAGGTGAAATTTCTATTTATATAAAAAATGTTTACATAACAATAGCACAGACATTGGGGAGACAAAATATAAAGAATTAGATCGTGCTAAAGAAACCCAAAACTTTGATTTGGGAACATTCGTGGTCGAAAGGTTAAAAGAGGCCCTGGAGATAAAGGAAACAAGCTGATTTCAACCTTAAATCTTTACGGATCTTAAGATTATCAAAAGCTAAAGACCCGTAAAGACTAAGGTTGAAAATAGCTTAATGTAAATGGCATTATTACAAAACTTGATGTTAGCTAATTACTATCTTTAAAAGCAGAAATATTTCATCACTAACTCCTAGGGCTCTTATGAATTATCCGGTTATGTATTTAACGATTTTCTTATAAATAATTGGCACACCGGTAACATGTATTGTTGATGTAAAATAACAATGAATTCATTTTGGTAAAAGTGATGGTGATAATGAATAATAGATAAGCTTGTGCTCTAAAAGTGTGTAATTTATCAAAATTATACGTGTGTTTTTAAACTGAATTTTTCAAGGGAACATTGCCACTGCTTTACATTCAACGGACCTTCAAGTGAACAAGAAAATCAGAAACAACTACAGGACATCAAATTCTGTACATAGTCGAATGAATTGAATTGTCTCAGTTCAGTGTTACATGAAGTAACTATGGAATGCAGTTTGGCTTGCCTTGATGATTTGATTTTGACAGACAAACGCACGAAGTTGCAATTATAGCCTTTTCACTTAACAATTCGTTAAATTTGCATGGAATGTAAACAAAAGGCTCTTCGCACGTGAGTTTTTTGGAAAGCATTTGTTTCTTTAACTGCCGAACAGCGACATTGCTAGTATGGCAGAGGAGGTGAGCTCAATCGGAAACGAAAAAGCAACGAAGCCGGGGAAAGGCCGAATTCAAGTGTCTTTGTTGGATGATACTGTGCTGGCCTTTGATGTTGAGGTTCGTTACTGTTAATAGTGACATTTAAAGCTATTTCTTTCGAATCTTTAATAAGTATTCTTGCCAGTGCGAGTGCAATTCATTACAATACATTTTATTTTATTTTGTGGGCTACCTTGCATCAAAGTTTTTTTCTAAAATATTTTACTTCTTGAACAGTTTATTGCAAAGATGGTGACCTTAAGGTTTTCCCTACATACAAATTGCTGTTGATGAGTAAATGCGCTGTTTCTTTTCCCTTCATCTTGTCTTCTGACAAGTTCCCACAACCAACCATGCACCAAGGGGTGGCAAACAAATCATATCCTCCCAACCATTCCTTGCTAATTTTACCTTCCTAAACATTCTTCACTCCTAGTTGGGTTTATTTTGGGTCGTGGTACCTTGTTTAGAAGCGATGATATGAACCGCTTATCGGCTGGGTCATTTTTATATCTATCCAAATCAGGGCACATTGTTCATTTATTCAGTGATCCACTTAAACAAATGTTCTCCCCAACCGCTTTGTGTTTTCGTATGAGAACAGGCTTTCGAAATCTTCATTCAAACAAAAAGCAATCTGATAAGAATTTTGGAGCCTCTTGTTCTCCTGGTTTTTCTGATCCGATGATACCATATACAATACCAGAATTAAAACATTTGAAGATATCTTCTGTTTATAGAAATTAAAGTCGGCTCCAAAACTGATTTAACGTGCAGTAAATTTGAGAGTAGCTAGAGCAACTAGACTTTTTTTAAATCTAGGGAAGCTTCCAGAAAATCGAATCTATTTATTCACTTATGAGGATTTGCATTCAACCTATCAAATCAAAAGATTCAAGATTCCTAACTTTGACATAATTTGACCATTGATAGCCCACACTGACAACAAAAGCACTATGATTATGTGGCCTTTGATTTCTCAATGGCTAGATAAATACAATGCCTTAACCCCTTCAAACATGTAATGACATCATATGCCTTCCTGTTACTTGTTTGTGCTATTGTTTGTCTATAGGATACCTTTGCCGATTTTTTATTTATCATTGGACAGTGGTTAATTCAAATTAACCACAAATGATGACTTGTATGCAATCAAACTATGTTTGTCACACTCTTTCTGTTGGTTCCTAAAAATGTGGTGTCTGTCTATTCTCAAACCCTTTGGCTGATGCTTCATTTTCAACTACTTCTAGGTTGTCTTTCAAAGTAGTCCACTGTCGGTTGACCCCTTTTCCAGCGAAAAGGGAAAAATTCCCCTTTGTATTTTTTAATGCAGATTGGTTTCTGGGGAGACTGAAGCACAAGTAACATATGACATACTTATTGAATTCCATGAAAAAGTCTGACCTTTAAAGAAGGATTTCTTAGTCATTGTTGCTTGATAAGCCTGCTGGATGGGCAGCTACTTGCAATCAACTACAAGGCCTAAAAGTTCATGATTTTGATCAATCCTAGACCTAGACAAGATTGGTTTTTGTTTTTTTGTTTACATTAGCTAGCTTTAAAGCCTGTTTACGGAATAACTTTCTGTATGAAAAATAAAGTTTTTTCTATTTCTTTGGCTTCCCATTTTAACCAACTACCATAGTTTTTATTATTTTACAATATTATTATTTGAATGCAATCAAACTTATAATATTACAATTCCTTACAATATTATTTTATTTGAAATCATTACATGTTCAAAGTTTCCCAATGAGTAATTGTTCAAAAATTACGTTTTATTATTATCTGTTACGTTATTGATTATTCTAAATTCAAATTTTGTTCTTCTAGTCTAAAGCAAAGGGTGAACAGCTGTATCAGAAAGTGAATGGCCACCTTAAAGTAGAAGAATCCGATTATTTTGGCCTACAGTATTATGACTCTGAAGGAAACCTGGTAAGGAATCCTGTCTTTTTCTTGGTTTGCATTGAAAACCTAACTGGAAAGTTTGTCAACAGATCATTGATTATTGCTGATACTGTCTATAAACATTGTTGGCTAATTCATTAACAAGACATTAACCCTGGTATTTTGTCAGCTGATAATTCAACAATGATGCATAGACATCAATGCAGTTTTCACATTTGAATAACTCTTTTCTGCAGCAGGTTCTACAAAAGATATAAACAAAGAACTTTGCTTTGTGTAAACAAAATCCTTAAATGAAAATATTTCTTGCATGCAGTCAGCCTGTTGCAACTAACTGTGATATTACTTGCTGAGTGCCTCAACTCTGCATATGTTTTTTGATGTTTTTAAGATAATCTTTTGAGTCTTCTGTTATAATCTCATGCATCATTGAACAGGGATAAAATGCTTATTTTTGGCTAAATCTAAGCCAGTACCAAAACCATAACAAAGCCCTTGTATCCAATGATTTTATTATTTGCATGCAGCATTAATCTGACATATTTTTCTTTTTTGCTGAAAATTTAATGAGTTTGGATTATTTCCCACTTCACCCCATGGAAACAGGGCCTCGTGTTGTTGTTTGTACTACAAAAATGAATAATTTCTGAAGTAAGACTTAATTTTCACTGTTGTGAAATCAGGAAAAGGAGATTAAATTAAGACTTGGCTGAGCTGAAAATTGTGTTCTAGATTTGAGAGTAATTGAAATTAAAATTAACTGCAGAGTAGGTAATGCTTTTGATGCTTTGGTGCTTCATATTGTTGTCTATATAGTGCATCAGAAAGCTCCAATTCATTTCTTACCCTTAATGGGGCTGGGTCATGTAACCATGAACAAAAATTTTGTGTCGGGCAGTCTGGGTGTAAGTCTTCTTAGGGATGACCTTGAGTTTGTTTTCACAAGGTAGGGCATTATAATCTTTGTTCTTCTCTTTTGGACAGTCTCTTAAACAATTGACCCATTGGCTCATTCAGCAATTTTTGCTGTTTGTGAACCTGGGCTTTCACAGACAGATGTCTCTTTGGCCAAACAGCCCATTACAACATTCACCTCTTGTGTTCCCGTTGCAGTTTGTGGATTGATTCTCCCACCAAATCACATTTCAGTTGCTGTGATGGATCCACGCTATCCATCTATTTTAACACAACAACATTGTCCCACCGCCTTACACATTACCCTGCCCCTTTAATTTATTTTATGCTGATAGAAATTTGATTATCAAAATGGGAAATGACCAGTCTCCACAGTTATTTTGTGTCATAAATGCCTACATTCTTAATTTGGCAATGGTAGAATTGTTGAAGGCAGCTGCCTGATTTCATCTTTCAAGTCCAAATTGCGGTACAAACTTTGACGTTCAATGCATAAGCTCTCTTTGTTTAGGGCTCATATTTAGATATATGACATTAAAGATTTGCTATAAATGTTCAACCATATATCTTACTAAGAATTGAAAGGCCTATATCCTCTGTTCATTGTTGAGAGTGACGCAGCACCATTTTGTCAGAGGCTTACCAGTTTTGCCTCAAAATTATATGGCATCAAATCTAAATGCAATTAGTCTGAAAATGAATTAATGTTATCAGCGACAAAATGTCTGATTTGTTATAAATTCAATTAAACTATTATTTTACAACTTGGTATTTCATTGGTGATATGCCAGTTAGTTACTTTAACATCCTGTTAACCTCTTAGAGCACAAAAAACTGAGACAGACTTTTGATTAGGTCCTTTTTTCAATGGCTAATAAGGAGATGAAATTTTAAAACTATTTTGTCTTATGTTTCCCCCGCAGATGAATTCCCATATAAACATTTGTTTGAAAATGTGAATATAGTGTTTTCAATTGAAGGTAACCACGCCAGCCTGACTTTTATCTGTTTTGGGATTTAGGCTGTTTTGTTTCCGCCCAATTTATAATTTACCACAAATTATCCACAACAATAATGGGTTTATAGAAAACTTCTTTATCCTTATTTCATTCAACTTTTGTCACTAGTATCCTGTGGTTTCTTATCATTTATTCTTTTTGGCTTGCTTTTTGATCTTTTCCGCTATCCTATTGAACTACAGGTCTTCATTAAATTTCTTTAATTCTTTGCTGTATGTTTCATATATTCTTGGCTTATTTGTCATTTTTTCAGTCGATGGCTCACTCGGCTATTCATAAATCGTTTTGCTCAATTGATTGCATAAATTGTCATTATTAAACTGATCAATCCTTGTTACTTTTAGTGCTGGCTAGATCCACAAAAAGCCATAAACAAACAAGTGAAAGGTGATTTGGATTCCTTGTCTTAGTATATTTAATAAATGGTTGTGTTGAAAGATAATTATCTTTTTATTATTTTATATAACTTTATAAATTGTTTTCCTAAAATCAAATTGCCAACCTCCTCCTGTGTGGATACAATGAAATCACTTTTTAAAACCCTGTTCAGTCCCTGTTCATGTCCCTGTTCAGCACCCAATTATAAAAGATGTAATTTTAGTAAATACCTCTTCCATCTTACTTTTTTTAATCATATTTGCACTCCTCACTCTAAAGAAAAATGTATTTGTATAAGGCCATAATGAGATATTTCCGTTTCGTTTTAGAATAGTTCTCTTATTGGTCAATTTTGTTTCCTTTTGTATTATATTTTCATTGCATTTCGCTTTTCTACTGAAGTTTTGCCAATGCGGGTTAAACTTTAATTGAGGAGCACACAACATGCCTATGATTAAATAGATATTGAGCCAACCATTGTTTAATCATTGTTGTTATTCTAACTGGTCAGTTGATCATGATGCATTTTTGTTGGGCTTAGTGATGTTGATTGCTGCAGATTCAAAAGCTTGATTCGTTTGGCCATTGGTTCAGTTCTTTGCTCCTCTATAAAATCACTTTTTTTGTAGAGCCCTCAAAAGTGACATTCAAATTTCGTGTTATGTTTTACACCCCAGACCCAAATGCATTACAAGAATACACCAGGTTTGTTGGTTTCATAGTTTATATGCCAATTTTTAAACAATATGCCCCATCAGAAACTTGCTCCTTCTTCTCTCTTCCTCTCCTTCTTCATTTTATTTATTTTTTCTTCTTCTCCATCCTTCTTATTTTCACCATTCGTATCCTCCTATCCCCTCCTCTCCCCTCCTCTTCCTTTTCTTCTTCTACTACTTCTTTATTTTCTTTCTTTTTCTTTATCCTTCTTTCACTTATCCTTCTTTCCCTCCGTTCCTCTTTTCTTCTTTTTCTCCTTCTGCTTCTTTGCTTTCCTTCTTCTTCTTTGCTTTCCTTCTTCTTCTTTATCCTTCTTTCCCTTCTTCTTAGTACTCTTCCTTTACTTCTTCTTCTTCCTATTCTTGTTTTAATTTTACTCATTCCTTTCTTGCTGACTTCTTTATTTGTCAAGGAGCCAGCCAATTGCTGAAGTGCATTGACTGTCTGTCGTTCTCATCCAAGGTCTCCAGGTCCTTTTAGGTCAGGGGTGTCCAACCAAATTTTTGTGTTGGGCCTCAGACAAAACCTTGCGTCGCAGGTAGGCCAGATGGATTATTACGTAATATATTGGCAAATTTTATAGTGAAAGGTAAATGGGTTACATGAAAAACTATATGAAAAAATACATAGTCAGTTGTAAAAAATAATTATCAATGCAAGTTATAACATTTACTTTGTGCAGAAAGTTCATTCATATCACACATTAAAAAAGAAGTTGACGTCATCATTTAAATGTTCATCTGTAAGCTTTTAATTTGCTTGTTTATTTTCATAAGAGATAACGTCTGCTTTCAGACCAAATAGGTTTGCATAATAATGAGAAAGTACGACAAATAACAATATATGATAATTTTGGCAGTAATGGCACTTCATAGACATAGCGCAGGGTTCAAAATATTAAAAGGCTATTGCTCAAGGGCCACGAAATATGCCCTAGCGGGCCACAGTGAGACATCTCTGTCTTAGATCAGGTCCTTTTACATTTGTCCACCAACGTACAGTGCCTGCCAAAAGTCTTTAAACATCAAAAGCTTTTTGTCAATTTTTGTCATGCATATTAGCAGTTTCCCCCTCCCCTTTCAAGCGATGTTGGATTATTTTCCATAGAAATGAACGCAGCCAATAATTTTGAAACTAGAGTAGCTGTGGTGTATTCCTAAAAGTTTTCGGGAGGAAAGAGGGCAACTTAGCTATCTTTTGTAGGCTTTAAGTAAAAATAGATCTAGAATTGACTGAAACTGCTCAAGTGTTCCAAGTATGTTAGCAAGCATTAGATTCGCCCAAATAGCAAGTATTTCCTTTAACGTCCATCAGTGTTTTTAGCATTTGTTCATCACTAATCAATGTGTAATTGAATTAAGTTTTGTTTTTCAATCTGTTTAAAGTTTCTGCCAATATTTAGTGTCTCTTTGCGAATAAAAATATTGAGGTATTGTGGAAGAGTGTACTGTCAAGCTACTGTCAATGTCCTTTATTACCAGATAATTACGTTAGATATTGATTTTACCGGTTAATGGACATGCTATCATTTACTATTTCAAAATTGTAGATATCTTTTCACCTTGCAAATTCGACGTGATCTACTTGATGGAAGGTAAGAATTGCTCATCTTGAGGCTGGTACTTCAAAATGTTCACGCTGTGACTGGATTTCTCCAAGACTCAATTTCTGATTTTAACTAGAAACGTGAAGGACATTCAATGCACATATTGTATAAATCGCATATATTTGAAGAGGTAGACAGATGTTTTAATGCAGTATTTGTGTGTTTGAATATCTATTCGAGACACAATAATGTTTGACATTTTATGGCTAAGCTGCAAGCCGTTCAAAACACCGTTTTAACGATTTTGTTGATATTTTTACCTAAAGACCCGTTCAAGGAAAAAATTCTCTCCTTTTTTCTTTTGGAATAAGGTTTTTTTGTAACGATGAAATTTTCAAATTCATTAGTTTAAACTTCACCGCAGCTGGGATAAGAGAAGGATTTTTCAGGCCTATTTTGTTTCAAAAACTTCCTCTTGGGTTTTTCACTTCTTTTACAATTAATCTGCTCTTTTTCTAAGGCTTCACTGTAGTGCGGATACGGGATCTCTACTCGCCTCATACATTGTTCAAGGTATTTACCCAATTTACTTCTAATTTCCACCATTTAATTTAATCTGTTTTAAATGCTTTTCAAGGTTGCTGTTGTGATGTCGGGATTCTCGTGTCTGAAGATTTTTTCAAAAATACTGAAACTTTTCTCACTCAATAGAGGACAGGTCGTTAATAATTCTCACCAAACGTATCTGGTACTCTTAACGACCATTGCCATAAGAGGATTGGGGGAGCTGCTCGTCCATGTCCCCCTCAAATGTATCTGCCTATGTTTATTTAGAAGGTATCAAGGGTCATGTATGCATAGCTTTGCCAGAAAGAAAGCTATAAGACCGCTCACAATTTGTTGTTTTTGCATTTGGAGTTGGTGTGAAAGGGAGATCTAGCTTTTGTTCTTTTGGTTTCAATCCAATTTCTTATAAAATCTGTGTTTATCAGTTGTCACTTCAATTTATGTACCGAAGGGTATATTGATCGATAGCTCTAGATTTTTTAGTTACCCCGAGAATGAAAGTAAAATTGCGGTTTCTTTATCTTTAATACCTTATATATAATTTAAAGCTTGAACTTTTAATCGAATGATAATTTCCTCTCTTTGCATGTCTGTTTTTATTACAGGAGAACTTGGTGACTTTGAACCCACAGTTCATCAAGATGGTTATCTTTCTGGTTTTCAGTTCGTCCCAAATCAGGTTTGATTTTATGCTGTTATTCAATTGATTGGATCAAGATCTATCTTATTTCATAAGCAATCTTTCATTAATTGACATAAGCACAGTTTTTCGGAATTTGTTTTCCATATGGTTTTTGAAACCATTTTCAAATGTATTAATGGGATTTTGAATAGTCTGTTTTCTTTCAATGTCATCCAACTCGATTATTCATTTTACCTTAAAAACATTGAAAGATGCAATATGGTTGAATTTACGAACTCTTGTTTGAACTTATTTCTGTTTATAGCGTGTCTCATCGGTATTCGAACTTAAGTATATTTCTAGTGGAATGTCGTCAACCTATCTTGCACGTTATTTGCTTCAAAGATTAATTTAAAGAGATGTCAGAATGTTAGTCCCGCTTCAACCCCTACACAAACTTTTATTTTTCAGCAATTTCTTCCTTAAGGTCAGCTTAGAAGTTTGAGAGAATTGAATGGATCTTTATTTCTGTAGATTATATTCTAGACTATAATCTTTTTTTAGTATATAAACTTTCAATGTCTATTGACTTTTGAAATCTCCTGGTTAAAAATTTTCTTACAAAGATTATCACCCGGTAGGTGGGTGCTTTGAGCGGGCCCGTCGCGAGCTGAACAGAGGCTAGATTTCCCCCATGCTTCGAGCGGAGAGGGCCCCCAGCTATGTTCCTAACAACAACAACAACAACAACAACAATGTATCATAATTTTTCATGACGGCTTTGGGATATTTTTCCTGATTTGTAATGAGTTTCTCATTTGTTCTGCCAGCTCTCTAGCAATTTTAGAACTTTGTGTACGAACAAATTAGCTTACTTGAAGAAGCTGACAGTTCAGATGTAATTTACTAACAGTTTTAATATATTTTTCTAGAGCCCCGACATCGAAGACAAGATTATTGAATACCACATGACGCACAGGTATGTTCAATGCGAACGTCACTTTATGACACATCCACTGTTCATGAAAGCGTTGAAATTCTGTATAAACAGCCAAAGAATATAATATTTTGCTATCAGAGAAGTGGAAAAATGTAGCCTAGTATGCAACAAGGGAATATTTCGATGGAAGAAGCACAAAGTGTTTGAATGGATACTTCATTAATAGCTGAGAATTATCTTTGCATATATTTATCTTTTTCAGCTCGGTCCTCGTTAGCGACTAAAACTCAAGAGACTTGACACAAGGATTATTCAAAACCTTCTAATACACGTGCATTTGTTGTAATTTCCCCATTAAGAATATTCAAAATAAAAGAGCAAGTGATTTAGCAAGATATGCTTAGGCTTATGCTTGTGTCTAGACTGTCCCCAAAAGCACATAAGGCTTGTTCTTATGGCGCTAGTGAGGACCAAGCATATCAAGTGTTTCATTACGATGGAATTACATGTTCTTATTTGCTTATTTCAATTATTAGCGTTCTTCACAAATGAGGTGATTAATTTGATAATTTCATTAATTGTTTATGCTTTTATCTGTTATCATTCAGGGGGAAAAGTCCAGCTGAGGCTGATCGCAATATGCTGGATGTGGCCAGAAATTTAGAGATGTATGGAATAACTTTGTACCCTGCTAAGGTACTTTTTGGAATTTTTTCTTTTAATTTTTCATCCGATGCGATAAATATTGTTACAGTGGTAGGTTCTGTGGCAATGAATTTGCAAAGGTCAGGTGAGACTGCAGCTATTTTCTTGAAAACAGGTTGTAAGCGAAACCTCTTGTTTTTAGATGGCTTTTTCAAAGTCCTACCGTTCGTTTCCCACGGCTTGGAATTCAGTTTTGATTTCCTCTTCTCAAAAAGCAGGCAGATCCATCACATGTCTACCTGTAAGATGTATTAGACGATACCGTTGCCCATCTTTTCGTTAATAGCAACTTTTATTTGCAGGACAGGGATGATGTAGATCTCAGCCTTTCTGTCTTCCACATGGGCATTTTGGTTTTTCAAAATCAATCAAGAATCAATATGTTTTCCTGGTAAGTATAGCTTTTGATGTTTTGAAGATATGTGTTTGCAAAAGTTTATTAATTAGAAACTTAGTTGAATATTTGCTAGATAATTAATTGGTTAGATAACTATGTTAATGACTATTGTCATGGGAAAATGAGGCACAGAAGAGCTGCAATTTCTCAGCATTATTTATGCACATTGTTAGTAGTTGTATTCAAGTTTCAAAGCACCGTTGTTCTCAAAGTTACTATTCATTGAACAGCTGCAAGTTGCCTGACGAAGATATTTTATATATTACCATTTCTTGGTGGTACTAATATTAAGAATGGCTTTGAAAAAAGAAGCATTTTGAAGCATACTTAAGCTTTTCATTTGACACTCTTCAGAGTATAAAGCGCCAGAACATAGATCGAAAACTTCAAGCTAGGAAATTATTAATTTTTATATATATACGAATGGAAATTTCTATGCTTATCATTATGCTAATTTGCTAGATATAGGTCACTAGTCTCAGCTATTAAGATGATCTTCTTCATTAGATGATAAATAATTTATTTGATAAATGTTTTTACTGTATTCGATATATATTTTCAGATTTTTTTCTTTATTTGAGTTCTGCCTTCTTGAAACTGAAGTTTGATATCGCCATTTTTTGAAATGAATTTTTTTTTCAATGAAGGGCAAAAATTCGAAAACTTTCTTTCAAGAAAAAGAAGTTTGTCATTAAACTTCATCCAGGGGTGAGTAACATTGAACTATGTAGTCGCAACTTTCACTTAAAAACGTAAAGCTCATCATCACAGGATCTTTTTTTTTTAATTGTGTACGTCAACGATACTGTATTTGTCATCAAAATAACCCAGCGTTTTTTTTGAGTTGTTACCCAAAGAAGAAAATTTTAAAAAATTTTTGCTAAAAGGTTCACATTTAACTTTTGCAGGTTTACACGGCCGACGTAGTTGTATTTCTAATGCAAAGTAGAGATGCTTGCAAGGGATTCTGGAAAATCTGCATTGCACATCATGTGTTTTTCAGGTTGGTTCTATTTTCAGCTTTGATTGCACCAAAATTGACACTTATTGACAAACTTTTTGGGTCCCATAATCTCGATAAATCTTCTTATATGTTTTTCTCGTCTATTCATTTCCCATGGAGACATCAATGTTTGCCTGATAGATTTTTCCTGTAAAAAGATCTTTTGATAAAAAGCAAAGCGCGCCATTTTAATGTCACTTTTGCTGTTTGACAACATAAAGCCCTTGTTGGTTTTTGTGAAGTTGTGACTCATATCGGTCGACATACTGCAGTGTCTTCTCTCCAATAATATATTTACCTTATTCTCATTACAGACAGAAAAAGGCCACCCAGAAACATCGTAAATCATCAGTTTTGTCACGTGGCTCAAAGTACAGATACAGGTTCGTTCATGGTTATGTAAATCGTCTCTAGATGACACACAAGAATTTGTCGTGTATTTTCCGCAAATATAACTTATTCTGTTTCCCCTTGCATTCATTTTCTCTTGTTGGTTCTCTTATCGTGTCCTTCCCCTTTTTAATGTCACACCTTCAATGGGTACTGTTTTCTTGCACTTACGGATGTGAGTATGCACATAATGAGAAGTGCTGTTAACCGGTCTGTTGCAGAGTGTTCAATGCTTTTTAGACGGAGTTGTGAACACTCAGTGTGTAGATCAGAACGGAACCACGTTGCAACTCTGAAGTCTCACATTTAATGTGATAAAAACAGGAATGCTTGATGATCCCTTCATCCTGAAACTTCTAGTAGCAACCTAGAACAGCCATTTGTACAGGGGCGGACACTTGGTCAAATATTGGGGGGGGGCAATACTATTGTTTTAATAAGATGACGTCACGTTTTCCATTGTTTCAGAAGAAAAGACTATTGTCATCCAATGTATTGGGAGCGACCCCCTCGCCCCCAGGTGTCCGCCACTGCCTTCGTAGTCACAGACATTGCATAATTTTTTAAAAGAACTTTACTAATGTGATGTTTGTTTTCAGTTTCTGTAAATAGCATCTGTTTTTCACCTTTCTGTAAATAACACCCACCTTTAACTTATCATTGAGATCATGTTTCTAACGGTTAGTTTACAAAACTGTTGATGTGAAAACGCAAGTTACAATTGCTAGTCTATTTTTTACCACTCTTCTATGCATTGTATACATGTACACTGCAAATCTGATAAATTCTTTTTCATTTTCAGTGGTAGAACGCAAAAACAGTTAGTGGAAGAATCTCGCGATACTTTCCGACCCACGGCTGAGCTTGAGAGGTAAACGCATTTCCTTGTAATTTCCAAAATAAGATAAATTTTTCTATTGTTATGTTGTTTTTTTGCTATTCATCGATTTCATTGCTGGTCAAGGTAGATGAGGTATGGCGCCACCGTCCTATTCCAAAAAAGATGGTGATAAGACTGAAGAGAGAGCCTTGATTATTCGCTTCCTTTCACTAAACATGCCAAAATGTGAACTTGCTAATTTCACCCAGCCAACTTCCATTCAGCTTCCGTGTTGCCACGCGTGATTTCGCGGGTTGCCCCTTTAACCGTACCGTTCATACGTAGCAAGGTTCTTAATTTCCATCATTGGCTAGTTTCCATAGAAGTTAAGTTCTTACAAGTATAAGTTGAACTGCCAGACATACTCTCTTAAAAATGATCTAGTAACATTTGTTCTCACGTTTTCGGTATGTAATATGACCCAGTGAGCAATCTCCGACGCCTAGAAATACGGCGTTTTACCTGTGAGAGGGGTGTTAAATAACACACGGAACAACCTTCCTGCCTCTCTTAAAGTGGATCACCACGATGCTTATCTAGCAAAGTTTGTAGACTTATTGCCTTCTTTGTTGCTTATTTGCTTGTTTTTCATAGCAATTTGATTCTTGAGAAGTTGTCAAAGCATTGTTTGATCATCCTTTTGCATTCTATTACCAGTTTTTGTTTTTTATCGTCTTTAGAAACCGCACTTCAAGGATTCATCGTGGGAGCGAGGCTCAGACTCCAATCGGCAGTGTCAACAGCAACGAATTAACGATTTTACCAACAACCTCGCCACAGTCATACACATCATTCAAATTGGACAATTCTCCCCCAAAACACAACCAGAGCTCTTCAAGTTTCAAAAACTCTACCGATGCTTCAGAAGATGAAGGCAGCTTCGTTGTTGGATCGCGTAAATCATCTCAGCAATGGGATAACTCTCATGATGCTGTCGAAACTCTAGCAGGCGCAGTTCATCTCGAATACGATGCCATTAGGATACCGCAACAAGATACAAAAGAGGACGAGCAAGGTAACTTCATTTGAAGCATTTCCCAGTTTTCGTTAATGATTTTCTCCGAAGCAAAGACAGATATTTGCATTGGTGAATACCAAAACAACGAAAAGGAAGATGGCTTTGAAAAAAGCAAACATTTGAGTAAACTAAAGCTTTTCGTCTAACACTCTTCAGAGTTTAAAATGTCAGAACATAGATCGAAAACTGTACGCTAGGAAATATATAGACCCAGTTGTGGATCGAAGGAGGCCAATCAGAAACGTTCATCAGTTTTAATAAGACGACGTTACATTTCCCCATTGTTTTAGAACCAAAGACCATTGTCCTCAAAATTATTGGGGGCGACCACCCTCCCCTCACCCGACCGCTCTTATACAAAGACATTTTCAAGTTTTATACCACCAAAAGATTTTTTGCATATTTCAAGAAAAGGAAGATGTTTGAGAATGGAGACTTTTCCAAACAAAAACAGAAATGATATTTCCAAATTCTTTATATCATGATTGATTAATCATTGCTGACTGATTTGTCAATTTTGTGGATTCTTTCTTTCTGGAGTTTTAGTATCTTGCTGTGTTTATTCTGCTTTTGTTTTTATCTGGGACCCAAAATATTTTTCAATGACCAATAGTCCCGTGGTCCGATACTTTTTCTACCCCTGGCCCTTAAATATGCCGACCGGCACTGTTTGAAAACGAAGTTCTAAAAACCGTGACTTCTAGAGGTGATTAATTTGCAGGTTATGTGTGTTAAATCTTTTAAAAAAGTTTTAAGTCCCTGTAGATGAAATATCTTGATATGAAACAACGACTTCAAAATGACGAACTTCTCCACATTTTGCAGCTGCAATATTTCAATCTTGGTTCATCAGGATTTTGCTGCAAGTAAAATGCTTGTTTTAATCCTTCATATGTTGTTATATCATATTTGCATTTTTTTCCAGAAGTTCTAGCTCAAAATAGTGATAAAGCAGAGATTGATGCAGAGGAACCAAAAGATGAAAGAAGAATCCGTTCAGATAGCGATACAGAAATTGGACGACAAGTCCAATCGATCTACAGCCAGATAGAGAAAGAGACGAGCTGGCAGTATCATTTAACACCAACTGACATAGACGATGGCGAAATTGTCGATACACATCTTGAAAATGACATTAATGAGCTTGTTAACGGAGAGATTGATCAGGTGGATGGCGACACAAACCATATAGACCTTGATCTGGGTTTCGGAGGGAAGCACCAAATGACTAATGGCGATCTGAATGCAAATGAAGTTGAAGGAATCACACTCGAGACTGAAGATGTTTTGCTTCAAAGTAAAATGAAAGGTAACTATGACTCATTCTTTCCTTTGCAGTTTATATGTATTTCTATCGAGCTTGATTATCATACTTTAGATATGCTTCTATCTTTTATTTCTTCTCATTGCAGTCGGCTTCCATTATTTAACAAAAGATGTACATTTTCAGTTCATAAGTGGTTATAGTATAATTGAAGTATGCTGCTTCGGTCTCTTGCATCGATTTCTTGCATTCAACCTTTGCATTGGTCCCTTGAACTAGATTGATATATTTCTTAAGCTCAGTGGGCTGTATCCCTTGTTCTATCACTCTTGTATCTATCACCTTTATTTTGGCATTGAAAATCTGTGTTGTCGTCATTTAAACGTGTTACAGTTTTTGACATTGAAAATCTGTGTACCCGTTACCGTCATTGAAGTTTTGTTTTGCACTGCTGGCCTTGATTCTACTTTGCTATTTCATCATACATTTGAACTTTCTTCGATAAGGCTTGCATTTTGTACCTGCAGCCAAATCTACTGCAATCAACCATTTTTGTTTCATTTCACCATTCTCCACTGCATCTGCGTCGCACTTACTGGGTTTTCACGTTCAAATAATTCCAATTGGCAATTCTTCATCATATCTATCTTATTGATGAAGATTACTGTTTCGCCGATCTGTTTGATACGCTTGATGCCATACAGACAATGCTGAACACGCATTGGTATAAAAACAGGTCCGTTCAGGGTGTTGCCTCCGCGTGAAACACGGAAATGCAACTTAGTGCTGTCTTGTTCTGCACATTGAAGCGTTTCTCCATGTTATGTCACTAGTTTATCTGATGTCACTAGTCACGTTTTCCATGACTTGTAGCACCATTTTAACGTTTGGTCTAGAGGGAAGATATTTACTAACTTAATCTTTCAAGCCAACGCCAATTTAATTTTCCGACGACAACGCCAAATTGAAATTAACACAGCTCTTATTCTGCCTCCTTTTCAACAGGCGTTAACTCAAATAACCAAGAAATATAGACGATGTTGATGTGCATTGAAACAAGCCTCTGTTGGATGTCCATTTCGTGGCTTGCTTGCTGTACCGGAGGAAGACTAAGAGCTGGCTTAATTTCTTTTGGCCGTTGTCGTTTTAGGACAGAACCAAAATTTATGTGACTTTTTATAGTTATTTTAACATATTGAGCCATAGAAACAAAGGAATTTATGCAAATGTTGTGAAAAATGTCTTTAAGGCGTACGAAGCATCAAAGTGTATGGTTCTACATACGGTCGAAGGTCATTTGAATTTGTGAAAATGACTTGCAATTTGATTTTTGTTGGGGAAAAGGCTCTCGGTTTCTCCAAAAGTATATATAAGGAGATTTTGTTTTGGGTGTAAATTGGGGCCAAAATGCCTTGTAAACTGAGATTGATCCCCTTTTGTCTTGCAACGGAAAGCGTTTTCAACGACTTTCTCACAGCAATTTACTCCTTGCTGACAACAAGTCTTCTGGTTGAGGCAAAAGCTCTATGCTTTTAGGATGTAATGGAAAGTTGTTACCTCGAATAGAAAACGAGTTTTCATTGCTTAAAGGTGATTCTTTTCCGTTCCGTGGTACCAAAGTAGGGAAAAAGATGTGTATAATTGTAGCATCATTTTGTCTGTGCAACTTATAATGTTTTTACTTTTTTTAAGTAGTAGCAAATATTTTATTGTGAATTTTTTACTGTCTTTTCCTTTCTTTGTCCTTTTTTTTCATCATTCTTTTTGTATTTGCTTGTAGTCAAATCGTTTATCTTATTGTTATCGTACGCACCTTTGCACGTTTATATTTTCATAGCTAATCAAGAATACTCAAATATAACTTTGCTTACTCTCGTCATAAAGTTAGAATCTCGTTGATCATTGTTCCAAGTCGTTTAATGTTTTCCTTTGAGGAAAGTCTCTTTCTTATCTCCCTTTTTTAACTGCCTTTTATTTGCGATCGAGATTTCTTTCGAACTTTCTCCTTCGTTTGTAAGCTATGACGCTATTTATGTTCAGAGTTCGTTGTTCTGTAAAATGGCCGTAAATGAATTTTTACGTATTTTCTTTATTTTTTATAGTATTTAAGCTTTTAAAGCCAATGATTCGTTGCTTAGATTAAGCTCAGATATATTAGATGTTCAAGAATTTGAATCTAAGCATTAAGATTTTGTGTATTTTTGATTTATTGCTCTTTACCCGGGCTTCTAGTTGCATGGCTGCCTTAAATCTTTTACTCATAAGGACACGCATCTTATCAAAACAATCTTTTAGCCATCTTTAAGCTTTCGTGAATCAATCAAAAGTGGTGTGAAGCCATATACTGTGAGAGAGATCCTTGGTCAAAAAATGCAAATTCTCGCGAAGAAGACCATTTGTGATATGGAATCAGGTCGATGGGCAGCAGTTTGATTGGGTATCGTCCCTTGGGGTGTACAGGAATCTGATTTGCTGTTATTATGCCTGCTATTTGCAAGGTTGCCAATCAGATTACTAAATACCGCTAACCAACCGGACTGGTAGATAGCATTATAAACAATTGAAATTCGAAGGAGTGCCTATAGGGCGAGTCACCATTGTCACGTTCTGTGACAATACTTTCTGTTCAGGGATAATTTTCCATTACCATTAACTGCTTGGCGATGCTTTCTTGCAATTGTGTTTTTTGTTATACTTCTTCTATGGGTGTTTTGTTGTTTCATACCTTTTCAAAAGGCAGCAGAAAACTTAAGGGTGGTTTTTAAATATTTCTTAAGTTCTTCAAAACTACCGCATGGCCTAGAGAATGGTAAACGTTTGGTTGCATTCGGAAAGTTTTTTGTTCAACATTCATAATAAAATACAAGGCTAGATGGTAATCAAAAGATAAGCTAGTTCTGTGAAACGATGAAGGTATGATTTTATGGAACATTCGGATATTTGTCGTGGTACCCAGCTTTGGCACCATTTGCTTAGCATTCGCTGCAACTTAGAGAGTGACTGTAGAGAAACTAAATGATTGCGACAGAGGATTGAGAAACAGCAGGCGTATTGACAATTGTTAATTGCTAGTCGTGGTAACATGCTTGGATTACAGTGACTTTGTGATCGGAGGAAAAGATGAAAATCTTTGGTAGTTAACGATAGACAAATTATTCTTTTGATGAAAGTTTTCCTTTTGTTTTTAACATTGATGGCACGCTTGCTAAGCTGGTGCGTTTGGACCATCAATTGTTCGGTACTCTGCTTTTCGCAAGCGATCAATCTCTACTGCATTCCATTCTCGCAAAAGATCGATCGCTTTTCTGTTGCTCGCTACAACATCCTTTCTTCTTAGCTACTTTTTGTTTTCAAGCTTATTTAAAATGTAAACCAGGCTATCGAATCTTCACGTGTCGTACATTTTCCATTGCCATGTCTCAAATTTCAGATTCTTTGGTGCAAGTGATATCCACTTCCAATGGCACTGACAGCAAAGAAAGTGGCCAGGCAATTTTGTCACAACATAACGGTGATATGGAAAGTGACCCGGTTTCGAAAAACGAGGATTCGTTTTCAGTCGAACGTAAGGAAAACGGGAATGTTGAGCTTGATATGAAGGTATTGTTCGTTTGATCTTTCAGCTTTATAACTGTAGATGTTTAATTTAGTTTTTACACACTTATAATTCACTTCTTTTCTATCTGTGGATCCTTCATGTTAAATCTGAAAGATCAATAATATCTATTCATGTAACCACAACTTTGTTGATCACGGGATGACAGTAAATAAGGACACTACGGTAAGGACAGAAAGGGAATGAAACTAAGTAATGGCAGAGAGGAGCACCGCCACTTGAATAGTGCGCGCGAGAACTAAAAATTGCTTCCTGGAACGTTAGGATCGTTGGTTATTCAAGTTGACCGTATAATTCGCTAGTATATTAATTATTTTTGTCGTGTTTAATAACGTCTTTTATTTAGTTCTGTAGTGTTTGAAACCAGTATTTAGAATTGCCTTAGCCATCTTTTTAACACTTGAATCACTGTTTGTACCGTCCAGTTAAAATCAAGCGTTGTCTGTACAACTCAAATTGACACCTTTTTATTGCTATTTCTTACATTTTTTTTGTTTCTTAATTTCTAGATACCGGATACTTTATTTCACATGGTGAACGAAATTCTCCTAACAGAGCGAACGTGAGTGATGTGATATTTTTCAACGTTGAAGATAGCCACAAGGCAAATTTTATTCAAAATAAAGTCAAAACAAAAACATGTTTAGTCGAGGCACGCTGAAAGTTTATGAATGGTATTAATTTCCTTGATAAATGCTCATGATGCACCTTAAACACCCTTTTTATGTAAAACTGGTAGCTTTTTTTCTTATGTAATACTATAACTTTGTTATACTTTCCTCGCATTTTTTTTACCCTTAGTTTTGTTTTTTTGGTACTTGCAAGTGTATTAAGTATGATTTTATCCTATCTTGGTATGATTTTGCCTGCATCTTGGTCATATTTGATTACATTCGAGACGAGCTTTTGGCGACATCAGTTCCTTCCAACTCGAAAAACTTGAAGTTTAAGTTTCCTTTACTTTTTGTTGTAGATATGTTAAAGACCTCGAAGTTTTAACAGTTGTAAGTAAATCCATTAGGTTCATTTAACAGTCTAGTTTTTCTATATGCTACAACAGCGGCACCCATTTTTGAATAAAACCGATACTATTTATAAGCTAAGCAATTTCGAGGCAGTTTCCTCCGCATTTCCCCTCTGCTAAACATTACTTGCAAATAGGAAACTTTTTGCTTATTTTAAGCTGAAAATTTTTTATCAGGTATTCAGTAATTATTGATATTTTTGAAAATTTGACTGATTTGAAGATATTGTAAAAACTTGTAAAAACGATATGACAGTAAGTCAAGGTTGAGAATTGGCTTCCCGCACTTCAGACAAAGTTAACAGTTCAGATGAAAGTAAAATGTTTTAAACGATTGCAAGAAATGAAAACCTTATGGCCTCCCTGCATAAGGCAGCAAATGAATGACCACTGTCGGTACTCTTTCATATTTCATCAGATATTCAAAATTAAGCCAACCTGATCTGATTTTATTCATAAGATTTTTTATCTATCAGATATACTTTGGAATATTTGTAGATTATTTTTTGCCGTGTTACACGATATCCGTGATAATACATGACTCCGATCAGATATCTTAATGTTATCTCACCAGGATTCTTACTGATATTTATCTCAAAGGAAAGTATTAGTTGAAACCAATCCTAAGTGATTTTTTTATCTTCTTCAGTCCTTTAAAGAAGAAATGACCGCAAACGGCCTCATGCCAGATTCACTGATGGATTTATTTTTTGGAAATATCGACCCCCTTTATGACTTTCATTGCTCATTTCTTGCTGAGTTGGAGGACAAAGTATCAGTATGGTGGGTAAAATTTACGAACATTTCATGCTTTTTATGTTACACTCCCCCGTTTTTGGACTCACGCTTGATAAAATGAATGAAAATTCCATCCCAATAACATATATGAATTTCTGCATGTCACTAGTAACTGTGACTCACTCTCGTGTTTTTAATGCTCTGGGAACTTCCTCGACTTTTACCTATCAAAATTAATTGCTAGAAACTAATCCAAACGTTGATTGCTAGATATTTATTCATTTTGCCCAGAAGTATACTTCAATTCAGAGTCAGCTTGCTCCCAATCCAACCACACAAAAGCTACCAATTGTAACGTTATTTTGAATGCGACAAAATAAACCCAACATGTGCTTCAAGTCAAAGATTTTCCAGACTCTCACTCACGTCGTACCCAACTAAAGCTGCTCCGATGCGACTTGCTTTGGTTACTGCAATCTAACCAAAGACTTATTAGACAGCAGGTCATTTTTGTAACTATTATATCATATTTTGTTTGGGTTATCTCGAATTCAAAATTATGCGTAACTTTTTGTCTTCAATGACACTTACAGGGAGGCAGATCCTTCTGATTCTAACAATGTCATGAATATCGGAGAAGTCCTGCACAGTAATATGAAGAACCTCAAGGTGTGTTTATGTAGTTTGTGATAATGTAGTGGAAGCACAGGGACAAGGACCGTTACCTTATTACGTAATGCCTATTGAACAGGTAAGAATCGGTTAAGAAGATAGATGTAACCAAAGATGTTGAGAAATATCTTCAAGAACTAATAAGATAGGAAGTAAACATTTTATAAGAACTGACACGTGCTACATGTATAAAGAGTTAGTTCATTTTTGTAAGCAGTTGAAGATTAACTGCCCAGGAACAATTCTCTATTTTTGAAAATTGCAATCTTGAGAGAATTGAAATAGCTTTTATTGCATAGTACAAGGTCAAATTTTGAGATATGGATTAAACAGTGGGGTATAACAAGCTCCAGGAAAACGTTTCCAAAACTTAAAGACAGTGTATGAAGCATGCTTCAAGAGGCTGTATCTTGGTGTAAGCCAATCAAGGTTCAAATAGTTTGATCTAAACCAATCACAAAATAGCTGGGTTCATGTCAGCATTTCATGAGCAGTTTTAACGATCATTCATGCAACATCAACCAGTATGGACTTTAAAAGCGGATGGAGTATGTTTGTTATGACCGCCAAAGTGATATTATTTTTTATAATGTTGCAGCCTACTTGTGATAAACAGACCATAATCGTATAAGGTATAATAGGGTCCGTTTTTAAGGCTACCTTCTTGTTAACCATATTGTGTTCAAATGGTCTGTGACTATGAATTACCTTCATTTTCATTACACAGCTACTTGTCACTCACGTGAAGAATTTGGATGAGGTTCTTTTGAATTTCCACAAAGAAATCATCAAGTCACCAAAACTCAGCGTAGCTTGCAAAGAATTTGAGGTACATGGTTTTAATTTTTGTAATTCAAACTACAAACGTTTTCTTAGCAGCTTTAGCTCTGTTGGATTATCGTGTGTTTGCTGAAGTGATTCTTGATAATGGAAGCACGCCAGTAGCAGCAATTCAAAATAAAGACGATTTAGTTTCTTGACAAAACCACTGATTCTGGCCACAATTGCTCACGAACATTCTCGTGCCTTGGTATAAGCTTCTTAATCATCTTTGGTGTTTATCTTGTCTATTTCTTGAAACAATGTACGTCATTCCTGCTTATTATGCGTCAATAATAAATAATATAACTCATGGTTTTGCCTCGTTCTGGAATGGTATCTCGACTGAGAATCGTTACTTATAACGTCATTTAGCAAACTGAATCGTAGCCATGACTGTGACAATATCATTAAGCTTTGTCGGTTTAAAAAGTCTTCTTGGCCTAAACAGACAAGTTAATTCACGTTTACTTTCATCGTAGCATTCATGTCTACTGCTTTATTTTGCACAATCCCCTAAACATTGTACTGCACTGGCCTTTGTTCAAATTTTCGTAGTTTGTTTTCTGAATTTTGCGTTTGCACTATTTGCTTAAGATTTCTTAAGATGAAATCAGAAATAGAAGATTGAAAAAATTAAGTCTGGCAATGTTCGACGCATACTGGCACAAACCTAATGTGCTTTTTAAAAAAACTTATTTCATTATTGTAATAAGCTGGTCTGCCAATGTTTAGGAAATAAATTTTCTTGCTTACATTTGCACAGAAATTGGCACTGAAGGATGAGCCCTCCCGGTTAATCAACCATTCTTCTCTGTGGGTCTGATTATGATTTTTATAAATAAGATATTCTCGTTACCATGTCGATTTTAAAGCTGATTTGTTTTTCCTTTTTCTCTTAGCTTGACAAAGTGTGCTATCTTCCGCTCAATACCTTTTTGTTAAAACCAACTCAAAGACTGCAGTACTACAAAGGAATTTTTCCCAGTAAGTTTCCACTTTCATTTTTACAATATTGCAAACTTCCAATCAAATGGCCTTCAAGCAAGCACCTTGCAGTGAAAGTGAAGCTTAAAATGTGTACACTTTCGAAATTTTGACAGTTAATGGAAAATGCCATGTATTAGAAATAGCTAAAAGTTCAGAACGTTGTACTTTGTGATTTTCTTTATTTTGTTTTGTTCCAATTCAAAGACAGTGCCTTCTAGAACTCTTACAAAATGGTTTGAAGAATCGCTCTCACTTGAGAATCGCTCTTATTTGTAAATTCCTCAAAAAGTTCAATCGAATATATTACGCTTCGTTGTTCGGAAAATCTAGCTTTAACTTGTTTTTGTTTCAGGGCTTTATAAAGAATGTCAGAATGGGGATGAAGTCAACTATAGCTTGACAAAGGCGGCCTACTTGGAAGTTTCTGATATTTTAGATTTAGTTTCTGACCACGTCACGATGCTTGTAAGTATTTTTGCACTATGAGCACGCTCAATTATCATACCAATAAACTATTTTAAATCAATTCTTACATTGTTAGCATCCTTTAAAACATTAACCCGAACTTTAAAGAGACATTATGATATTCAAAGAAACAGAGATCAAAAAAGGTCTGTTGGAGTAAAAAGCACCGTCCCTCTTTTATTGAAACCATCTCAAGTAATTTTATTTGATATCTGATACTAATTTCATCACAAATGATTAAAAATAAATGCGAATCAAGGCTTATGGACTATTTAAAATATTAAAGTTTCAAGCCCAAGCAGCTTCTCATGATATCTTTTCATAACGTTCATTAGTTTCACTTGGTATTTCTTTTAGGTAAGGCTTTTCTTTAAAAGTAGATGAAGAGTTTAAGGAATTATTTTTCTTCTATGTTTTTTGTAATATTCGTTCATTTCCTTTTAGCTGTTTAATACTAGTGAGGGGTGGGTATGTTTGAAATTCAGAAAGTGATGTTATTTTTTTATCTATTCCAGGAAAATCTTCACAAGCTAATTGAACTTGACAGGGATTTAATTGACGTAGAAAATATCGTCCATCCTTCAAGGGTAAATTTCCTTGCTTTTTAAGTTATTTGTTTGTTCGTTCTAATCCTCTCATGGTTTATTTTTGGCTTTATGATGAATATCTATTCAAAATTCTTGCCTGTTGCTCCTTATTTACCTTCAAAAAGAAAATTTGAGAATGTTATTTCTGTCATGGTATCGAGCACTGTTACCAAGTCTTGCAATTTTTTCTGCGCGAGATCGACTTTACGTTTGCTATCCTTGCAACGACGAAGACGGAGATTTACTCTCGTGACGAAATGTCAATCAATTTATACCTTTTTCTTAGTTCTTTAGTTTTTCAAATTTTGTTTTATTCATTCATTTCATTTTGTATACCCTGAACAGAGTTAAGTATTCAATTGAGTACTGGGTTCTAAACTGCCTTGTAGAAATATTTCATTTTCCCTGGATTGCTTCCTATTTTGTGTGGTTTCTTCGTATTGTTTATCTCCTTCAATATCTATATATATATATATATATGTTTATATATTACTGTATGCTGGTCTGTCATGAAGTGCTCGATACCGTATAGGCAGAGCTGTACACGCAACTCTGATCACTGTAAGCGTGAAACTCAAAATAGCAACTTAGATTTGTCCTGTTTTATACACCAAATAGCGTTTAAAAGTCAAGAAATCCGAATTCTATAGCTCTTTTCGCGCAAGGCTTAGCCGCGTTACATTCTTACGCCAGTTTGCTGCAACTGGAACAACTCTGCCTGAATCTTCCTGCTGCCTCGCTCACTCTCTCAATCCCCCATCCAATCTGCACTGTATTTATGTTTTTATCATTCCTATATTCTGTTTTTGTCTTAAAACCATCTGTTTTTGTGGAAGGATAGTTAATGTTTCCTTCTTGCCTTCTAGGAATTCATTCGGGAAGGCTGCCTTTACAAAATTTCTAGAAAAGACCCACAGCCAAGAATGTTTTTCTTGGTATGGATTTTTCGTCATTTTTTAACATTCTTCTTCCTGAGCCTAATCTCGGTAGAGAAGGTATTGACATAAGTATGTCTCACACGCTGTGCTGAATACATCCCTTAATGGCTCTTCAGGCAATGCCAACATAGCATACAACAGATCGACACGATGTACGGTTGTCGACAATGTAACGAGAGTTTCAGTGAATTAAGAGGCTCCATAATCCAGGATGCAGGGGTGATTCCAGTAAGGGCTTTAGCAGTGTTGTGATGCTTAAACTGAGAGTATGTTGCACTTTAGGACTGCACTGAGCTAGCCATTTCAATAAAAAAATTAGTACAATCAATAGCCACCTTTGTTTATGGATAGGTGTCCTTGGAACATTTTGGCATTGTTCTATCAATGGTGTCTTTAGAAGGCCAGATTGGAAAAGACCGCATTTGGCTATGTAGAAAGTCCAATCATGTTATCTGGATTCTTGACAAATCCTGCTGAGATATTGATGCACTTTCGGCCAGGTCTTCTTCTAAAAGACCAATTCGGAGTCTGGAAAAAATGTTCCGAATTTTCAACTGGCAAATTTTAAACTCTTTAGAAAAAAGAAATTACCACAGGATCGAATGATCAAATACGAGTAGATGTAAACTCTTTTAGTAAAAAAGAACTGACTTCCGAAAAGCTGACACTGCGAATAAAGCCAGCAGGAGTGAAGAAAATGTGCATAGATTTTACTCTGTTTTTAGCGGCCTATAAGATATTCTGTAATTTGGTTTACTGCTATTTCTACAATGATACCATATTCCTTAATGTTTATAGTTTTCAGACACGCTATTGTACACTACGAAAGGACTCACCCAGAAAAACCAGTTCCGCATTCGGGCACACATACCACTTCATAGCATTAAGGTAAGCATGAGCCAATAGGAACAGCGGCGTGCCCGATTAATTCTATTGTAACCATATTAGTATTTAGACTAAGATTCCTTGTTCGTCTTTTTGATCAACGTTAGAAAGTTTTTTTCTTTATAATTGAATAAGTTCTTTCTTATTCTTTCTCGATTTGCTTGTTACTATTTTAATCAAACTTTATCCAACATGCATGTAATAAGAAACTATATTAATAGCAATTGAAAAACAAATAACAAATAAGAATGAAAATGGAAACACCTCTTGATTAGAAAATAAGAATAAAAATTTATGATATTGAAACTACTTTTTGCTTTTTGTATGCTAAATCAGTCAAATTTGCACATAGATATAAATAGTTTTAATAACGATAAATTATGAACTAGCAATTTTACATTTCTTTATTCATTTATCTTAGCTGTTGAGCTGAGTAGTTTTATAGTTAGGTTTATAGTTTTATAGTTGACCTCTCATTCAAAGTTAGTTTTATTAAAAGAATAAAATTTCATAAAAACCTAATCTTTCAAATGTGGTCTTACGAAAAAAAGTTTGTTTTTTTGTTTTAGATTGAGGAGGGGGGATTTTCAATGCATGGCTTATTCACATTCACCGTACACAGTTCTTCGGGAAAGCCAGTTCATCTAGCTGCCACTTCTCACGAAGAGCGTTTGAAATGGTTAGAGGTACGTTGTCATCAGATGACTTTCATGCAGACTTTCTGTTTAGGGCTCCTAGTACCATTTGTGCGTCGCCCAGGTTCTTATTCCCGCATCTGTCTTTTGTTTTTATACCGAAGATTAACAAAATACATCTTTTCAACATACAAAGTTCAAAGTTTTTACATAAAAAAGGAACACATTATACAGATACTCTGATACTCCTTTAAGTATTTCCTTTTGGATAATGACCCAACGGAAACCCCAATGAAAATTCACATCCAGGTGCATATTGAAATGACCTGGCAGGATAGACTGGCTTGCTGTTTGATTGTCTCTTCATTCAACCATTCAATCCAACTGGAAAACGGACTCTTGTCTTCATAATTCTAGATTTCATTTACTAAAAACAAGTTCCTAAACACCTAAATGAAACGATGGCCTTGCACGCATTGTCGGTTTGAATGGATATAACAGCACTTTTCTAATGTTAGTTTTCTCGAATCTGATCTTTACAGGATTTGGCAACAGCTGTAAACAAGATCAAATCAAAGGTACCACTATCTGTTCATCCAACTTTTTGCAATAAGCGTCTTTATGTTTTCATATGGTAAAATATTTCTTGGCAGTTAACTGTGTATCCCACGCAGTGCTGCTGTTCCAGGCCCGAAACATAATTGGTTTCTTTATTTCCCTTAGGTAAGAATGGTACAATTAAGCTTTTGTCGGAATACTTATGCAAATTTTGATCTTTAACTTCTAAGCTCTAAATTCTATGTTGCCTTTAAACATTTGAATATGTATTTCCTACAGTAGAGTTTGCGATCTATGTTCTGACGTTTTATACTCTGAAGAGTAGCTTTAGTATACTCAAATGTTTCATTTTTTAGCCATTTTTTCATTGCCAAAAGCCATTTTTAATTTTTGTACCACCAAAAGATTGCTTGAACCTAATAATGTTAAATATAACTATTAGGGTGTTAGAATCTATGATAGAGGCTATTTTTTAAGTCATGTGTTATCGGATGCATGTTTAGAGCTGAAAAGACAACCTCTTGTCATTTTTTTTCTATTTCAGGCCCTTTGTTCGACTTGCAATGCAAAGCAAAATGGCGACTCCGAAGCAAATGATGATAGCAGCTCTCCTTTCACTTGCTATTCCTGCAAAGGTAACTATAAATTTTGCAGCGACGATATAGAAGAAGAGTAATGTAATTTAAACATCGATTTGCCACATTTTTGTGTTGCTGTTGTATCTAAGAATGTTTCAAGATCACATTGTATAGGCTCGTCAGCCTTTTGGCATTGAAGATGTCACGTGAAAACTCAAGACATAAAACGACACTGTTTTTTGTCTGCTATACCTTGTATGTCGTGTATGCCCAATCCAATTTTGTGCTTAAGTACTGTATAGCTTAAAGTGCAAGTATGTCATCCAATCTTTGTGGTAAAATTCGGGTTTTCAAACTTTGTTACAAAGAGATCAAGAAATAGGTACAAAAATTGAGCACAAAATTTATGTATGGTATGCAGTGCAAAAGTGAATCACCCTTATCTCATTTTGTTATAAAAAACAAATTCAGGATTAGCGTTCAGTTTCCTAATTTTTTGTTGATTTCAGTTCTAAAAGGTTTTTTAAATGCCATATTCTTAAGAGCTACTTCTTAGAAGCCTAAAATGTGACACCAGATAACATGAAATTTTAACACGTAATTAGTCTCAAGGAACTCGTCTTTGATTTTTGGAAATGCAGCTTAGTATGTCACGTCAATTGAAAAACAAATTGAAATGCCACTAGCAATATTTCTTTGTTGTCGCCGTACTGGTTATTTTTCCGAGCTCTTATTTATGTTCATTTATGTCAATTAAGCAAGATCCATTGAGAAGTATCATTTTTTGCCCCACCTTTATATGATGGGTTTTCAAAAGGTTTTTAAGTTTGAGGGTGGTCAGGTTATGGTTTTTATAGACGGTTTGTTATAAAAGAAGTGAGTGTATCCTAAATAGATGAAAATCATGATTCAGGTTGTTGACAATGAAGGTAGGCAAACATTTTCTTAAATTCTTCTTTCTCCACAAAAGATCAATTATCTGCTGCTAATTACCCTACGACGATCACAATAAACAGTCGCTCGAAAGATGGAGAATCAGAAGACGAAGAGATATCAACAGCAGAGGACGTCTCCACACTAGAACGAAATCATTCACGTGCTAGAACTTTGTCCACGCGTCGGGTTTGCTGGCACAGGCATACAAGCATAGGCATGAATGAATACAAAACCTCGATTCAGGTAAAGAGACACCTATTTTCTTGGACGGTATCTTTGATTGGGTATCTGTCCATACCACCTATCGGCCATGTCCCAATTCTGTTATACAGTCTGTATAACAGCCATATATACACTAGATTGCGTGCGGTCCAATATAACTCTATAATAACAAGAATGTAAGTAAATTGCACCAGGAAAAAATGGATTAAGCATAGATTAAATGAATTTATTTGTATCACAGCCAGTAAACTATAAAGAGTAACTTTGCAGTTATGAAAATCCTCGTATTAGTTTCCTAGGGGCTTTTCAATTTAGGCAGTTTTTAGATGGGGGCTTATACGAGGGGAAAAGTTATGAAAATCACATCCAACTTGCCGTGCAAAAAGCTCATTTTGTAGCTTTGTAAGCTCGTTTAGTAAGTTAATTACATTGGCAATTTTGCTTAGTAACTCTTTCTTAAACATTAAACCAAAGTATAAACCAGACCACTAAAAATATTATTGTCCAGAATATTAATATATTCATTGTCGTCGGTGGTTTCTTTGTCATCACCTGGTTTTTTGGTTCTTTTTCATTCTCCACTGAATGTTCCTTTGTCTGAAAATTGATGTAATTTTCTGTTTTATCTTGACTAAGTCTCGATTAAGTCCAACCGTATCTGGGATATAGCGAACTAACACCATCTTTACTTCTCATACCCACATCACATCTTGGATGAAAGTTTGGGTTTAAACTTTCTGTCATCTGAATTTATATTTTATTGTATTCAACAGAATAACCTCAGTGGTGAACTGTTTACAAGGTTCGAAAGTCAATCCAAATGGCAACGCCTCTGGGTCGTGTTCACAAATTTCTCATTGTTCTTCTTCAGATCTTGTGAGGTTGGTTACACAATGTTCTACTAGTTACCAGGTTCTATGCATAGCCTCCTGGGGGAGGTGCATTTGCAGGTTTGCTTATGCATTTCAAGCAGGACAACGGTGCTTTGTGGCTTATACAAAATACCACAGTTCAACTACAGTACCTCATAATTTGATCCTCGTTTCTCTATTATCCTAAAGCTGATCATTACTTATAAAGTTGATATTTGAAAAAAGAAGCATAAATATTCTTAATAAAAGATATCATGCCAGAAAATACAACTTCCAGATTTGATGTAAGGAATGGCAGCCAGGTATTTAACATAAAATGTTTGAAGACATTACATAAGCTGCCATTTCCAATCGTTTTATTATTTTCTAACAGAAATTTTTTTGAAATCTTTTTTGCTTGTTGTATGAAGTATTGGCAAAGAAGAATTTTAACTGATATATCAGTTTGATAAAATTTTTTTGACAAATAACTCTTTAAAGAGGTTTATTCAAATTTAAAGGATGATGAACCAGTTGCAAGTCTGCCTCTCATTGGATACACAGTCTCACGGCCATCAAAGGTATCTAGATTGAATTTCGAAACATTTATTTAAGATTAAAAGTTTCATCTACAACTTTGAGATTTTTTATGTTTTCGATTTTTGTGAAAATTGGTCATCCTAAGCAACCACAGTGCTTAATATTTTGGCAAATGAAACAGTTATAGGTAATATCTGGTTTCTGGTTTATATCTGAAACTGCCAAACACATTAAACCATTATTATCTGCTTTCTCCTAAAAGTTTTTATTTACTTCCAGACTTCATTCCTGAACATAAAAGGCTAGTCCACTGGACCAGACATACATACAGTAATTTTCATTAAAATATGCTCACAACATATGTTAACAGGTAGAAATTGCCTTCCCTTCTCCTCTTAAACAAAACTCAGATATTTCATTAACTCTCCTTAACTTCAATTTTTCTACAGGATGATGGCATTGATGATGCCTTCGCTTTCAAGTTGCAATTTAAAGTTCATGTATATTTCTTTCGAGCTGAAAATCCATATGCTTTTATAAGGTGAGCATGTTCAGTTTTATTACAGGAAAACATTAAGTAGAATTCATTCCCTGTTTGCCTCACTATTAGAAACATCTACCAAAGGCTGTCCGGATGGTAAAGTAATCAAAGAAGAAATCAGTTCAAAGCTCATGATTTATTGTAACCATAGACATCGGGAGCATTTCAAAACTAGAAGGGCCCATGTAGGAAAAAAGGGACATCTCTTCAAGTTGGTATTACACAAGGCTCATAATTTGGCCTGCTTCTCTTTCTCATATATTTTAACAATCTCTCACAGGCTATCCAAGATTCAACTGTATCCATATTTGCTGATGACACCTAGTCTGAGATTTGACTCGGCTGAATGAGGCTATTAATAGTGACCTCAGAAAACTGGACACTTGATTCCAAGGCAACAAGTTTGCCTTGAATATTGCAAAATCCCTCCATTTAATACATAGCCTTGGCAATACGGAGACCAATTTTATTTTACCAATAAAAAGGCCAGCAAATGGTCAGAAATGCTTCTCTTAAAAGGTGCAAAGCTATAGAATAGCCTTTCAGGGGAGTCTAAGCAGACAACCCCTCTACATATCTTCAGGAAAACCATTTAGAAAGAGAAAATTTTTTTCTTTAGGTTTCTTTAGATTGTAAATTTTGAACATTATTTCCGATAGGTCTTGAACATTGTTAACAAGATTTTTTAGTTTAATTTAATTAACAATTTTTTACTTTGTGTCTTGTAATTAATATTTTTATTGGAGGCCCCTTTTGAGAACCAGTTTCTGCTGAATGAAAATCCTCTTTAAGAGAATTGAATATAGATATATAAATATAAGCTTGAAATAAGTACTTTAATCCTGTTTCTGAAAAGTGGGGGGACACATGCCTTCTGTGCCCCCATTTCTTATGTCTATGATTACAACTGTTCCATTGTAAGTGCTGTTTGTAGTGGGACCAGATGACCGTTGTCTTTTACTGCTCCTTACAACTTATTAAATACATACATTTATTTAATGTATTTAAGGATAATAGAAAAAAAATCATTTTACTGAAATTTGTTATGGGCAACAAAGTATTGATATATCATGCATGGTAACTAGGTTAATACTTCCCTACACAGGGATGATTTTTTTAAAAATTGGTTGACTCTTTTATAAATTGTACAAGTTAAATATAAGGGGTCATTTTTGGAGGGGGAAAGGAAAATTGGAACATTTAATTTTGCAGGAGATGCCACCTATATGAACCATCGGTAGAAAATCTTAAAAAATGACTGAAATATAGTGCAAGAGATAATTTGTATGTGTATATCTAACATGCATGGAATAAAACCTTTTTTTCAGGTGGTTTGAAGTTTTGGAATGTGCCACTAACACTGCCACACGGTGAAGAATTTACTTCCAATGTTCAAGTGATTGAAACAGGTCAGTCACATTGGAATTTAGAAAAACGTTTTTATCTGGACCTTTTCATAAGCAGTCTCTTTATACATCATTCTTTATGTATCCATTTCAAAGCATAAACTTTGTTATAAAGAATTTATGAAAAAATAAAAAGAAAGAATGTTCTCTAATTTGCACAGAGAAACATAATCCCATTTGATAACTTTGCACAACCATAATAGTGCTGCCAATTGTATGTAGATTTAGTGACATATATGTCACCACAGTTTTTAGCCTTTATCGTATAGTTTATAAAGATAGAATTTTAGTAAATATTATTTAACCCTCTGCACAAAAGTGTCACATAATCAACCTTTAATCATCTCTATCATTCACTATGAAGAGAGTCAAATAAAAAAATATTATCTGCTTTTATTATGCTCTGCACAAAGAATTAGTAATCCTAATTCTTTTTAAAAAAGAAATGAAATAAAAGATTTACTAACTATACTTGGGATTAGGTTGCTAAATTAAATCTTAGAATATACGTATTTACAAAGAAACAGAACAGCAACTAGAGGTGAAAGATTTTTGCACATTAATGATATATAGCAAAAACAGGGTCTGGTGCTTTTAGTCAACATTTATATAGACAATAAATACACAAGCTTACAATCTTTTAAAGAATACAAGTATATTTATAACAACTTGAGATTAATTAAAGCACTTGAGGTCTGTAAAAGCATTTCAGTTTGAGTCAAGTAACGGTGGTTTTTTCATGAAAAGCTTTTCTGGTGTAAGCATGCAGACGATTAAAAACAGAGGGTTAATATAGAAGTTATTCAAAGTTCTTAGAAGGGATTTTACTTTCTTTGGTTTTGTATTTAATGTATGAATAATATAGCTACATTTTAATTATACAATAGTCATTTTGTGAAGTTTAAATTTAAAGCTCAGTTTTACGTGATTTGATGTTAACAAAAATAAGCTGGATGTTCTGTCATTCCAAGCAAATTTTTATTCATAAAATCTTTTTGAAACCGTTTTTATTTGAAAACTTGCAGTTTATATAGATGGGCTATTTTCTTTCTTTTCACTGGCCTACCTTAGCAACCACTTGGAACTTGGTTTCAAAGACAAACAACATCTGACCCTTTCATCTGGTCTTTGGTAGCAACAAAATAAATTTTGCATATTTACGTGCAATGCGATATTTGGAAAAAGTCTCAATCATTCTTTATGCAATCATGATGGATACTGGGGAATGGTTTTGGGATAAGATTGATTTACAAATCAGCCACATAATCTTTGATACAACTTGAAAACAATGGTATATTGCAAAGGACCCAAGATTAGTACAATAAAGCAAAAATTAAGAATCAAAATAGGAGTAGTAGCCAAGTTAAATGACATTGAATTGTTTTTTCATTTCAAGTTTGTTTTCACTTTTGAAAGGGATTTTTACTTCCACTTTTGTAAATAACAGGTCTTTGCAATTAACTAAATAGAACATAGTTGCAAAAACTTGACAATTAACTAAATAAAATATTATAGTGTGAAAAAATAACTGGTCATTGTAAGTAAGTATGTCAGTCGGTGCTGACAGGAGGGTTTTCGGTTAAGGCCCGACAGACTTGACCTCATCAAGTTCTATATCAGGTTCCTGTGTTGTAGGCTCCACTAATGATGCATGCAAGGTGATGATGAAAACAGAAGCTCCTAAAAATAAGTTTGATGAATAGCAAGGTTTTGCAAAAAATAGTTGGAGACTTACATATAGACCATACAAGTTTATCTGGTTTTCAATAAAAACCTTTCTTGTTATTGTTTAGTGTCTAGGGTTTGTCAGTTCATACTAGTGCAGGTTTTCAATATTTCTTCCAATTTCTGTAGCAACTTGCTAAAAGTTGGTCTGAAAGTTTGGTCTTTTACTGACTTAAATATAAAGGCAAGAAAGTTTACTTGAAGGGAGATCATAAATTGAAAATTTTGCAATAATTAGTACTGCATATATAAAGGTGATAAGAATAACTTAAGAATGACTAACTGTATCTTAAGAATGATTAGTTTTGAAGGCTGTTTGTATAACTGTTACCAAGATGAAGAGGGTTTCCAAATGTAAAGTTGTTATGTAAAATCATTGTGGTTTTATGGGTCTGCCATTACATAATAATTTAATACGGCATGATGAGTACATACCAATTATCCAGAAAATTGCAGAACCAGCTGATGCAAAGAAGAGCAATGGAAGTGAAATTGTTAGTACAGCAGCATATTGCTCAGCTGTCGAGAATTCTCTTCCTGAAATGAATATTTGGTGAATTTATTGCTTATCATTGTAATAACACTTCAAAAAAGCAAAACACAGTGAAAATGATTATTTCACAATATTGCAGTAACTTTTTAAAAGAGAAACATATCCCAAGTACCCAACCAAAAACTATATTCAGGTCATCTCCTTCAAATTATGGTCCCCATAAAATAGGTATGTAAGTACTATTAAAGAATTACTAACCTGCTATGTTTAGTTTCTGTCCTCTGCCTCTTTTAGCAATATAGAGACAGGCACCTCCTGAAATTATTAGTGCAAACAGCAGCAATGGTGAAGTTATTCTGTAACAAATATTAAGTGATATGAAGGGAAAAGAGTTGAATTGCTATAAAGCCTTTTATACAAATACTGCTTCTCTGGTAAAACTGTCTACTGGTTAAATCACTAACAATTTTGTACAAAAGCATGAAACTTTATTCAACTTAACTCCATTCACTATCTTTATAGTTACGCCTAAGCCTGTATTTGTTGTGAAAATAGCATTCCATCATATATAATTAACAAAAATCAATTAATTTCTTTATCACATCATAAGTTTCATGTTCAGCTATCATAAGTAGCTAAGCCTGTACTTTGTGTAATTTCTCCTCATAATATGCTACAAATGCCTGCCCCAAATTTTTTTTGGCAAATCAATTCACAAAGGTTTACACTTTCTTCTTAAAAGTTGTGGAAACTAGATGTCTCTTTTTTCTTTTTCAATTTTTCATCTGTGGTCAAATATTTTGTGCAATATTGTACGCAAAATTCTAGGTAGTCAGCCCAAAAAGTATGAGTAATCAGCTTTTACAGGGGAGAGGGGGACATAAATCAGAAGAACCTTGTGGGGGAACCCATAAAGTATGTTTATACAGTGTATGGGTTCCCCACATGGCCATTTGCTTGATGTTATTTGATGTCACTCACAATTTGGAGGTTACTTTCAAGAAAAAATGTGCATGAAAAAGAATGATCCAACTTATGTTCAGGCTTATGTAAGACAGTCATTATGAAAATCATATTATCTGTGTTATGGCTATGCTATTGATATGCACCCCTATGTGGGAAAGGAAGATGGTCTAAACACCATTTGAACTGCACCAGACCAGTTATTCAAGCAAACCAATATCAATTATCAGAAAGTTTAAACTGTGTGCATTTCAAAGAAACAGCTAGAAACGTGAAATTTTGGTTGTACACATTTGACATATCATTGAAGAAGGAATAATCTGTGAACTCAGAAAGGGGAAACATCCTTTTGAATATATTGGAACCAAATATCGTTTTTCTCAAATAGTAACCTGAACTTAGATTATGTCAAAATTTCTCGAGATATTTTTTATTAAAATGTTTCTGCACACCTATTAAAGGGTGTGGAATTTTGAGATCTGGGCGTGACATGGGTGTGTCCAATTTCTAAGGGCAAATGAAGAATCACCTTATTGGTTTGACAGATACAAAAAACTATCAATTATGTTCTTTTTTCTGATCTTTGTCAATGTTGTGCCAACTTTATACACAATTGAAGTGCACAATTATCACAAAGTGCACACTTGCAGGCACTGCAGAGCAGGGGGGGGGGGCTTTAGCCCCCCACTTTTTGCAAAAGATGCCAAATATTAAGTAATAAACTACCAGTAAAGTCACATTTTAAATGGTGTTGACCCCCCCCCCCCCACTTTTTTAGACCCCCACTTTTCTCAACGCTCCGCGGTGCCTGACTTGGCACACTTGAAATTTTGCTCTTGCACACCCAAGATCTTGTTGGAAACTGCCGTACTCTGCAGTCATGTCTGACAGCACACCTCTGTTCTGCTGACGGACTAAATTTTTTTCTATTTCAATGTCTAATTTCAAAATATTAAAGAATATAACTCACATGCAGTATATTGATAGGAAGAGACAAATGACGATGTAATTAGTTTGGTAAGTATCTACATTGCTGACGATTCTTTTTCCAACTTGCGCGATGTCTCTAGGTTTCGAAAAAGATTTTGTATTAACAAACTCCATCCATGGTCGTAAAGTGGCTCTCCTCCGTTGAATCCAGTTTATTAAAGTTGACTTTTGGCTATCACTCTGCTCATCATCAAGCGACTTTTGGATTTCACCCGAAATCTCTTCAATGTTTAAATTCAGTCCTGCCATTGCTGTGTTTTCCTGCCAACGAAGCTAATAGCCTCGTTTCCGCCGGTAGGTGTCATCATAAGCCAGTGAGTCATCTTCAATATTTTCAGTCCAACATTTTTAATAAACATACAAGAAATTTGAATTTGAATTAATATTGGAAAACTGCAAGATTGAAAATGTACTTTGCGAATCATCAACATCTTTGTATAGGACAGAGATACCGGGGGCTTGCCCCCATTTTATTTTGTAAAATATGGCTGTTTTTATATTTATTATGGCTGGACCCCAAACAAAAGTTGTGTCTCGGTCTTTGTTTGTATTTTTGCTGCGTTTGAACACGGTGGAGCTCATCATCTTGTGGAGTTGTGGAACTAAGCTGAGTTGCCTTTAGGCGGTGCCATAGAAAGAATAGAATAGTTTTTGGGGTCACCACTGTGATTGTGGCTACATTTTAATAAGCATTTTATCGCTGTTCTTGTCTTTTCTCTCAGCTTGAAAAAATTCATTTGTTTCTGTTTTATGTTTGCTTGTTTCTTCTTATATTTTGTCGAAACGATGCAATTTGGTAGTTTTATAGCTCTTTCTAATTAGTCAAATAACGTTTAATTTAGTTAAAATTTGTTTCATTGTGAGTAAGTTAAGTGGCATCTAGGCTTTAATACCAATTGATGGAGAAAATTGTTTGAAAAAATAGAACCAAATGAAATGATTTTTGGAAAGAGAGGTTTTATACAATTTCTTGATAAGCCCCCCCCCCCCCAGAGGCGTGGTAGCCCACCGGGACTCAGGAAATTTCCCGGTAGGCCCGGTACAAGTTCTCATGTGGGCCCCTTGGATTTTTCTTCATTTAAGCTTTTATCGTTTGTAATATCAGATTTGTGAGAAAAAAGGTTAAGTGAGGCTCCACTTGCCTCCTTGACACTCATCTCCAGTATTTTATAAGTGATGACAAACAAGAAACAGTCAGCACCAAAATGTTGTGCCCCTAAATACTTGATATTCCCCGGCCCAAAAAAGCTCCCACCACACCCCTGCCTTCCCCTCAAGAACAGAAGTAGCTCCGGCCCTGCCTACGCTAGGGTTTCGTCAGTGAGAAAAATAGGTACATGACATTATATTTTACTATTTTCCACTGCCAGTAAAAGAGGCCCTTGCATCCCAAATTTTAAATTTGAGCTGGAACTCTGTCTTTTCAATGTTTTAGAAACAGTGACATGATGAACATCTTTTGTAGCAATCATTGCAAAAATATCAATGGTGACGTTAATGTTAAACTAATTACTATAATCTGCGTGAAGTTCATTTACGTAATGCATTTTAGCTACTAGAAAATGATTCAAGATTGTTTTATCTTTGATGCACGCGGAAGGAAAATGGCTAATGGTGGCGGGCAAACAATAGTGGGTTTTTAACTTCTGCGAATTCAGCTCTGACGTCAGAAGGAACCAATTCCTCGATGTCTTGTAAAAATTCAGGAAAGTAGGTCTGGCAAAACATTTCTTCTCTGGTAACTGCAGTGAGCAGTTATAGTCATCCACAAAGTTGCTGGTAAAGAAAGGTTCTGAAACGAACTGACGTCAGAAGGTATGACCATTAATGTAAAATCGACAGTGCTAGGAAGCGTCAAGCGAGCATAATAATCAAATGTACTTAAATAGCAGAATATTACAAATAGATGAATGATTCATTTAAGATTTTCAAAGATTTAAGATTATTTCGAAATTGAAATGTAAATAAGTGGTCTTATGCTTTTATGCACAGGAAAGTGTATGTAACAGTATAGGGTCGATTTTGACTCTGTGCGTTGTGTATCTCTTAAGATTCTTTAAAAAGTTAGACATTTCTTTGTAGTTGGGTCGCAACAACGAATCAGGTTTGGTGTCAGTTTGTTTCTCCCCATTTCTTCATCATGTATGATGATAGCAATTTCTAATCCGGCATGCTTTCTTACACAAAATTTAGTTCCTCGCTAGTCCCTAAAGGCTGAAAGGCAAGTCGAGTAGTCCAATCTCCCTATAAGAGAAATTGCGAAAACTTCAAACTGAGCTAAATATTAATCGTTAAAAAGTGTACCAGAGAGAATGGGGCAGAGCCGTGGCAAATGATAGGGTGACTGGAGCCATAATGTTTAGAAATAGGCCACAACAGCTTGGGACTAGATGATCATACTTTCACACCTCAGTGGTAATTATCGTGAATGATAATCTTTTTTAAGCCCCCCTCTCAAATAAGCCCCCTCTCCTATTATCCCCCCTTTTCAGAAGGAAAAATTTACTAAGCCTCCTTCACAATTTAGTCCCCCCCTAAACAAAATTCACTGATGCAAAAATAAGTAAACTTGACAAAAAAAAGAGATTTTCATTTCATCAAAAATACAGTATCCTTGCTTTTATTAATTGTTCGTTCAATACTTCTCATCAAATCGAAATTCAAAGCATGTTTCTTCCAGTCTTGACCGATCCGAAGACAAAATTTTAATGTGTATTTAAGCATGGGCCATGTGCGAGCCTTTTACCAAAAATAACGTTTGCACTCAGACGGATAAAGACGCAAAAAAATAATTGATGACGATGACGATGACAATAACTATATCATTGAGGTAGAACCCTGGTTTGATGTTTTTTATTTTGCACAAATAAAAGTAATTCTACCACTTAAAATGGTTATTTTATTACAAAATATTTATTAAGCTTCCTCTCTCAATTTAGCCCCTCTCTTATAAGCTCCCCTTTAAAGTGCTGAGAACCTGAAGGAAATCGATTAGGTCATGTGATTGATGACATGCAATTCAACAGATTCGAAGAAACAGACAGACAAGAGAGACACAACTCGCAAGATGAACGCCACGCTAGAAATAATCTCACTCATGGAATATGTCGTTTTAATGTAAAGTTCGCAATATCAAGGAGTCTTTTCATAAGTAAATAAATAGAACATTCGCAGTGCCTTTTCGCTTTTGTCTTTTTATACATTATTAACAAGGAACCGGGAACCTTTCTGGAGTTTCGTCTCTATTAGAGGGACGAGGCGTTTGTACAGCGCAGGGTCATTCACTTGATCCCCCACAGAACCATTAAGCCCCCGGGTGCTTAAAACAGAATTCAAGGTATAACTACCATGTGACATGATAGGTATAACCTTCATGATTCCTTTTCCCCCGGTTTTTGGCAAACAACGATCCTCTTTATCAGAACAGAGTGAGCTTTCCTCCACCCCCCCCCCTCACTTTTTTCAAAACGTTCGTCTGCCCCTACTGTAGATCATAAAGAAGAAACGTAGAGATGCAAATTGGAGAGAATTTTGAAACATCAACCTGTCCCTACAATCTGAATACCTTTATTGTTTATTAAAAGTCTTTATCTTGGATATATGTCTATGTGAAGCGTCCCTAAGTTCTTTCCAGGCACAGAAATTATTGTTGAATGTCGTCGGAACGAAATTCATTTTGGGGGAGCCCCCCAAGCCCACCAGCCCACCAGCCCTCCCCCCCGGCACCCCAGCGCCACACTTCCGACGGCTTTGTTTTCTTCTCTCCCGGTCCGGTTATTCAGTTTGATATTATCAATTTTATGTCCTTGTTTTCATAAAATTCTATAAGGAATAATAGAATTACTAACTTTTATACGAGAAATTTTCACAAACAAGATCCTCGAGACATCTTTGTAACATGTTGATCGCCAACCAAGTCGGGCATCGATCACCGGTCGAATGCTTGTGCATGGTTACGACTTCATTGTTCCGACAGCATCGAACGATCGTACAATAGGGCACGCAGTCGAACCATGTTATTATCGGATTTCATTCTATCAGAAATAATTTCGTCCTTCTCAAATAAAGCGAATCCTGCGCTGAAAGTCACCTTGAAAACGTTTGAAGATAAATCGTGAGAATTGAAAGAAAAAGGTACGTGTTCACAGTAACCACTATATATGGCTAAAACCGTTTACAATCGGGGGAGGTCATTGTTTTGAACCAAAGATGCACTTGTCGGTCTGGATATAAAATTGACTGGAATCAAAAAAAGACCTTTTATTATACCAATAAAATGCAAAAAGGCAAACCTTTCTTGGAGCTTAATTTCTTGATAAAATAAATGTATTACAGTTTCTGTTTGTAAAAATACATGGAGGATGTCTGAAATGTGGAGAAATAATCGCAATTACTTTTCATCGAGTAAAGTTTTACAAAGCGTACGTTTTTACCGTAAAATGGTTGAGATTGCAGATCTAGATTTGGATTGCAGATCGAGATTTGGTCATAATAATTTAAAAAAAGGACATCAACAGGTGTAACTGTAACGATTAATAAGCGATATGTGTTTTTGGAGGGGGGAGGGGGGGGGGTTCTCCTGAATTAATCAATCGAGCAAGCAAAAATCAATGTCTATTTTGAATCAACATTATGCATACATAATACCTACGTTTACATGAAGTATGATAGGGAAATAAATTGTCTATGTATAGCTCAGCGTTTTTTATACACGAGCATTACAAAAAATACTATAGAGGCGCAACAAAGCAATTTTCACTGCGGGGCAAAATCTTGTCAGGACCCCAGTCTCAGAACAGATGACAAGACTCTGATCCCAGACAATACGTGGCCTATTGTAGAGGCAAAAGTGTATGTGGTGCATTTCTAAATTCGAAATTTACTGCTACCCTCTCCCTCACCCACGCGGTAATTTCCTGCTCATAACGGAATCAAACTGGTCACCCGGCCCCCTTTTGCCCTATTAAAGCTGTACGTAAGTCACAAGCACACCTTCTCAGAAAGTTGTGACAGCCTCAGCTGAATAAAACAGGGCGCTGGCAAAAAACCTTGTGCCTTAAAACCGTTATCTACAAGAGAATGCCAACTGGAGACTGGAACAAGTACTGGAAACCAAGAGCGTACAAAAATTGACTTGGAAAAATACGTACCGTTCATTCAGATTTTAAACGTTAACTGTCACGATCTAGCCGATGATTGAGGTTAAAAAATGACATGTTCGCGTACAAAGGATAAAACACTCTGTTTTTTCCAATTTTGTGACGATCTACCATGTTTTAAAAATCATCTTTTTAGAGTCAGAGCCTTTCTGCTGTGAGCATACGTTGATCGAGCTGCTTCAAACACTGGCTGACTTGGACATTTGCATACAAGGTGCTCAGAAAACCAAACTTCGATACTTGATAGCGATTCACAAGATAAAATCTTATGAAATTATTGGAGAGGCGGACACTGACCTCCGCGGTACACCAAACTTTACGTCTTCTATCTATGTAGATGGAATTTTCAGAACTGAGTCGAATAAATACAGCCCAAAATCTTTTATTTTATTAGAATGAAGGAAAACACTAGAACTGACGTTTTCAAGAATGGTGTAAGAAAAATGACAAGGAAGTTATTATCAGGTGAGGAAAACTCCGTTATACCATACCATGTATTCTGTTATGCAGCGAACTATATCATAAAGAATATTTTTTGTCACATAAAGCTAATTTATGGGGATATAAAATCGCTGAAGGTCTCGATCACTTCATTTTAAGTATTTTAAGATAATGTCTCCACACGGGGACATTCATTCACTATTTTTACAGTATACATTATTGTATGTAATGCGTATAACTTGATTTTGAAAACATATTTTTAATTTTTTTCGGCAAGATTGTAATTGCAAAGGCACCACGATCCCTGAAAATGTTGAATGTAAGAAGCAGGGCCGCCGAGAGGATTTGGAGGCCCTTGGGCAAAACCCAAAGACGGGGCGAAGGGAACAGAAAATTGGTCTTTAGATTGCCTTAAAATACCTTCACATTATTTATTGCAGTCATTTTCTTGCACTCGTGCATACGTTTGTTTCGTTTGCCTAATATCATGCTTATAATGGAACTCAATACTTTACGAGGCCCCCGGAACTGGAGGCCCTGGGGAAATTTTCCCCCTTGGCTTGCCCCCTTGGCTTGCCCTTTGGCTTGCCCCCTGCAGAATGTCTTCAAAAATCAAAGGTAGAAACGATATTGAAAACCTGTTCCTATTTTTCACGAAACCCAAACTGACCACAAAACTTAGACCACTGCCATCAACCCCTGTGAAGGAGATAGAGAAGCGGTAGTGATACAAGAATACAAATTAATTATTTGCTCTTATGTTTCAATCAAGGGCCAACTAAAAAGATGGAAGATGCTGCAGCAGACGAAAAGAGCTTCGAAACGTGTAATGGTAGTGAAAGTAAAGAAACAGAAAACTGTAATGCAGACGGTAATCCTGAAGACGATGTTGTTGTGGCCAGCATCGGGCCACATTCGTCATCTTCAAGTTTAGAATCACAAGAAACAAAAAAGTATGTTTATCCAATTCGTGGCGATTTTTCCACATTGGTATTTTTATTTACTTTCTTAAGTGCAGGAAAATGAATTTTATGCTCTTTTGTTTATGAAAATTTCAAATTTAACGAAAAGGAGAGGGAGTTGTCTGAAGCAAGCTCAATGTGTTAGATGGGCCTACGTGCCTGGCGGTTGTCCATTCATCGCACTTCCCTCTCTGTGCAAACCAGTTTAATTTCATTTAAATTTCACATAGGGCTAAAATAGAAGATAAAGATGATAGAAAACAAAAACCAAAAAACATGCTCAACATATCAGAATTCAAAAGTAATTTGTTTCCCTGGCAAAGAAAATGTATGTACCACAGGGTACTCAACTGATAATTTTTTCCAAGTTGTCTCTCAGTCTCTGACAGTCGAAGACGGAAATAGTGGATGGGGCTTAGAGAAGGGCAACAAGCGAATCATTACTTGCCAAAATATTAGTGAGCTAGACTTTTATAGTTAATGTAGTTCTTTGAAACTGAGTTTCCAAATGTTCTCGCAAAGGGATTAGTATAGTGGAATGATGGTGAAACTATTGTGCACTATGAGCAAAAGGCATTAAAATTGGTACAAATACGGACTAACATGTGCAGTTTCAAATAAGAAGGAGAGTCAAATATTTCACATTCTCCAAATCTCTTTTTTACAGAAAAGAACTTCAAGCTACAATTTCATTGTAATTTCACTAAATTTTGTCTAAATCTAGTTACCTAAAGACCAAGGCATTTAACTTAAAGCAGCATTACCAGAGCACATAACCACAAAACAACTATGACACCTTGTTCAATACTGACATGGTTTTAATTATATAAAATCAAAGCAACACAGTGAGTCTCTTTTTCAGTCACCATTGCATCTACATAGCCCTGTGTATTTTAACTCCACTCTGACACATTTGCATCTTCCCCTGCATTCTTACTCAGGGTTGCATCCACATTTTATCAGTACTCTTATTGATATCGCAGCCTCGACAAGGTCAAGCCAGTGAGGCAAGTAAATTCCCGCTACCCTTTTCCATCCCCAATCCACTGGTGTAGGGTGACTTTCTCAATTGGGTATTCTCTTTTATGAAAGGGCGGGGCTGGGTGAAACTAGGCAGAATAGATAGATTCAAGAGTTGTGTGGTGTCAATGGGTTTGAAGCAAATCTAATACGACATCATCCATCACAGATTAACACTAAGGCAGGGTCTTGATTGAGTTAAGGAAAAAGCGACCAGTTCTGGGGCTATTGAATAAATTGACTCAATCATAGCTCATACGAATAAGAACTTAGGGTACTTTGATATCCTTTCAGCCGGTAAAAACAATAAAGAAAGTGTTCACTTAATGTCACAATAACTTTTGCTGAATTCCTTACTTTATATCCTGAAGTAAAGAGGAAGTAACTGGAAACAACTACACATGAAACTTTAATGCAAAATGCTGACAGAGAATGTTGAAAATATTCACATAGTGCTTTACATGAAGCTATGAATATTTTGTGGGATGAATTCCAAGCCTTTTTTCCAAAGGCAGCATAGAAGAAAGTGAGCACAGAGCTGCACGTAATGGTGTTTGAATAGTGCAGAAAAATAGGCCAATATACTTGAATACACTAGGCAACTTGAAAGGGAATTCTTAAGCCTATTTAAATTTACTACATAATAAAATACAATTTGCAAACCTCCCTTACATACAAACGATTGTAAAATTGGCCTACCTACGCGAGAGCACACAGCTAAACCATCCCAAGCTACTGAAGGTAGGTTTGCACTGTTCTCATGGCTGAATAAGGTTTCAAAGGCTGACTCTCTTGTTTGTGTTGCTTTGAAAATCTGAAAAAAGGTTCAGACATCATTCTTCAAAGACTTCCTCTCGATGTCTGATCTGGAAGGCTACTTGCCACTTTACATTGTGCTAAATTAGGGAAACTTGTTCTTTTTAAAATGATCCTCTATTTCTTTTGATGGTCTCTTTAACAAATTCTTCATATGCTTTTTTGCTGAACTCTTTATTGATGCCAACAGTTTCTATAGCTACATCATCCATAACATATCTGGTGTTGTTCTGCACTAAGCTATCTCCATGAATCACTGAATGGTTTGTTGTTGACATGGTTCAAGAAATACTTTTGAAAGACAGGGGTTTTCTTATGATGATGAAAGTTTATTGGTTCTTATTTTCTCAGACAACTCAAACCCAGCAACAGCATGGACCATTTCAGGTCTGCATACCATCCAACAGTGCAGATTTACTCATCTTCTGTTAAACCTAAAACCTCTCCATCACCTTTGATGTCTTAGTTGTACTCCTCCTGACTTTGATCTAGTCCCATGCTCGTGAATGGCTTTTTAGTTCTTGAATCTACAAAGCAGCTGATCTCATTGAATGCTTGATACACATTGGTTTGTTCCTTGATAAGGTCACTGTATTTTTTGGATTTTTGCATACTGTTCTCATCATCTTCAAATATGAAGACAATATCTGATTAAGAGGCAGATCTGTATAAATTGAGCTGTTTTAGTGCTGAAAGTGTTTAATAATAATTACAACTGTCATCGTTATCAATTTGTTCATATAAATTCCACTTTGACATATAAATCCCACCGAAATCATTCAAATGGATATTCCTCTTTCATATCGCCTCTGAGCCTGAGATGTTAATGAATAATAGGATTTTTCTTAGACCGCTGCATGCTATTAATGTAGTAATTTCACAAAGGATCCTAAATGCTAAGTTTGTCATTAAGATTTTTGTGGAGATTATTAAACAAAAGCAGTCCTGTTAGAGAACAGATGAAAATTTTCCTTAGTTGTAGACATAATTCTTATCCAAGAAAATTATGAATATCCTTCGTTTTCAATAGAAAATACTCGTTGGCTCTTTTGATGTGGTGCAATAGTGCCCCCATAATTCTATCCTTCCTACTGTACTGAGATTTTGTTTTGCCGAACTGTAAATGTATTCTGAGGGCTCTAGTTGGGGAGATGAATGAGATAAATTCTTAAAAGGAATGAGGCATCTCTCCATCCTGGAGTCAGAACCCATGTGTAATAGTGACTCTGTTCCATGTGCATGCTCTTTGACTCCAGGATGGAGGGCCTACTCACTCAATGAAACATTCTCTCTTGTCCAGCTCCCCAACGAGCTCATGTCCTGACATTAAGGGTGCATAGATGCCAGAAAATCCATGAACTGTATAAACAAAGCTTCATCTTGCTTATTTACTAGAAAAGTGAGCTTGCCTGCCTGCTTGCTATAACTTTTTTCTATTGCTCAGGGACCATCTAGATTATCCTATGATCTGACCTTCTAGATAGATCCTGTGTGTTATACGTCAATTTATATTTAGGTAACTTGATACCTTTAATTTGTTTAGAAACCATAATTGACAACACACATACACGATTATAATTTGTTCTCAGAATTTTTGCTGCCCTCTGGCAACTCTTACTGGGGAGGTTGCTGTTAAATATAACTTGATTTTTATATAGTTTAAATGGTACATTTTTCATACCCAACGCATATGTGCTGTTGGATAAAGTTGTGCAAATGCTGTAAGAGAACTTGTTTTTGGTTGTGTTTTTACTCAGTTACCAATAGCTCAAAGGTACTTTAAGGTTGCAGCTTGTTGTTACATTTGTTGCAAGTTACTTTAATATGTCTCAATACATTTCCATACCCTGTTTTAGTGGAGACTGGTGTTTTTTCTTTCCTTTTAGTTTTTAAAACAGTTAATTCACGGAGTCCCTCATATCTTGTTCGATTTTCAAGAAACATCAATGTCAATTAAAATCCTCTTTTTATGTGGATCATCTGTCAGTCTTTGCGCCAAGCTTTCTCGCTTTAAAATATACGAGTTTGCTCTCCATTATATATTATCTTTCTTCATCGTTTTTCAAGATACATCAATGCCACTACAAAATCATCTTCCTTGCTTTTTATTGTGCATTGTCTGCCAGTCTTTGCGCAAAACTTTCTCGTTTTAAAATATGCGAGTTCTTTCGCATTTTGTATTCTCTCTTTTACATAAAATATCTTCTTGTAATATCTTCTTGTTTTTAAAGAATCCATCCTCTAGATATTATTTTACGTTTGTTATAACTACAGACATGTTTCCTGTCTGTAGTTATATCATTCTATAACAGTGTCCGCCTTTAGCCTTGTTGGATTCTTTTATGTTAATCGTTCTCGTTTGCTAGCTATTCGGCTGTTGTGAAATACACCTTGATTATTACGTCAACGCATCTTACTAAAATTATTTGACAACTTTTGTTTGTTTCATATCGAAAAAGAATATTATACAATACTGCAACAGTTTTTTCATTCTATCAATAGCATCAGATCCAGTGTTTCTTTTATGCTGTAAAACGTCAACCTTCGTTTCACGAGCTACAATTTCCTGTTTCTAGCATTATTTTTGAAATATTTTTAGACGTATAATGCCTATAGTTAGTCTATTTAAACATCTGTTGCATGCTTTCGCTGATCTTTGTCTACCTCAAACTCTGTTTGATTCTCCTAAGTAGTAACTGTCATTTTTCCCAAAAAGTCAACATTTGTATTTGCATTCAATCATTTTCAACGCATTTGAAAGATCACGTCTGCTTCTTTGCGGCGCTTATATTTTGAAGCCACAGTCAAAACAGTTTGTTCGTATCATAGATGTATTACCCTTTTGTCCTGAGTTCTTGTTGCATAACTTTCCATAGTAAGAGGATATTTTATTACTTAAATTATGAATTAAGTTGTCATTATTCTGGTGAATGTTAGTAGGTGAACATTCTATTTCCCTGTTTAATTATAAATGATGATTCTGCGTCTTCCTATAGCCAGCTCTTTCAAACTCGTTTGTCAAAAACAATCGATCTGCAAATGTTTATATTCATTTTAAATCCTGTTTTTTGCCACTGTAGGCCTCCTTTGTCACCAGTTAATTGGCAGGCTGACATTGCCGCAGTATGCAATGGGCCATCTTCATTATTTAGACATGACAGGTGTTCGGCTTTCAACTAGAATTGTGATTGTTTAGTATAAAGAAGCCAATCGCTCTTCGTGATCTCTTTGTCAATCCTCGCTTGGGACAGACAGTTTTTCTTGTTTTGCTTCATTGACGCATTATTTATATCATGTACCGGATTGATTTTGTCAGTACATTGTTACGGGAAGCTTGATAGATTGTATGAATTTATCGTAAAGGAGGCTTAGTGTTAGCCCTATCGCTTTTTCTCTACTTTGTTGCATCATGTTGAGATCTTGGAAGGAAGTATTGTGAAATAGGAGCTACACGTGACCGTCAGCAAGAGGAAAACAGCTTCGAAGGAATTAATCTGCTTTTGCTGTTGACCGGGTGTTGATGTTAATGCATGCTGGTTTATCGTCTGGTATCCGTAATTTTTGTTTTTGAGAAGCAGCTGCGGCAAGGACAGCGAATAACTGGCGAGATTCGAATTGACACTACTGATATGAAAGGACGGGGCGTGTAAACATCAGAAAAGTCTTTGCAGACCGTGCGTGTTGTTCAAATGTTTATGTGGATGATTTAAGAGCAGGTCGACTTTGATTGCTTTCATGGAAAACAGCGCAAATTCTCTGCCATTCAACATGGAAGGCAATCGCGCTTCAAACGAAAATGAAGCCGATGCCAAACAAGGTATATTTGATTCAACTCAGAGCGAGACGGTGGTCGATTTTGCTGACGATGAACCGGTCAGTGCTCCAACCGCAGCTTCGTTAAGCAGTCTGCACATCCGCTTTGACTCCTTGTGAGTTACGACTCTTGATTTTTCTGCTAGGTTTGCGCTTAGTGCAAGTTGGTTAGTTGTTCATTTACAAAATCATGGATGCCTGTTATGTAAAACATGAACAGATTGTCATTCTAATGAATTAGCTTTTGATTATTTATCCATCTAAAACATTTATTGCTCTCTAGTCTATTCCAAAATCTTGCTCTGTCCTGTTTTCTCAGCATACGAAGATAAAAGTTGAGATTAGAAAAATAAAGGTTTTCACTTTTAAATAGCTATCTTTTTATGAAATCTAACCTTAATTGTTTCATCCCAAGCTATTTTCAACGCCTTCGTTCTTTTCTCGTTTCTTGTTTCAGGGTAGTCATATATTTTGCTAAAGTAAACTTAAATTTTCTGCTGAAATGGAGTTTCCAGGGTGCGATTTGTTGATCCTGTTGGTGGCAGGTTTTGCCGTTTCATGGAGTAATTTGCTTTATAATTTTCTTTGTTTTATTGAACAAAAAGACAACCCGCTCTTCTGCTATTTGTTAAACAAATTCATCTTTCCTGCTGTTTCTTTAATTAAAAATCAAAAAGTCCACTTTCCCGTATGCTCGAATTTTTCCATGCAGCGGATTCTTCAATTCATAATTAATAGCTACATTTAATTTGGTGGATGTCAGGTCTTTAAAATTTATCATACCGTACATCGTTTTCATGCAACATATTCTTTACTTAATAAGTACCAGGTCATTTTAATTGGGTTGAAATCCGGTTTTTAAAAACTTTTTATCATTCCGAACACGGTCTCAATGCAATATATTCTACATTTAATAAATGAAAGGTAATTTTAACTGGGTTGAAATTCGGTCTTTAAAAATTCTTTATCATTCCGAACACGGTCTCAATGCATTATATTTTACATTTAATAAGTAAAAGGTAATTTAAATTGAGTTGAAATACGGTCTTTAAAAACTAGCTTGTTTTCAAACCGGAAGCTGAAGCTTGGTCATACCGGTCTGAATACCTCAAAATTTTGCCTTCTTGTAACGTATTCTGCAAGATGGTATGGTAGCTGTCATTTTTTTCAATTCAAAGGTTCTAGCTAGAATTCCAGTAGATTTCCTCCCTATATTTTCACTGTCTTATTTCTCGTTAAATGAGTTCTGATATATTTTTTTAATTCTGTAAGGTCCCAACGTGGCTTCTACCTCCCTTAGAGAAATAAGTACATATTCGCCTGTTAATAAACGCCTCCCTATTTTCTCTAATAAACGCCTCCTTTAAATAAACGCCTTCTCTTGAAATAAATATAAATGCCCTCCCTGATAAACAGCGCACACATTGAGATTTTATTTCATGTGAAATATAACGTAAGTTTTTGATTCGGCAATAACTCTTGACTGAATACAAGTTATCTCTTTTATTCAGTTCTTTTGTAGACGACGTTGGTTAATTTTTGTTTATAGGCCAATCAACTTACAAGTTGAGTTTAAAACCAGTCTTATCAGCCAAGGCACTGCCAAGCCCAAAAGATTGAAAATGATCGATGATGTAAAATGAATTAATCTTTACTGTGTTTTTCCCTGTTGTCGAGCTACCATCTGTTCTACCGATTCTTATTTTTGTCTTGCTAAATTATCTTGATTCGTATTTACTCTGATAACGATATGCAAATCTCCTTAAACAGGCTTTCAGATGCGAATACCAAAGCGACCGATGCAGCTGCTAACATTAAGTCTAAACTTCGAAGTCTGAGCCCTGCAAAACGAAGATCGGATTCAGATGCCAAGGACAAAAGGAAAGGTCACAGAGGCAAGCGAATATCACAGGTAATTTACCTTTCAATATGATGAAAACTCTAATTCCATGTCATTGTCTTTTATTTATTGGATAGAAAACACTGTGCAATGCATTACAATTCAAGCGCATGCACATTTGTTTGCATCCAGCATGTCCCCCCCCTGTACGTATTTAATGAGATGCATTTATCCCCTTTGATGATGCTAAAGAGTTTTATCGTTACTTTTGCTCAAGCAAAAATAATCATGTAAGGGCAAAGGCAAAAGAATATTTTACTTTTGCAATTTGAAATTCTTAAATCCGTTGATTCTTGTTGGGACTAAACAGAACTACAATATTCCGAGTATATATAAGTTTGACTACCAATTTTTCTTTATAAACTTTGTCATCATTTTGGTCACCAGTTTTTGGCCATAATTCCTTATTTTATGCCTGTCTGTACTTGTTTTTGGAAGCAGTTGGAGACGACAAAGAAGTGAAACTTTTGTGACGTTGGTTTTGATCTCAGAATCTTGGTCGATTTGTGGTTAGCGTAAAGCCGACTCTGCTGTTCGCAATTAGTATACTGTACTTGATACTGAATGATACTGTATGCACTTAGGCCTTCTGTTATTGATTACTCACTGTATTGTATTAGGCTATGACTAACGTGATCCAGAAATACTCCTTGTACCGGAATTTCTTGGTTTGAACTTGCCGTTTTTTATGTTTTCGATAACTTGACGAAAAATTCTTGACAATTTTCTTGGATCTTAGATTATGTCTGGAGCGTCCTTCAAATCAAAATGTGCTCTTTTCAAGAGAATTTTCAAGGATCTTCCACTGGAGGAGATGCTGATCGTTGGCAAGTCTGCTTTTTTTCTAACAAGATCTAATTTGAGAGTTTTTGAAGCGTATCTTTATATATATTCACTGACAAGTCGCATAAAATTGCAAAAGCTTTTCTGGAATTCTCTCATCTACAATTTGGTTTTTATAAAACAGAAACAGGACGCATTTGAACACATTGTGTTCTCTCTTCATTTGAAAGGGGGTTACGTATTATGCATTGCATCGCGAGAGACTTTTCATATTTAGGAGCAGCCAGTATCAATTTGCAATACCGTAAATCCTGGAATTACCCCCCCCCCTTCTCGCGAATGAGTGCCTCGCTCTAATGAGTGCCTCGCTCTAATGAGTGCCTCGCTCTAACGAGTGTCTCCTTTATAGTTAAATATGTAACGAACTTCTGCATTGATTTAGCGTCCCTGCCCTCAATATAATAAGCAAAATCGTAAGTTGGTCTGCAACATCGCCCGATGGAAAGTAAAACAAGACCAAATTGTGTGTAATGTACCTGTGTCTTTCTCGAGTACTCTCGATAAATTTTTTGTATATATTTAACGAGATGGATTTTTTATGCGATCGTTTTTATCTAAGTTGGCTGCTTCCTTTTCTAGATTATTCTTGTGCACTTCAAAGAGACATCCTTGTTCATGGGCGTGTCTACCTTTCTCAAAATTGGATGTGCTTCTATGCAAATATTTTCGGATGGGAGACCCTCGTAAGCTCACTTGTTCTGTTTGTCCTTCATTACTGTTGTGCAAGAAAAATTGCTTGGAACATCCAACTCGTTGTGTTTTAGTTTTTTCATTTCCTTTCAAAAGTGCTACTTTTCCCTTCCCCCTAGAAAAATGATGATAGTTTGGCCAAATATCATACCAGTCAATCGAATAACGCACTTCAAAGTCTCCAGTGTCATTTCATAACAAACCAAAATTATTCCAAATGGGAGGGAGCATTGCTGCTTGTGATGTTTGGTTTTTTCAATGTGTATGGCTTTAAAATTACTAAATTTGGACGATATAGTTAGAAATGAAATGTTTCGTTTTTCAATTTACAGTAAGTTGTTTTATTCGTAGGACCTTTTTTCAATTTGTTTGATAGTTTTATTCTTTGCTTGAGACACATATCCTTGAGAAACATATTTCAGTTCTTGGCACAGAAGTTAGCAATTCTAAAATGTGGAAATTTTGTATATCGTTTTAGGAAACAATTAACTGGCATGAAATAACTGCAATTACAAAAGAGAAGACTGCAAGAGTAATACCCAACGCCATAAGAATAAGCACAAGTAGGGACAGGGTAAGTCTGATTTCATTCGGCAACAACAATATTTGTACAATCAGTCCGGAAATCTGACTGCCTGATAATTCGTAATTTCTAGTTTCGAACAAAAACCTGATTCTTCTTTTAAAAAGAAGAATTTTTTATAATTTGAAAAAAATTGCTTTTCTGTGAGAGTACTAGCTACAAGAGGTTGAATATAAAAGTGTCAAAGTAAAGAAAATGACCGCAGAGAAAACCTACTTTTTCAAGATCTAGATTTATTCTTAGGTCAATTTAAAAGGTGTATATTGGAATTGTAGTGTTGAAGATTCTTACATGAATAATTTTGATGATGAGTTTGGTTGGTGATATCTGGCACTAAGGTTGGCTCAGAGGACAATGCTCTTTGAAATAAAAATCTTATAATTTTTCAAGCAAGTTGCTCTATAACACAAATTACTTGTGTTGAAAGAAATGCAGCCTGTGTGCTGCCCTTTGATTTTAAAAGTTTTCCTTTGCCGGGATTTACTTCAATGTCGACGTCATTGATTTTGATGTGATTTTTCAAGTCCAAGAATCAATGTGTTTCACCCCATTGAATCCCTTTATGCAATGTTGTTTAATTATGCTTGTATATGTGACCAGTGATCTGAGTATAGCGTTTATTATTGCTTTACTTTGCGATCTTACTTATCCTCATATCCCATTTTTTATCTTTGTTTCAGTATTTCTTCACATCTTTTGTCTCAAGAGATAATTCGTACACTGCCTTGTTCCGAGTTTGGCAAAATGCACTGTTAGGCCAGGTAAGATCTATTTACCATAAATTGTCCTTGTTGCCTCCACTGTCCGCTTAATCATAACTACCGGACACTGGTACTGGAGGCTGTCCGGAGCCAGAAGCCATTCTATTATTGTATGTAGAGGCTGATTGTGGCTATGAGAATAATGCAATTTAGATTTGTTTTTACAGTTACTTATATGGATCATAAGGCTTTTTGCGATCTTTTTGTCGTTTTAAGTTCACGATTGGTGCTTATGATTTCAAGCGGCGAGCTTCTTTTGTGCTTGCAGGCTGTGGGTCCACTTGAACTACGAAAACTGTGTAGGAGATTTCGAAAAAGGACTTCAGATGATGTAGACGGGGTAGTAGATGATAAAGACGAAACTGGGGATGAAGTCACCGAAAATGATAACGATAATCCATCGATTTCACCCAGTGATGTTTCCCAAGATTATCAAGGAGACCAGGTTTGAATTATTGTTATTAACAGTTTTTTGCCTTTTTTAATCCCGCTTTTTTGTTTACCCAGACTCATTGACTGTGCTACTTTGATAAGCTCTTCGAACAGTTGCTCTGACTAAAATTATAGACTGAAGACCGGGTGCAAGCTTAGACAAATTGGATTTCAATCAACAATAATATTTCCGTCGTTTGTATCTTCGTGCCTGTAAGTCTGTTAATATTTGTTATATCTTTCATTTTTTGTGAAGACTCGTCGTTTTTGAGTCGAGCTATCACATTAAATAGTTATGTCCTACATTCGAGAATGTTAGGCTCCGTTTCTTAAAGAAGCAATTATAAACTAAAGAAGCAATTGGAAGGCAATAATGCAATTTTCTTCCATGTTTTTCTTTAACGCGGGTCTTAATGTATAGGCTGCTGCTCGATTCTTGCTCCGTCCTGATTATGCATGGGAAGGTTCTAATTGTAACTAAACTAAAACTAAACTAAACTTCTAAAACTAAACTTTAATTCTTCCCATATTCCCAGGGACAAAAGACAAAGATTTCGGTTATTCCACCTACGCCCCCTGTCGGTGTGCATGAAGATGACTTATGGACAGGCGATTTGGAAACATCGGACGTCAATAAAAGCGGCCTACCAGACCCAAAAGAAGACAATGATGGCGAGGTCAGTGACGTGTCTTCAAGATCACCATCTCCGATCCTTAGGAGAGCTGAGAACCTTTTAGCGTTTGCGAAGCAAAGAAAAAAGCAAAGGAAAAAATTAAAGAAAACCTTTTCTCTATTGCCTGCACCAGAAACGTCGGGACTTGAAGGATCAGAGAACGAAAATACTTCTGAAGATAACGCTGAAAGTAAGAGATTTTTTGATAATTTTAAATTTTGTTTTTCTTATTTATTGTTGGGCAATGGGTGAAACGAATTAAAAAAACAAGAGATATTCCTGGGATTCACTTTTTATTTGAATCTTGTCGAATTTTAGCTGAATGTATGGATCTTGCTGATATGCTCACGTGTATGATAGTGTCTGCCCTCGGGGGGGGGGGGGGAACTATGCCTAATTTTGGACGGGACGTGCCATTTTGGTTAAAATTTTGGACAATAATAATTCCGCAAATGTCTGAAAAAATGTGATCCATAATTCCGCAAACATGATGAAAACTATACCCATTATCCTGCAGAGCAAATAAATTTTTTAAAGCACATGAAAAATCATTTTGGATATTCATTTTGTTGATGCTGAATCTCCCTCCTAATAATTTTGCAATATTTCCACAAAATTGTACCCATAATTCTGCATTTTTCTTCAAATTGTACCCATAATTCTGCATTTTTCTTCAAATTATACCCATAGTTCCGCACAAATTTCAAAAATTAGTACCGATAGTTTCGCACTTTTCAGGAAAAATGTACCCCTGAATAATGGCACGTCCCCATACTTTCAAACATGTTAAGGTACCCCCCCCCCCTTCCTACGAGTGTCTGCCATTTATCTCTCCCGTAAATCCAATTAAGATATGTACTTGTGAATTTTTTCCTATGAATTTATTTCTTTTTCAGCTGATGACGCTGGCGGTGAAGTGTTTTGCCCTTGCGTGGGAGCCCATCCAGGAGTAGAGTACTGTGTAGAGGTAAGTCTCGGTGAATTTGGTCATTTCCAGCTTTTGCCACATTTGTCACCTGTTCGCTTTCACACCTGTTATCACAAAGCCCCCTCCCCAATCATATGCAAAATCGTTCCAACTTATTACACCACCTTCTCCAACTCTGTCTAAGGCTTTATTCCGCTGCAACGGCAAAGAAAAACACGAGGAAGGCAAATTAAAACGAAAGAAACTAAACTGTCACACACCCAAACTAAACTGTCTCACACCCAAACCCCACTTCGTTTTCATAGTTTTTTTAGGAATGTTTTAACAGCTTTAAGATATTGCCCGGAGTAAAGATAAACTTTTTCTAGGTTTTGTCTTTTACTTTGCTTTCAGAATGTTTCTAATTTGTCTTCTTCAAATCTTACATTAAAAAATGTGTCCTTCAGTCTCCACTAGGAGTTAACACTTTCCTCTTTCCATTGTTGAAGTGTTAACACATTCCATGGGGTTTTCCCCAACATTGCCTACCAAATGGGGGCGCCCATAAAGTAATCACAAGTCTCCGTTGTGTGGTATTTTCAGCTTTGTATTTAATTATTATATTTTTGCTAGTGTACAGTGTTTAGAAACAATGTAGAAAATATTACATTCGAACATTTATTGACTTTATGTGAAAATTTTATGTGGAAACCTTCGACCATCTTATTTTTTCTTCGTAATTCCCATGTTCTTAGCTCCTTTGATTGACTTGTCAATCATTTATGTTTTCGATGTTATTGTAGGAATTCGATTTTGACGTTGATGCTTTGTTTGAGCATTGTTTCTCGAGTGATTCTGACGTCATGAAACAGATCCATGAAAGCAGGAAAATGCTGAGTAAGAGTCTTAACTCTAATGACTATCCGTATCTATGAAATTTTTTACCAAATTGTCATTTTATCTGTATTGTTGTCATAAAGGGAATATCAAATGTCTTTTAATTGGCTTAATTTCATTCGGATTATTCAGATTTCATCAAGTAGGCATGGCAAGTATATAGATATGATTGGCTACAACATACAGAACAGGATATTCTTCATAGTTTTATCATACGCAAGGCTCAATATCTTTTGGTGAATATATTCAACTTTTTAAGGGAATTCAAGTCTCTATTAGCTTGTGGAATGCCTTAATCCCCAGATTATCTGAAACTTCTTTCTCTTTATGTAGATGTTCGATATCATGATTTTACCAAAAACGAAGACGGTAGCTCGGAAAGATTATTGACCTACACTTTGACTTTAAACTATACTATAGGACCAAAACATTCGGAGACAAGTGTGAAACAGGTACCCATTGTTACTTCAATGCTGCTGTTATGCAATTTTTGTTGCCTTACATACAGCTGATAACAGCGGTGTAGTGCTACTAAATTAACAAGGGGCGCCCTTGCACAAAATGTTGCGAAAAACAATAATAAAATATAAATTTTCCAATTTTAGGCATTAACAAGTGGGGCTCAGCCCCCCTGAACCCCCTAGTACTGCACCTATGGCTAATAAGAAATTTGAGATGCAAGCTCGACTTTTAGAGATCATTCGACTTGTGTTCTTTAATCGTGTGTTTTGTTCCTGATACTGAATACTGGCAGTGAGAGAAACCAATGCCAGCTTTGAAAACAGAATAAAATTCTTTCGAGCGAAATTAAATCCTTGCTTTTTTCTCTAAGCTGTATAGATAAATTATACGCGGATTGACTGAATTAAATCGAGGAACTTTCCACACAGAAAGCAGAAGAATTTTGCAGGCTCAAAGACTTTGTTCAAATTGTTTTCTGTTATTATTTTGTAATCTAGTATCCTGGGCCGATTATTTTGATAACTTTCATCCTTTGATGTCTGTCTGTTTTTAACCTATCCTCGTCTGAAGTTTAAAGTCTTTCCTGTTTCAAAAATCATTGAAAACACTATATAGGTCATTATGGAACTCCTCGATCGACCTTGGTACTGCTGCTGTAATTGGGGTTGGCTTTGCTAATGAAAATCTCAAATCTGATCTGCTAAAACTATACAAAATGGTAGTGTGAAGCGCCAAGTAAACCACTTACTAAGGGGTTTTGATTGAATCTCAAAGAGCTCCATCACTTCGAGTCATTACTCAAATTTTTAGTATGTTTCTTTTTGAATGTTTCTTTTTAGAAACTTTCATCTTGGTATCACCATCCATTTATTTCAGTAAAAATCATCAACTTACAATTGTTTAGATATGTTGTGTTTATTTTTCAGATATTTCATAAGAACAACACCCCCGGATCATTCTATGTTGTAGAAACAGAGGTACCTTCTCCAGCTTTATCTCAAAATTATATGGATTTTTTAAAAAAAAAATGGACTTTTAAACATCTCTTTACTCAAGATCACCAATGTTGAAGATTTTGAATAAAGTTTTTTAAAATTTCACATTTCTAGGTATACAACAAAGGAATTCCATATGCAGATAGCTTTCACATCTTTTCACTGTATTGCCTGACTAGGTTACCAGGAAATCGTTGCAAAATGAGGTAATAGTATTTCATCTGTCTTTCTTATCCCTTGGCAATTTTGTTATGTTTTTGTCCTGTGTATCTGCAGAGTGCTTTGCAGATTATGACATCATAAGAACAAAAACTTAGTCGTGTTTTGTAGAAAACTTTTATGAAGCATTGTTAGGAACCAATCAAGCTCGCCAATCTTCCTCTCTCTTTACTTTCGATCCACATCTAGATTTGACTTTTTGCTTATCTTTGGTTAATATCCGACGTATATACTCAGAGGAGTGTAGAACAAAAATTACATCAGTATCTTATGCTTCTGCTTTTTCATTCTGTCTCAAATCTTGCATTACCAAAGGCTTATTTGAAATACAGATCATAATTCGGCCTAAACCTTTGTCAAGCTAAATTGTCACTAATTATTAGCTCTAGCTTTATCTTTATTGTTAAATAGGGGAAATTGTGCATTATCTTTGATTCGTTGCTGACTTGCCCCTTTTTTATGTCAAAGAGTTTTACCACCAGATTTCACTGACTCGTTATCTTAATCTTCTACAAGAATTTCCACCTAATTTCGTTGCATGTGATCACTTAATCATTGTTTGGCCAACTTTCCCTGAAAGTTTTTGCTAAGTGCTGACGTTTGGGCCAATCTCCCAGAAAAATTTTCTTATAGGTGTCGTTACCTTCTTTTATATAGGTAACTTAACTTGTAGTAATGTGTTTGTATTTGTATACTGCATTCCAGGATTCATTCAGAAGTCAGATATACAAAGTCAATGATGGGAATCGCAAAAAGTAAGTCAATCATATATATGTGCACATATTCCAGCTTTAAGGAGTGTAGAAGAGAGAAGTGAAAATACAGGTGTTGAAAGGTGATTTTTCAAATAAGGAGGAAGGGAAAGAGAAAAAAGTAAACACTTAATTGATGGAAACTTTAAAATAGCATATTCGTCAAAAGGAAAGGTCTAGGAAAAATGATTCTAGTAGGTTTATAGACAAAAACTCACGGCAGTCCCTGTCACTTGAATTTAAAACAATGAAAAAAATTATGACTGCAGCTGTAATTTATGTAAAGAAAATATATGTAAATATATTCCAAATCTAGGTTTTTTTTAAAGCGTGAGTTAGCACCATTAAGACTTGTGTCATTCAAATGTTTGATATTAATTACTTTTTCTTAGGAATAACTAGTAAGAGTATTATTTCAGTGAATTTTTTAATGTCCTCACATTTTTGCTTGGTTTATTACAGGCATGATACAAAGGAACGCCGATCAGGCATTCAACGACTATTTCAAAAATTTGGGTAAGTTTTATCGAGAATGTGATTGTTTTTAAATTTTTCTAGATCTAGAAAAATGACGTAATACCGGAAAGTTAGAATAATTATCTCAGTGGAGAAAATATTACTCTGTTTATCTTTAGGAAATTCCGCCATTTTGCTAGTGTTGACATGTTTTCAGTTCTCATTAGAGATGCCAAATAAGATACTCTCTTTACCCAGTACAAAGCCTACATAGGCTGAGGGTCCAAACCATTTGAAAACATATGAAAGAATAACACATTTATTTTAGTTTCATGATAATAACATGACTCATTGGCATCTAGGTCATCTAAGAACGAGATTTTCTAACCTGCCGTGATGGTATTTTTTATAATTTGAAAAATTGCAAGTGTCTCAAAGAGCTACAAACTGAAACAATAGTTACTTGTTACAAAACCGGGGGTGTGTTGTGTCGCTGCTGCACATAAATATGTACAAAACTGGGGGACATGGCCGGGGAAACGAACCAGCATTTGTCTGAAGATCCGCTGGCTTTTAAATTTTGGCATCATATGCACATGCGCAGTTAAAATCATTGACGCCATTTTTATCTCATAATATGTACCTATATATGCTGTGGTAGGAACATTCCTGGCTCTTATGGGAAAAGGCCAGTCTCGGATCAAACGAATAAGAAAAATTATAGAAAAGGATTTCACGAGATGAGTGAAAATGAAACTCTGGTTTATATGATGCAACTATGCATAATATTTTTTATTAAATGCTGTGAAGTACAATGAGATGTAAATTTTGTCCATAAGCCTTCGCCCCAAAATGGATCAGACTGGTTTGGAGAAATTGATATAATGATATCTCTAAACTATCAGCTCGCCTCGCCTCGCCTCTCCAACATAAGGATTGACAGAGCAGGAGTCATTTGAACGAAGCAAATAATAAAGTGTCGTAAACTTTTGACACCGACGAACATTTCACGACAAAATAATACTTTTCGAAGCCACTTTCCGTCAGTGAATGCAAACAAGAGTCAATTCATTTAGAATACAACTCGCATCAAATTGATTGATGGACAGCCTCATGATGAATAATATGAATCAAGTCATAAGATATGTTCACGCCGGGGTTGACAACTGGGGTGGACAAGGACAAATTTTCTAGGCCATGCCCTTCAGACTCTTGGAAAATCCTTTTTTTAGTATTTTTTTATCCATTTTGATATTTTTGGACAAGCAACTATCTCAAGCAGCATTTTTTGCAACGGTGGCTTTTTTACCAGTGCGAAAATCGAAATCGATCTGATTACCCCAGCTCCCCCCAAAGGTTTTCATAGGATTTCGAGAAATTAGAAAATAGACTTCTGGGAAACAGCCCACCCCGTGGCGACGCCACCGACGCCGGTTGTAGAAATTATCTAGTGTACCAACACAGAACTGGCTGCTGGTTCAGAGATTCAATGTTAAAGTGCCAAGAGAACGCTAAAGGAAACACAACAGTTGTATCCAATCCTTCTTCATTGTACACCTCTGTACTGATTATCTATCTCTCTATCGCCGTTTCTGTCGCCTCTTACCTTACAGTCGGACGTTTTTTTATACTTTTAATCTACACAAACTAAATATGTCTACCAATCAGCATTTAAAAAAAACAGAATACAAATTTTACTTCAAAGATTTTTTATGAATAACTTTAAAATGCATACACGGATTTATAAATGTCGTTAAGCTGTTTGTTAGATTGATGAATAGCTTAATTCAGCCCATGATTAGCCTGAGTCAGCTCAAAACGCCGTTAACCAAATCCATTACGGATGCCTACATAAACATTAATGACCCAAGCAAATCTTATGAGTTAACAAGAAGAAAAAACAAATCTCTATGTGAAAAGCATTTGCTGCAGTGCTATATTAAACGTGCTGTCATGAATGGATAATCCCAACGCCGGTCAAGGCAAAAGAAAATTCACAAAAAACTGAATCAATGAGCAAGGTGTGTCTTAAGGCCAACTTTCTGTCTGGGGGCTTGTGTTTGCACGCAGGCAAGTCCTCACATGAATAAAGACAATCTTCTGATTGCGTGAATCTATGTTATCTTTTTATTGTGCAATATCTCTTGATAGTCACAATAATTAATTTTAAAATATAATGACATCATTAAAGAGAACTGTTACGGTTAATTAATGATTTTGCTTCTTTGAGAGAAACTTGAGCACGCCCTAAAGCTACTTTGGTTACAATTACTGTTATTTATATTGCAAAAATACCTATTCAAGTAGTGAAGTTTTTTTAATAAATACAATAGCCAAAGAACTTTACAAAAGATTTCAGAATGGGATGAAAAGTAGAATTATAGTGCATGATACTGAAAATCAATTTTACACGTGAAGCACCCTTTTAGCAGGCACCTTATAATCTTAATTAGAAATTTCAAGAACATACAGGGATGTTGTTTTGTGGGAAAATTTGACTTCCTTCAATATAGGATGTACAATAGTTGTGACGACTTTCTATATTCCTCGTTGGTTGGTTCCGTCAACTGTTGCCTTGGTATTTGCCACGCCTTCAAGTCACCATAGGAACTGTGCAAAGGTCGTTTACTCGCCTGATCACCGCAAGCTAAGATTCTTTTCATGATTGTCGGACTTGAAATGTTCCGGATTAACCTCTTGTGTTGTACTTGGTTTCAAGGTTTCAAGCTCCACTTATTTCTGCTTTTCTCCATAGTAACCAACCATACTAATTTCCTTGAAAACGTCTCATTCGATATCTTCCTTTGTTTTGCCAACAATAGCCACATGACGCAAAGTCGTAAATCGTATTTCAAAACATTCTACCTCTCGGAGCGGTGTTTATACTGATCGCATCGGTTTGGTTGTCATTCTGAATAAGATTTTCCAGAATAGCTAGCACGAGTCCCGGAGACGCCATGAGGTCGTGGTTAGATTGTGATGCTGAAATTTTTCGTTACCATCCCTTCAGGATTGGATCTGAGGATGATTACCAGAAGTATATGGGTATATTTTTTTGCATACTTTGGATGCATTTTTAAAGTTGCAGTTGAATGTAAAATAATGTTGTATTGCATCAAATTACAGAAAGAATTAATCAATTTCTTTAACTTTTACCGAAAAAATTTGTATTCTAGCATTCGAATCAAAATACTATTTAGGAAGTTATATTTTTGTTTTCTAAAAAGGCCTTTAATCCTTATAATTTGCAAGAAAAGAGTGCACAAGTTCAAGAATTGATTCTTTATTGTAAGATGAGTTAGCAGTTGGTAATAAATGCAGTCAAATATAGAAATGGCCAGCAATGGTCAAGATAAGCGGTTATGTAAATATATAAGGAAGTTTGATGGTGAAAGAGGAGTTGCCCAACGTGGGAAGTATGGCAAGTTGCACCGATATCTTTTTATCCTCCTTATATTAAAGGACATTTTCCATTTGTTGTTTGTTTGCTTTCATTGTGTTTGTTATGTCCATACAGGACAGTTATAAGTGTATAGTCCGGCTAGTCAGAGATTCCTGTTTGGGAAAAAGATTATAAGATTAAGATTAAAAGAATAAGATTAACTGTATGACTAACATGTGGGGGGGGGGGGGTACTTGCAAAATAAAGTTACCTGGAGATGTGCCACGACCAAGAGTATACTTGTTCGGACTTCTACTATAGCAAAGGTGTATTTCTTTGCAATTTTGGTCTAGCTAAGGGTACAAAATTGCCAAGGGTGTCATATTTGAGGTAATTGGTATAGGTAACGGTCTAAGAAATGAAACAAAACGACCTTTGTTTCATCACCCCTTCAAGTTGCTTATCAGTGATAGACATCCGTATATATGCATGGTTTTGACGGCATTTAGTGAGATTTTCCACAATTTTAGACCTTCTTAGACTTAATAATATCATTTCGCACGAGGAAACCGATAAATCGCATTTGGTTATACAATATCGAAACCCAGACAAATCAAAATAAAGATACTAAATAGCTGTTATTAAAAAACCGAAAGTTGTTAATATTCTCGATCTGAAAAATTTAATTTTCTGATCTGGTGGGTGTAGACTTAGCAACTGAATTTTTTGAGGCCAGTTTAAGCTATAGCTCTCATAAATCTTTTTTGGACGCCAGTTGATAGATTTATCCGTAGCTGCGATTCAGTGTTCACTAAGGCAGAACTTATTTCAACCATGTGAGTGCTAATCTATCTGAGTTCCAGTCATTAATAATCAGGTGAAAATGTAATCTTATTAATTTATTTAGAGAGAACAGTGATTTTGAAATCAAAATAAATAATAAAATAACTCCATTTGTAATTAAAATCAATAAAAACTCAAATTTGCAAAAATGTAGTTCTGAAATAATAGCTCGATTAGTAAAGAGAAACAAAAAATTGTCAAGTCCTTTGCATATTGTCACTTCAATCACTGCTCCTTTATTTGAATGCCTGATGTGATCAAATGCAAGCCATAAAAACTCGAGAAAACCGAATGGCCCCCTCATACCGTTTATCAACCAGGGCTGGCTATCAGCGGGGTTTGGTTATCAGGCTACTTCGATCTTCGATCCATATTGATTCTGTTCACCTGTTGGCATTTGAAACTACCCTACGTTTAGCGAATTCCACCAGGGGCGGATCCAGAGCAAATTTGAAGAAGGGGCAGTCGCTAGTGGGGGCGCTGAAAAATTTCCAAAAATTGGTGACAAGAGTACGCTGTATACAACAATTTCAGATCCATTTTCAGAATAAACAACATAACATTGAGGTAATTCTTGAAGCAAATTAACCTATCGGTCTCAGAAATTGTCCACCTGTTTCTCATTCTTCAATAGTGGCGCACAATTTTCAAAAAATATTCTCTTTCAATGCAAATATTCACCAACACTCTACTAGGCAATCTAATCGCGGTAATTTGTTTTTGACTCATAGGAACAGTTTTCGGTATGGCCTGAAGTCTATTCGATATATGGGGGCAAAAATGTGGAATGACCTACCAGTAGAAATTAGAAATTCTCCTTCAAAATATTCTTTTAAAAACAATCTTAAAATATTTTTACAAAACAACATAGTAGTCAATGATGGTTTTTAAACTTAGTCTATAAATAGATGATATTTTTCTGTGGATGACTGATAGCAACTTACAGATGATTCTTTTACATTTAGAACTAAAAAAATAAGCAGAACGCATCTAATTTACTAGGGGGTGCTTTCTCCTCGATTAGTTTATAAACTACTGAGAAAGTTTCCTCCTTTAAATAATTCCCTGTTTACAATACTAGCTTGTTTCTCCACTACTCTGTATTTGTTATGTTACGTTTATATTATTTAACTTCCTTTTACATTGTTTATACTTTAAAGCTTCGATTATTTCTAATTTGTAACAAGTGTATGTATCCAGTGGAATTTAAAATAATACTGAACTGAACTGAACTGAAAAAAGAGGCGCTAGACTTGGTTCAACTCGTCAAGGGAGGGGCAACTGCCCCTAATTGCCCCCCCCCTTAAATCCGCCACTGCATTCCACAAAACTTTAAGCACTGGCAAAACGACTAAACATTTCACTAAATATTTCACTCAAGTTTTGTTTAGCCAAACGTTTAGTAAAAAGTTTAGTCGTTTTGCCACCCTGTTTAGTGTTGTTTAGTCGTGTTGTGTGTTGCTGAGCAAAGTTTGATCCTGTTCAAAAATGTTTAGCGTTGTTTAGTGTTGTTTAGCAAATATTTAGTCGTTTTGCTACCAATTAAACATTTGTTGTAATTGCGCAGGCGCTCTAGCTGTGGAAATCCAAAGGTTTTCGTCTGTTTTCATGGTTTTCCTTTCTCTACGTGACCCAAAAAGCTTTTGTGAGACATCTGAATATCTCGTTGTACGCCACTGTCTTCTTCAACAGTCAACTTTGTTGTCAATAATCTAAAAATTCTTTTCTTTCCCCGTCGCTTCATCTGATTCTTATTTTTATCCACTGCTTGTGCATGCAACAAAATAAACCAAAAGCAAATTCCTATGCAAGATCCCCTACAACCCAACAGCGTCATAGACAGCTCGCAGTTCAAAAAAGTTGAGTGAAGTTTAGGGAAAAGTTTAGTCACGTTTTGCCACCCTCGCTAAACTTCGTTCAACTTCGCTAAATAAAAGTTCAGTGAAATGTTTAGTCGTTTTGCCAGGGCTTTACACCACTTGAACCCAATCCTTCTGAAGGTTATTTCCTCTCAAAAATCCACTAGCTATAATCTTCAAAAAAATGACTTTTTTTCCCAACGTCAAAGCAATAAATTATGGTATAAAATCTATTACCTTTCTGGGTCCAAAGATTTCAAATCTCCAAATCATTTGGAACATGCTTACAAAAGTCATCAAAATAAAAATTAGTTAAAAATGCTCTTTGGAAAATGGTATTTAGAAAATAAATGCACTTGGAATGCTTGCAATCAATATAATTCATGTTGCTGCATAACTCACAGTGGTGCGCATTTAGTTTGGTATCTGGCGAAAGCTCTCAACGAAGGGAGACGAGCCCAAACTGAAAGCTGCAGTAACTCAAATTACCCCTGTTTCAAAGCAGCCTGAGGCATGAATTATAAAATTAGAAAAAGTGGCAATTTTGCCGAGATCCTAGGTACCCTGGGTCCCTCTTTTCGAGACAGCGAAAAGCATCAGTGTCTCCTAGCTGGTTTAAGCTGGCCAGAATCGAGTGTGATGCAACAAACACTTTTTCAAAACACTCAATGTAAAGTGACATATTATGTTTCTGCCCAATTTGTAATTCTGCAGAAACTCCATGAAAATGCTTGCCATTCTGTTTGCCATTATTTGTGGCAATGCGCAAGAAGTTCAACTTATAGCTAAACTCATGTTGTTTAGCCTCATCTGAGGGGCAAATCACTCTGTGGAAATCTCATACATATTTGTTGGCAACCTGGAATCCTGTTGTTTTAGTTGAAAATCTCCAAAAGTCATTTTTTTGTGGGAAGTTCGCACGCTATTGGCAAGAGTGATTTGCCCCTCGACCTAAACCACCCACTGAACACCAAAGCCCGTCGAAATGTATAATTTGTAATTCAATAAAATTGAAAAGCAGAATTCAGTAAAACGTTATCATGTCTTCATAGCTTTGGTGTTGAGACAGAAGTCCCAGGCCAAACCAAGCGAGCTAAAAAAGAAGAGAAAACGACAGGCCACTGGGAAAGCTACAAGAGAAGAAACATTTTATGGCAAAAGTGAAGTTGGAAAGGCAACACCTACTAAAAAAATTGAATATGGTAGGCAATGAGATTTGATATTTATAAAGACTTGCATATTCATATTTTAATACGTTACCGTTTAAATGATTGGGAAAGTATAAAAACGGAGAATAAAAAGTTCCTTTTAGCTATTAGTTACACGTGCCTCGTTATCTATATCTTGAAATCATACAGTAGCCTGACGACCATATTGAATGTTGAACTCAGAGTCTCAGAGCTGCTACCTGAAAGCATTTTGTTTTATAAATCAAAGCATCAGTAAGTTATATGATAAAAATCTATAAGATCTAAACAGAAGAAAATGTACTGAGAAGATGTACTTTTTTAGATGGAGACCAAGATGTGCAAACAACTTTCAAGGCTGCCAATGTTTCAGTATCTTCAAATTCACCCCTGTAAGTAGAATTAAATGTATTCCTTCTACTTACATCAAATACATGATTTTCATATTAGATTACTTTTACATTTTTTAAATCACCTCTTCAATGGAATATAAAAATTGTGGCCAGAAATAGAAGAATATGCCTTTGAAAAAAGCAAACATTTGAGTAAACTAAAGCTTTTTGTCTGACACTCTTCAGAGTTTAATGATCAGAATATAGTATTCCAAAAAAATACAAGAAACATTATTTCTGTCATTGACATAAATCATACTACTTTGTTCAACTCCATGTAATTTACCCCTAGACCTGGTGGACAATCTCCAAGAATAATAGTTGGTGTTTCAACTTTGTGAGTATCAACTTAGCACTGCAAAATATAAATTATAAAAGTTTTGATCATAGATTAAAAAATTGTTGCTGTTTTTTTATTGCTTCTCTCCTTAATTTTCTTAATCTGTTTATAACAAACTAATGATGTTTACTTGTTTATTTAGTACTTAAGATTTTTTGTTGTATCATATGATAATCACGAGGACATGACAAGCTTAACCTCCCAACCATTTTTCAGGCTTATTCTGCTGTTGCTTGTAAATAGTTACCTTCTTCATCGTGTTTACCAATTGGAAAAATTTGCAGCATATGAACGGAAGCATAACTGTGTTCCCAAGTAAGTCTGTCCCATTTTTCTATTCTAGTATTGTTTTCTCATCTCTATGAATGTATTTTAAGATGATCCTGTATTGCAGCTACTCTTAACCTCTGGCCCATGGGCCAACTCCACCCTGCATCAAGATTTCATTCAGCCCACTGAATAGTTTTCCTCGTAAATATTCTTAGGGTACAATTTCAAAATTTGGAACTATTGTTTGATGACACTCCCCATGTTGAATTTCTTGAAACTTCCTTGCTAATAGGAAGTTTCCTTGCTAACAGGAAGTTTAGACAAAACAATTGGGATGTAATTAGTCACTTTTTGCCCTCAGAAATCTACCAGTAACTGATGAAAATTGGTACAAACTCCTGCAGACACAAAGGCATGCACATGAACTAGAGGTGAAAAGGTAAATTTTGATTAATCTTTTTTTTCTTGGCACAGGAACTTTATTTTATTAATCATTGCAATATTTCCAATTTGGTTGCAAAAGACACTTTTAAACAGCTATGCTTTGATTGAAATCACTTAGTAACTTCAGCAGATCAGAAATCTCAAGAAAGCATAAATGTTTCTCCCATTTGTCTGTGTCGCTTATTTTGACTCTATTGTTCACTGTCCAATGATCAGGCCTTGCTCTAAGTAAAATGAAGGTGCTCCATAAAAAGAGCCCCTTAGAAACTCTAGGCGCTCTATTTTGCACCTCTAAGTAAATTTCCTTGAGAGCATCCTTCGAGAGCTTTAGGAGATCGAGAGCTTCATATCGAAAGCTTCGGAAGAATGTTAAATATGAAATAACAAAACATGCAACAAACACTATGTTAATATAAATATAGAAATATAATGGAACAAAGTCGCAAAATTGTTCAGATTTTTCTAGATATGTAAGTTGCCATCATTCGATGAGCTTTTATCTGTGTCAGTATCACTACTGTTATGTTCAGTTTTACATATTGCTTCATCAAAACGCATGGCTTTAAATCGAACATTTAACTTTTTTCCATTTTTCATGTTATCCATTCTATAAGAAACGCTAGAACATCTACTACTCGCAAAAGCAAATGAAAAATGAAAAGCAATGCGATAATTTGGACGGAAATGTGATCGCTGATTTGCACAGGCGCTTTTTAAGTTATTAAAAAAACAGAAAATAATATATACTTCAATAGAAGATTAACGCTTGCTCGAAAATCAAATAAATCTGCCGGAGAATACGGAGAATATTTTTTCTCAAGGGGTAATCTTACGCAAATCATAATATTGCGGTCTGTTGGGAAGATTGTTTATGCTTGATCAAGTTGATTCAACAAATTCCAAAAATTTATCTTGCTCCGTGTTAATATTGTTTTTACGTTTTGAGGGGCTCTATAAATCGCTCTCCAAGGCTTTTTTTGGGTGCGCTCTAGGCGCGTGCGCTCGATCGAGCGCCTTTCCGGGCAAGGACTGAATGATAGCAATTTGATTGAAAGTTGGTACTCAAAATGTCCAATTTACCAATTCAAATTGGTACTCAATTGGTACTCAAAATGTCTAATTTGTGTTTACTTTGACCTTCAAAAAATTTTTAATTCTTTGAATGTGAAATTTGTTTGCTTTTATCCTTTAACCATAATTTCCATTTTGTGAAGTTATGATATTAAACTGCATAAACTTTAAAGAGTTATCTATCTTTGTAGGTTAAAAGATGTCATAGGTGGAACAGTGGTCCTAATAAAACAGGTACCTAGAATTCCCATATTGTATCTTTCCTAATATTTTTTGTTTCTCTACTGCCATTGCTATCTGAATTTTATTATAACTCTCTACTGCCATTTGAACATTGTTACAGGTTTGTGGGAAATCAGTGCTACATGGATGCTCCTGGGTTTTTTCTCTAAACAACTCCTTATATTAGCAAAATACTTTTTTTAAACATATCAAATTACACAATATCTTAATGTTAAAAAGTCTGATATTTTTCATACAAGTTTTATATACCTAGTATAATGAAAAATTAATGTTTAGATAATTTTTCCAGGTAGAAACATCAATGAAAGATCTATATGAAGAGCTAGACAGAAATTTTCAGGAAGAGCTTAAGCCAAACTCAACCTAGAATTAGAATAATTTTTAAATTCCATTAGATTAGATTTTAATTGTATTGAAAAGAGTTAGAGACCAATTAATCTCGTTTAAATGGCCTATCCCATTCCTATCACCCACCTTTAGAAATACTTCCAATATTTATTACACTTTATTGTGTGTATCCAATCCCCTCTATGCTTCTGAAAGAATGAATTTTCTAGATTTTGTTAGCTGGTCTACCAAAATCAAAACGCTAAATTCCGACAACATTGAAGCTCTAAGAACCCCACCCTTTTATTTTTTCAAATTTGTATAAAGGTCTATGTGATTTTAGAATGTTACAAAAATAAGCTATTTATAAGAGTAAAAAGGTTTTAATATTAGATACCTTCTATTGTTTGCTGCAATTGATTTTGTTTTTAGAATACAGACATGAATTTCTTTGTAAAATAGTGCAAAAGAATAAAAATTTCATTCTCATTCTTACAACACCATATCATAAATATTGAGATTACTTAACAACTTGGAGATTCTAAAATCTATTTGAATCACTGAAAACTACAAGAAAAAGACTTTATTCTGGTATTTTTTCTCAATTGCAATTCAATGCCTCAATAAGTGTAGATATATTGTATCATTTTGCCTGTGTACGAAACTAGTAGCTTCAAACCGTTTGCTGGTATCATTAGAACTGCTAGATTATTTTTTCAATTTTTGCTGAAAATAGGAGATGGTAAATGAAATTCAAATTGATTTATTGTAAATGAATTTAACACCTGATTCATACAGAATATTAGTAGGCTTTCTATCTGTTCTATCAATCTATCATTTAGTAGCTTCAAAACTAATCTTTGCCCAAATTGATGAGCCAGATTCATTTCCAATTTTCTTTTTTGCACAATATTGAGCTTATTGCAGTATTTTGTGCAAAAAGGATGTTTTAATCAAACAAATTTTGCCTCATTGGCCACATCTATCTTGCACTTAAATTTCCAATTAGTATTTTTTTGTTATATCAATTGATTTTTTTACAAAGAGAACAAGATGAGGTTTGAGAACCTTACTTTGAGGCAAACCATGGTTAACAAAGTTCATAGCAGTCTGAAATAAAGCTGAAGGGGCGGATAGCTTTCTGTTGAAGTTACATGAGTTGCAAGGCCAAAAGTTGTACTTTTGCTTAAAACAAAGTTTGTTACACTATAAAAATTTTAATTCTCATATTACACTATAAGGTCAAGTGTAAAGTTACACTTCTGAATAAGTTTAAAATTCATATCAGGCAGACCTGGTGACACTAGGCATGCACACAATACAGGCCTAGAACTCCCTAGATTAGCTTTTTGTTGCACATGCAGTCTCATGTTTTGACCACCTATTCATTTGTCTCTTTTGTTTCTTTAATTTCTTACTAATTTTTTCTAAATTAATTTTTAGTTTCTTTTTTGTTTATTATCTTGATGGTATTTCCAGGTGGCATAGTCACTCTTTCAAAAATTGTATGCTTTTTGTTAAATTATTTTGTTTCAAGAAAATTTATCTAAAATTTGGTTCATAAACCTCTCATACACTTTTCAAACAGTGATACACCCCTCAAGCATTTTCACAAGAGAATCCTCACATTTAAATGGCTGTCATGTCTTCAAAAAAATTGTAAGGTCTCCATTTTATGGGACACACATCATGGCAAACTTAAACCCTCAAGGTGTATGATTACCAGCACAGCACCAAATTTCATATAACCAAGATAGTATCAGGTAGGTAAGAAACCAAGAAGTTTTCATGCTCTGGGAACAAGTCTTCTCCAATTTCATTAAAAGATTCAAGTTTATCTACATTGTTGAATTAAGCTATAACATCTGGTATAATTTCTGTCTGGTTTACACAAATATTGGCTCTGGGGAATGCTTTAAGGCGTCCCTTCACAATGGTTGGCATTTCTGGCAATGGTTTAAGTTCATTTTCAACAAACTCTACAAATGCAAGTGCTGGGAAAAGTCTTTTCTTTGGAAGTGGAATATTGGTGACCCTCACAAATCCTCCATACCTTCCTTGAAAACGATTTGCCAATGGTCCATAAAGTTTTTCAATTGCTTCTTTGTCCTAAATGAGACAACAATAGAAACTGCTTATATTTATGCATTGCTATTTTGGTTTCTAATAAATCCAAGTGCAGGTGTGCAGGTCCTTGATGTTAGGCAGAGAAATAGCAAACAATTTGATAATAAATAGGCAATCTACTTTCAAGATAACAATGCAGGTACTTTTTAACGGGGCAGAAAATTATGTGAGTACAAATTGAGGCAAATGGGCTGTCTACATTGTGTTTTTAATTATAGCTTAATCAAGCACCTCCTTATTTTTCAACTTTGGTTTTTTCTTTCTCTGTACATGATTTAAACACCTCCTATCCATGCTGCACAATACATTAATATACAAAGGATAGATAATATATGCCATTATAAATTAGCATGGTTTCAATTTACACAAATGCTGTAACATGTAGGGTGTAATTAGGTAAAGGTACAGTAATAAGGTATTCAGAATCGCAAAGGAAAAATGTTTTTGGATCAACAGCATGACTTAAGGCCTAGGAACAATAATTATTATCCTGCTTTCTTAAGCCAGGGGCAAAGTACTGTTCACTGGCTTAATAGCTGAGTAGAAAACTGATGAATAAGAAGTTTAGCAATTTTTAAAGAAAGAGGAAATGTCTCTCCAAATTATAGAGTGCAATGGTAAAACTTCTTTCTCTTTTGGTTTATACAAATTCTAAATCTTAGATACATGGAAGGTCAGGGAGGCAAGAATATGCACCCAGTTTTGGTTACCTCTAATAAAATATCCTTGACCACTGACTTGCACTTTTCAACATATTCCTCTTCTGGTAATTCCTTTGGTGGAATGAAGCTTTTTTTTGACATTCTATTCGTGATCCTCCTCCTAGTTCGCGATTCTATTGCTTCATCCTCGGTTATTACAAAACCATTTTTTATCATATATAAGTCAGGGGGTGGTTGTCTTCTTTGTGTCAAATTGATGAGCTAAATGGAAACAAAAACCTCATGACGAAATTGTTTCAAACAAAGACCAGACAAATAAGGGGGTCATTATCATGAAATAAAATTATATGCACAATAACACTTGTGGGTTTTTACAAACAAAATTTAAAAAGACCAGACTGGAGACTACTATTTCAAAAGCAGATATAATCTTCATCCAGTGTCCGTGCATTTTTTTGCAGACTGTATAACTATTGTGATAAACATCAGTAGAAAAAAATATATTGGCCTTGCAAATACACAAATCAATGTCACTGAGGCCTTCCTTCATTGAGATTTCAGGCAAGTAGGAGGGTTTGTGATTTTTTCAGGCATGCATTTACAATTATCAATAGAACCTTTAGGTTAAGAAGCAAACAAGTGCCATGCTTTAAATACAGGTGTGGAACTTTTTTTTGAAAATCTTTTTATTATGATGACACATGCAGTATTTGCACGCATAATTTCTATCTGCAAAGTTTCCAGTCAGGGGATGATGGTAAATATCCCTTTTTCACAAAATTCTACCAAGTAACAAAGGTGCATTTTGAAGTAACAGACTGTGTGATCCAGTTCTTTCAATTATTCTATTGGTTAACCAATGTTTTAGTCTAATAGTGTCACACTTTTCTTTCTGCTCTCAACTACCTACCTCAGAGCAACGCAAAACTAAAGAAGAGTTTTATCATAAAACTTGATATATACTCTTACACGTATGGTTTCGATATACAAGAGAAATATCTGCACCAACTTGATTCAAAACTGGGATAAGAGGAAATATTTGTCTTACAAGATCGCCATATTGTCGCAGTTGCTCAGCCTTCCTTGCAGTCGTGCAAACCCTCTCGTGTTTCACCAATGCGATCGAGAGATGCTTGATGAAATCTGTATGCCTCTTTACAAAAGGATTTTTCTTCTTCTTTTGTGGCATATCTCTATGGTTCCTGTATCTTACCTGTGAAACTGTACCGCCTGCGAACAAAAATAAAACATTTTTATGAAAAAGTTGCACAGGAGATATAGTCCTCAGCGCCATTTTGACTTGAGAGCATTGGTAAAATGTCTCGATTCCATTTAAGCACAAGCGAGAATCAAATCATTTTCAACAAAATGGCAGCTGCAGAATCCATAAAGGCGTTCGAGTGCAGGGTTTTTGAAAAACTATTAAAGTCAAAATTTAAAAATGCAAATTATCGTAGGAAAGTGATAAGAAACACTTTAACAGAGCTAGTCGAGAAGGAGAGAGTGGAGACGTCGTTAGCAAGAGCAAAAGATGTGGCAAGGGTTGCAAACAGAGTGAGTTTGTGAATGAGTACCTCACTTCCAGTCTGCAGAGTATGGCATGTGCACACCGGAGATATTTTTGTGCAAAACCTGTTGCACACTAGGTATTTTTGGGTGTGGCAACTAATATGGGCGTGGCTAGGTGTGGTCCCATATAAACTTCTGTGGCTTCTATTGGAAGGACCCAGACAAGAAGAAGAAAAGGCGGGCAAAAGAAGAAGGCACGTGAGGCAGGCTCCTTTGCATTTTTACGGTGAAATGCAAGTTTAAAACTTTAACCATAACAGGGGAAAATTTAATAGCTGGTGCACACCAGCACACCAGAAATTTTTGGTGGTGCACACCGGCACACCAGGCTTTTTGCTCGTGCACACCGGAGATCTCGTCGAAAAGTGCCATACTCTGCAGACCGGCCTCACTTCAAGTTAATTCATTCCCATCGATACACAGCGTCTAGTGTCATACATCCACGTTTTATTTTTTATTGTATTTCTAATGTGATACAATGTTATTTAAAGAGTTGACAGTTTTCCAATATTAGAGTGTTTTCACTTTTCATGGCTGAGGAATTTTCAATAAAATCAAATCAACTTAACTGAATGTCAAAGATAGAATGTCAATTTTTATCACCATTCAATAAATGGCACTTGGCTAGGTTTTCCCCTTCCCAATCTTACCTTCATCATTTCTTCCATTACTGCTTGTATCATATCCCTCATCGTCTAGAGCTAGTTGGACCATTGGTGCTTCGGCACAAATCGCTCAACCTACCACAAATCTCTAGAATGAAGGTGTATAGTTACCAAGGGAAGTTACAAACAAATACTAAACAAATACTAATAGCTGATGCACCAGTTCTTGTGTTGAACAGCATAAAAGATGCCTAGAGGTATGAGAGGTAAATGAACGTAAAAGAAACTCAAAACACAAAGCTATAGTGAAAAGGCATTTCACATAAAAATGAAGGAGGGAGGGCTGGGATAATAAACAGCATAATTGTATTGAGGCTTCACCAAGCAAGGTGAGACCCTTGATATGCCAAACCTTAAATACCTCTTGATTAACCAAGGGAATGAAACACCTCAAAACACACACTTTAGCTTAGTGTCACAATTCAAATCCTCATTAGGACAAAATTGCCTGTAACTAGTAGATGAAATACGAGATAAACGCAAGGAGGCATGGCACAAGAGACAATACTGAAAAGTAAATAATAATAATCTCAAGCATATTCGTTAAAGCTCAAAAGCCCCTCATGAAATTAACTTCAAATGATTAAATTTTATTCAATCACCTATTGTCCAACCTTCACATGCAAGAGGTCTGTATTTCATGGCAGTTTCTGATTTGACCTTGAGAGGAGTGTATAAGCTTTTACCAGAGAAAGAAAGAGTGCACATGTAGTAAATGTGCATAATTGAATGTACACAAAATTTCCCAGTGATTCTTGAGAGTGTAATGTTAGTCATCCTGCACTTCTCCTTTGGACTTCAATTTTCCCTCTAATGGAAATATAAGGCCTTGAGGGGTGCCAAACGAAAAAGCTTTTAGCCAATATGTTGAAAAATTTTCACTTTTTCCAAAGCCATTTTCAAGTTCTGTACTGCCAAAAAACTCTTCAAAAAACGAATTCCATTTTAAGCCAGGAATAAATCAAACATAGCAAAAGTATGCCCAAAAATTAATAAATATTTTTAAATGATCTCAAGAAAATGACTGCAAGAAATATTTTGAAATATATTGTGAGCTACTCTTAACAGTGTTGTGATGACAATTTTCTGCTTACTTTGCTTGCAAGAGCTGCATTCTTCAGATTTGTCTCAAACTCTCTGAAACGACACACTAAACTAAACATGAAGAAAAATATGGGCCCCTCAAAGATAGTCATTGCAAACAATTTTATGAAATGGCGTTTAAGGGAGGTTTTCTGAAACAGACAACAAACATTACAATGCTGTAAAAATTTGTTGCAGATGACGATAGGGACTATGCTATAGAAAGTTGTAAGATCATTCCAGGTAGATTCATTGTTTCACTTTTGGAAGCTAAATGTTTACCAGAAGATATTTTTGCTAAAAACAAAAGTTTTAACATTTTGCCCAATGACAACTTAAAGGCTTTTTCAAGAAACTAAGAGTTCTTTGGTGGCATATTTTGTAAAGCTGTCAGGGGCCTCAATATCCCAGTTTACGCAATGTTGCCAAGTTAATGATAACTATTGCAGGTTCAATTTCTGGTGTGGAAAGGACATTCAGTGTCTTGAACCTTTTGCTTAATAACTGTTGATTAAGCATGAGCCATGAAACCATGGAAAACTCTGTGATAGTGAAAGGGAATGATTAATTGTGAATGAAAAAAAACATCTTGACACATTATGTTAAGATGTATCTCAAGAAAAGGTGCAAAACAGAATTGTTAAGATCAGAGGCCATCTAATAAAATATAAGATATGCTCTGAGGAAGGCAAGCAAGATAAAATCATAAACTTTGAAGATTCAGATCAATCTGAAACAGCCATTAAACCAAATTACAGTTTTATCAATTTGTTTACTTCAAGTATTGCCGCATCCTTTTAACATACATTCTAAACTGCATGCTTGTAATATAATGGTATATGTGTGCAGATCTTTGTTTATCCCCTATCAGGCTTTAAAGGCAGCCTGTCCCCTATTATGCTCAACTTTTATTTTCGCTGGATTAAAATTAATGCATCATTAAGCTTGATCAATAATTAAACAGTTTAAACCAACCAGAGACAACTTTGGTTCCAGGGCTTTCGAATCAAATGGCTGTGTTCCCGTTGCAGTGAAACTATTGCTAGAAAAATTTGGTTCTCTGTTTGGTTTGTGGAACATCCGCAGCTAGGCCAGTAAATGCGAGCAGTGATCCCTTAAGGCAGGAAGAATATTAGTCAATCATTGAGGGGACAGACTGCCTTTACTTAAAATTACTTTTGGATAATATTGCATCAATTTCTAGCATTTTCCTTAACTTCTAGACTATTTAAAGTACATCCTTTGCTTGGTTTTCAACCCACTTGTTTTTTATTCAAATTAAATATATTACATTGCTTTTAATCTTTCATTTCAGATGATTGACTTAGCAAAAGAAAACAATGAGCCTATTGTCTACACATGGTTAATGGTATAAAACACAATTATTAGTTTTTCTCTCTACCATTTCCATCAGTTGTATCTATTGCAACATTTTCTTCGCAAAATATCAGTTTTCTTTTATTTTATTTACAGAATAAATCATTGGTTCCTAAGGTTTTTAACACCTTAGTTCCAAGATATGCAACTGTAACGGAGAAGTACACAAGGGTATACAATATTCCCCCAACTACTGAAAAGTTTTCATCAATGGGAATCGTTGAATTTATTGGAAACAGTTTACCTCCATTAGAACCAACAGAAGAAGAATTGGTTAAGCTAAAAGCTGAAATTTTGAAGAAACAATTTAAAAGCCAAATTTCACCAGATGGAATTTTGGTATAGTAACATCACATGCTTGTAAAAAGTTTGAAATTTCTATAATTATGTTGTTTCGCTCAAGTGATGAATTATATTTTTAATTTGTAAGAAATGATACTCTTGATTTCTGCTTGCCCTGCCTGCGCTAATCAACTTTTCAGCCTCTAATACTTGTAAAGGCCTCTTTTCCACACTAAACTCTTTCATGATGAAAGTGATTAGTATGTACCTATCAGGCTATCACAATTGATCACATTGCACAGTTTTCTCATTACCTAAAGGAATGCTGTAAATTGCTTTTTTGCTTTTTTGCCAGAGATTACTTGCATTGCTCTTTTCAAGGCTGCCCAGATCCATTTCTGCTTCTTAACATCTGTCTTCTGCCTCTTTACCCCCTTTAGAAACTTGAAGTCCTGTATTTGAGCTTATAGATGGTACATTGTTTTCATTAGTGGGACCAGCCTTATAGTTTTCTGATAAGAAGACAAAGTAAAGGTGATGTCAGAGGCTTGAAAACCCTAAAATTTATTACCCAAAGGTGAACTTGGGGTGCTCATGCTTCTCCTGATGCCCCATAATTTCAACTCCCACATTAGTGGCAAATCTTCATCATAGGGGTGCAAAGAAAAATTATCCAAAGAAACATTAATGAAGTGACATCACCATCATTCTATTACAAATAGCTTAATCAATTGTTAGGGGGTTTGTTTACATCCATACACCACATCTTGTCATGCCAATCACAAGCATAAGTTTACAACATTATACTGTAACTTAGTAAATATACTGCTCAACTCATAAGTATTTTGCAAGAAAAAAAACTCCTAAAAGCACAAGATAACCATTTCTTCAATAAATTCTTATGAAAATGTTCATTTCTGCTGCAGTATTTGTGAAATATATTGTTGGCTGAAACTAGGTTGGTAAGTTTAATAACCGATGTAGCCTGGTAACCACTGCTAGAATGCAGCCCAATGTGGCTGATGCCGTGCACAAGTGGATTAATTTCAAGCAGGGCCGTAAATCCCGGGGGGGGGGACGCGGGGGACTGGACCCCCCCAAAAATCCGGAGCAAAACGAATTTTTTAGAAATTATTGTCATTTGCTTTTAACGAAAGGAATCCCCGGTAGCTGGGTTAGAACCTAACAAAGTTGCTGAATTATTGCAACATACCTTGCAGCCACTATGTCATTGTGACTATTGTCAAGCGCAAGTTGACTATTGTAGATGGCTGTTATTTATGTTTGCAGAGTGGTGTCGAGTCGGTGACGATGCCCATGGAGGGGATTAGCCCCAAATATCTTATCCACCGGTCTCCCCTTTAATAAATCTCGAAAAGCATGTGAGAAAAGAATCGTTTAAGTCGCCATAAATCTCGACAAACCCATATTACACATATTTTCATAGACGCCTTTTTGTAAAAATCCACACTCAAAACCTTGGTCCTAAAGTTCCTAATTTCTGAACCTCTATTGGTCAAATTGCGGTACCAAGACCTCCATAATAGCTCCTTAATTTTAACCGCACAGAAACAAGGAACAAGGCAAACTTTGACAAAGACAAAGACAAAGAGGGCAAAGAGTAAAATTAATTTGAGTAATTTACGATAATTTTTAATCTGCGTAAAAGTACCACGCCAACAAAGAAGTACGTTTGCATTTAATATAGAGAGAAGCAATGACCAAACTCTTTATTATTAGAATGCAATAAATTTTGCCCATCCTTGATTTTTTTAAGAAAATTTTCATTTGGAGCCCGAATATGTTCTTAGATACATCCTAATTTTTTTTCGAATCCGATATGGTTTCAAGAAGAAAAACGCATGCTCTTGAATAAAAAACACCTTTTTTTTCTTTTCTCCAACGTCTGTCAATAGAGTTTAAGCATTTCCCCAACATCTGTTACTAGACTCTTCCCCTTCCCAAAATCTCCCAGGAACAATAGTCTCTGTTCTTCTGAGAAACGTCGATTTGCCTATCCTGAACGGTATAGTATTTTGTTAAACTTGGTCAGGGAGATGCTTTATAGCTATTTAGAAGGTATGATTTCAAAAATTTCCTTTCACGTCGGCCCCAACCATGGTGGGTCCTCCTACATCACTTAATGTGATTCTCAGCCTTCCAGGTTTAATTTATTCAAGCTGTCTCTGAAAAATGTTATCAACTCAACTATAAAAAAGTCAACGTGCTAAGAAATATCTGTAAATACCTTCTATAGGGCTGATAAAACCTTAGTGAATCTAAAAATCTTTTTTTGCTTTTTAAGTCGTTTGCCACTCAAACTGTTTCATTAACACACTCTATAAATTGCTTGATGGTGCCATGACCCACGGCACACTTTATATTCATTCGCTCTGCTGACCACCCAATTGACATGACAGATTTACGGCCCTGATTCAAGGATAATGAAAGTGTGGCCAGAGATGCCAGAATAGCTATAGGACAGAGGACAAAGTGGGAAGAAAAAAGAAAACATATCAGATTGCTAGTTTTTGTTTGGAAATGAGAGCACGCCCCCATGTTCTCCGGCGTCCCCTGAGAATGACTGGCTGCGGCGATACAGTTACGGCCCATGGACTATTATAGGTATGAAACTGAGCGGCAACACCATACCGATGCGGTTCATAAACAGTAGCTAGGTAGGCGCAGTCCAGCGAACTATACAGCCGATAAAATGGCGGAGGAAGTTGATTGGAAGGGGCGAATAATTTTAGCATTAACTGAAAGAAATAAATTGCAACAATACTTCTTTAAAGATATTGTTTTATCACGTAAGAATTTTATTATTCTTTGCGATATTTTTAATCATTCATTCGTTGTAAGTAAACAACTTTAAGCGCCGTTACCAAAAAAAAATTTGCCAACAAACAGAGATCCTGAAAAAAATTATTTTTAGGTACGATAATATATCTTTCATGATCTTTGATGAAAGAGGTGGATAAATATGATGATTCAAGTCAATATAACTGATTTCTAAAACTTTTTATCTGCATTTTAGAGTTGCCCCCTCAAATGCAAAAATACTGAAGGTGATAAAAATTATTATAGCATCAAAACATTTTGCCCTGCAGTTGCTATAAATTCGTACTATTCCGCGCAAATGTTTTTAAAAGAAATGTATATAGTTATTGCAAAAATACTGGCATCAAATATGTAAGGCCAGCACTGATTTGATGCGAGGGGTACGCCAATACAAGAAAGAAGCTCCTATTTTAAAGTATTTACATGGTACTAAGAAACGTGATGTCAAATTTTGTGTGAGAAGGAAGAACCGCAGGATAGGCTGTCCGCCGGATTCTGTTAATCTTGCAATGAGTGTTGTTATGAAAGTTATACAGGAACAAAGCAATAGGACGACAAGAATCCAATGTCACGAAATAAAATTTTCAAAATAAATTAAATTTGAAGAATTTAATTAATGAAATTTTCAAAATAAATTAAATTTCATGTCAAATTTTGTCATGCACTGATATTTAGAGAGAAGCTTAAGTTTCAAGGCATCTTATGATTTCAGCTTGGAAAGGAAGGTTTTTATTTTTAGGATGAGGTAAGCAATGCTGGAACAAGGGGGTAGTTGCCCCCTGTGCTCTTGACAAGAGAAAGCAGGAGAGGGGCAGAAAGTGCTTTTTTATTGCAGTGTCATGGTATTCTAGGGTCAGCAAAAAGAATTCTTCATGCCCACCATTCACATAGGTTTCCTACATCTCATTCATGCCTATCAGAGCTTTAGATACCATCACATTGATATGCAATTGATAAGTCTTTCTCAAAGCAAGGCCCAACTCTCTATAAGAAGAGGGCCTGTCCTAATGAGGGAAATAAAGCTTCACCCTTGGCCCATAAAACAAGATAAGCAAATAGCAGTGTACTACTTAAGTACTAGCATGGTGTTGAGCTGCATTATACAATGAAAAAGACAGATCTCTGAGTTATATGGAGCCAAGCCAATACACCCCAGTGTTATGTATTTCTTTTATTCTTAGAGTAGATTAGATGAAAGATTTTTGAAAAGTCATTGGCAGATAATACGCTAAAGTTACTTGCAATTTAATAGATATTATCATGTCTTAGCTTAAATGTAGCAACACTAAAAGAGATCTAGTTCTCCTTCTGCCAATAGCTACCTTTTTGGTCATCTTTTGCTCTTTTTGCTAGTAGTTAAGATTTATTTAGGCATTTGCATTTTGATTACTCTTTACCTTGTACTTTGTCCTTTTTATCTACATTTCCAATTCTGGTTGTTAAATTTTTGAGTTTTTTCAATTTAGATTTGAATAATTTTGATATGTATGAATTGTGAATTTTGTTGCTTTGATGTATCAGTATATTTGTTTTCATTTAGTTGCTTTCAAGTTTCTATTCTTTAATTTTGTTCAATAAATGTACTAAATTTCAACATTTAGAGTGAAAAGTTTTCCTTATTATCTATTTGGTATTAATTCTATTCTAGAGAATAGATTATCTGAGAATGCCTCTGTTATCAAATCAAAGCTATCAGAACAAGAACATCAAATTTTTCAACTGAAACAGGTATGAAGCTGACTAAGACATTTATTCATGAGAAATTCTCAGGCTTATAAGACTGCCTTAATGTCATTATAGAATTGAAGTTAAATTTATCCTAAATTGCTTTGATGCGCACTCTTTCAACTTAGGAAGTTCAATTTTCATTGTACTTTCTTTACTTCATTTCATATTTTTAGTTCTGTAAAGCACAATTCAAGTGTACCTAAATAGAGTTGTCAAGTGATGACATCACAAAAATCTATTATAAGAATTTTTGAAATTTTTTCCCATTACCTGAAAAAGCATCATGAAATACCTTTAAATCTGCAAAATCAGTTAAAGGCATTACGAATTGGCTGAGATATATCCAGATGAGCACAAACTCCTGTCTGATCAAAGCTCTGTAATTTGGTCTCAGTTCATAACTTTATGACCAGAGCCAAAATAACAGTAATCCGTTAGCAAATTTCAGAACTTCTATTTGCCATAGTTCACCCGATTTTTGACAAATTTAACTTTTGCATATATGCAAGTACTTTATGGTGATAATTTATGTTATGTGGTCAAAATTCGAAAAATCTAAAAATAGTTTTTTTGTGACGTCACGCTTGAGAACTCTATCCTCTTGGCAACTGTTACATAAAATTTCAGGTCATTGCATGGCCAGGAGTCCCATAGATGGCTGCGATAGTGTTAGATTGCGATCCTTGTTCACAATCTTATTCACTTGAATTGATCTAGTTTGATATTTAAATATAAAATGCAATCCCCTTTTTCCCTTTGATAAATTTCTTTTTTCTACTTCTAAAGAATGTAACTCTTTTCATTTTTTGGAATTTGTTTCAGGAAACTCTTGAGCTCCAAGGAAAGCTTGCTCTGGGAAGGTAATGTTCTTATTTCTGTTATGACATGGCTGTTTAGCCCATTTTCTAAATCTTTTTTCCAATAAAACCCTCTTGTTATTTTGTTTTGTTTTTATCCCTTATTTATGTAGGCAACGATTTAAAGGCATTAAGTCACTGCAGTACTACTTTTGGATCTGAGAATGATCACATGAAGCTGTTACCTGGGTGCCATTAAAAGGCATTTGGTTTCAAAAGTGGCAAAATAGTATATTGAAGCAATATATGTATTTGCATATGCTATATATATTTTGTTGAATTTTAGCACTATTTATTATTTTTATAGTGGAGCAGGCATTGCTGGTGCTGTTGCAAATGAAAAAATTATGAGTTTAGAACAGAAAATTTACCGTTTACAAGAAGAACTTACAGAACAACACAGAAATAGAGGAGAGGTAAGAAGATGAATTATATTGTCATAAAAATCATTATCATCATTGTTCTGAAAATTGTTATTATCAGCATCATCATGACCATCAATCAAAATCAATCACTGTCAATCATCATCAATCACTGTCAATCATCATTGATCATCATCCACCATCAACATGATCATAAATAATCAATTATTGTTGTTAGTCATGTGAGGTAATATCCTTTTCTTGGCTTCTTATTGTGATAACTCTACCTCAGACATAATTCCAGTTGCTAAATCCAAACCCTGTTCTTTCTTCATTCTAGCATGCAAATCAAATAATTGAATTAACAAATCAGGTTAAACTAAAAGATGAACAGCTATCATTCAAGGAAGCACAGTAAGTAAATTTGAATTGCTTTTATATCTGTCAGCAGAAACATGCTGAAAAATTCTAACCTAATTTACTTACTTACTTTTATGAACTGAACCGAGTGGAAATAGCCTTCCTTTCCATCCTTTCCTTTGAAAATGAGGGGATCAAACTGAGGAAATAGCATGTTTATTTTGTTACCTTTAATAAACGATCATAGATTTGATGTATCAGCTGCTTTCACTCTATTGGATGATTTGTCTTATACTCTAAGACCGTTTTCGAATTTACTCTCTTAATAATGGCTTTAGATGCAATCTAACTATTTGACAATGTTAAGAAATTTCAGGATTGACTTTTTCCTTATTCTGTCAGTTTCAATTCACTCCTCTCATTTTCAAAACAGGCTTCTCGATTCACAAAATAATTTAGAGGCAATGAGTATAGAATCAAAACGAATTCAAGCATCAATGGCAGAACTTGAGGAAACTAGCCAGGTATTAAAAATATCAATACAGTATAATATATCAACAAAGTATCAATACAGTATACAGTATCAATAAAGTATCAATACAGTATACAGTATCAATATCCGTACATGTTTGAGAAACGGCTTCTATCCGTATAAACAAAGGCATATGGTCATCTAGTTGTATTTTTTGTTGATTTATATCTAAGATTTCCTCACAAATTCGAATGATTTATGGTCTCTTTCACAGTGCCTGAAAGATGAATACCAAGCATTACAATTGCTGTATAATTCAATTGAAGTAAAACTACGGAAAACGCAAGAGGAAAATCAACAACTGGTAAGGCGGTTTCGCCCTTTCGCCTTTTCGCCCTTTCGCCCTGTAGGTCGTAACTCGTAACTCACAAATGCTTCCGAGTAAAAATTCTTTATCTTTTTTTAAGGTTGAAAGATGGATGAAAGAGAAAGCAATCGATGCAGATAAAATTAATTCTGAAAATGAACAACAAGCGAAGTAAGTAATAACTCTCCGCGTTAAAGTCTTAAATCAGATAAAGCAGATTCTAAAAAATGCTGCATATTCCACCTCATCAAGTGGATGCAGCGGGAGTCTGTTCTCAATCCTTTCTTGATAGCAACATCCAGATCCTGAAGGGCCTAGATTCTGGAGATGGTAAATTAGCGTAATTTAATGTTACTAGCTACCAAGTATCTCTGTTGCCTAAAGTACACTGTGTCATGTAGGCATTGATGCTTTTTGTAGATTACGTCAAGAAAAGATGCAACGTGAATTGAATGATGCAGCGAAAGAGTCAGTAGGATTCATCCAACGGTGAGCCTTCCTTTTTCTATACTTTACCACGCGCTCTTTAATGCTATTCGTGCGGAAGTTTGGCTAAAGATTTATTTCTGCCTTGCACAGTATTCGCAATGCTCATTGTTTTCCAATTTCATTGAACATCAATGATGTAGGCTGCTTTTCTCTTGGTTGCTTTTTGAAGCGAGATTCAAATCTATCTTTGATTGCAGACTCACAAAGACGTTAAGCCATGATATACCGCTGGATACGGTGGACATCGGCATAACACCACCTCCGTTCGCCTACGTTACATCTATTCCTGACAATCCACGAGTATCTCTTGTAAATATCTCGTTTATTCATTTTCATTTTCTTATGCAAACAGAAACAAAAAGAATGCTTTTAAAATAATCCACAACAAATCTTTTCTAGTGAGACTTAAAAAGTTTCAAGATGGCACAAAATTGCCTACTAATAGTGGGAAATAAAACTTTTAGTGTGAAGTTTAGTCTGTGTAAATATAAAATCATCATTAGTTTAACTTGGGAGTCGAGTTGGGGGAAACGTCAGGCCCCTTTGGAAGTCGCAATACCAATGAAATACTTTGTTCAACTAGCTTTCCCGCTTGTTACGAATTTTTACAGTGTTCATTACTGATTTGTACGTATAATTTCTATTATTGAATCGAATGAAAAAGAGGACTTTAGTTTCCCATTTATGTACCAGTACGTAAACATTTATGTGAAAATCTGCTAAAAAAGTCGTTTAATATTTTTCGTTCGATTTATCGTGCTAAGTTTTATTAAAAATCTATCTAATGTAACTTTCGTACGGAAAACTTTAAATTGTGCTATTTTGATGCAGGATGCACACGATGGCGAAGTTTTGAGCACCCAATTTAGTCCTTCGGGAAAATACGTGGCAACAGGGGGATCTGACAGAAGAGTGAAAATCTGGGAAACTGGACGAGGTAAAATTAAATTTCTGTGTTATGAAGTAAATAATGCACTGTCGTTGGAGAGGCATAATTCCGACCTAAACTATGAATTATTAAACTTAACCTTTAATTGAATGTTGTATAGTACTTGAAAGCTCTGGAAAAAGTTTCCATTTCTCTGACTTCCAAATGCTGTTTATAAAACGAATTATAATCCATATCGATTCAAGCGGAAAAAAGTAGTTTTAATTTTCTAAAAGCCATCTCTCTTTATGGTATTAAGAGATTATCTGTCTTCCTTCATTAGGCCATTTGAGTGAATCATCAGTTTTGCACGGCTGTAATGCTTCTATTTTATGCGTTCGTTTTGATATTCAGGTTTGTTCTTTTGGTTTTTTCATCCCCTTTTTATGTTATTATTATTAAAAAATATCTACTAAACAAGAATATCATTTTACATCTATTCCCTGTAGCGTTTTCACCAATTTTGTTGATATTTTCTACCTTAAAATTAAATAGACGCGCTCTTATAAGACAAAGATGAGTTTCTTACCAGTCTGTTATTCTGCGTGGTTCTCGACATGAAAATTTTCTCGCCAGATTTTTCTTGCATTGAAAACAATCAGACAAGCAGTGAAATTTTTGTTTACTTCATACCTCAAAGCTTTATATCAACATTCTGGCGATCAGACCCTTTATGGAAAGTTGTTTTATGAACAAAAACAAAACACCATTTTGCTCTCTATTTTCATGAATAATTTTTGTGTGATTCTCTTTCCATTTGTGTCCTTTTTTATTTCCAGGAAAAGTTAATTTTAGCAACCTCGAACGATAAAGCGTGTAGAATTTGGACGATTTCAGACCAACGAATCCGGGTATGCTTTGATATCTCTATTCGATGGTCAGCCTTTGTTAGTTTTTCAGGGAGCCAGATTCAAACAAGGGAGAGTGCGAAAAATGCGCCAAAAGTGGAAACAAGCGGTTTCTTTCCCCTTTTACTCCGTGTTTTACACCGTGTTTTTTCTTGTCTTCCTGCTGCGGGTTTATCGATAAAACCTTCTAAAATAATGCAGGATTATTAGAGAGACGGGATTAATTTTTCAGAAAAAAATGAAGAAAAGGCGGGATAATTAGAGAGGCGGGAATATCGGAGGAGAGAACGGGAATACAAAAGAGAATACGATATGTAGGAATAAGCCATCTGTAGATGTCAGTTAATAAAAATTTTTCTGTTGTAGCATACTCTGACGGGGCATTCTGAGAAGGTGCTTGCGGCTAGGTTTCTCGGTGCAGACAGCAGTAAGATTGTTTCTGGTAGCCACGACAGAACGTTGAAAATTTGGGATCTACGAAGTAAAGTTTGTATGTATCCTTTTAAGATTTTCAATATAGAATTAGGTGCTATGAGTTTTATCTCGTTGTTAATGATTCTGCAATAAATGATAACATCACAGTGCTTTTGGATACTTTTTAAGTGTTTTATTCATCACAAATCTGTTTCGAATCATCAGTTACAGCATTTTTATACCCTCTCGTTGTACATATTGGAAACTTTTTATGTATTTTCCTTTTCTTTTGCAGGTACAAAAACAATATTTGCAATGTCAAGTTGTAATGATTTAATTGCCAGTGACCTAACTGGGTATGTACCCTATCTTTTTGTTTGGCACACATCAAATCCTTCTTCCCTTGTACCATTCATAGGATACAACTCAGTATATTTATTCAATATTCCTTATTAGTTCGCCAATATTTAAATATAAAATTTCCCCCTTACTTAGAACTTCGAGCATTGAAATTGCCGATTCCTTCAAGGACACAGCAACTTAATATAATCACATCCACAGAACGGTAGCAAGGCGGAATTTTGTTAACGTCCAATGAGATGCTTTGTTTACAAATTTCTTTTAGCCAATCAGAGATCGCCAAATTTGCCTGGTTTGTTGACAATTTTCTCGAAAGCACCCTCTAGCTGTGGAGGAAGAGCACTACTGGAGTTTAAGGCAAAATATACTTAGGATAAAATCAATCAAAATTTAAAATTCACAATGTTCATAAAATTTTCTAAAAAATTACTGCTGCTTTTGAGTGAACTCCCCTTAATATTCCAGAAATCGCAGGCCAACAAATTTTCGTGGTGGCCTAAAACTCCAGTAGTGCTTTTCCTTCACATCTAGGGGTGCTTTCGAGAACGTTGTCAACAAACCAAGCAATTTTGACGGGCTCTGATTGGCTAAAAGACATTTGTAGACAAAGCATCTCATTGGACCAGAAGGAAATTACGCTTTGCTCAGAGTGGTAGTTTTAACAGTTGCTTGATCCATCCTTTTCTATACACAAGCAGTCTTCAATTCAGGAGCATTAGCTTCTGTGTTTTATTTATCGTATGGTACATAATTATCTGACTTGTGTACCAAGCTATGCCATTTTTGAACAGTTTTCAAATTATCCGTTTAGTTAATTAGTTAGTGAATATTTTTTTGAAAAATTTTCCGAGTTTCGAAGGAATTAATGGGTCTTGTCTCATGGATATTTTATCAACCGTTTTCTGAATAAGTATTTCAAACGGTAACCAGTGATTATGTATTTATATTTTTTTAGCACAAGCATAATAAGTGGACATTTTGATAAGAAAATTCGATTTTGGGACATAAGGTACAGTAGCAAATGGACTATTTGTTAGACCTTCTTTTCATATGTACCCCTTGTTTTCAAACCTATCATTTGCTTGCCTTCACTTCACTTGTATCTTGCTTCACTTTTTAATCACGTTCAGGGTTTGTTTCTTGTCATTTTAAAACAAAATGGAACTTTTCCTGCCCTTCCTACCCATATTTGACAAGTTATAATGATTAATTTTCTATGTTGTCATTGAAATGATCTTTTTGCAGGTCCGACTCTAACACGAATGAGATACAGCTCCCTGGAAAAGTGACATCATTAGATCTAGCTCCAGGTACTATTGTTTGTATCTTCCAAACATCAATATTTTCTGCAGTGTTATGTCAATAAATAAGACGCTCTGGTCGCTTTATGTATAATTTGTGCATTCTATACGTGCATTTGCGCATTGCAAATTTGTGCATTTGCCTATGGTGGGTTTTTGAATATTTTGCTTACTGTATTGGATGAGTTAAGTCGATATGCCATCAAAATATGAAATCAGTAGAATGTCTCTAGATAACTCGACGATGCCCATCAGTCAACAAATACTGTTTTTGTGGTTCGGAGATAGAAATTTTGCCAATTATAATAAGATTACAATTTATTCATTTTGGAAAGAAAGATAAACTTAGAGTTCAGATAAAAGTAATTTAAAAAGGTAACGGCAATTAGGGCGTATTTATACGTTCTTTTTGCTTTTCTTGATTAAATTTTCAATCGTTTATTGAAATGGAACGGGGTATATATCCTTTGCTTTGTCGCTCATGGTCATTCTATGAAAAGATTTCAGGTTGGAGTAAGTTTTCATTAGGTTAGCTGAGCTCTGATTTTTTGATGGAATCAAGAAGGCTTTATCAATCTATTTAGATATGAATTCTCTGTTGGTATGTACAAGAGATGACTCATTAAAGTTAATTGACCTCAGAAGGAACCAAGTTGTTTCAACCTACAGGTATGTTAAAACTTTAATAAAATAACAGCTATAGTCGTAACACTAGTTATTCCACTGACGCAAAATGTACCATCAAGCATGAGTCTATATTGAATTGATAATTCTACAATAAATCGCTATTCAAATCTACAAAATTAGAAATAGAAAGAAATTTTGCAGAAATGCAAGCTTTTCTGATAGCAGGCCAGTAGCTATGAGGGAGAGGGCGTGATGGGTGCGATACCCCCTTCGAAAGAAGGTATGTTTCAAAGACGGAAATCTAGCGATGCTTAGACAGTATATTTTCAAATGTGCTGATAAGAAATGGACGGCTCACCCACTTTGTCGGCAATGAGCCTGAACTGAAACTTCAATCCCCCTCTTCTCCATTCTTCGTAATATCTAGCAATTGCCCTGCCTGTTGGCTTCTTCAACATCGCTATCGACCTGTTTTTTTCGAGTCACTAGCTAATTCACAATTTATAGCTTAGCATTTTCGATCAGAATGTGCATATTTTAAGAGGAAGATCAAATTTGTTTGTAGAGCCGAAGGGTTCAAAGTCGCGTTTGACTGGACTAGAGCATGTTTCAGGTACTCTTTTGAATATTATTATTATTATTATTATACCATGTTAATGTATATTATTGTATTTACTTTTAATGATCAAGACTATGATTTCCCTAGGAAGCTAGGGTTTAAAAACCCCATTGGTCAGTATTAAAACTTACGTTCCCTAAATTGAACTCACTGCATTTTTAATGCCGAGGTCCATTACGTAAATAAATGAAATGCAGTGTACCCGACGTTTGCAATTTAGCAAATTCATTTCATTTTTCATTTATCAAATGTTTAAATCGTTTCAGTATATACATATAAGAATGTACAATAAACTGCTTTCTAAACGAGACCGGTTGAGGAAAGAAAAAAGAAATATATTAGGAGGACTTAAGTTTAGTAAAAGAAATGTTAAGATGTTCAAAATATTAAGAAGATTAAAAATGTTAAAATTTAAAACTATTTAATATTTTAAGAGCAAATTTTGCGTTTTCCTGAGTACGAATGTCTTTTGGTAAGTTTATTGTAAGTTATTGCATCTTGATAATAGAATTCATTTTGCGCTGCTTTTGTTCTGCCTTTCGGTATTTTCATCGAGCGCTTCCTTCTCGTATAATTTATATTTCAATGCAGACTGAAATTGTTCCTGTTGTGGCTTTGAAATATTTCAAAGATATAATGTATTATAATATATCTTATGAAATATCATAATATATTATATATTTGGATTTGAAAAAAGCAAACATTTAGTAAACTAAAGCTTTTCGTCTGACACTCTTCAGAGTTTAAAACGTCAGAACATAGATCGAAAACTCTACGCTAGGAAATATATATACCCAGTTGTGTGGATCGAAATAGGCCAATCATAAAACACGAGCACATGAAAGCTTTAGTTTACTAAATGTTTGTTTTTTTCAAAGCCATTTACAAGTTTTGTACCACCAAATGATTGTTTGCATATTATATATGATTATATATTTATAATATTTCTGCATTCCCTGAAACAAGCACCCCGCCCCCTGGAACTCAGTTTTGTGCGCCCTATACTGATCTCAGCTTTCCATTTTGTCTTATTATGTCTATTTGTATTCTCTTTGTAGTCCTGATGTGCAGTTCGTTATGTGCGGCTCATACGACGGTGGTGTCTACGTTTGGAATGCAAGGACTGATAAATTGGAGAAAACTTTACGTGAGCACAAGTAAGCACAAATGTTCAATGCTTTGATTGTTTTTATAGGGAAAATAACCACGACAAAGGAGAAGCGGCATTAAATTGATTTATAGTAAATTGATTGATTGATTGTTGTGCGAGATCTGATTGATTGATTGATTGATTGATTGATTGATTGATTGATTGATTGATAGTAAATTGATTCAATTGATAGTACACGTAGCCTAGCCTGACTGGATTCGCTCATTTTTATAAGAAACTCGATGTAAGAAACAAGTGCTAGACAAAAAATCTAAAACAAATTTTATGTTTAAAAAGTCCAGAAAATTTGTGAAATATGAAGATTGGCATCAAATTTTAGCCACAGAGAATAGACATGTACTTCTCTTATCTAAATTCGGCATTCGAACGCAAATACTCAACAGGTTTTTGTTTGCAAAGTTTCCGATCAAGAGAAATTAATTTTAGAAAACTCTTAAGAAACAATGAATATTGACATTTCTCTAAGCATTGAAAATTTTGGAATACTCAACGTCGAGCTCCGTTTCTTATAAAAAAATGTGAGTGTGAATACGAGAACGAATAATGTTACTTATAATGGAGGGGCATGGATGCGAATATTCATGGCTAGCCTCGTTTATGAAAGTCGCATTTGAAAGGCGTCGTTTCTGATTGTCAGTATGCGAGTTATAGTCACGATAAAAGGAGATTGTAACTTTAGTTTATAATTATATCAGAAGTCTGTCTCTTAACAGTCAATTGCATTTTCATGTTGAAAAAACAGTCCTTTGTTTCTTCAAATTTTAGAAGTTCAGTTGTGGCTTGTGCGTGGCATCCAAATGGCTCGAGCTTAGTCACATGCGACAGAAATAAACATCTCATTATGTGGACGGATATATGATGACGTCATTATACGAAATTAGAATTTTCACTGGAGAAGCAATGAAGGTCTTTGTGATATTCCATATAAAAGAATTATTTGTTAATCAGTACCTTTTATAGTCGAATCTAAGGTGACAACGTGCCAACGTACTCACTTTTATAGGAGTAAAGAAATTATTATTTTTTATACCATGGCTGCACGTTTCTGTGAATAGAAATAATTGAAATAAACAGTGCAAGAATGTAACTCTGTAGTTGTTTTATTCTATTATCTTGCTCTCCATGTATAATACTTATTGATAGGGTATTGTCTCATTTGCTAACCAAATACACGCTTTCTAAAAGAGAATTCACCTATAGATCAGTGTTGTAAAAAGATCAGAAATTTTAAACAAACCAAGAGCTTCATGTTGCGAAAATAGCTTTGTGTAATGTTATATCACAGGGGAACCAGCTTTTAATCTAATATATTTACCTAAAACTTCACTATCATTTCCAATCCCAAGCATATTTCAGGAAAATAGAGTTTCCATTGTCAAAAGTATTTTATGGAGCTAAATAGCATTGTATTTTGTCATACCATGGCTAAAGACCAACTTTTGGTCTGAAAAATAACCCTTTAAAGCCATTAGTTTTGTGAAGGCTATAGCCTCATTTCTCATAAAAATATTTCGACCTCGACGTATTTTTGTAGTAAAAAAGCATTGTTCCGTGATATGTAAAGAGAAACGAACAGTTTTGACCACAATTTGAAATATAATCAAGTTTTTAAGCTTAATCCCTACAAGTCAAAACAGTTATGGTCTAAACAGGTCACCCTTGAAAATCGCTAGAATGGTGAAGGCTATAGGCTTACTTTGTATAAAAAATATTTAACCTGGGAAAATTAACAAAAAATGGAGATCTTAGAATCGCAAAAGCTGTTTTTGTGATTCAAACAGCATTGACTATTATTTAAGTAAAAATATAAACAATTTTTGGACTAAACAAGTCACCCTTGAAAATCGCTAAAATGGTTAAGGCTATAGTCTTACCTTTTATCCAAAAATTTTTAATAACAAAAAATTAACAAAAATAGTAGATCTTTGAATCGCAAAAGCTGTTTTTTTGTTCGCTTCTCTTTTTCGCTGCAGTGTGAACGCAGTCTTGTTTACTTTGATACTTCATGAATCTTTAATATCTCTTTTAAAGACGAGCTTGTAGTGACCATTGTCTAAACGTAATCATGTCCTCCATTGTGATTCTGTCATTAACACTTTCCATTGTCTTCGTATCCACGTAACGTAATAAACAACACATTTGTAGCGTCCCCTTGTTATATGTGTATACGCCCTAAATTATAGTCAGTCGGTAAATTCATCAAGACGCAACGGTCACGCAATATCGTCTCTTGCTGGCTCCGTGTTTTCTGCACGTTAAATCAGACATAAAAACGACAGCATTCGCAACAACAAAACCAAAATTAAATATAGGAACTTCTTCAATCAGCGTACCTATAAATGGTGACCACGACGTGACCGACTGGTAGGTTCTGCACTGTCGTTTTTATTCGTTTTATGTCAGCCGTCTCAACGTCAACCACTCGCAAATTCCTGGATTCATCACGCTACAACTGCCATCACGCACACGTTCAAGGCCTACGCTGGCTCACAAACAACGTCCTGTTGGCTGTTCCGATGCACCCTGGATTTGTGATGTCTGTCTACTTGTTTCAACCCGTTTTGCGTACAATGTTTTAATTCACCTCATCAACTAACCCCGCTCCGCCAGCACACTCGACCGACACCATCCTACAGCACAGAAAACTGTCCAACAGCACTACACCGTCCATCGCTTCGCTGAAGTACACACAGAATCACGCAAATGCCTTCGTTAAACACAACATCAAACAGGTTCGGCAGCACATCCTACGAAAAGCTGGTGTTTATCACGCTAGGTCGACAACATTCCGCGCCCAGAAAATGTTGCAGCACACACAAGGCAGCACCGCAGCACTCATCACACACAGTGCCATCACCCGCCTTGCAAGCATCCAAAGGTTCCTGGTCACCCTACTCACAAAACATCGCATCGCATCGCAAGCACCGCATCGCAAACATCATGGTTCCTGGTCATCCTTCTAAAACCTCGCAGACACAAAGGCACGATTCTACAACATAAAGACACACGAAGCTTCACGAACATCTACAGTGATTTGAACATTTAACACAACTTTTCTTCCGGACATTTTATTAAAATTTTTTCAAACATTTTCGATAACATTTCATCGTTCGCTTCAACCCACTCGCTCTCTAGGGGGGGAGCTCTGTAGTGACCATTGTCTAAACGTAATCATGTCCTCCATTGTGATTCTGTCATTAACACTTTCCATTGTCTTCGTATCCACGTAACGTAATAAACAACACATTTGTAGCGTCCCCTTGTTATATGTGTATACGCCCTAAATTGTAATAAGTCAGTCAGTAAATTCATCAAGACGCAACGGTCACGCAATATCGTCTCTTGCTGGCTCCGTGTTTTCTGCACGTTAAATCAGACATAAAAACGACAGCATTCGCAACAACAAAACCAAAATTAAATATAGGAACTTCTTCAATCAGCGTACCTATAAGCTAACCGTGGTTTATCACAACGGCTGCAAACTTAGCTTTGGCATGGAGAATAAAAGTCTCAATCAATCCAGTTAAATGTGACTTTCTAGGTGCGTTCGCAATAAACAAAATATACAAATTAATCAAATACAAAAAGTTAAATATCTTTATTCATTGGGCAATTTTCGATTCAAAACACGTCAGTGTTTTTAAATGTGCAAACGGAATGCCTTGGAGGCCATGTCCAGTCAGTGATTGACTAAAATGAAGTATTGCAATCGACAATGGAGGACGTAGCTTCTGATATCTAAAAAATATGGCATTATTAGTAAAAGCCATGGTTTAACAGGCAAATGTTTCAGCAAAAGTGACATAGATAAAGCAAGAAAAAAGGTGGCTTATAATGACGACACAAAGAGATTCGCAGTCTTTCTTTCAAACAAGACAGTGGCGGGCACCTGGGGGGGAGCGAGGGGGGCCTTTTCCTAACATTTTGGAAGACAATGGTCTTTTGTTATAAAAAAATAAGAGAAATGTGACGTCAGCTAATCAAAACAATAGGCTGAATTAAGGGACTGGTAGCTGTATCTACAGAATAACCGCGGACAAAATTTCTTCTTGACCATGACATCAGGTCTCGAAAAATAGTCAGAATAAGCTTGCAAAATTAACCAGCCGGGTGAAGCATGCTCAAATCTCTAGCAAAAAAGCATGCTCAAAAACTATAGCTGGAGAAACTGGAAATTGCTGCAGAGATGGAAATTGATAGGTTTATTGATGCTACAGCTCTGGCGGCTATGGGCATGCAAGAAAAGGTGCGCCTTGGGAACTAAAATGGTACTTCAATGTGATTGCCATCCAATGCATATGTTACGCTCCAGGCTGCCCGGCTTATATCTAGGCTTTCGTTAGGTTTGATAAAATTAGCTAAAATTCAAATTTATGTTTCAAAACAACAGGTGGTTGTACAAAACAAACTCAAACCTTTTAAGAAGCTCTTTCGTCAACCTTCTACAGTGAATCATGGATGCACCCGAAAATAACTGAAAGACGCACAGTTTTTTGCACTGGGGAAAAACATAGAAGAGACTGATTAAATTTCATAATGAAATTCGCTAGCTTCTAAGATGCTTCTAAAATTGTCTAGCTTCATTTAAAGAAACTTATAAAAAGAAGAAACTATATGGTTAAAGGCGCTATGTCCCGTCAGTCATCCGTTCAGAGTTGACAAAAGGCTTAGCAGGGGTTTATTGGATGCGTAACAAAAAGTATATTGTGTAGTTCAACCAATGGGAAATATAAATGGCCAGCCAAATGCGTCGGGACATGGTGCCGTTAAAGATAAAGAAACAAGATCATTAAATATAAGGTATTACAATTTAATGTGAAAAATTCTGCCCCTTAAAAAACAATAAGGCATTTCGTATGATATGACGTTATTATCGAGCAGCTATCACAAGATATAAGTGCCTTTCTTTGTTTAGTTTTTTATGGTACGAAAAAGTTTCTAAATACACAATCTAATCAAAGGAACACTTTAGAGATAAATAACACATAAGATATACTATGCTATTCATAGCAAGAATGAACAGAGTGCTGCCATCATGCGTAGAACTTGCAATAAATATTACATATGTTTGATATGCTTGGAATAAAGTCGCAAAAACATAACATTACGTGTGACAGGATAGAACAAGCTGCAATACAGTACGATTGAAATAAACATAACGTTTAGGATCTGGATTTAGGATTACAATAGAATTAAGAAAAATTGTGAAAAACTAGGCCTACCGAATCAAAAAGACGGATGTATGGCTCAACGTCCTTGGGAATTTTACCACTCTTGCATGAAATGAGAATGCTTTCAATGTTCCTGCAGTTCTGTAGTGCGGCCATCACCTTTTCAGTAAGGTTATAATGTGGTTGATCTACCCTGTAAGAAATATTTAAAATTCACTCTAAGGTCCTTAATAGAAATTTAGTAAGTGGGGGGGGGGGGGGGTCGGAAATGTGAAAAATTGTGTTGATTCTTTTTTGGGGTCAAATGAGATTTTCTTCTGAATACAATCGATAGAAAATGACAAATATCACCATGTAATAATGCATTGTTATATTACTAAAATGAACATCAGCCAGGCCTATGTAAATTTTTTCGGATGAAATAAGGGATATGAATGATTGCATATAAAAATTAATAAGCGGGGGGGGGGTCCAAATAAGCTCTGGTGGGGTCAGAAAAAAATTGAAAAATTAATAAGCGCCCCCCCTTCTATTAAGGACCTTAGAGTACATGAAGGGATGTAATCTACCAAAAGTATCGTTAATTCTCAAAGACATTTGCTAAAAATTCACTATGACCTAGTTATAAAGAATCGAGGGATTGGTGATAGAAAAAAACTTGTTTCGGAATCCTGAGCCAGAGGAAAATATCTGTGGGGGAAGGGGGAAGCTACTTTTATCTTTATCCACAGGCTAACCATTGGCAATAAATTGGGAAGCAAGCCTGTCTGCAACAATTCTGCTCGGTTAACGGCAATATTGGCAATTTTTCAACTCTAGAGACTGCATCGCCTGCTGCGCTTATAGGTTTAACGATAGACGTTGGTGACTGTTGACCAAGCGCAGGTTCATCTTACATATAAAAGCTGAGATGAAAAAGGAAAAAAAATGCTACTTCATATCAAGAAGGAAGAAGTCAATTGCCCTTAGAATGTGAATAATTCAGAGAAATTATGCATAACTCACCTCAGCTTTTTGAGACTTTTGCAATTCGTGAGAGCTTGAGGCAAAGAAGAAAGAGCAAAGGAATTTCCAGGCAGACCAATGTCAGCTAGTGAAAGGTACTCCAATAGGTTACAGTGCTTTGTCATTTCTATCAAGGAGCGAAATGAGCCAAGCCCACGGAGACCTATTAAGATCCAAAGCAATAAAAAGCTGGGAAATGATGTTACAAATCATCAATACTCGAGATTTTATTTCATTCAGTTTCTTATTCAAAAATTCACACCGACGCAATTTCAGGACAAACCAATCATAACATGCATGGAGTCTTTACTAGCAGCCAAAGGGGAAAATTAGAATACTAAATATCACTCACGCAGAGCCATTAACAGGATAGAATAAGTGTATTATTATTGGTGTATTAAATAAGTGTATTAAAACCAAAAATCACCAGCTAGGGTAAGTCGTCTCAAATGTGCCCAGTTTTTCAGAGGAAGCAGGGTCGCATCCAGAATATTTCTTGTCAGTGGGCTGCAAAATAATCATTCATAAAAAAATTATCATTTATGTAAAATTGTAAATATTTCATGTTAACAGAGTAAAGTTTTATCAAAGAAAATATCGTAGCAATGATGAAGAATGAAATGAGTGTCTAGTTTCGATAGGAACTCGAAATTGTCAAAGAAAAGGATAGATAAAAGAGTGTGATTGCTGCAAATCATAGAAAAAACCCGTGTAATTGGCTAAGAATGCTATTTTACAACCTGGCAGTTAACCTGAGATTTTTTCGAAAATTGTTATAGAATGAGGAGCATACAACTACGCTCGTCAACAAATATATTTTTGAATGCACAAACATAATAATTGTTGCAATGCCTAGCATCAAGTAGTTGTTTGCTCAAATTGATGAAGACACGAGAACTGTGTAGTACAGCCGTCGCTAGCTCGACGGGGTGCTCAAGTCCAAATTGGGTGACAAATTGGGTGAGCCATCTTTTCTTTGCCGACAAGTCTGGAAATTTGCCGACGAAATACTCCCTTGAAATTAAATTTTTTCCAAGGGGGCGGAGTCACATCCCCCACACCTCACCGCAGCAACGGCCCTAGTTGGTAGTTACGAGCCAGTGGCAGGAATGTTGGGGCAACTGGCCCCCTCATTTTCTCATTCATTACGATTTTCAAAATTTATTTTGACAATGTGATGATATTTTGAAGAAAAAAGGGAAAAGGCAACACAACCAAGAAAATTCTAAATTTCACAGACCAGCCTACTTTTGAGCAATGTGTTCAAGCGCAAGACAGATGAAAAGCAATCAGTTCCGAGTTCACCCTAACGACTCCTATTAAACTATTAACTAATGTTTGTGATTTTGATGATAAAGCCATGATGGTTAACTTGAGACAAAAGTACAAACCGCTACAACAGGTCCTTACCAAACATATGATAGTCCAGTTGACTCATCTGGAATGCTAAAGACAGATGAATAGCCAACGCCAATAAACTCTACTTCTTCGATTTTCTTCAGGCCTTTTACTAAATCATCTAAACCACTACCACTCTGCATAACCCTTTCATTTATCTCCTTTTGGTGTGTCACACGACGCGTTACGTATCCAGATTCGGTTGTCATTGTGCTTGAAGTTGATGCAGCTCTGTTTATTGCACCTGAAGGCTTATCTAGCCCATCTGCCATGCTACTTCTCCTGGGGATATTCTTTTTAAGAAGTCCATCAGATGTGCTGTGAAGTTTTTCATCAGCTACTCTGACAAGACAGCATGGTGCAATCGACAAAGACCGTAGATGTTTCATTCCAGCAATAACTTTGCAAATGAAATTCCCCTCTTTGGTTCCATCAGAATGACAACATATTCTACCAACATTTAAATGCTGTAGCTTGGAGCACGACATACAGACTATCTTCAATGCACATAGATCCTTTAATTTATAACATAGTATTAGAACTCTTTTTAATAAAAAAATTACAATAAAAAAGGAAGTTGAGAAATATCTGAATGATACAAAAATATAACCAGCATACATAACTTGAATGACGTGCAGGTCGGGAAAAGTGTTGAACAAGTGACTCAAAAGTCCAGTGTTCATTTCATTACTCTAAAAAACATTTAGCTAACTTCATCTTGATAAAAAAACATTTAGCTAACTTCATCTTAATTTTTTGCCTAAAACATACAACTGCTTTTTTTGACACCAGATAATCAAAACAAGGGTCATAAGCATGTTGTAAAAACCAGGATCATAGACCAAAGAAAATGATCGCTTAACGAGAACTAAATCTGAACAACAATAAAAAACTGTGTACTTAAATACAACCAACTGCTCCCAAGGTGTTATAAACCGTGCCTTATGTGTATAACAAAACAAAGCAACTTTCAATGCTATGGAACATGAATGTGACTGTTAACACACTAAAACACGTAACAACATTACTGAACATGTGAGGCATCGCCTGTAACAGTAAAAGTAAACACAAACCATTACACATGTGAGGAAGTTAAAATGTGAATTCAAATTATATTCTATTTTGCTTGGCTTTTTCCAAAGATGACAAGTTGACAAAAACCTCTTACCTCATCCACCCAATCCACACAATTGTTCAGATTCAATGACTGCAGATCAGGACAGTTCAAAGCGATTGCCTTCATAAGGTTGGCTTTAAAGTGTTGAACATGTTGAAGATTCAAATGTGTCAATCTATTGAGATTGCCAAGCCAATTTATCTTTTCTGCAGTTAAGCAAGTTGAGCTGAAGTCTACCATCAATATTCCTGGAGTCTTATACAATGGGACAATATGATTCCAGCAAAGAATGTTTAAGCTTCCTGGTGCCAATAAACAAGTTAATTGGTCTGTTTTTGCAGCATTGAGAGCAACCTTTGTTGAAAAATCTATCACATTCAAATTAAAATGCAATGAAATGTCATTGAAATGTAAAGGATTTGAATAATATACAGGAAATGGACAGTTTGACTTTATTAAGATACTGTAATCAGAGCCATCATGGATAAGAGATGTAACTTTAGGCCCTTTGTACTCGAGGAGAAGCTCAGATAAAGTCATGGTATTTGGAAACAAGCCAACAATCGTTTCAAAATGAATAAACTTGTGAAATCTTAGTTTAAGACTTGATAGCCTTCCAAACGAATCACACAGCTGTCTGTGAACATCATTAGGTTGTCCATCTGGTCCGCATAGTTCTTTGTAGAGTCCTTTTTGAGGAACAGACCATCCAAGCTTTCTTAACTGAGGATTCCTTTGAAAAATTGAACACAAAGCTGACAAGCTTACTTCACATCCAATGATATTTAGTTCTTCAAGGTTTTTCAATGGATGCAAAACTCTTGCCATCTGGTGAGGGGGGACCCAGTAACAGTCAATCAAGGTCAAAGCCTGCAAATGTCCAGCATGTTTATTGATGTATGATTGCAATATTGTTTTTGATATAAACAGGTTTTCACCACTTTTGCCAAAATTTACTCTCCTAAAAAACACAAACTGGTAAGCAACTCGATAACTCAATTCCTGAATATGATTAAAAATGAAAAGATGTTCTGAGAGAGAATAAAGCTTGAAATACTTCATCTCAGAAATTTCCAAAACATCAGCATTAATATCAGAAATATTACAAGCTTGTAAACATTTTTTTCAGAAGGTTTTGGACAAGCTGGGAAGGTGGTCATCTATAGCCATATTTACTTAGAGGAGTCGATGGAATAATTATTTTGACATCTTGTAGACCATTAATAGGCATTGAATGATAACAGCTGAACTACCACACTCCAAAGACCCACCCAGGTGTTCCTAGGGCAAAGATGGTAGCAATGGTTTTGGAAATTTCAGTCAAGACATCCTTGATAATTGATAGACAATGTTTTTCATAAAGTAAGGGTTCCAGTTTTAAAGCTCATGCAGATGATTGCTGTCAACAATTTGTCATCTATTGGGTCAGGTCACCCTATTGGGCTAGTAAACAATATTATTATGACAAAAAACAGCTTTTTCGCTGATTTCTGATGCAAATGCTTCTTTACATGGAAAAAGAGGATTCAATACATAATAGCTAAGAACAGCTGCAGCACAGGGGTAGGTAGGTGGGGAAACTTGCCCTCTGCCTTCAGCCAAAAGAGGCAGCAGCAGGAAAATGTGCCTTTGGAAGATGCCAAGAAAACAGGCAGTTTTTGTAAACTGTTGGTGTCTTATTCACAAGTTTGCCCTTCCTGAATTTATTTTGTGCAAACATCCCTGAAACAGCTGTTTGTGGTATCCTTCAATTTAGTACCCACAACCACCAGGAAATCCGGTCTACAAAGCTCAACCATGTTTTAATTGTTACAAAATACCTGGTGTAGCAGTTTGTCTACAATGGGAATTTAGGGTGAAATTTAAATGGGTCAAGTGGCGAATGGCCTAAATGATACTTTGAGAAAAATTTCCCACCTGTGGAGACAAGGATCCTCTGCCACACGTTTGAAACGCTTGCTGACGCAGATAACTTTCAAAATATCTTCAATCGGCAGCAACCGAAAAATATTCAACAGTATTTCATCAGATGTTGATTCTATGCCTATTGAAAACACCCCCTCCATCTCTTGTCATTTTCCCTTCTTACTGATGCAGGTCATCATTGCTTGAAGCCATCTTCACGATAAAAAAGTATTGGAAAACACAGAACAGAAATTCTGTGTCGAAGTGACACTTTATTGATTCAGCCTCGTTGCGAAATATTGTAATTGCCAGTGACGAGGCATCAAGTGAATAAGAGCCAGGAAGACAAAACAAATGGTCAGTGGCCCCCCTACTCTAGTTCCAGTCACAACCAATCACAACTGAGAGCCCCCTGAAAAACTGAGAAGCAGGAAAGAAAAGTAAACAGGCAAGATACACATGCGTACAAAATGAAATAGGAAATCGGAAGAAACAATTTTTAATTCTAAAATTAGCTAAATAATCTATCGTCACTGCTAGTGAACGAATCATGCAAATATAATTGGAGGTCTATTCCGCCATACATTAAAATTTGTATTAAAGATGAGAATATGTGTCCAGTATCCGTGCTACAAATTTGGAAGATAGGATGTTTGTTAGCCTTCACAGTTTCACTATTTCAACCAGTCCAGTGTGAAAACTATAGAAACTACTTCGGGGAGAAGAGATAAACATTAAAGGGAGCTTGCCAACTGCAAATGCGGATCCAAATCTTGCATTATACTGAAAATCAAACAGAATAGAAATAGTCGTAATAACTGAACGTTTGGCACATGTTTTTCAGTGATAAAAGTGTAGAATGTAAAAGTCAGTTTTCGCAGAAAGCGGCTAATCACTTACTATTTAACGCGCAAATGACAAATTATCATATACCTGGCTACTATATGTAGAAGAATACCTAAATTCGATGCAAATGAAATTGATACAAAAGCCTAAATCAAACTGCCTTAAAAAAGTTATGTAATCTAATCAGAGAATGTCCATCAACATGGGCGTAAGAGACAAGGGCCTAAACAAGCAAACTATATCGCGTTCGCTTTCATTCGGGCAGTTCTACCTAGATAAAGGAATTATAATCAGGGTGAAGTCCAAACTAAGCTACTCTGTAAAGTTTAGCACCCGCTAGGTCTTTGTCAATCAAATAGAAAGGCTTAAAACTGGTGATGCTCACAACGTCTCCTTAAAAAACAGCCTTTTAACCTACTCTTTGCCTAGGTGTTCTTTTGTTTAATTACACAGTAAAATGTATACAGAAATATGTCCTTCTACTTGATGATAGCCTGTGCCCCAGTCCACAAATGCTGCCACATCTATGAACTGCGCAATATTGATGAGTATCCTGTCCACAGTTTCCACTAGGATCTGGTGACAATTTATGCAACCCTTGATCATTATGCAATTAGCTGAAATTGTCAACTGTTAAACCAACCTTGTAAAACTTTTAACTCTCCAAGCATCATCTTATCTACAATGCCTGCCAAAAGTACTTGGAACACCCACCAATTTACGCTGCATTTGATATCTTTCTTTCCTTTCATGAAAAAAAATTGCTACTTCTGCCCCCTTCCCCCTCAAACAATGTTGATGATTTAGAGAAATATCATAAAAGAAGCGCAAAAGAAAGTGCTTCCTAAAATCCTAACCCGTTTGATAGTAAACCAACATTGTTCCGTGGGGGAGAGGGGGATGATTGGTTTTGACCTTGGAAATTGATGTCAGTGTTCCAAGACTTTTGGCAGGCATTGTACGTCCTGTGTGGTTTCAGTGAATATTTCTACGAAGATTTTTCATGCAAAATTACAATGATTTCATTGCATAAATTATTTTCATACACTAGATCCTGCCCTCTGCCTGGACAGAATATTTATCAATATTGCACAGTCCATAAATGTGGCAGCACTTGTGGACTGGGGCGCAGACTACTTAATGAGCGGTGTTAACAGAGGAAATGGCTACTCACCTCTTTTCCATTGAAAGTTCTTGAAGCCTAGAAGAGGTAAAAAGAGGCAAACGTTTGGTGATTACGAATCATCTGAGCCATCGATATGATATCAATTATATAAATACAAGTATTATATGTCATTTCATTGTAACTATGAATGTAGATGATAAGCATTTCAAGTGAAAAGATAATGAAAGAGATTGAGAGAAAAACTAGGACGATAATTTTGAACGTTAAACTTTTGTGTCCGAATTGGGAATGTGTCGTTGCAAGCCCCTCCGAGTTGTAAAGTGAGAGTCTTGGATTCAAACTTGATAACATACTGAGAGGAGGGCCTTAAGTTACAATAAACTTTTCGTTCTAAAGTTGAAGGCATCCCAAAAGCCAACCACTAGCAAGTAGAACGGCCAAAGAAGGTGAATTTTGCATAGATAATCATGATAAAATACTTCTATTCAAAACCTATTTGATACATTAGATATTTAATCGGTATTATCAAAACCTTCAATTGTGGACAAGGCTGGACAGTGGTGGAAGCACAGTCACCAGTTGCATCTCCAGTTGGAAAAGATTTTCCGCCGTTGAAAATGTACACAGCCCCACTTTCAGCTACAAAAGATTGAAATAATCAACGATTTTCCTCGTATGAACACAAAGGAACAAAAATATCATTGAAAATTAAGGATGATATAAAACAGCTCGACAAACGAGCACCACTAAAACTATCAAATTATATAAAGCATTAAAAAGTGAAATACAATGACTTTAAATAGTACCCAAATAAAATTTAGTTACTGTCCAAAGTCACATACAGAAGAAACCTGCACAAAAGAACCTAGGTTTTTTTCTAGCAGCCTGAATAGGTTCTTAATTAACAGGCTGCTGCTATTCTAAATCCCAGTCTAAAAGGCTCTTAACAAGGTTCTTATATATGTACAGGCCTTGTACATATTAACAATGTTTTCCACCGCAAGAATTCTAACGGACACACCTAAAACAGCTTTGTTTTTCATGTTAAACTTCAATCAATCAAACGAATTTGTGTTGTTAGATTGTCCAAATAGAATGCAACCTACCAAAATCTGAATTAACTCTAAGCTGATTAATTTGCCGGTGTGAATAGGGTGTAAAAATACCACTCTAAGAACCCTTTTTTCTTACATATATAAGGACCTTCCAAATTTCAGCCTTTTGGGGGTTCTTAATTATGGGGATTAAAAGATTAAATTTCAGCCGCAGGGTTCTTATAAAAACAGGCTCTTTTATGCGGGTTCCTACTGTGTTGAAATAAAGCGCATAGGTTTTGAAATTGGGTTTTTAGAAATTTTTTTCGTCGCTGTAAAATTTGTTTGGATAAAAGAAATGACCTGTCCCCAGGCTTCAGAATAAAAGTTTCATAACTTTTTGATATTCTGAGTTTTCAGCTGGCATAAAAATTAAATCTACATGAAACTAGAAGGGCTTAAAAGTCTACAAAAAAACCAAGTTGCTTGTGCAAGTTACAATCAAGTGAAACGTTTTCTGTGCTTTCTAAAAACGTCTTTTTCGAAAGCATACGATTGTTAACATATGAATGCGTAAAAACAAGAGAAAAAAAGGGCAAATGTGTGAGCGAGAAAATGATAACGAAGAAGCCAACAAACCAACGAAGAGACAAACCTATGGATGAAAAAGCAAGCAATTAAATGAAAATCGAAGTCTGGCAGTTAATAGGACTTCTAGTGTATATGTCAAAAAACACACACATCAACAGCACAACAAAATTCATCGACGCCTAATATTGTTTAATAGCTGGACCCGGACATGAAGTAACACAAAAAAGGCACGTCAAATCATCTCCATAAAATATATGGAAAACAACTTCATCTTTTAGTAATTATCTTAAGTAAAAATATAATACGCGAATCCAAATTGCTCTGTTCTGTGTAATTGATCTTATTACAGAATGGTACTCACTGATGAAGAACACATGGTCTGCAAGCTATGAGAGCCTGGGTACTAAAAATTAATACACGTGGATAATTGCCCATTCATCACAACAAATATTCCATGCATACCTCCAACAATTTCCTCTGTCAAGTCCTCAGTCCTAAAGGGTGCTCCAATTATGATATCATCCACCGAATCACCGTTTGTATCTTCAAATTTTACCGCCATTCCAAAACCCCCATAATCGCGGTCTCCAGAAAAATTGCCCACGACAGCTGAACTTGAAAATAAATTCTCATTGAAATGAAATCCGCTTCTAACAAGTAATGTGAGGTTGAACAAATGCACAGTCCCAGCCTGAGTAAATGTGTTCGGAACCATGTCCACAAGATGCCCCTCGACATCTGCAATTTTAGATGTAATTATTTACAGTAAACAAAGTGGCGAGAAAAGTAAAAATTTTAAAGGCTAATTTGACAATCAGATTCTATACAGAGCAGATTCTATGAAGAACGGTTATACGAAGAAATGCTAACATTTTGCAAGTTGCTTGTGAGAAGGAGGAATGTTTTTTGGTTCATATGAGCGCTTTTGAAAGAAAACCGTTTCTAAAATATAAGCCAATTTTTAAAATAGGTCTTCTTTGCCATCTGACACTGGAAGGGGCGTAGCTAGCGGGGGATGAAGAGGGGTGCATAAAATCCCCTGGTTTGTCGGTAAAGTCGTCTATCGGTAGGTGAATTAGCACCTAAATTTCTCTTTATTTATGTCTTCCCCGGTAAATTTTACTACTAATGGTGCTCACTCCCCTTAGTCTGGAAGGTCAAGCTACGCCGCCAATACGATAGGGATTGTCTTCGAAACAATGCCCTATGAAGATAATCCAGATACATGCTCAAAATAACCTACAGTCTGTTTCGACAGGATAAAATCCTTACCAACAGAAGGTGCACCAACTGCAAGCATTGTGCCCGAACTGGCTCCAAAAGGCAGGCCAGCAGCTAATGATGCGCCAAATTTTGAAAACCTCTTTAGACCTTCGAGAACTGCAACTAGCTTTGGTCTCACAAAGGACAAGTCATAAATAAACACTCTACCGAGCTGTTGAACATCGTGTGGGGAGTAGGAGCAGTCTTCGTTGAAGCATTTCCTGGAACAAAGTAGACTTCCTTAAGAACTTCAAATGCAAGGCCCAATATGAGACAAGCAGAGCTGCGGCTTTTGGAATGTATAGAAAAATGGTGCTCAATTTGGTGTTAAAAATACAGTACTAGGCGCTTTTCTTGTGCTGGCTTGTTATAGCATGTTTTATATCATGGCACTCGGGGGGCAAATTGTGCATACTTTATCATGGCAATCTTGCTTTTTGAAAATCAAAAGGAATGCGTTTTGTAATGCTTTGTACTTTTTGCCTAAGAATCATCCATCTGTCCATGAAGCCAAAATTTGTTAAGCATGTGACATACAGAATATTTTTGACCAAACTCTTAAGTCAAAAAGTACCCCGAGAACCACTTACCTACCATGTCGTCCAAACGATAGCATGATTTTAAGCCGAGAGAAGATCATTTCTTATACTTAGGATAGAGATACTTGGGGTATTTTCTGGGTTTAGAATTCGGGTAAGAAATATTTTTGAAGTAAGCCAGTTGTTTCAAGTCCTTATTTAAGATTCATGGAATATCTAATGTTTAATTTATTAATTTGCAGAAGAAAACTTTTTTAATTTTGTAGAATTATCCAAAAACTGCAAAATACGTAAAATTAGTTAGCGACAATGAAATACTTATTTGGGGTTTATTTTTATCCCAAAAAATACTTTTTGGCCAGAATTTAATAACCTGAGCTGAGCCGCATCTATCTTTGTATATCAGAGTACACCCCATCCTTGGGATACAAAGTGACGTGATTTGAAAAAAAGAACGACATTAGCAGTATAAAGTAATACCTGTAAGCAGGAGCACCCAACAGCAACAATGGTTTGCCTTGCTCGCGTTTGAAGAGCAACGAATACCCAAGCCATTCGTAATCCTGTGTACCAGCTGCAAACAAAGTTCTTTTGATATCACTTTCCTTTGCATTTGCATATACAACATCAACTCTACCCCTTTGCACCCCACCAGCAGGTGCAAATGGGGATCCAATAATGAGGTCTTTGAACCCATCCCCGTCGATGTCTGCTCCTTGAAGTGCAAATCCGAGATTTTCAAATGTTGTGTTTCCATGAAACGTCAGATCGGGTGATTTCGAGTAATTTTGTCCTTTTCTTCCAAAATATATGTGCACTGCTCCATAGTACTTCAACTGACTTGATCCTGTTGAATCGTGTTAGATATATATAAGGTTAATTCAGTGGAAACTAAAGTCAGAAATTTTTTTGATCTTAAAAAATAGAGAATAATAGGGAAGAGAAATATTAAGTACGTCGAGAATGCAAATAAGTAGCAGAGATGCTGTGCAGAGGTGCTGCAGGTAGTGTCCTCTTACATCATTTTTACAGCTGCTATTTTAGAAACTGTGATGAATATAGATTGAAAATCGTGATGGTAAACTAAAAAGTTAATTTTTTTAGGAGAACAATGGTGGCTATGTAAAACGATTCTACTCTCTACTCTTGACTTTATGAAAGGCCAAGCATTTCCTGCCATACACTTTACTAAAGAAAAAAAAAATAGAAGAGGGTTATAAATTGGATACCAGTGATATTTTAGCTTCTAGTAAAATCCACATTTTTAGAGCTTCGTTTTGGATAAATTTTTATTATGCGATGTTTCGAACGACTGAAGACGCACCTTGTGAGGGAGCTCCAACTGCCAAGTCAGCAAGCCCGTCCTTATTGACGTCAACAATGGCCATGCTCCAGCCAAATTTTGACATTCTTTCACTGCCGTCTATTACGTCATAGCTAAAGTCGTTCAGATGACTCCGAAGCGGCAGTTTGCTGCTATGGAAACTGTTTTGACTCGACCACCCGCTCGTTAGATTTACAAGGTAAACCCTGCCTAGCTGAGGGCTACCCTTTTGGTTGTTATTAGGGGCTCCATATAACAATGTTGCTCCCATCGGAAGGTCGTCTGAATACAAAAGTGACCTGAAAGGAAAGGATATATTCCTACCAGTTCGGAGTACAACAAGACATGGAATGGCGATATATATTAAACAAGAATTTATCGACAATAAATGCTTGGCGTTGTTTTTTTATTCATTCGTAATCTTTATTCGTAATTCTATTCATTTCTTACTTTGGCTATTGTGACATGCAGTGGCCAAAATAATGTTAAACATGATTATTCAAGGATCTTTTGTATGAAGCAGAAAAGTTTAGTACTTAGAAAATAACAAGGGGAGTTCTCGCAAAAATATAACAACAACAATAGCAAAAGGTGAAAACAGGCCCTTTTTGCATTAACGGGGTCATTAGGAGGCCTCGAACCACCCTTACCACTACAGACATTAGATTCTATTCAAAATCTCAAAAACAAATTACGAACTCTAACGGAAACATTGAGAAAATGTCTGGTTACAACATATGGGTACATAACCAATAAGTTCTGAGCAGGGGCGTGGTGGGAATTGTTGTCGGCCGGGAAAATCAGGTTTTTAGGGATACGCCTTTTTGATGCTGATTGCTTCTTGTTTCATCACTTACAGTACAATATGTTGGAAATGAGCGTCGCAGATGCAGCGAGGGGCCTTACTTCACTTGTTTCTTCTCTCACAAATCTGATGTTACAATTGATAAAAGCTTAAAAGGAAGCAAAATCCAAGGGGTCTACATGAAAAGTTACCAGGGACTTACCAGGAAAATTCCTGAGTCCCGGTGGGCCACCACGCCCCTGGTTCTGAGTCACTCTGGCCTTCTTCGTATCAAAACAGAGTCAATTGAATTCGTCTTTGATTTTGCGTTCAGAGTCATTTGATACAAAACCGGAGTCATTCAAAAATGCTATTCGCGGTGGAGTCCTTCGAAAACTGAGTCACTTGAAAACGTGAAAACGGAGTCATTCGAGAAAATGGGCAGCCATTCCAAATTTCAGAACGAGTCCGGAAAAGGATATGAAAACGGACTAAAATGGAGTAATGGGAAAGCTTTTGTTTTTGTTTTGAATGAAACGAAGTGGGAAGGAGTAATGGGAACGGTTTAAGAAAAAACGCAAAAAGGAATGATCTGAAAATGGAGACATACGCAAACGGATTAATGGAAACAGGGCCTCATCAAGTTTACAATTAAAGCAAAGGAGCTTAACAACTTACATTCCCCCTTCTGCATAAGGCTGCAAGCTGTCCTTCATATTTGCGTTTGGTATTTCAGGTTTTCTATGCAGAAGCCTAGCCTCGTTCAACCAGTCATTTTGTCTTTGTTTGATCATGTTCAAAATCTCTACTTTTGGATACAGTACCATACCATTGTTCTTTCTCATCTTGATGACGTCATGTACTTTCAGATCATGTTTTACTCTTAGATACGATTTCCCAGGGTTCTTCAGAAATATCCCGCTTGATTTCCCTGTCATCTCGTTGCCACTACACGTGATAAACAGAGTGTTTCTTGGTATGTGACAAGCCTCTGTTCCATGCTCCATCATAGTCTCCGTATGACTCCAAATTTCGTTCGTCCATGCCGCCATATCGTGAATACCACCTAACAGGTAAAAACAAAAGCCTCAAAATGCATCCACCTAAAAGCCTATTTTCTAAGAGTTTAGCAGCAATATAACGATATTATAACAAGTTTGTCTTTCAATGACATCGAGTTCACTATAATTATATATCCTTTAACCCTGGGTACCAGAGCCACAAAATTTCGAGCGCGTCAATAGAAATCCAAGCAGAGGAGCGGAGGAGTGGAGGAGCGTCTAGCTGAGAAGAAGAATGAAAAGTGGCTCTGGGCTAACCCTCACCCATTCTCGTCCTGATGAGATGACACCCAGTAGCGGCGCCACGGGGGGGGGGAGACTGGGGGGGACACGTCCCCCCTAGTTCTCAGCAGAATCGATTTTTTATTTCGTCTAAATTCGATGAGAAAATTTTGGGGGAGGGGTAATATTTTGACACCGTACTTTTTGTGATGTAATCCTATGACTTTCAAACTGCCAATTTTCAAACAAAAAATAATCATAGGCGTTCCCTTCGGATAAAATTGGCGTTCCCTGTTGGAAAAAGGGCGTTTTCTGGTGGTTAAAAGGGCGTGGCTTAAGTTTTTTTGGTTTGTCCCCCCCAGAGCTTAGTGGCTGGCGCCGCCATTGATGAGACCCTCACTTCTCCCTCACCCTACCTTATCTTTACATGAGTTTGACTATCGAGAAGAATTTATGGACATAATGGCTTGTTGTTGATTGTTCAAGGTCTCCACTATAAGAGGGATCGTCGATGGTCGTTCAACATATTATTTTGATTCATTTCAACTAATATGTGCAACACATTATTTGCACTATTTGGTGTATAGAACAGGACGGTTCTAAGATGCTTCTCCGAGTTTCACGCTTTATGTAATCATCAGGCAACTTGTACAGCTCTGCCTATCGAGCACTTTATGACAGACCGGTAAAAATTAATTTTAAAAACTTAATTTTGGCAAAACTTAATTTAATTATCTTATCTTATGAATATTTCACTTATTAACATGTATCAAATGAATTGTAAATATAGTGTCAAATGATATGAATCTAAACTTGCATATGAATTTAGGAACATACCAAGAAAATAATTGTGCAGTTTTTCATGCAGAAAAGGTGACTTCTTTGCATATTTTTTGAACAGTTTTGCTCCAG